TAAAGAATACGTAGATTTGATATAGAGAATAGTATTTTAATCGTCTGTACCTTTATATATTTCGCTGTATAACCCTCCTTGTTCAACAACTTTTCTATCTATCTATTATTTGTTTGATTCTATTTTTTTATTTTCTGAAAAATATGAAAACAAAATGGAGAGAGATTGTACCCTAAGGTCTTTGAATATTGAACAAGATTGAAGGAAAAATTGTAGCAGAATAAATAATACGACCAGCAATCAAGTCCACACTAAAGAAATGAGTAACTGACTCTGTTTTCCTCAAGGATTAATTTGGTATCATTATAATTTAATGTTTTACATTAAAACGACAAAAAATACCATACCTATAGACTAACGTTTGTAGAAATGCAAATTTGTTATAATATTTTTACGTGTTCCCTATTTGAAAAAGGAAAGTCATTCAATATTAATATTCTATAATCACATAAACATCCAAGATATTGTTAAAATAATTATTATTTATGTGTTTCGCTATTACATAGAGTTGGATAGATGTTAGGTATATGATAGAAAATTTTAATGATTTTAGGATATACACAATATAATATTTGTTAGTATCATTTTTATTGTTATTTCATCCTGATGAAATAATGGGGATATTTTAATATTTATACCAAATCAAATATTGTATAATATATTTATTATGAACACAGCTATCATCATCATCTATTTTTCATTACTCTATAGAGGTATACTTACTCATTAATAAAGGTGTTAAGAAAGTAAGATTAATAAAACTATTCAAATATTTCAATAACAAATACCATGTATTCAAACTTAAGTGTACACACATAGTGATAGTAAATATTATGATAATACTAAAGACTACCTACCGATGTTAAATATTTTTACGTTAATTCATCTGTTCTTCTGACTGCTAAAATGAAGCGGAATATTCAACACAGTGAGTTTATAAACAAACTATTCTCTACGATGTGAGTTGATACTGTTTGTCATTTTTTGAAAATAGTTAAAACAACAATTGTATTGATGTAAACGATATACCATAATATTCACATATACCCTACATTATTATATTTTGCTATATTTATTCTATTTTCCTAAAACTTATCTCTTATCTCTTTATTTGAAGTTCATGTAATAAAATAAAGATAATATTAGATCATATCACTAAAGATTAGTGAGAGCAGAAAAGAAAGAAACTACAAAATGAAGCTAACATAAATCTTTCTCTTTGTCTGAAAGTTCTCATAAAATAGATACAATAATATGGTAAATTTACTTATGTATTACTATTGGTATTATTCTGCATGAATAATTCATAACTTAATTTATATTAGAAATATCAAATTTTATAAACTAATTAACACTATAATTTTCAAACTTCAATCATACATATACTAGTCGATACTTTAAATACAATCTAAGACAGTATTGTGAAATACTCTTTGGTTGACCAACTTTTTTTACATGTCTTGTTATTTGAAATAGGTTATTTTACTGAACTTGTTCAATTAATGTCCATTAAGTTTTCTATAATATATATACTATTATCAAAATGCAATGTGTATTTCATTAATTATAAGGTAAATACTACTCTTGCAAATAACACTTCTTTTAGTTTGATATACATAGTCATATATATTTTTATTATCTTTACTAATATAATTGATCCATAAGGGCAACTGTATTGTCTTGAAAGATAACTTTTTTTATAATTATAGATGCTGTTTTTTATATATCTATAATTGATCTTTGAATAGTTGAATATTTCATAAAAAATATTACTTATCTTTATTATGTACAAATCTAAAAACTATTTTTTCTTAAAGAATGAAAACAATTTAATACTATCTCACAATATTTCATATTAATTGTTATAATTAAGATCAATAACATTCTTCAATTAATTTACATATCAAAAAGATAATTGTCTTAACAATTTTTTAACTATTATATTTGTCTTCGAGTATAATTCACACATCAACATATATAATGAGTAAATTAACCATGAGCAAACCTTCAGATGGAGTATGTGACTTTGTAATAAATGACTTTTCTAAAACAAAAAATTCTTTGAGCGACAGTTTTGTTACTACTATAAGTTTGTTGAAAATACTACCATTGTCGAATAAATTATTTTATTTATGGATATAGATATTTATTATCAATAGAAGATATAAAACTAAAGGGCAATAACGTTTGGATATACATTGATTTATGCTAAAATTTTGAGCATTATTCCTTATTAACAGTTTTTCTTCTTTTTGGAACCAATAATTTCCCTTTACTTCTTTATCGAGCAGAATCTATTGTTAGGAAGCCTTATGCTGAAACTTACAAAGAAGTACAACCGGTAAAATAACAATAAGTTAGTCACACTTAGAAAACAATTGCATACAACAAAATCAATCTTCAAGATTATCTGTGATCGCAAGTAATCTTTGTATCATAGGAGCTCACTCAAGAAGAAGTTATCTTGCTTTTGTGACTTGTTAGAGTTAATTGTAAATTTCTCACAAGCTTTCTTATATAGACGATAAATAAAGAAAGCAAGTTGATTATAGGTCTTTATAGTATAAGAATCGCTACTAACTGTTTTTAAAACTTTCTAAGACTAATACATCCGTGTTCATTTTATCGATAACAATATCTAGAAAATTTTGTTTCATAATAATGGTGATTGGTCCGTTCTTATACAACAGAATAGAAACATAATACTGTTCACTGAAAATTTTTGATAGTTAAGAAATATTTTTTTAGGATTGTTCCTTACATTTTCGTGCACATTTCTAAACAGATGTTTGTTTGATGAAAATAAAAACTCTGCTATGTGGGGTACTACATTACAAAAAGATACAAAAGGAATATTGAAAGGTTTATCTAATTACTGTAAAATTAAGATCTTTCACATCTTCAATTTATTGAAGGTAAAGTAAAGTATAGACAATTTTGAATAATTATGTCTTTGACAAACAATTCATACTTTGTGATTGAGGCTTTGTTTTAAGAACCACACGCACTAAAAATACCAACTGCACCATCTCATTAATCTCATAGCCATTTATGTAACACTACCTATAACACATATGTTTACAACGTAAACCAGAGAAATTTATATCGACTTATTATATATAAAAAAATTCCATAGACATTTTAAATACCAAGTTCACTGCGGACTAGATCAGTAGGATTTCATCTTATCACAAAAGATCTGGAAATATATATTCTGAAATGTTAGTCACCTTTTTTTGTTTTTTCTGTCTTTTCTTCTTCTTTTTTTTTTAATTCAAATTCAGTGGAACCTCTAATCGGAACAACGGTTTAGTTTATCATATAGAAACCATATGTTGACATCCATGATGCAGCATTAATTCAAAGGAATAACTTTTCAACATTGATGAAATAGTTTATGTGTTCTCACTTAAAAACAGCTCTCATATGAAACAATATGAATCCAAAGAAAATTAAGCAATACACCTATGCTATGACACAAACTTCTATCATCACGTAATTTCAAAATTGTACAATATAATGTGGTTGGGTCTCCTACCTGAGAAAGTCATGTAACATATTCTAACGTTTTCATATATAATAGAACAATTTTCCAATCCAGGTTATCTATTATATTTGTATAGTGTAAGGTCTTAACCATTATGTTTACCATCATTTACAGTAATATATGATCGTGTGAACTCTTGAGACAAGAGACTACGAAGCTCTTTTGTTGGACAATGTTCTCCAATACAAAACCAAGTTTTGAACTATTGCAATTTCTTTTTTTATTCTCGTATAAATTAACATAGAGCCTTTTCTTTTGTAAAAATAAATTGGGCACAATTTTTTTCAAAATTATTATCATTATTTTTTTTTTTTAAACGAAACAATTCGTAACTTTCTATTTTCAGATTAATTATAAGCAAAGAAAAACAAAAATCAAAGTAAACACTAATAGTCGAACAAAAAACCGTTTAGCAGTAGAAAATTAACTAAAATTTCGTATGTTAGTGAAATATACAAAACTGAGCATAAAAAATAAATGATCATTGTTATTGTTGGAAATATACTATTTTAACAATAAATTGTTGATTATTTCTCCTCGTTAAATCGGATTATTAATTAAATACATAGAATAAAAAAGTTCACCGAAGCTGATGTATTAAACTAATTACTTTGACTAATTCTATACTTCTAGACAGAAAACAGTTCTCCAGGATCTCTTTTTGAACTGGTACAATTTTAATCTTAAAATGTGATAATTGCATATGAGACGCATATAGAATTGGTATTTTTTCTTTTCTTTTCTTTTTTTTTATGTTTACGTTCTTTACTTTTTGATTGTTCACGTATATTTAGAACTAAAAGAATAATAATAACTAACAAAAAGATTTCAAAGATTGTGGTAGTTTGTTTACATATCGTATGTTAACTAATGCACTTGTCGTGTTTATATTAAAAATTCTGAACCCTTTTTAGATATCTATGCTCCATTTTTTTTTGTTATTTGATATTACCGAAGCTGATAAATAAAAAAAAAGCTTTTGTTTCTAATAAGCTTTCTCTCCATAGGTTACATTTGATTAATTATGTGACAATTTTTACAATACTGATCAAGATCAAATCTTGTAGTTCAATCAAATAATAATAGAAACTAATTTTTCAAAGTATTATTCGTAAAAATTGCAAAATATGTCAGTAGTTTTTATATGAACAAATTCTCAGAAAACACCAAATAATTCTAATTTGATGTCTTTTTTGTCAATAATATCGTTTAATAAAAATCATGTGATAGTGACTGACATAGCAACGTACCAACCATTGCAATTTAACACATATATAACCTAATGCTTGGAATATTACATATCAGAATCTTTAACAAAAATCTCCTGGTCCTTGGACATTAGACTGTTTTCAACTTTATTTTGTGGTCTAGCTAGACTTCACAAAAAGGTAACTCTTCTTCACCCAAGCAATCTCTCTCAAAAGAAAAACAAAAAGATAAAAGCAACTGCAAAATGGTTAAAGTTGGGAAATCATTGGTTGCGGCAACCGCAATTATGTCTGGTGCCAATGCAGTAACTACAATGAGTATCACAGATGAAAAAGTTCAAATGATTGAATTGTCTGTTTACGTGAGAGATATCCTAAAAAATATGGGACAGTATTTGAGTTTCCGTTCATCACATCCTAATCAACCTTATCCAAGTCAAATGAACGGAGTTGTCATGAGGGCTATGTTTGGTGGTTCAGGCGATAGTTGGACTAGTGAACTAACAGGTATTGATCCATCAACTGTTCAAATGATGTTAACTGGTGTCCCTTGGTATTCCACTAGAATTTTGCCTGCCTTGGATGCATATTTATCTTCTGCTGGTATTGTTGTCGAAGGTATTAACTGTAGTGATTGTGATGTTAAGACTAGTACATCAACTACATCCTCTACTTCGTCTGTTACACCATCTTCAACAACTACCTCAACCACCTCTTCAAGTAGCATGCCTACCTCTTCTTCTTCTTCTTCCACTTCTACTTCAACAACTACTTCTTCCAATAGTATGTCTGCATCTTTCTCTTCCTCTTCTTCCACTTCTACTTCAGCAACTACTTCTTCCAGTAGCATGGTTACCTCTTCTACTTTGGCTACTACTTCTTCCAGTAGCATGCCTACATATTCTTCTTCCTCTTCTTCCTCTACTACTACTTCTTCCAGTAGTATGTCTACCTCTTCTTCTTCTTCTGTTACTTCCACTTCAACTACAACCTCAACAACCTCTTCTTCATCTTCTTCCTCTTCTACTTCAACAACTACCTCAACAACCTCTTCAAGTAGGGTGCCTACTTCTTCTTCCACATCTTCATCTGTTACCCCAACTTCAACAACTACTTCTTCAAGTAGCTTGCCCACCTCTTCTTCTTCTATTGTCACCAGTCTTACTTCTAGCTCTGGGTTCACTACTAGTAGTATTTCATCAACAATTGCATTTGCTTCTTCTTTTTCCAAGGTTTCTTCTAGTTCTACAGAATTTGCATCTTCTATCCCATCTTCAAGCTTTTTTTCTTCACAAACTTCAACTGTTTCAGCTACTTTAGCAACCTCCGCTTCATCAAGTGATTCTGTTTCAACTAGCTCAACTATCTTGCCAAGTTCTTCTGTTTTAACACATACTTCTTCATCTGATGCTTCATTGTTATCTTCACCATCTAGTACCTTGGTAACATCTTCGATTGTTACCGATTTTTCTCCATCATCTTCCAGTGTTTTATCACAACGCATAACAACTACAATGCCTGTTACAAGAGAAAGAGTTCAAATGATCGAATTAGCTGTTTATGTCAGAGATATCTTAAATAATATGGATCAATATTTGGATTTCCGTCAATCACATCCAGATGAACCATATCCTAGTCAGATGAACAATGTCGTAGTAGATGCCATGTTTGATGATAAAGATGATAGCTGGACCACTGAATTAACCGGCATTAATCCTTCCACAGTTCAAATGATGTTAACTGGAGTCCCTTGGTATTCTAGTAGAATTTTACCTGTTTTAAGACAAAGATTGAACAGGGAGGGTATTGCTGTTGAAGGTATTAACTTAATAGAAATTCCTAACACTTCTACCTTAAAAGTAAACTCTACTTCTTCTATTATCCCTTCTTCAACCATGTTGGTTGTTTCTTCCACTACTGCTTATCCAAGAGACACCACTTTTACCTCTGATATAAGCTCTACTTCTTTTGCTGTTTCCTCTACTACTGATAATACTGTAAACACCATTTCTTCCTCCAATATAAACTCTCCTTCTTCAATTGCTTCTTCTACTACTACAGATGCCACTTCTACCTCTGGTATAAACTTCACTCCTTCTGTTGTTTCCTCCACTACTGATGATGCTACAAGTGCTGCTTTTACCTCTGAGATAAGCTCTAGTGCTTCTGTTATTTCTTCCGTCAGTACCGACTCTTCTGCAAACACTGCTTCTGTTATTTCTACAAATACTGCTTCTACTTCGCATGTTATTGTACCACAAGATACTTCCAAGAATATTTATATGTCGACTGCTACAACCACTTCTCCATTATCGGTCGTTTCTTCTATGGTTTCTAGCAGCATGATGTCTTCTGTTGATTCAGTTTCTTCTATGAACCTTGTATCTTCAACTAGAAACGGTACAATTGCACCAATTTTCCCAGTTCATTCTTCCTCTTCTAAGTCAAAGTACCCAGTCTCCTCCGACATTCCAACTGTCGTTCCTGGTAATGTTACAACTCAGTGGAATGTGCTAACCTCACATTATACCAACACAACAATTATTACTAGCTGCCCTCCTAAATCTACCTCTATAGTAGATGTTTATCAAACTTCTGCTAGTGTGGTTACTAAAACTATTTGTGATACAGTTTGTAAATCTAAGTTCAGTGACGCTTCTAAGGCTGAACGTACGTATGTAACAACTAAGGTTAATGGTGCTGTTGTTACTGAAACCGTTTGTGACATTATTTGCAAGGCTAAAAAGAAGGAAGCTTCAGCTGCTCAAGTGGTCACTTCTTTTACTGTTTACGATACAACCACTGCAACTGAAACTGTGTGTGATGAAGAATGCATGAGAAGAAAGGATGAAAACAATTATATTACTGGTGTCACTCAGACTACACCATCTCTTTCAGTTGAAGTATCATTTACATCAGTTAATTACCCATTTGTTGCAGGTACTACTGTTACAACAAAGCCAGCAGTATCTTTATATCAACAAGAAGATAATGCTGCAACAAATATTCCGGGCTCAACTGCAAATATTTCACAATACAGTAAGAATGAGGCTGTCAAAAATTTTGTTGGGGTGGGTGCTTACTTATTAGCAGCAGGTATTTTATTGATATAATGAAAATACAGACCGCCGTTATATGAATTATTTGATGTGGTTTATTTTTATATTTTATTAATATTGGTGGATAAATGTATATTATAGATCTCTATAAGTATTTTTATAAATGTGTAACGATATTTATTAATAATGAACATCTGTTTTTCTAAAACCTTGTAGTTATAATTTTATTTAAAACTGTGGAAATTCTAACTTGGTATCGTTTAATTAGGCAAGAACAAGATATTTAGCCTTGTATTCTATATATATAGCTATTTTTAAGCCTCAACACTTTTTTTCATTGTAAGTCGAAATTTGCTTCTATTTACTTGTCCAGTAGTTAAACTAGGAATTTATAAAAAATAGTGACTGAATGTTAACATATGAGATATGTTTTTTGTATTTGGTTTCTTTTTGTTTGATCTTCCTTTGGTGACATTCAACATGAAACTTAAACAAGAATAACAACAGCTAAATACATTCTTCGGCATTTAGTTCATTCTTTGAATTATAGGAAGATTGTGTATATTTTGAATTTCAACACCATATATAGATGTCTTAGCTAATACACCCAGTGAGCTATAGTGGCAAAATAGAGAAGATCTTTCCTTGCTTACCGAATTAAATTCACCTTTTTTTACTATAGAATGTGTTAAAACAAAACACATAATGCGCTTCAGTTCGGAAGATTTAAGGAATAATTAATTATCTATTGGGATATCAAATATTTAAACTAATATATGAATTTATAAAAGGAATTAGAACTAAATTGTTTTGTATAAACACATAGGATTCTTAAATAACCTGAAGTAAAGATGAATTGATAACGACATTAATAGAACAACACTCCTCCACTCCAACATTAATTAAAAGATCAAAGAAAACATATATATAATATATTAAAAATTACTTTACTCTAATGAAAACAAAAATATATCTTATCTTATTCAACAAGTATTTATAGCATCATTAGATTAATAAAGCAGCAGCAGCTAAGGCACCAGCACCTAAGCCTGCAACAACTTTAGCACCACCGTTAGTGTGTTGGCTAACAGTGTGAGTAGCTTGGATTTGACCGTCACCAATTTGTGAGATAGCTTGGGCATTGGAAGCAGATGAGGTGGCCTTAGAAGCAGAGGTAGTGGTGGCAGCTGATGAAGAGGTAGCCTTAGAGGAAGAGGCAGCCTTGGAAGAAGAAGAAGCAGCCTTAGAGGAAGAAGAGGCAGCCTTGGAAGAAGAAGTAGAAGCAGCGGTAGAAGTAGCAACGGAAGAGGTGGAAGAAGCAGTGGTAGTAGCAACAGCACTAGCATCAATACCTTCTACAACAACACCAGCTTGAGCGAACTTGGAGGTTAAAGCTGGGTAAATTCTAGAGGAGTACCATGGGACACCGGTCAACATTCTTTCGACCATAGCTGGAGCAATACCAGTTAAAGCAGTAGTCCAACTGTCATCAGAGGAACCAGCAGCTTGTAAAACGACAGTGTTTAAAACAGCTGGGTATGGTTCATTTGGATGTTGTTGTCTGAAAGATAAGTATTGTTGCATGTTGTTAGCAATATCTCTAACGTAGACAGATAATTCTAACATTAAAGCCTTTTCATCATCAGCAGCAAGGGTCTGAACAGCGTTAGAAGTAGCTAAAGTGGCAGCAGCTAAAACAGCAGTATTTCTTAAGGAGACCATCGTTAATATTAAATGAGATATTGCAGGGTGTGCACGGTTATCCTATTATTTTGTTGCATTAGCAATAAAAAAACGCATTGGAATAAGCGAGAGGAAACAAGTAATGACAAATACAAAAAGAAGTTCAAAATAATTGACTTTATATATTTAATATTTAAGGATCTTATTAATTCAAAGATCAAAGGAAACGCGGGTAAAAAAAAAGATAAGATTTAAACTAAAAGAGAGAATAAATAATTATAATAGTAATTAACGAAAATAAATATCAAAAAGGAGACATAAATATGGTACGATTATTGTTCTCCCCAAAAATATCAGATGAAGCTTGCGTTTAATTATAACCATAAAAGGATAGTAGGATATATTTTAGAATAAATTAATAATATAATTTTATTTAGAAAATAAAAGAAAACAAAGATGTATTTACTTTTAAGACACCATAAAAATTCTTCATTTTCCTTGAAAGTAAAATGTTTGTTTATTATGCAATACTAATAAACCTTTTTTGTTCGTTCCATCTTTGTTCAATATTGAATTCGTTTAGTGAAACTGAACAACTACAAAAGATACGAAATTCTTATTGTTAGTATTTTCCTTCAAGATAAATGTGTCAGGAGCGTAGATGTGTTGAAGACAATATAAATTTATTGAGTTTCTTTTACTAATAAGGTGAGGTTTTCTTAAACAGTTCTATTGTTTTTTTATTCATTCATGTTTTTTTTCTTCTTCTTTTTTTTTTCTCGAGGAACGATGTTTTTATTTGCTTTGTTGTATTATTCTTTTCTTTTTTTTTTGGTTTGTATAAAATGCATGATTTCCAAAAAAACTATATGAACGAGAAGTTTCAAAGGAAAAAGAAAAAAAAAAAAGAAGATAGCAAAAATTTTTCTCTCTAGTTTCTCTGCTTTGTCTTTTTACTTCTTTTCTTTTCTTTTTTTTTTTGTTGTTTAATTATGGATGAATTATGTATATATTCCCACAAATACGAGTGGATGTTATTTTTGAAATTTACTAGTGTTGATAATGTCTCTTGCGAAAGTGATGCTTATTACTGTTTGGTGTGTAAGGTTGGTAATATTCTTCTTGGATCAAGAAATAGACAGGCAAAATGAAAACTGAACAAGCATTTTTTCACTTGTTCTGGCTTGCACTTTTTTTTTTCTTTTTCTTTTTTTTTTATTTTTTTTTTACATTGAACACAAATTCCTCTTGTTTAGAAAAATATTATTCTTTTCCGTCAACAGTGATACGTTCTGTTAAAAGGTCGTGTGTAAAAAATAATGGTAAACAAAGAAAATGGCTGCTCAAAATTATTAAACACAGAAACTTTGACATTAGATAATTTCGTGCAAAATGAGAACTATGAAATCTTCTATTCTCTTTGATTAAAGAAAAAAAAACAAAGGATAGTAAAGAAGCATAGATAAAATATGTACAAAATAAAGGTTTAATTTCAACATTCTCAATGCAATATATGTAGAGTTAGATAAAGATAATACAACAATTGAAAATTTTCAATTATATTATATTTCAACATTTTTTTTTTTTTGGTAGAAAGTTCATAATGTTATTCAATTTGCTATCTTACTTAGTAATGCTAACTAAGTGCATATGAGTGTAGTCAATTTTTTGTTCTAACAGACATCATTATTTTAACAAGTAGTATTACACTGTTACTTTGTGCTTGAGTTGCCGTTGTTCTATCTAATATTTTTAGTATTCCTTTAAGAATACAAAAAAAACTTCATTGTACGTTGGAAAAAAGTAAAAAAATATGTGGTTTTGCTCTATTGCCAAAAAAAAAAGAATAAAAAGAAAGGTCGTAATTAACTAAGAGCTGCATAATATCTTTGTTTTATCTCATATTACTTTGATATTGTTGTAAAAAAGATGAGATAGATTTGGAGATGTCATAACTCAAGCATACATGTTTATCATTTATGTATCACATCGAACGATTTCTCTTTTGGGTTAATGTGACAGAATATGTCATGGTGTTATAATTTTCTTTGTGTGTCACAAAAAAAAGGAAAAGAAAAACAAAGGAAAAAAGATGGGAGAAATCGATTCTGATCTCAATTATAACTTCGGCGGTTAACAAATAAGCTTGTAATTCAAAATCAGTTAATATTACTATTAATAAAAGACTATCTTAGAGATTTAACAGAACATAATATAAAAATACTACTACTACAAAAGAAATCTGATACATATTATGAAAAAAACAAGCTATTACAGAATGCAAATATAAACAATAGTAAGCATAAGAATCTGTATAGGGGTAGAAAAATATGTTGGTGCAGCCATAGCCAAGATAAGAGTATGTTAATATAGCCAAAGAAAGAAGTAATCAAGTGAATTACATCTGTTATATCTGAATGTGGAAATTTTTTTTTAAGAAATGTTTCATTTACAGAAAAGAGTAAATACAAGAACATGTTTAATTAACAGGGATAAAGGATACCTATTATGAGGGAGAGAGAGAGAGATGAGAGGGGACGATATCAAAAAGCAGGAGAAAGGACGAGATTAGTAATGCTAAAATGGATTATACGAAAACAAACACATAGAAAGGAAGGGAGGATAGAGGAGAAAGAAAACATGACAGAACAAAACACAGCACAACACGACAAACAAACAAACAGATAAAGAGAAAAACCAAAAAATAAGAGAAGATATCAAGAATAAAGAAGAAACACCACAAATAAACCAACAGCTAAACACACTAAAGTAACCTGATAACACAAATACCTACATATCTTTAATTTGTTTATACTGTTCCGTGAGATTATTCCAAAACTGTTGTTCATTCAGGTCTTTCTTCCATTCTGTTGCTAACAATGTGGATAAATTTTTCTGGTTAATACCTTGACCAAATTGGGAGTAATATATTCTAAAGGCAAAGAAGGCATTTAATGTTCTTTGTTCCAAAATGTCCTCTGGAGATTTGATCTTTTTTTTTATTGATTTCAAGATTGGATTTTGTTTATTAATGATATCTAATATCTTTTTATTAGGAAATGATTTATTTTTATTCAGTCTTGAATTAAACACTGTTGTGCTAAATGAACCAGTAAAAATATATTGCTTGTTACATTTTATTTTTTTCTTGTTTTTGTCTCCTGAAACTTTTGCTCTGAATATAACTCTTTTTGAATTCATCTTGGTTACTTTGATACATAAAAGGGAACCTTTAGAAAAAGTTAAGAGGATATAAAAGAAAAATGTAAATATATCTTTTATGAATCAGTTTTCTTTAATCTTTCTTTATATTCTTTTTTGTAAAGAAGAAAGTCAAGATATCTTTCAAGTTCCTAACTTTGTTAACCTCAAATCAGTTTTCTTTCTTTATTTATTTTTGTTAACATCTCAAGATAGTATTGTTTCATTATTATACAACAAGTTATTATTTTATTGCCATCATTCCACAGTTCAATAACATAACTGCCAAAAAGTACTACTATTTGTTAGCATGAACAAGATTTTAATTAAGGATATATTAAATGATCCAAGTATAAAGAAAGAAAAAAATAGTATTACGAAAATCAATGATAGATTGTTTAGAATATGTTCTAATCTTCCAAATTATGGTTCAAATATTCCTGAAAATTTGATCACTAGTTTTGATGATATAATTGGGACTCTTTGTAAAATTAAAGATAATTGTGAAAACATTGCTGAAGTTGAAAGAATAAAAGATTTAAGGACAACTTACCAGATATGTAGGATAATGGAACAGATAATTGAACATTTTCCTAAAGAAGACTTGAAGAAGCAATTAACAAAAGAAGAAAATGCTGTGATTTTTAATATAATGACACAGGATATGATGAATAAGAAAGAGGCCTCACTAAATTCATATCGTGGACACAGGTTTTCGTTAAACAACGTAACAATTTTAGAACAATGGTATAATGATCATTATCAAAAACCATATTTAACTAAGAGCAGTTTGGAAAAACTTTCTAAGTCAACTGGTCTAAATAAAGTTCAAATAAGAAACTGGGTGTCAAACAGAAGAAGAAAGGAGAAGTCAGTTCAAGTATCCTCAGTTATACTCGATTTAGTTCAAGAAAAATGATTTGTATAGGTTAGATAAATTAGCAGCACAATTTTATAAACTACTTAGGGTTAGTACTTAAGAGGTAGTTACCTAGCAAAAACAATTTTCAAAATTAACATACCCATATTCTTACTTGCAAGGGACTAAGTCCACATTTCCTGGCAATTAACTGTCGTTCCTCCTTGGTCAACCACTGTTTCTGGGCAAACACTTTCTCCAAGAATAACCGCGTATCCTTGGTTAGGTGTGTTCGACCATAACTATTATCATACATGTGTCGTAAAAGGGTCTTTCTCTCACATAAACAAAGGTCCGATTCAAGAATTAACTAACAACAAAACAGAAGAAAAGAAAGAAAGAAACTATATATATATTTGTAGTTGTGTATGTTTCAAGTTAGTAACTATCTATAAATATATACACACTCATTCCTTCAAACATTCATTTATATCAACCTAGATATCTTGATTAAAGTAAGAACATACTTTAGAACTAATATTAAATAATAATTGTAGTGACATGTTGTTTATCCTCCTAGTTCAACTTCTTCACACACATACATATATGCGTGTGTGTGTGTGAATATGTATAGATTGGATGGCCTCTCTTTCTCTATCAGTCTTCTTCCTTCCTCCCACTCCTCTTGTTCTCAATGTTATTCATCTTGCAATACAACATAAGAATTCAAGAAATACATCCTTTTTTTTTCAATCCCTACTCATATATGGAACATACATCTTCACGGTGTATTTTGATTTCCATAAATCAGCTCTTCGCTCGGAGCAGGACGGAAAGCAACAAGAAAATAAAATAAAGTAAAATAAAATAAAAAAAAAATTGTTATTTATTTTTTATTAGATTCTTATTATTATTATTGTAAACGCATAACTAAACTAGTATATGTATATATATGTATACATATATATATATATGTTTGTTTGTTTGTTTGTTTATATTTGTTGAAGAATACTTTGTGTATTACACTTATCAAAATTAGCCAATTTGTAAGTTGATAATTCCCGTTTTTGATTTTTTAATTTTATCAATGTTTCTTGTAAATCTTGAATGGTGTTCGAAGAACCACCACACGCAATGATTAAGATAATGTCTCTTGGCGTCAATTTGTGGCCCAACGCATCCTCCAATAAATTTACGTTATAAGCCATGTGCAAAGAGGCACCCATTGCAGGTTCGGCTACCATATTAAAATCATGTACATATTTTAAACAAGTCTCAATTACACTTGCATCATCAACAACAACAGATCTTGTGAGATATTTTTTGGCATATTCAAAAGTTTGTTTTGATATGCTAGCAGTTCCTAATGAGGTAGCGATACTAGTAATTTTGTCGAATTCCACTTGTTTGCCTAACTTCATTGAGGTGTTAAAGACGTGGCACCCGTGTGTCTCTACACCCACAATTGGTATTTTATCTGCCAAGTTATATTTCTCCAAACCTTGTATTATACCATTATATAAACCACCACCACCTACACTGCATACGATTCCTTTAACGTTTTTAAAGATATCAATTTTTTGTTCCTTTAAAGTGGCTATAATCTCATCAACCATAGTAGAATGGCCCTCCCATATGGTTGGATTATCGAATGGATGTACATAAACGGGTTCAATAGAAGACTTATCGATTTTAGACATTACATGATTCTTTAAATAGGTATCAGCTTCCTTCCAATGGCTTCCGTTGATGATAACGTTGGCACCAGTGGCCTTAATTTTTTCCACCATTCTTTTCTTTGTTGCTGTTGGCACAACGACGGTACAGGGTAAAGATAATCTTTGACAGGCGGTGGCAGCTGCAAAACCTGCATTTCCACCTGAACTAGCAAATATATGTGGTATTTTTTGATTGGTGAATTTTTTCTGTATATTAATTGCATTTCGAAGTATTAAGTTGCCTATACCTCTACTTTTAAAGCTACCACTTGGTTGCAAACATTCATATTTTAAAAAGAATTGTGGTGAGTTTTTACCAGGAAATATTTGACGTAGTAAAGGAGTTTTGTTATAGACTATGGACATTTTAAATATATATATATACGTATGTATGTATGTATGTATATATATATGTGTGTGTGTGTGTGTGTTTTCTCTTGATGTATTTAATTATTGAGTTATATTACTAATGTCAACACTATCAGGTAAGAAATAAAAGTGAAAAAGGAAAGTATGTATTAATTAGTATATAAAAAGAGATAGAAGGAGAGAATATGTTTGTGTTTGTGTGTATGTATGTGTGTGTTGGGTTAGGAATATGGTCCTCTTTATATATCACAAGAAATGAGTGAATAACGGTCAACATATGAGGGGAATCCAAGTAGACGACGAGATGATGTGCTCATCGATTGGTTTACTATTGATGTATTTACTCTAATGTCATTGTATTTCTGTCCTTCCATTCCCAAAGATAATAAAGCAAGTAAATAAATAAATAAATAACAAAGTAAATAAAGGTGCGTGTATACAAACATTTTTTTTTTGGTTTTAGGAAGTGTCACATAATGAGAATAACTATCATCGCATATATTGTGACACTTACCACCAGAGAAGAGAGCGGAATTACAAGTCCACCACAACTAAAATGGCGAGTTTGCTGGAGCCAAACAGAAGAACAGGCCAGTTTGAAGCGTGGGGAAGAGAATTGGCTGGCTGGTATCCATCGGAATTGCAACTCCAGTCTTTAGTACCGTTTCTCATACACACACACACATGCAGAGAGAGAGAAAGAGACCTGGCCCTCTCTCTTTCTACCTTTTCTTTTTCTCTGTGTGGGAATGTAACCCCGTGGAGTCTTCCTTGTGGTGGCAATACATCTCCGGTTTGGGAGAAGGCCTTCTTTCTCATCTCTTTTTTTTTTTGGTTTCTTTGTTCAACGGAATTTTCAATCCGTGAGAATTCCGTCTAATGTCAAAATTTGATGAACAAAAGAGAAAAATAAAAAAAAAAATAAACATAACATGACAAACTTTGGCATTTTGACTTTTGAAGAGATGAAGAAAGAAAAAGCCATTGCAAAAAAAATCGATGCAGGGAGATAATCATTCAGCTAAGAAAAATTTATTAGTTGTCCTTTTTTTTTGTTTCTGTTTATTATGTTTTGCCTATTATTTAGCGTTGAACATTTTCAATATAATACGTTCTTGAAGAAAATCTACAAGGATTAATTTAAAATAGGCTTATCTTCTGTATCATTTGTTATTTGCTATTCTTTTTTACTTATTTTTTTTTTTTTTGTTTTTTTACTCATTTTGAATTAAGGTTGTGATCATAGTGACTAGTATAATTGCCGAAGTAGATATGGATCAAACTATGGTAGAAAACATTACAGATCAACTGCTGAAAAGATCAGAAGATGCTATATGGCAGTTGGAGCGTTGGATTCAAAAACAAGAAGATCAAGTAAATAAATATAACAACATCACCGATGATTCAATGCGTTGTGCTAAAGAAAAACAACAACAATATTATGACCAATTGAAATCTTTACGAAGAAGATCTTTATACTTGAAACATTGTATTCATGCAGGTCCTAGGAATAGCATTATATCTAACAAGAATAATAATATACAATACCCACAACAACAAATGAAAAGGTATCCACTTGAAGATAAAGATTCTTTCAACAAGAAGAGTAAGCAAAATCATAATAATAACAGGAATAGTGTCCACAGCCTTAATAGCATGCAAGATGATATATCATACATGGAAAATTTAGTATTCGAATTTAAAGATTTGACTTTAAAATTAAATGAATTGGCACAAGCAAGAAAAAATGACATAACTTCCCACTCATACAAGAGATCTTCTTCACGATCTCCTTCAGATTCTTCATCGGATTCCTCTAACTATAACGATTCTTTGGAATTGAAGCCTTTGAGAATTCTGTCAAGAAGAAATATTCAACTTAAGCCCTCACTTCCGAATAAAACAACTAATAATATTCCCACGGTAGCACCCTCATTATTACCTGTCCCTTTTCCACCAGCCGATGTATTGATTGGTTCCACCCCGAAGAAGCTACAATTGATAGCGTCTTCCCTGCCTAATTCTCCCATTCATTTAAATATGGACAGGGGTCAACCCTTATTAAAAACGGAATCACCCGAGAAAAGATTGAGATCAGTTGAATCGCATCATAGTATATCAAATAATACCATTTCAGGGAGCAACATGGATAGAAAAGAACAAGTAGATGGGTTTTTCAAGAAAAATAATAGATTGTCCCTAGCTGTGTTTGAAAATATGAAAATTATACAAGAAACAAAAAATAACCAAAATCAGACTCATAATATTATATATTCCGATGATGAACTAGACTATATTAATGATAATGAATATTTTGAAGGCGCCAATCGTGATCATGAGGACGAACTAGACCAAGATACTTTACTTTTACCATATGATATGGTGTCTAATAGATGTCCAAAGACACCTATATTCAACTCCCGTTTTGATAAAGTTCCACCATTACAAAGGTCAAATTCTCATGATAGTATCTTTTCGAAAAAGACTACAAAAAAGCCATTTATCTTTTATCATTTTTATGCGGATAAGACTTCTTCTTTTATTACAAATGGGAATAAATCAATAACTGAATCGATTAAGACCACTTTAAATGACACCGTGGTGGTCACACAGCCAACTTTCATTAAACCATCTTCCAACTCAAATGAAACAAGTTCAAAGACCTTATTATCTAATATTATTAATTCAGAAAGATCACGGTCTCTAACCCCTACTAACTCAAATAGCATGTTTTCTAATTGGAACCTTTTTGGAAAGAAATTCCAATCAAACATTGTTTCCGAGACGGGTGTTTGTAATCCACGAAAAGGAACATCAAGGATCAAAACTTGTATAAGAAGACCATCAAATGCTAGTTCAGTCGTAGTCTCCTCCGTTGTTAAACATGATAAGGTTAAAATCAAGAAGCTATCTCCCTCAAAGAAACCAATTCTCGATACAGATATAAAACAAAAAGATCTTCAAGACGCACTTAATACGGAAATATTATTATAATCATATATATATATATATAATAATGCATTGAAACTTATAGATTTTATTTAATATACATTATTGAATATAGTTGATTGTGTTTTTCATTCCTTTTTTGGCTTGTTTTTTTTTTTTTTATTTCTGGTCCCTTGGGTCTTGTTCCAAGTTACCTCTGTTTCTCAGGTAGATAAAATGAAATAAGATGAGACGAAGAATCACATATCTCTAGCCAGAGGAAAATACACGTAAATATATATGTATTTGTATGTTTATATGTATACCCGTTAATAACAACCAAAAGCGTTCTATTAGTTATATTCTTCTAGTGCTATTTCAGAGAGTAATTCAGCTAAGACATCACCCTCCAAGGCATTCTCAGCAGCAATTTGTTGCGATATCTTCTTAGTAGTACCACGACCTTCACTTAATATAACAGCAGTGCTTTTGACTTTACATATACTGTGAAAGATGTTAGAGGCTTCTTGAACACTTTCATATTCTGGAAATAATCTATATTGCCCCATAATAGCATATAATCTAGACATAGAACTCTTATCACATGTGTTGAAGACTGGAAGTTCTCTTAGGTCTTCCTGTGGCTGAAAGTATTTGTATGTATCAACCTCATCCACAATATCACTGCTCGATTGTTCTAAATCTTCTATTTTAACACCTAATAATTTTTCAACCTGTTTGTTACGGGCCTCAACTAATTCTTTCAATCTTTCATTTTCTAATGCTTCAGAGGCAGCAAGTTGTTCAGCAATTTTTTTGCTGCTACCACGCCCTTCACCCATAAAAGAGTCTTCTTCACCTCTAATGCTGCAAATAGAATAAAAGTCATTAACACCTAACTGGATAGTAGTGTAATCAGGATACATTTTGAATCTACCAAAAATTTCATAAACCTTAGCCTTTGCACCCTTATCACATGAAGTTTTTAATGGTAACTTGATTGGATCAGTGGATTTAATTTTTTTAATTTTTCTTACACTTTCCTCGGATAAGGTTGTAATGTTACTACTTTCAACATCTTCGGATATTGTGGTTTTTGCTTCTTGTGATTGTTGTACCTTATTATGGCTTGGATGTTGCTGTTCATCAGTAGTCGAGCTAATTTGTCTTTTATTTTCTGTTTCAGAGTAACCAAGTTGCTTTGGTGATATTTTGGCCAAATCTTTTAAGGAAAGGTCAACCTTCGGAAGAGGTGGAATTCCATTCTTCATTAATATTTTAGTAGTTTTATTGTCATTAACAGTCTCAGTGGTTGAAGCTGTAGTAGAAACCACATTCTTCTTTTCTAGTGAATTTGTCAAGATATATCTTGCCTTTTCAATTTTTGGTACGTTTGGATTTAGGTTGTTCAAGCTAGAAGTAATTTGGAACTTTTTTGGTGACGGAGTGTCTCCAACTTTTTCATTGGTAGTGGTAATTGAATTATATTGTGTAGATTTCTCCACGGTTTGCGTCTTTTTGTTTTCAGTTGTTGTGTCATTTTTTTGGATAGTGGTCTTGTTTTGATCTTTTAAATCTACATCTGCTTGTTCAGAGGTGGCATTAATATCGGAAAAGTGAATATTGTTTACAGGTTGTTCAGTAGGTAGACAAATATTGTTATTTTGTAAAAATTGAGAAGTGAATTGACTAACCATTGATGCCATCTTAGAAGTTAATTGGTTCATGATTTGTTCGTTTAATGCATCAGCAGTTAACATTGGTTGCGGGTTGGTGGTGTTTAAGCTATTTTTTTCTGTTGCAAATGAAACTTGAGTTGGTTGAGTATTTTTTGTGTCTGTCTCATTCTTCAATGTTTGAGATTCATTGTCCTTTTGAGACACTTTTGTAGTAGTTTCATTTTTAATATTGTTGTCTACAGGTTTCTTTTTCACAGACTCTTCTTTAGTGATTGGATGAATTGGAATAGATTCATTGTGAACAGAGTATTTAGATAATAGAGATGTGTTAGACAGGATATTTGAAGCAGCCTTTTTGTTAGCTAACTCTTCAGTTAGAGCCTCTGCCTGACCTAAAACAGTTTGACCCAATGTGACCTTAACGCGGTGAACACCTCCCTCATTACTGTTAATAAATTCTAATGATTGGCCTGATTTATTTCCAACCATAAATTGTTCTAACTGTGTTTTTAGATCATTAGCATATAAGCCTCTTAGATTACTAAATTTTAATAGTTGTATTTTAACAGATACTAGTCTTTCAATCCATCTGTAAACATCATCTAAACCTAGATTGCCTCTATCTAAGATCAATGCACCAATGTAAGCTTTAAATATATCAACTTGAAGATCCTCAATTTCCTGGTTTGTAATATTTGGCTTAACTTTGGCAGCTAAGGAAGGAACTCTTTCTAAAATAGTCATATTACTAGCCCAATTTTTTAAAATTCTATCAGATAATAAGTATTCTTTCAACTTTTCTAGAGTTTCTTCATCAGCTGCTGGGAATTTCTTGGATAAGCTATAAGAGATTAAAGCTTGTAATTCAGTTTCCCCAACGAATTTAAGAGTATCGTTTGTTTTAGTACCGTGTGATTTAGTTAAATGTTTATCCATGAAAATTAAGTTTTCTAAAGTGCTATCGCTAATTATTGGTTGTTTGAAGTATGGGATCTTGTTGGAAATGTCATTTTCATATTTATAATAATCACAGATTTTGATGATATCAACTGAAGTTCTAGCGTTAGCCAAATATGTAGAGATCATAGAAGCAGCAGCAGTGGCTACAGATCTTTCAGTATCAGAACCACTATTCATACTAGCTAATTCTTCATTGGATAATGCGTTTTCATATATAACTGTAATAGCATTTTTCAATTGAGCACATGCATTTTGGACTCTAGAAAATTTTTGTAAAATGTTTCTATCTTTTTCAGATAACATCATGTATGCTTCTGTATGTGTTTGGTCATTTATAGAGTATTTGATCGGAAATATCAAAAGTAATTGTGTAGAATAATAGGTTCATATATGGTGGGTATTATTTAAGTTCTCTTTCTTTTTCTTTCTTTCTAACTTAGTGTCCTATTGTTTTTTTTTTTTTTGTTTTTTATTTTGTTCTTTTTTTTTTGCTTCAGCAAAAATAACAACGTCAAAATTCTCCATTTGTCTGGTTTTCAAAATTGTTAGGAGAAGTGAGCAGTGATAGTGGTACATATAATTGGCAGCAAGAAAGAGGAAAACGTTTTAGCTGTGTGTACATGGCTAGAGGGGTACTTACGCTATTGATAATAATGATATTATGTAGAATTGATGCGTTGATATATTTACCAGTTATATAGGTGTTTATGTATGCAAATATGTATATGCTATAGTATAGTATATGAAGGAAAACTATTAATTTCCAAAATTGCTCATTTCATTATTGAAAAGCTTACTGATTCTTGAATTGGAATTATTCTTGCGAAGACGTTGTAGTGGATTGTTTTTAGAGTTTGTTTTGGGTGCCACTAATTTTCGAGCTTTTCCCATGTAGGTAATGGATGCTTTGGAGCCACCAACTGTTTTATAGGATTTTGATATCTTGACTGTTTTACTACCTTCCTTGAATTTATCATTAATATCTGCCTTGATGTTGAAAGATTGGATAATTGATGGAGGTCTTGATGATTTAAATATACCTATATCTGTCTCGTCGTTATCATCATCCAAAGTGATTGCCTTTTGAATGCTTGTTAAAGATCTAAAAGATTTAATTGAGCTGTTTTGTTTTAAAGTAAATAGATCTTCCACATCTTCTCCGTGTTGTAAACGTGCCAATTCCTTGTTTCTTTCATATTCATCTAAATCTTTATTACTGTTAAGAAATGAAAGGCTTTTTTGAACGAAAGCCTCTGAAAGAACAAGTTTTTTATTCTGGGATTCATGACTAATTATAGCTTTCTTTTCCATAGAAACTTGGTTCACAGATACATCATCATCGTCTTCCGATGATGAGGTGGATGATTGCATTGTTTGGTCAAATTCTTCAACATGGCTAAATGGGTTTTTTATTTCGATAATATCTTCTACTAAACTATCAAAGAAGGCTTTAGCCTTTGGATTTTCCACTAATTTTTGGTTATCACCTAAATCTAACAACCTTTGTTTCATTAATTCTCTTCTTTTTAAACGGTAATTACGTAATTCATCATCTTCATCATCACTTATTTCCAAATCTAAAGCAGATCTTCCTCTTTTCCTGAGATTACCATTCTTGATATCATAAAGAATTTTATTAATCATTTTTATATCCATATTTCTGTTTTCTTCTAATAAAGTTTTTCGAATGTCGTCAATATTCATATCTGTTTTTGAATAATCGTCAATCATTTTTTCAATTTCAGAGTCGTATTCATCAGAGTCTTCTCCATCAATACCACCAATACCATGCCATTCATCTTCGGATTCTTCAGCCTCCTCTTCCACTAAATTGGCAAAACTTTCAAGTTCTTTTTTTCTTGCTTTTAATTTTTTCTCTTTTAATCTTTGTTGATGTTTATGTTCCTCAATCATTGTTTTTATTCTATCCTCATGGGTTTCCTCGTTTAGTTCAGTAATCTCGTTTTCACTCTTCTTAGTTGGATTATCTTGGCTGTCAATATCTGAGGTAATATTATCAAGGTTATCCCCATAATGACCTAAGAAAATTGCGTTGGGACGGTCTTTGATATCCACATTTTGTGTTGGTTTGTTTGTGGTTGGAACTTCTGTTATTTCGACCTCAGAATTATGATCCGATTCTGAATCTGCAGAGACATGTATGTGTTTGGATTTTTTGGATTTAAGTAATTGAAAATTTTCTTCTTCTTCTTCCTCCTCCTCGTCTTCTTTTTCTTCTTTATTATTATCATCTATCTTTTGAGCTTCAATTTTTTCATTATCTAGATCATTCTCATCATGACGATTTGGTTCGCCTTCGGAATTAGAATTTCCAGTTTTATTTGCATCATAATCATCATCTTCATCCAAAAAATCAGACTCTTCTAATTCATTAGCACTATGATCAAAATTCAAATCTATATTCTCAGTTTGTTGTTTTTGCTTTTCCCTTTCCTTCTCTCTTTGTCTTATTTTTTGATTTCTAAGAATTTCTTGTTCTAACAAATTTTCAACAACTTCTTTTTCTTTCTCTAAGTCCATTTTTGTTAGACCTTTATTCTCCATTAGTTCAGATTGATAATCTAAAATTTGTTGCCTACTTTTCTTTCTTAAATTCTCCAAAAGATTATCCAAGTTATTTTTATTATTCACCTCTGGGTTCTTTTTTTTGGTCTTAGATAATCTTGCTCTGATATTTAAAATAGTTGCCTTTGCATTATTTGAAATAACTCCATTGAAATCTCTATCCAAATCTTCATCTGAATCTCCATCTGAATCCAAATTTATTTTATTTTTAGCATCCATCTGAGTTTTTAGATTTGTTGTATAGATTACTAAACCACTTAATTTTTTATTAAATTCGTTCCTGCTACTTATGTCACTATTTTTAACATCTGAGTTTAACAAAGACGTGCTATTCAAAGATTTGTCCTTCAACGTTTGTTCTTCAGTTTCTGATTCTGAGGAATCACTGTCAAAATTTGCTAAAAATGAATCTTTTGTAAAGTTTAGCTTTCTACTAACAGTTGGTACAATCTTTCTATATTCGCTATTTTTTTTATTGAATTCTTCTTCTTCTTCTTTTTCTAACTGTCTTTGAATCTCATGTATTTTAAGGTTTTTGGTGGCATCATCTGCAATTGTTGCTGTTATATTCATGTTAGATACAACTGTATCAGCTAGTGTGAGTGTTACTTCATTCGGAGTATCTCTATTCGGAAAAGAGTGAGTCACTTGAGTAATTTGGGTTGCTTCTGTATGGGAGATTTCTTGTGTAGGTTGTGTGAATTCTATAATATTGATATTTTGAGTTGTTTGAGTGGTAATTACTTGTGTCGGCTGAGTAGTTTCGTCATCATTTTCTTCCATATATTGCTTTTGTTGGTTATTCTCTAAAAGGTTAGCTTCTCTAGGGTTACTTATAATTTGAGTTGAACTGTCATAAGAATGATTCGGTTCTTGTATAGCTTCAGAGGGTATTATTCTTTGAGTAAAGCTAAAAAGTGGGATAGACTGTGTAGGATTGCTACTCATGTTTGGGAGACCATTATGTTTATCTTCAGATACTGATGTGTCCTCTATAGTGGATATTTTTTGTATTTTTTTATTTATTGGGTCAAATACTTGTGTTTCCGTATCAGTTTCTAAAGGTACTATCGAATTACTCTCATTGACCTTCAAACTACTTGGTATATCATACTGTAAGTCTTCATTTGGTATTATTTGGGTCTTTGATGGATAAAACTCATTGTGAACAGAAGATTGCTGAATATTTTTAGTTATATGCTTAGTAGAGTCATCAATTGAAAATTGTTTTGTTTCATGGTCACCGCCATTTATTTGGGTAGCTTGTGTTAGAGGTTTGGAGAGGTTTTGATTTTGTATATGGGATACACTTAAGGAGCTCTCTAGACCTGCCTCATGTGACTTTTGAACAAACTTTTGCTTTTCTTGGAATAAAGGTATCTCAGTTTGGGATAATGGAATCTCATCATTCTTTTCATCATCATCAACATGATCACTAGTTTTACTTGTACTAGCGTATCTAATTTCTGCTTTGTGTGCCTCCTTTTCTAGCTCTTGGAATGTTTCTTCAATACTACGCGATGTGTCAATAGTTCTATTATGATGTCTATACCTGTTTTTGGACCTAAGATCGTATTTTTGATAAATAATTTGAGTGGCATTAAATAATTCTTGTTCTCTTTTAGCCTCCTCACGTTGTCTACGTTTAGCTTCTCTTTTCTTTTTGTTAAATTCTTTGACCTCTTTTTTTCTTCTTTCTTCTTGTTGTTTCTTTTCAATTGATTCTAAGTCTTCACCACCGTACATACTTTTTAACAACTGAGTTTGAGATAATTGAATATCTTCTGATATTACAGGATATTTGCTACTATTTATATCATTTTCTGATATAGGAGATTCCTTATTGGTTTCTATACTAATGGAAGAAGCTTCATTACTGTCATTAGCTAGTCTTTTCTTAACTTTCTCTAACGTTGAATTATGAAATAAAAATCCATTATCCAGGTTATCAACAGATGGAAGTTCCTGTTCTTCATCCTCATTAGGTTCTGTTTTTTTTTTATAAGTTGTTCTTTTTTTAGTCTTTATTGATCCTAATTCCTTGAAAAGTATATCCATGATTCAAATTTAATGACTTATTACAATATAATGGTCCTTTGTTGTTTTGTTTATCTTTAATATTTGCACGTTATTATCATATGATGTAGAGTGTATTGAGAATATATTCTTCGTTGTCTTTGTAGTTTCAATCCTTCCTGATGAAAAGAGTTGTATCGAGCTATTTTAAGTTGGGTAAAAGTCCTTGTAGTTTCATATAATATTTTTAATTTATTTTCGCGTCTTTATGAATTTTTTTTTTTTAAAAATAGTTTACGTGTTTTGAAAGAAAGTACCAATTTTATTTGGTGTGAAACACACATACTTGGAACAAGAATAAAATGAGGTAAAATGCATTGTCTTTGTGCAGGCTATATCAACAAAGATGGATGTGCAACTATGTGATATTTAATTTATAGATTCCATACCTATATACAATATAAAGATAAATATATGTGTGGGGATGGATGTATGGGTATGCCTATAATTCCTCCCCTCTTCCTCCCTTTGTCATTTACTATTGTACAGTGTCAGTAAATATGTGTAAATATGTTTCTTCTCATATTTTTTTATGTTTCTTTGAGCTTTTCTTTTCATCTTTCGAGTCTTCTTCTGCATCTGCATTTCTTTTCTTATTCTTTTTAGATTTTGTTAAAGATCCAGTGTAATCTTTTTCCTTTGGAGCCACAAAATCTTTTGCTCTGTCTTTCTCTTTTTCGATTTGCTTTTCAGCTTGTCTTTCTTTACGTTCTTCCAATTTCTTCATCTCCTTTTCTCTTTTGCTTAAGAAATATTCACCACTTTCAATTTCCAAATCGACCTTTCTCGGTAATTGAGCAGGTGGGAATGGAGTGTAGACCTTCTTTTCAGTCTTTATCTTCTTTGGTTTCTTACGTGCAACATTTCTTTTCTTGAACATTGGCAAGAACCTGGACCAGTCCTCATTAGCCAGTTCGGGTTTTTTAGATAGCTCTCTTTTAATCATCAATTCTTTAATATGATAGATTGGATGGATATTTTTCATACAGTCTTCAACCACACGACGGACTTCCTTTAAACCTTTATATGGACCCATTGCACTCACAGTATTACCTTGAACTAAAATATAGCACTTGGTTAATAATTCTAAAGCTTTAAGTGTGTTACCATTTGGACCAACAAGACGTTGTCTTCTCTTAACAAATCTTTCCTTATTGGTGACAAAATTACCGATCTTTATGACATCACAAGCCACATCATCTTGAAGTATCTTAACAGCTTGTGGAAATGGAACAGAACGAGCCAAAAGTTTGATCAAGTCACGGGCTTTCAAGATGATAGCAGGGTCATAAGTCTTTCTTGTAGTTTTAACAGTCATGGAACCTTCCACCAAATCTAATATACATGTTATGTAATGAGAATCGAGTGCTTTTGTAACATCGCTCCAAACTGATTTCAAATAGCTTTCTCTGTATTTTGGAAATAGAGTCATGAAACTGGATTCTTCAGCAAATGGTAAACCAGATGCATTATCTTCTGGTTTGAATTCCTCAATTTTCCATTTATCTATATCTGGTGTATCCCAAGGCTTATCCTTATTATAAGTGGAAACCATTACTTATGTACCTATCCTAGCTGTGCGTATGGATCAATTATGTATATATGTATATATATGTATATATATGTATATGTTTATGTGTATGTGCAATAGGAGCAAAATGTGGACAAATGAAACTGGTGTTTCGAGACCCTACTAATATATAACAGTCGCGTTACTTAGACACAGCTAAAAGTTAAACATGGTGAATAAGCAAACTTCAAAGCTCATCACTGTTTCTCTTTCTTTATTCCTTTCTCTCTCTCTTTTTCTTTTTCGCACAGAAAAAAAATGAAAATTTTTCTTCCCTGATTTCTCATTTCTGTTTTGTTCTAGATAAAAAATTTCTCATGAAAATTTCAAAAAAAAGTAGCGTGAAGATAAGACGAGCTAGAAAACTGATGGCAGACAAAAGAAAAATGCAAAGAGGATGGATAGGTTTGTAATGTACACGGATATGATGTTGGCTTTCGAGTTAATTAGGTTTCAATAATTTGTTAATTGATTAATTATTCGATATTTTAGACCTAAGAAAAGGTGAAAAGTCATTTTAATATAGACAACAGAATCACTTGTTTATATATATAAAAGTGTGTGTCTGTGTCTGTATGTGTTGGTGTGTTTGTTAAATATTATATTTGAGTAAGAATGGGTAGGTCAAACATAGTAACGGATAAAAGAAAGAATAGAAAGAATAATAAAAAAACCAAGAATAATAAAAATGTGATATTATATTCAGATAGGAAGAAAAATAAGTTTAAAGTTGAACAAATGAATAAACTTATAGATATGAAGGAAATTGATGGAGCCATACTTGAGAAAGTTATATCTGATCATAATAATAGCAATAGTAGAAATTCACAAGATAATTCGAAAAATATGAAGATCAAAGCATTGCATACAAAAAGGTTGATCCATGATCAAAAGAAAGATAAAATAATACAGGAAAGAATAGAGAAAGAAAAAAAAGAGGCAGAGAATAGTATTTCAAAACAAATTGAAATGATATCTGGATTTTCATTGTAATATTTTGCATTAATAATAATAATAGTAATAGAAATTTTTTTTTTGTTATATTTTTCAAATTTACTTGGGTTTGTTGGTTAAATAATAAGGAATGTATACACATATATGTATATATATATGTCTGTATTTGTATATGGCGTTATAATAATTGGAAATATAGGTTTGTTTATTTGTTTTCAAATTTTAATATTATTACTGTTATTTTTATTTAATGTAAAAAAAAGGAGGAGAAGAATATTATATATATATATAATTTTTACTTGTTTATATTGAAAGTTTATTCAGTTGTTTATTCAGTTGTTTGTTTGTTTGTTTGTTTGTTATAGTATATGTACATATGTGTAGTGTAGTGCAATAGTCATCGTGATGATGAATACTGTTATCGTTATTATTATTATTGTTATTATTATTATTATTGTTATTATTATTATTATTATTATTTAGTAGTAGTAGTAGTAGCAGTGGTAAAATGGCATTATACTTTAACAGCTCTAAGTCCAGCAGTAGACCTAAAAATAGCATCACCTTCGGAATAGCCTCTACCTAAACCAAAGCCGATGCCGAGCCAAACAGGGAAAGTTCTTTTCTTAAAAAATAGCACAGATGTTATAACGCCAACACCGAAGCCCATTCCAATCTTAACTAGCATGTTAGAAAGTACAATATCCCACTTATCATTTAATAGGGATCTATCGATAGTTTTAGTCAATTGTTGAGTCATATGACAATTTTTATGGCATTCCTTAGTAATTTGAACAGGTTCACTCTCTTCTGACATTTTTATTAAATACGTATATTTATATGTATATGTATATATGTATATTCTTTTTTAAGCCTATGGTTTGTTTATTCTAGAATAATAAACTGATGGTCTTTATGTTGCTGATTCAAACCAGAGTTTAGATTGACTTTTTTTTTTTCTTTTTTTATTTTTTTTGTTAGCAAAAACGACACTATTATCTCAGTAGCCCGGACTCTATAAGCAACAGCTCACTTAGCAGTTCTATCAGTCCTCTAACATTGCCAAGTCATCCCCTTCTTTAACTCTATTGAATAAAAGTATACGAAGTTTGCAGAAGACAACTAAACCAAAAAAGAGAAATTGGCCTGGAAGAAAGGAGAGAGGGGGAAGCACAAAGGGTCCGGGAGTTATCGAGGGTCTGGGGCAGGTTCTATTACTTAAACTTTACATACAAAAATTCAAGAGTTAACTTTTTCCCGGATTTTGTCTTTTTTGATTTGTTTTGTTTTGTTTTGTTTTCAGTTTTGGTTTTTGTTATTTTTCTAGCTTTGTTCTAAAACAATGGCAGATGGCGTGTGGTGATTTTTGATTGGTTTATTTTGTGCGGTTTCCCAGGCTGTGGGGAATCTGCCAGGAAAGAAAGAAGAGAAAAAACTGTTGACTAATCTGTAAAATTCCAAGAATGAGATGGGATGTTGCCAATGTAGGTTTGTTGACTGGTCGTGTTGTGTTAAGTTATGCAATGTAAATGTTGTATTATGTTATTGCAAGGACAATGCATGTAGGTAGTGGTTCAGTTCAAGGAGATGGACGTATGTATCATGACTGTGGATTACTTTTGTCTTAGTGACAGGTTGAGACAATCGGGTATACATGTATATGGCATTATCTTCAGATATATAGAAGTAAGTTGTAGAAGATGTCGTAGTATTTACTGTTAGAGAAACGGAATTAGTAGCATACTTAACTTCACATTTTGTGCTAATTAATCTGCAACAATAGGGTATGTACAATCATGTATGTGGCAGTAAATCACAGTAGCCGTAATACTTCTTGATCTTCTTCTTGTTCTTACTTTGGAACTTATAAGATTACTTATTAATTCTACCATATAACTTCATAACATTCATTTTGATACTTGGCCATTTGTAGCAATATATTATTATTGTTGTTGTCGTTCTGTTTTTTTTTTTTTATTTTCGACATTTAAAAAAGAGCAGATTGTTCCAAGTTAACAATAGATAAAATGATAATTAATTACTCGACAAAAGTAAGTAAAGACAAGATAAAATAAGATAAGATAACATATAAAACGAAAGACACCGGGTACTCTTTTTCATAGGTTTGTAATATTGGTTGCTTTTATTTATTAACCGTGGGGCACAAACAATATACAAACATACTTTATTGTTAATAATTGAATGTTTTTAAAAAAAAGTGTACCATTTATAATAACACGTAATTTTGCAACAAGTACTGCTACTACTGCTATCGCTTCTACTATCAAGACATCAATTTCAAATCACACTTTTCCTTTATCTAAATTTTATAAAGTTTCCTTAGATAAACTTAACTGTTCAAGAAAGGGTTCTCTCATTGTATATAAACAGTATTCTACTATTACTAAGAATAAATCCACAATGCAAAACGATTTTATCGCACCCAGTATACCACCTTCATGGAACTGGACCCCTGAAAGAATTATATTCGATGCCAATTGTGTTATTGACAATACCACTAAACTCTATGACCAATTGGAATCGATCGAAGATCCAACATTCGAAAATTTTGTTAAACCTTTCATGATCCAAGAAAATAAAGTGACCCCTTTAATCAACCAGCTATGTTTCCTACAACATGTCTCCTCAAACAAGTCGATTAGGGACGCGTCTAACGAAGCTACCGAATTGTTACAAAAATTCGAGATCGAAATTTCTCTAAGATACAAAATATTCAAACAATTCGACAAGATCTGGCAACAGATTAAAGACGATAAAGAGCAATATATAAGAGATAGAGGCCAGTATGAACTATATAGATTTGTTGAGAAATGTCATAAGGATTACATTCGTTCCGGGTTGAATTTGCCAGAGGAAATAAGAGATAAGGTTAAGGATATCAAGATTCAGATCGGGTCTAAATCTTTGGAGTTTTCAAAGAATCTTGGGGAACAACAAGAGTTTTTATTGTTTACTAAAGAGGAATTGGATGGTGTCTCTGATTCGGTCTTGGAACAGTTCGAAAAAGTTGAAAAAGATGGCATCTTAAAATATAAAGTGACTTTCAAATACCCTGATATCTTTCCTGTCTTGAAGACAGCTAAGAATCCAAAGACAAGAGAAATTGCATTCAACGGCGATCAAAATAAGGTTCCAGAAAATGAAAAATTGTTTATTGAAACATTGAAATTAAGAAATCAACTGGCTTCATTGCTCGGTTATTCCTCTTATGCCAATTATAATTTGGATATTAAGATGGCTAAAAATCAAGAAACTGTGCTCGAATTTTTGACTGATTTGAAAGATAGGTTGAAACCTCTAGCAAAGAAAGAAATTGAGATTTTGAAAGCTTTGAAGGAACGCGAATGTGAAGAAATAGGTATTCCCTTTGATGGACATTATTATGTCTGGGATCATCGTTACTATGACAATAAATACCTAAAGGATAACTACAATGTTGATTTAGAAAAGATTGCTGAATTTTATCCTGTAGATTCTACTATTAAGGGTATGTTAAAGATTTATGAGACTGTTTTTAAATTGAAATTTATTGAAGAAATTTCAGAATCTAAGAAAAGAGTCTGGCATGAAGATGTTAAGCAATTGGCTGTTTGGAAAGTAGATGATCCAAACAGACCAGAATTTATCGGTTGGATTTATTTTGATTTACATCCACGTGATGGTAAGTATGGACATGCGGCCAACTTCGGTATATCCTCAGCATTCTACAATTTCGAAGATGGTGTTAAATTTTATCCAATCACTGCGTTGGTATGTAATTTCTCAAAATCAACGGCCACAAAACCGGCATTGTTAAAACACAATGAGGTTACTACTTTCTTCCATGAATTAGGGCATGGTATTCATGATTTGGTTGGTAGGAATAAGATTGGTAGATTTAACGGACCAAGCGCAACACCGTGGGATTTTGTTGAAGCCCCATCTCAAATGTTGGAGTTTTATACATGGGATAAGAATTGTCTTTATGATTTATCTAAGCATTACGAGACAGGTGAAAAAATTAGCAAAGATTTATTAGATTCATTGATTACTACTAAACATGTCAATGGTGCCTTATTTGCCTTAAGGCAATTACATTTCGGTCTCTTTGACATGAAAGTCCATACCACAAGTGATATTGAATCTCTTGATTTGTTAAAGTTATGGAATGAATCTCGCGAAGAGATCTGTCTTGTTGAAAATGGTGGTGTCTATAGCAAAGGATATGATTCCTTTGGTCACATTATGTCAGATTCTTACTCAGCTGGGTATTATGGTTACATGTGGGCTGAAGTGTTTGCAGCAGATATGTATCATACCAAATTTTCTCCAAATCCATTAGATAGTTCAGTTGGTATTAAATACAGAGATATTGTACTTGGTAATGGTGGATTATACGAAATTGATGCTAATTTAAAAGAATTTCTAGGTAGAGAGCCATCTAAGGATGCTTTCTTGAAGGAACTAGGTTTACAAAATTAGTGTATTGGTATATGATATCACATAAAAATATATAAATGTGTGTGCATATGTATATATATTGTCTCTATTAATACAATATTAATGAATTATTTTTAAAACATTATAACTATTGACGGAGAATCTGAATATCGTGAGTAAGTTTGATACAGTTTCCACCAGATGTCTAAAATGCTCCCATTTATCTTTTGGTATATTGAAGGCAGTTACATTTTTCAAAATGTCGAGTATTGATATTATGAAGTAAAATAAGTTTTGTAAAATTTCAAACATATGTTCAAAGAGTAAAGAATTTATTTTGTTTAATTTTAGTTTCAGTTTATTTAGAATTATTCCATTTACAGGTGAAGCTGACTGATTTTTGATGGAGTCGAAATTTTGAATATAAAAATTCAATTTGACTTTATATTTAAATAATTTCCAGCAATTATTTATAGACTTCTTAATTGCGAATACTAATGATAAGGACCAAAATTTGGACCCCCAATGACCCTTATTTAAATTCCTATAAAGAAAATTTGTGTCCTTTATCAACCCAATACTTCTAAAAAAGTATAAATAGTCAAAAATATTTGAAATAGTATTAATACTATTTACTAAGACATTCTCGATCGAATGAGTTTTGGTGGAATCAAAAGCTTCTGGCTCTGTTATAATATATTCTATATCATCAGAATATTCAATCATTCTAATATTCTAAACTACTCTTCTTCTTTTAATTTTATTTTATCTTAGGTTAGGTGTAACTAACATAAATTGGCCTCAATAGTGGAAGTTTTATATATGTATGTGTAATGGTGTACAGTATCTAGTCTGTATTTCTACTCGCTACTATTAATATGTTTTCCTTTTAATCATTTTATTTTATCAATTGAATCGTATTGATCATAGTAATAATAGTAATTGTTGCTTTTGCCGTTTCCGGTAAGTCATCAATGATAATTGAAGAAATGAACAAAAAAAAAACCAGACAAAAAAGAAAAAAGACAGAAATGGCAAAAAATAGAGAGAGAGTCATCAACAATATTTATTTATCTCCGATCCGGGACTGTTTTTTAGTTTCTTTAAGAATACACAAATCAATAAACAAGTAAAGTTGGAAGAGGAATTGGAAAAGATAATGGCCCCTTACTTTTTACAGTTAAAAGGAGACTAACTTACAATGTACTACGAAATTTTGAATCTAAGACGATATGTTACTTCCGTTAGTCATAGCAGGACATAAGACTTTCCTTCCATCAACGCTATGGGTATCGCTGTTAGTTATATATTTGGTTTCATTTTGGTTACTAAGGAATTTTTTTTAGTATGAAAGTAGAGATATGATTAATTCACTATTTGGAAATACGGAATAGAGGATGTAAGCTCTATGCATTTGTCAAGCAAATTACAGTAATGATCATATAGGATAGTCAGTGAAGGTGTTTAGGAGTGATAGAAAGCGTATAAGTTTCTAATGTAATGATTTGATAACTACATGTATTATTGCACAAAACCACGACCACTTTTGTGTGGTTTAAATGGTATCAGTATTTGTTTGCTTTTTATATTTATTTTTCCTACAGAAAGTATTAATGAGAGGTTTCAGTAGATATATCTCTTTATTTTTCTTCATGACATGCATTTTAAATTAATTAAAAAAGTTAAGAGAGAAGTAGGAAATTTATCTATTGGTTACAAATGATGTTTTATTTATATTGGTTTTTATTGTTATTGTGATTGTTACCCAATTTAAAATTTTATGAAGTCCGTTGATGATTTTGCTAAATTGTTAGAAAGTGCCATTTCTTTATTCACTTGTATTTTTCTTTTCCTGGTTGGTTTTTTGTTTACTCTGACAAGTAGTTGGTTAACTGGGAAAGTCTGTTGAATAATGCTGTTCCATTGTTTGAATATGGATCTGTTTACAGTGGTCAATAGTGAGTATACTATTTTTGTTTACTAAACATCTCAATAGCTATACCATTGTTGTTTAAAATGAGATAGCTAGATTCATTTGAGTGGGATATTATTCAATATTAGGGTTTGACAAATTCTCTTTATGTTAGTTTTTTTTTACATTAAATTTCTGGAACTGCTGTATATGTGGATTAGGGCTTATGAAATTTTCACTTCTTTTTTTTTAAAAAAAATACGATAGCTAAAATTGTGTGCTGGTTCTTCCGTTTCCACGATATAAGTGGCGTTTCGTTGGAAGATAGCGATAGTATTGGCAAAGAGAAGGATGGAATAAACAAACTAGGCAAATTATTGGTTATATACATTGAAAGCAACGTCTGGTCATAGTGACAGGTGCCATAAACAGATAATTTTTCTTGGCTATGGATTTAGTAGTATGTAAAATTATATAGTTTATATGGTAGGACTTCCCTGGTTGTGGTCGAGGGAGGATTTTTTGGTCATTTCCTACGGTGGAAAAATGCAATATTCCTCTTTTGAATTTTTTGGTCTGAGGGGGTTACCCGTTAGTCACGTGACTTCTGACCAATTGCGTGCAAGTTTTCCGCGCTGTGAATTTGGAATTTTTATCAATTACATTAAGGAGTTGTCAACTCCTTCATTTTTTACACCACTTTGCAGCTGACTTTGGTTGTTTTCTTCAGCTTTAACTTACTTTTCTTTTTCTTTTTCCAACTTGCACTCTCTTGGTTTGGTTTCTTTGTTGAGTTTCTTTGCTTTCTTTTTTTCTATTTTGTTTTATAGGGCTTTCCAATTTGCAGTGTTTATTGTTAGTAAGGTTCTAGCATTAGTTATAGGGTGCAGAACATTCTTTCCTTTTCTTTTTACTTTTTTCCCTTAATCGTTAACACATTTCTACCATTGGTATATTGATCTCTTTTCTTTGGTTAAAACACTATAAAACCGTGCTGTCACATCAAACAATTTACACTAAAAACTGCAAAACATTATTCGTAGTCTAGTTATATTATAACATTAAAGTTTTATTTCATTACTTTAATAAACCTAGTTTGATTGGATTTTTCATTCCTCCTATTTATATTTTATTATTTTGTTTTTTTGTTTATTTATTTGGACGCCTTCATTGAGCTGCTCTTAATAATTCCAAAAAATAGTGCTTTTTTTTTTTTAGATTTTTTGTATCTTCATTTAAAAAGAATATTTAGGTATTCCATTTTACTTTGTACAAAAAAAAATAGAACTAATAGATAAAATATAATATCCTCATTATTTTTTTTATTTCATTTTTTGTTTAATTTTGATTTATCTGATATCGTACTTTGAAAAAACAAAAATAAAAAAAAATGGTAATGTCCACTTCAAAAAGGCCATATTCTAATTGTCTTTCCTTATCCGGAAATAGTGATACCTGTAGTGATCATCCAAATAATTGTCAATATTCCACTAATAATAATATTCCACGATTTATAAAGCATTCTTCATCACCTGGTATTTCTAATTCCTTTAAAATATCAAAGAGACGCACTTTATCTTCAACTTCATCTTTGTCTCCTTCCTCTCTTTTATCTTCGACATCTTTACTATATTTAAACAGGTGTGCTGATGATGGGAAGTTAAATACACACAAGGCTAATGACAGTGACTTTGATGATACTGTTAACTACAATAGTGATGATTTTGATATTGCTTCTGCTTATAAAAATAATAATTACTTTCATTTCAATTCAGGTAAAAGAAATTTAATCATGAATAGACCTAGTTCCTTTTCATACCCTTGTAATAATAGTAAAAATAGCATTTGTAATAACCATGATCATGGAAACAGCCAATCAATAAATTCTCTTATTGTGAATAATGATGATTTGGAATCATATGTCAATGATATCAGCAACATCAATATGAGCAAGAAAAATCATCTACCAAAGGCGGATCTTATTGCAAGAGAAAGATGTTTTGATTATATTGTTCAAGCCATAGATGAAGTTTGGGCACGCTATTGTGACACTACATCATCTGCTGAAGTTGATATGTATGATAGTTGGAATATAGTAAAAAAACAGACACATCCTGTTGTATCAAATACTAGAATTACAAACAAACAAACAAGAATTTACTGTAATAAATCCATACAGTATTCCGATGATGAACAAGAAGATGATCAGATTTTTGATCACAAGATGAATATAGCAGATGGGCAACAAGGACAATATAAATCTAATGCTAGTATAAGGAATGAGGAGGATGAGGATGGGTATAAAACAGAAGTCACTGAATATGAGACAGATTCAGGTTCTGAATATCGTACTGTGTCTAAATTACCAGATTCAGTTAGATTAGAATCATTGAAGTTAAGATTGAGTAAAGCCAAAAATGATTTGGAACAGGTATATGATTCGATGCAACTTGATGACTCAATAGTGTTTTGGAAACGTTGGGATATGATAAAATATAGTGCAATTGAGGTCATGGAAGATGATGATGATGATGAGGTGGTTGAAGAGGCTATCAAAGAACTAGAGGATGGTAGGTATTTTCATGAATAGGCGTAATAGCGTATTTTGATATCGGACTTCGTGTTATATTCTTTATTAATAGATTTTTATTTCAATTTTTAAGTTTTTATTTTAGGTAAAAAGGCATGTTCTTTTTATTCTTTCTATCTGGGAGGTTTATAAATACACAATGTTTTTTTTTTATATTTGATCTTTTTTTTTAATAAATACATGGGTATTTTAGGTTTGAATACCATAGAATTTACAGAATTGGTGGATTTTTTCTTTTATTAGAACCGTATTAAGCAGTCGCATCATTTCGGGTGGTTTTCATAGTCGAATTCTGGCATTGATTCAGGTGTTGCTGTTAGATTATAAAGCGATTTGTAAGTATATAAATGGATAAATCAAGAAAAAGAGTACTAAATAATATTTATTTATAACAGAATATGTTATTTATATACATAGGCTTCTTTTCTCAGCAGGATATAGTCATATAGTGGGAGGTATTTCTGTTTTATAGCAGTTTTTCATTGGATCTTACTATTTTTGTCTGCTGGACCCACTTATTATAATTTTGGAAATGAAGTTACCACAGTGAAACGCGCTGAAACAAATTTTCCTCAATTCTGTAAAAAAAAAAATAAGAATATGGTAGAGCCAAAAGATATCATGTCAAGATCTGAAACAAAACTGGGAAAAGCTATCAGAAACAAGAAGGTAAGATCAGATTGTGAAATGTGCTACAATATTATGTGATACAATACAGTTTTGGTTCAAAATAAATCAATAAATGGAGCCAGGTTCAATTAGACAAAGAAATATATAATAATACAGTTATTTGTGCAAGAATATTTCTTTTCATTGTAGATTGGTTTTTTTATAGTATTCTAAAGTTACATCAATAATTAATAGTATACAAAAAACCATCCCATAGGTTATCTAAACACTTTAATATATAAATATTGACACTCTGCTCTACCAATAAAATGTCTCAAATAGAAATGCCATCTGTTCAAAGAAAGTCTGAAGATTCCATAAGATCATTAAGACATGTTGATTTTAGGCCAATGAAAGTTTTATATAATAATGATTATTCAAACAATTATATTCATTCAAATTCATATCCACAGAAACATGTGACTAATATAGAAAATACAGTTGAAGGCTATCCAAAGCTACAAAAATTGTTTAAAGAAAAATCTAGACAAATTGCTAACTATGCAACAAAGCCATATGGTTGTAAAGTTGATATAGATGAAATGATTCCAACATTAAATAAATGGATACAGAATGATAAACTATCATTTGATGTAGTGATGATTGGATGTCTTACTGATAATCAACTTATTTATCCTCTGCTGACTCAGTTGCCTTTGGATAAACTCATATCAAAACCAGGTTTTTTATTTATTTGGGCAAGTGTTCATAAGATAAACGAGTTAAGTAAACTTTTAAATAACGAAATTTGGGCTAAAAAATTTAGACGGAGTGAAGAATTAATATTTGTTCCCATTGATAAAAATTCTCCATTTTACCCAGGACTAGATGTTGATGATTCATCAGTCCTAGAAAAGATGCAATGGCACTGCTGGATGTGTATCACTGGTACTGTTAGACGTTCTACTGATGGACATTTAATCCATTGTAATGTTGATACCGATTTAACTATTGAGACTAAAGAGACATGTAATAGCGCAGTGCCCTCCCATCTATATAAAATTGCAGAAAATTTTTCAACTGCCACTAGAAGACTGCATATTATACCAGCTAGGACTGGGTTTGAGACTCCAGTTAGGTTGAGACCTGGTTGGGTGATTATGAGTCCAGATATTTTGATGAATAATTTCAGGCCTAAGAAATACAAAAGTGATATTGCAAAGATTGGTTATAATGTCCCATTAAAAAATGAGATTGAGATCCTTAGACCAAAAAGTCCTGTGTCTAAATAATATCCTCTAAAATAGATAACTTATTCTTTTCTACGAAAATTAATATTGAAATTACTGACTAAATATTGATAAATGAACATTAAGAGAGTAAGTATCATTTAAAGTTCCTATCTTAGTGGGGAAATGGCAATATTTAGTAGCATAAACAGTAAATATTGCTAAAAAAAGAAAAATATTATCAATATAATTTTATCATCGTCAAATAGGCTAATATATATCTGCATAACTGGAAGTAGGAACGCAAAGTTAATATAAGTAAACTTACAATTACATTAATACTCATTGGAAATGTCTAATATTAGGAATTATATAAATTTGGTGAAGTAAGTGCATTGGGTTGTATAAACAGAATAATCAAAGGACTGGAGAGAAATCAAGAAGAATAAATAACAGGAGATGCAAAAATAAACAAAATAAACAAAATAAACAAAATAAACAAAATAAACAAAATAAACAAAATAAACAAAATAAACAAAATAAACAAAATAAACGAATTTGCCGTAAAATCAAAACTTTTTTCATAGCTTAATATCTAAAAAAAATTTAAAGATTCAAAAGACAAAAAAATTTTAGTTGACTGTGTAACCATTCATCTTTTATTTTTTTAAGTATATATAGAGTAAGAATATTTTGTTGATTGAAATTAATAAAACAATACAAAATTTTACTTCTTCTTAAGTTGAAAATAATAGTGTCTAGTTTTTTTTTAATAAAAAAACCTCATTAATTGGTTTCACTATTTTTTTTTTAAATAAATGTTGCAAACCATGTAAATATCTTAATTTGGAAATAATGTCATATGCAACGAAATGTATTAAAAATTAACATTGTTGATTTATATATACAATAGTGATTTGTGCTATTTTATTGAAACATCTGTATTTGGTTCTCCCAAAAAAGAAATTGTTATTCTTCTTTGAAAATTGAGGATTTTTAAAAAATTTTCAGTAAATATTATTCTGAGAAAGCACGAATATTTTCATGTTTATTCTTTCATAATTTGAAGAATATTTATTATTATTCAATGCAAAATGGGAAAACATTTTCCAGTTATTATAATTGGAAAAATAGAACAATTTTATTTGTAATGTAAAATAAACAAATTATTTGCTACGAACTATTTGCTTGTAAAAATATTTTTTTAGTCCATATTAGTTTGTACTCTTAATAAGACATACGTCTTATATAAATAATTTATTCGGCTAATTAGAAGTATGCGTAATATACAATTCATAGTAGACAAGATATTCTACACAATATAATTTATTGAGATTATAGAACATTTGAAGAAGCAACTTTACTTATATATTTCTAATCTGGATAAAGAAGTTGCAGTATATCATTTTATCTATGTTGTATATCTTCATATTTTGTTTATCTACTAGAAAAAGATTAAAGCGGATTCCTTTTAATCAATGCATATTAGAATGACTATTTTATAATAAATAATATTGAATATAGCCAATATGGCTCATGACATTATGACCTAGTACAAGGCAAATCTGACGTATAAAAAAATCCTTCATTCAGAGAAATTACTAAATATTTATAAACTAAATAAATATCGTTAAAAAACCCCAGTTCCCCAAACAATTTATCTTTAATAAATATTTTATACTTTAATCCTGTTCTGATGTTCCTCTGGCTGAATAATATTAGTATACATGTTCTTAGCGTCGGTGATCATACAATATGTTATTATTGTGTATTATTATTATATTGATATGTAGTGTAATTTTCCCTCAATCTCTTGATTGGGAATTAATAATTATATAAATATACAAGAAACATAAAGATACGATGTATATATATTATTCATCCAGATTGGAAAATTAATAAGTAAAGTTGTCTACTTATATATGTTTACCTTTTGGCAATTTTTCATAATATATTAATTTATTTTGATTCTGTTTGATCTTATCTCCATAACGTTGAATGTGCAAAACAAACATTTTTCTTCTTTGATATATTTACATGTTACTCAAATCGGTAATATATCAATCCAGCAGATGTTATTGTAACTGGAACATAATGTAACCTTAAATATAAAGTATGTCAAAATGTTTTTCCCACTAATTACATCATAAATGACAGGGTATAAGCAATCAACTGTAGATTAACGGAATAACTTTTCTTTTTATAGAATAAAATTTTTGTTTTCATTGGTGTTTATGTTTAAAGGAAGTATATTGTGTTTTTATTTATGTTGAGGGTAAAATGATATTATGCTTGGTAAATTTGTATTTCCATTTATAAGGTGATCTTCAACCTGATAATTTCATGTTAATTCATTTTGAATAAAAACTCCTGATTGAAGTTAGTTAAAAAAATAATAATATGTTGAATCATATTTACAGTTTATAAAAACCATACTTACTAAGTAATAGTGACAGTTAAGAAAGAATTTTTTCTTTTTTTTCATATATAATATTATTATTAAGGTTTCATTAAGAAATATTTAGACAAAAAGGAATTTGAATTTTTTGAAAATACATTTGAGTAGTATATTTGGATGTATTTTATAGTCATATACAGATTTCTATTTTTTTAGGTTAAAAGATTTGTTTATTATTTTATAATAAGTTCTATTTCTTAAGAAAGGTTCGATTTGGAAAAAATTGAAATAAATGTAAAATATCAAAAAAAAAAAAGATATTATTTCAAACAAAAATTACTAAAATAAGGCATACTAGAATAAAATAGATAGAACAATGAAATTTCAATAAATATTAAAAAAGTAAAATATTGGATATTTATTCTATACAGATCATAAAACCTTGATAAAATTATCTGATAAATTTTTTACTATTCATAGAAATAAAATACTTAATATTAACATATATAGAGCTAAAAGTTTCCTTCTATTATTTTATTTTATTTTATCTACTACTTTTGATTATTATTTCTATCTTGTGTAAAAAAAATACTCAGGAAAAAACTTTAGTCTAGTTTTTGATACTATTAACTACGTAAGAATTATAGAATATAACTAAGAATGCACTCACTTTATCCAAGATATGCAAGTGCTAATTCTCAACAAAAAAATAAAACCCTCCACATTTTTGACAGTGTTCAAACCACTCTCAAAAATACAATAAAATATGATAATTCAACTCATTATGAATCAAAAAGTTTTTATACTTTTTATATATTCCCAAAATGTTAACTAAAAAAATGCAATCCCATTTATCAACTTCTTTATATCTTCTACAAAAACAAATAATATATTACACAAAACCTATCCACCTTCTATAAGTCACCAGCTACTTTCTTCCAATCATTCGATGATCTTAAAAATGGTAGCGTTAAGATTTCCTTTCTATCAAATATTTGTTGAAATAAGCTTTGACTAATATCATAGATTAATATTTTTGATATAATTTCCCTAATAACATTTTAAAAGCCAGAATAATTAAATACATACAAACTCAGGTATCTACAGTTGAACATTACTTATCTTGAATTTTTTTCCTAGCACTTCCTGCATCTCATTTTGTATATAAGATGAACTTATATTATCTCGAAAAATATATACTTTTACACGAAACACAGATTAAGAATTTCGAAATATGACGGAAAAAATTAACTACATTAACAAAGATTGATAAAAACAATATGAGATTCTCGTAGATATGCGGGTAACCTTCCTATAGTCAATTTTTCTCCAGAATAAAATTTCTAATATTGCGATGAGCATCTCAAAATTTCATAAAAAATATATATATTCATTAAGGAACTATAAAAACAAAACACTAAAATAATATTATTTTATATCATGGTGATCAGCTTTTAAACAAAATTAACCTAAAGATTCAACAACAACCAAAAAGAAGTTCCAAATGGGTAAGACTCAAAAAAAAAATAGTAAAGGTCGTTTAGATAGATACTATTATTTAGCCAAAGAGAAAGGTTATCGTGCCCGTTCTTCTTTCAAGATTATTCAAATCAATGAGAAATTTGGCCATTTCTTAGAAAAATCAAAAGTGGTTATTGATTTATGTGCTGCGCCAGGTTCTTGGTGTCAAGTTGCAACAAAATTATGTCCTGTAAATTCCTTAATTATTGGTGTAGACATTGTTCCTATGAAACCTATGCCAAATGTCATTACTTTCCAAAGTGATATTACTACTGAGGATTGTAGATCTAAATTAAGGGGTTATATGAAAACATGGAAGGCAGATACTGTCTTGCATGATGGTGCTCCTAATGTGGGTTTAGGTTGGGTTCAAGATGCTTTCACTCAATCTCAACTGACTTTACAAGCTCTAAAATTAGCCGTTGAAAATTTGGTAGTTAATGGTACTTTTGTGACTAAAGTTTTCAGGTCGAAGGATTATAATAAATTAATTTGGGTGTTTCAACAATTCTTTGACAAGGTAGAAGCCACAAAACCTCCAGCATCAAGAAATGTGTCTGCAGAAATTTTTGTCGTGTGTAAAGGTTTTAAGGCTCCTAAAAAAATTGACCCAAGATTACTAGATCCAAAGGAAGTCTTTGAAGAATTACCAGATGGTCCACAGAATATGCAGGCTAAAATCTATAATCCCGAAAAGAAAACTAGAAAGAGAGAAGGTTATGAAGAGGGTGATAATTTATTATATCATACTACTCCAATCATGGATTTTATTAAAACAGACGATCCAATTAATATGCTTGGTTACATGAATAAATTTGATATAATAAATGATGACCATGAATGGAAAATTATCAAAAAGATGAAACAAACCAATAAAGAATTGTTAGCTTGTATTGAAGATTTGAAAGTCTTGGGTAAAAAAGATTTTAAAATGATATTAAGATGGCGTAAAAATGCTAGAGATCTTTTAGGTTTAGATAAAGAAGAAGAAAAGGAGGCAATAATGGAAACTCCTTTGACTGAAGAAGAGCAAATTGAAAAAGAATTACAAGAATTACAGGAGAAAAAACGTCTACAATTAAAACGTGAGAAGAGAAAGAAAAATGAAAGCAAACAGAAGGAAATAATTAGAATGCAGATGAACATGTTAACACCTAGAGATATTGGTATTGAAGCTGCTAATGTTGGTAAAGATTCTTTATTCAACTTAAAATCCGCTGAGAAGACTGGTATATTAAATGAATTGGCTAAAGGTAAAAAGAGAATGGTTTTCACCGAAGGTGAATTAGCTAATGATAATGATATTCATATAGATGATACAGAAGTCTATGAATATGATAAGTATGTTGAAACTGATAACTTAGAAGCTCAATTAGATTCCATGTATGAAAATTACAAGGCTAGAAAAGCCGAAAGAAATGCTAATTACAGAGCTAAAATGGCTCGTGGGGGTGACGATGACGACGAATGGACAGGCTTTACTGATGAAACAAAGAATGAGGACACAACTAATGAACAACAAAACGATTATATAAATGATGATGACGATACTGAATTATCTGATTCAGATGACGATGAAGCAATTAATAATTTAATAAGTAGACTAAAGGGTAAGTCTGGTGACCATAAATTGAGTCAAAAGGCTCGTATGCTTTTCAATGATCCTATTTTTGATGGTGTTACTGCAGACCTAGCCATTCCAAGAGAAGAAGGTATATCCTCAGAATCTGTTGGTGATACATCAAAGATCAATATGAAGAGAACTTACGATCAAATGAAAGCTGATAATAATTCTACGGTGACAAATAACAAGAATAGTGATGAGGGTAAATTATCAGGTGAAAGCAATGATTCATCTGACAATTCTGATTTTGAAATTGTAGCTAATGAAGACTCTGATTATGGAGATATTGACTCTGATTATGAGTCTGAAGAAGAATTAAAATTATCATCTAAAGCTAAACATGCAAGAGACTTAGATATTGCTACTGCAGAGGCTATGACTTTGGCACATCAGCTAGCATCTGGACAAAAGACTAAACACGATTTAATAGATGAAGGTTTTAATAGATACACATTCCGTGACACTGAAAATTTACCTGCATGGTTCATTGAAGATGAAAAACAACACTCTAAAATTAATAGACCAATTACTAAAGAGGCTGTATTGGCATTAAAAGAAAAGATGAAAGCATTAAATGCTCGTCCAATTAAGAAAGTGGCCGAAGCTAAAGCCAGAAAGAAGATGCGTGCAGTGGCTCGTTTAGAAAGAATTAAAAAGAAAGCTGGTTTAATTAACGATGATTCAGATAAATCTGAAAAGGATAAGGCAGATGAAATTGCTAAATTGATGCGCAAAGTATCCAAAAAGCAAAGGAACACGCAGAAAGTTACATTGGTGTATGCTACAGGTAAATTCAAAGGTCTATCTGGTAGGCCTAAAGGTGTTAAAGGCAAATATAAGATGGTTGATGGTGTGTTGAAGAATGAACAAAGAGCATTAAGACGTATTGCTAAAAAACATCACAAAAAGAAAAAATAAATTAATATATACCAAAATTAAAATAGCATATTATTAAAAAAATCATTATTCTATCGTTGTTTTCCATATCCATATCCATATCTACATATCCATATATATATATAAATTTAGGGAATCGACCGTTGTACATTATATACAGTTATATTGACTTTTAAAGTATACAAAATTTTAAGTGGGAGAGATAAACAAAATCAAATTTTAATTAAAACAAATTTATCTCAACTTTATCCTATATCCACGTGTCTATATAAACATGCACACATATATATTGTTCATTCATGTTTATATTTTTTAGTTGGTATCTTTTTAGGGATAACTTTCCAAGTTAAGTAAATGATTGAAAACAATAAAGTCAATCCAGTCAACAACTGAATCTTATTAAAATCAGTATACCCAGGTCTTGGAATCGGCACGTTTAATGTTGTTGAATAGAGTAAATCGAATTTGGTATCATCTGTAAAAAAGGATTCTAATCCCAAAGATTTAGAATAAAAAGGATTTTTAACAATATCTAAAGCGTTTTTATCACAAGCCTTAAACACGATTGGATCAAATGTAGCATTAAAAGTAGAAGGGTATGGAGTAGTAATATTTAGATATCTTGAATGTAAAATAAGTTCATTGACTTGCCCAGGTTCTAATTGGTAGAGAAATTCTGAACCCCATGATCTTTGAACTAATTTATATTCAGGTAATTCCAAATCGTCTTCACCAAATACAAAGATTGGATCAGATTGAAATTTATCTATAAATAATTCTAAAGGTAATTGAGAGAATAAATAATATTGACAATTTGTCTGTACTTGATGATAATTGGATAAATCTATTAGAATTTTTGGATGTAAACCGATTGGTTCTTCCAATTGTACTTGTAAAAAGGGATTCTTGTATTGTTTAGTTATGAATGGTTTATAGAAAAGAGAAGTTTTCAAACATGTTTGAATCTTATCAGTTTGATTCCAAAGACACCTTAACCCAGATATATTAGTGTCGATGTCATCAAAAGAATCGATATAAAATAAACCAACCTCCAAATTGGATATTGTAGTAGTATTATTATTGTCACTACTACTACTACTACTACTACTATTATTATTATTATTTTGTTGAATAATCAAAAGATCATTTGGCTCTAATACCTCGTATTTATTAATTTCTGTCATGTTAGAATTCTTTAAGATATCGAATTGGGTCTTTAAAGTAAAATCGTTTGGATCAATTAAATTTAATTCAGTATCAGATAATATGTTTGGAAATAAGTCATATAAAGGAGTATTAGAATGTAAAAGGTTATATTTGGGCGTTTTTATTAATGGATAATCACTTAGAGATGTTATATTGGAATTATTTACATAGACATTAAAGCCAGTGTTAATGATTGAATCTAATTGATTGTGAAATGGTTCGGTGGCGTTATGATCGTCATCATCATGGGTATCTATGAACGATCCTTTATCCTTCCAAGTGATACGAACCAAGTGATTCGAATTGTTTTCTTCTATGTTATTGTTTATTATTGTCCATCTAGTTTGAATGAAGACTTTATTTTGGTTTTTTATAATCAACTGAGCATCATTTCTCGTTAAACCCTCCACGATGTCCTCTGGGGTTTGAAACAGTAGCGTAATTCTCTTCTTTAAAACAGACATGATATAATATATTTATATATTTATATATACACATATACACGCCATTGATAGACGTATAGACCAACAATAGCCTATACCAAAGTTCAAATACATTTGAGTATCAAAGTACCAAATATAATTGTATTACAAAATACCATAGAATATCTAAAAAACATTTAAGAACTACTACTATGTTACCTACAACCAACAATAAGAAACATAATAAGCAACAACCACTGCTAATGGAAATCTCTTAGGGTATCTCAGGGTTTTTTAGGGTTTAGCAACATGAGGGTTAAAAGCATGTGAATTAGGATTATTTTCATTAAATCCCCGAAAAAAAACCCCCTCGAATCCAAAAAAAAAAAAACAAAAATGAAATTTTTTTCTTTTTTCTTCCTGTCCTCTACTGTTGTCACGTGCTTCTTTTTCCCTCTCCTCCTCCTTTTTCCTCTGTCCCCTTTCTTCGAGATTGTGGGTCTCGATCTTTTTGACGAAGGGAAAGGATCTTCGTTATCTTCAAAGCAAAGAGGCCTAAACATAGGAACCAAAGAAAAGGATCGATCGTTGATAGACACCATTCAAGTTGACATGTGTATGTATCCAATATATCGTTACACATATCTTAACTCGTTGCATTATTCCTTCAATATCTGTATCTATAACATTTTGAATCAACAAATACCCTCCAAGCATAGTTTATTTGTGACACTATTGTACTTGTAAAAGACACTTTGGTTTATCCATCAAAAATTCTAATTGTTCAATAAATAGGTAATAAGTGGTAAAAAGTACACTCCAGACTCCTGTTCTTTTTATCCTCCCTCTTTTGACCTATTTAGAAACACAATTAAACAAATTTAATCAACTACTCTACTTCTTTGTCTTTCGTTTATTTCATTTTATTTTAGGTGTCCTTCATTCCTTTTATCTTACTTATTCAATATTTTTTCAGGTTGTTAAATAATTTGTTTTGTATATACCACAATCACCACCACTATCGCCACAATAATAGTAATAACAATAAGCTATTAAACTCTATTAGATTACCTATATATACGCAACAACCCTATGGCAGAGACCCAAAACTTAACTATTCCTGATGTTCAACATTCAGTCAGCCACCTAGCTACCCCTTCAAGAAGAGGTCATCGTCATAAAAGATCCTTTGCCATTTCTGGGGATTTCGAATTTTTAAAACAACCACCACCTTCACAACCTTTTTCCTTTTCTCCTGTCTCAAAGCATATAACAAATGATCCTACTTTAGTCCCTCCTCTCCCGACATTCATTTCCTCTGAAACATATAAAATGAAAAACAATACTCCTTCTAACCCCACTATATTATATTCTCCTTTACAATCCAATAAAATATCCGATCCAGAGTCTCAAAATCTATTGAATCCTACAACTACACCAAGAAAAAAGAACGATCTATTCAACCAAGCAAGTCCCAGATTCTTCATCAGCGAAGAACCTAAATTTTCTTCGCCTATTAAAGGTGTCCCTGATGCAATCATTAACCTGGACGACGTTTTAAAAACTAGGCCAAGGTCTTTCAAATCTCACAGAAGAACAGAATCTGCTCCTGCAGGTCTAGAAATTATATTCGATTCGTCTGACCCAATAGGTATCAATAGCAATAGTAGTGGCAATATCGGTTGTGACAGTAATCCAATTGAAGAAGAAGAAGATATTGACAGCAACGAACAGAACAATTTGCCAAACAATAATATCACTGACATAAACACGTATAAATATAGGTATAGATCAAATTATACACCTTCAAACAAGGATACGGCCAGTAAAGATGGAAAAAATGTACCTACTGTATTAATGTCACCAATGAGACCATCATCTCCCATATTCCAATCAATATCAAGAAATGTTAACACTAGTCCAATCAGAAATAATGCTAATTCTGAAACAAGTGATACTTATAATTCATTGAGAATAAAAGGTCAAAAACAAAGATATTACCATTACACCAAACAATTGAATATTCCCAATAATATAACAAGCCCTCTATTGATTCCTGCATCACATGGAAATAATTTGAAATTCAAACCAAACAATAATAGTACCACTGCCAATGCCACTACTATTCAATCTCAATCATTAAAAGAACAGTCGTCTATGAATTCTTTGACTTCCAATTCCTCAAAGACACCTTTATCCCCGGCAAATACCCCCTCTTTACAACCATATAATACACCTTCCACTCCAATATCATACTCTGAACATAAGAAATTATCTTTTATAGAATCACATAACAGCACTAATACCACCAATAATAACACTGGTAATGTATCATATAGAATTCCTCATAAAAAATCATGGACTGATCAAACAAGACGTCAAATGAGTCCCAGCAACTTCTATGGACAACAACAACTACAGCATTTGGCTAAAGGGTTCTCACAATCATCACATACCAAACATTTGAATAATGATACCAACACAATAAAATTGGCAAATACTGGAACACCAAACTCTTTTAATTTTGAAAGTAAAGTTTATGACATTGAATATAACAATGAAGATAGTCTTAACCAAGATAATGGGAAGTCATCCAATCAGACTCAAGAGATTATAATCGACAAGATATATCAAACTAACTTCACAGATACTGATGAAACAGATATACTAAATGAGACTAATAGATTTATATTATCAGAGGACATATTGTTAGGTGAACCAGGTGATGCTGTTGATTTATCTTCCACAGGATACGATCAATCAGATAATACTAATACTAATACTAATACTAATACTAACACCAATACCAACACCAACACTAATTCTAATAATAACATAAATCGTACAAAGCAGAATACAAAAAATACCAATGCTGCAAAGATAACGACGACTACCAGGATGTATAATCACGAATTAAAAATCGATTCAACAACGTCTTCAATAAGCAGTAAACCTATTGACAAAAATACATCAAATGCAAATTCAACCATTGATAGAGCTATACAATCGCCACAATCATCTGAATCCAGAGTTTCAAAATCAAAAGAAGCCACAACACCAAATTATGATTTACGTAAATTTGAAATTAGAAGTATAAGTGATGGCATCGTGCAGTTAAATATAAATAATACTGAAAATGAACAAGAAAAAAGATACCGTAAGAAAAAATCGAGACTAAGTGTACTTATCAACAATTTATTTAAATAATGCGCCATTCTGTGTTTCAAGCAAAAAAGAGTCTTTACACAACTTCTTATACATTAATACACACACTTACATATATAATTATTTACTAACATGTGTACATATGGATGCAAAAAACAAACAATAAAAAATGACGTTTAAAATAATATATTTACCACAATGCTCTTTTTTCTTTCTTTCTTTCTTTCTTTTCTTTTTTCTTTTAAATAGTAAATATCACTTCTCATCAAAATGTTTGGTGTTTCAATTTCATAGCATTAGGAAACCCACATTCCAACAATAATGTATCTATTATATCAGGATTCTCTTTAACTTTCAGTAAAGTGTCTTCTTCTTTAATAATCACCAACCCTAGATAACCAATGGAATTAAACCCAACCGGCAAAGTTTGAGCTCTAATACTAGATCTTGGAACAAGACACATCCACTCTTTTGTAAGAATGAAATTATAACTAACTGGGGGTTCATTTTTTTCATTATTATCTTTTACAAATGCTAAAATATGCTCGAATAGAGAAATGTAACAAGTCATCAAATATTCTTCTGTAGGTAATTCAGGTAAAGGAACTACAAAATGTGCAAAGGATACAAATTTATCTTGCAAGGGTGGTAGTTTCATACTAGGTAAAAATGGTTCGATATCATTACATAGTCTATCTTGAAATGGCACAAACCCATCTAAGAATTGCAACAATTGTAAATGTTTATGATTCTGGGATGAACCGGACTCTGGACCACAATTAAAAATAATAAAGTGTCTTTCTGTAGCTGTATCAACTTGTTGAAGTAAAGCGTAGCATTTACTCAAATCTGATGGAATTAGCATATCATTTTGGTGTTTGTAAGCATTTGTAATCAGTAGTGAATGATTTGGCATTATTGGAAATTTGTTTAGGACCAATTTGTATTCCCTTTCAACGACATCCATATCTTGTAAAACCAATAATTCTGGTTCATGTTTACCTAATGGATCAGAATTTGCTGGCGTGTCACCTTTTTCAGGTTTTGTAAGCAAAGTAGGAACAAACCTGATCCAATACATCATCCCATTCTCGGAATTACATTTTGTGGACGTATCCCCATCATTGAAGAACAATGCTTTATTTTCACGTGCCTCTGCGTATTTTGACTGTATTAAACCCTTAATGTCTTTAGCCAACATTTATATCACTTTTCCTCTTTATAGTGATACTGTAACTGATCTTGATCTCAACTAAACATATTAGTTCAATTTCCAGATAAAAAACCAACCAACCAACCAACCAACAAACAGACTGCAATTTAATGCGTGTTTGAATTTAATCTAAGAGATTGCAGTCCAGATTTGCTTTATTCTTCATAATAAATTTGATGATATAGCTGTTATTTTTTTAAATGGGGGAGGAAGGGGAATGCGTACACTAAGCAGAATGAGACATTTTTTTCTTCCATTTTTTTCTTCCATTATTTTTCACCTATAGGTTTGTGTTAAGTCAGAGTCTTTGAGTTGTAAATCAATTTTTATAAATGAGTTATAAGAGATCAGAAGTAGATCAAACAACTGTTCGACATTATAGTTTTTTTTTTATTCGCGTTGTGTCTGTTTTTAAATTTCCTATTTTGTACACAAACAAAGAAAGTGACATCGAGGCAGGAAATGTCTCAGTGCAAAATTTGAGAGCGGGATTATATCGAGAATTTTGTTTGGAAAGATGAAACACAAATAAACAAACAAACACGAAAAACAGTCTTGTTTATATTTTTCTGTTTCAAGAAATATCCAAAACAAAAATACTTTTTCTTTTTCTTTTTTATAATTTAGAAAATAAATCCCAAGGTGCCCTATTACTAACAAGTATTAGTCGTAGTATTGCTTTTGAACCTCCAACATGTTGTGTGCAATACAATGATAAGGAATAATATAATATCCATCAATGCTATGCACCCTCCTACTTCAATTTTGTCATTTAACTACATCTTCACAAAAATAATCCATACTTTGTATGCCGTAATTAACTATTATTATTGAATGAAGGGAAAAAACACAAAATAGAAAGGTTAAATTTACTGTGCATACATGTATAAATGACTATTTTTATTTTGGAGTAAAACATAAATACAACACGTCAATTTGAAAATTTTGCACTTAGCAATATTTTAGACACGAGCTTTCTTTCTTTTTTTTTCCTTTTTTTCTTTTTTTCTTTTTTTCTTTTTTTCTTTTTTCCTTTTTTTCTTTTTTTCTTTTTTTCTAGAAGAATAGAACAATTCCAAAAGAAACGGAGTTAACAAGATTGAATAAATAAATATAAGAATTTTTGATTTGTCTTCGCCTTATTTCCATTTTTTTTCTTCCTATTTCTTTTTCTTTTTACAAATAGCGAAAAAAAAATACAATACAATAAATCGGACAATATAGTAGAATAAAAAACAACTAAAAATTGAGAAAAGCAAAGCGGGGCAATAGCCACATACTACATATAATTTCCATTAAAAAAGAAAAAAAGTTAAAATCCCAAAATGAAAACAAGCAAAAAGAAAAAAAAGTAAATAATATAGAAATAACAAGAGCTTAGAAAAGTTGAGGACAATTGGATTTTTTTTTTGCTATCCAAGCCAAAAAACAATAGACTGATGTTAGAACACGTAAGGACATATACTAGCAACCACCAAAACTGATCAGCTAGGACATATGTACAGAGAAATATTCTTTCTACTGTAACAATATAGACCAGTTGTCTATAGACTTACCTTCCATTATTTTATTGATAGTAAATGGGACTAAACTTAGAGGGGAATTATCGTTTATATTATATGACCCTACTCAATAAGCAAATATAGTTATTATTCATTGTTATTTTACCTTCTGAGGAGTAAAAAAAAATGAAAAATCTTGTTATTTATCAATTTTACAAGTTTCAGAAGTAGCAGTAGCACAATTTTTTTTGTTTTCTTTGATAAAATGACAAAATAAAAGAGTATTTTTATTATGTTCAGTAGAGACACTTGACTCATAAACTGTACACACTTATTTGACTTACAAAATAAAAAGAGTGATTATTCATATATGGAATAATATTATGAACAAACATCTCAGAATGAAGATTCACAGTGTCTTTAGTATTATCGACAATAGTATCAAAATTAAGATAGAGAATGTTTTAACCCTTTATTTTCTTATTTTTGTTCTTATTCTTACACTTTCTTTATGAAGTTGCCTATAAAAAAAGGTAGGTAATGTACATAAGTAATAGGCATTCTTTTTTATTTGATTCAAAGTACAGTATGGATAGAATGTATTTTACTAGCAGAACCCCCCTCCTATTGGAATAACCTCTAAAAATAGTCATGAAAGAATGAAAAAAAAAAACAAAAGAATTAAGTAAATGTACGTATAACTAATTGATACAACTAAGTTAACAATACAATTATACTAAAGCAGCAATATCATTTCAGGACATCACTACCTTTAAAAACTATCAAATTAATGAACTCCGTAAATATCCCTTTTTTTTTGATTTTATTCTTTGTTGGTTGCTTTCCTTCAAAATGCTCAGAAATTAGAGTCGATTTCTACATTTATTCATATTTTGTGGAGAGAAAAAAAAAGATGATGTATCAAACTGAATGGAAAGTAATAATTAAATCCTTTTTGCATGCACGCCATCATTTAACAAAATAAACTGGATTTTTGATTAATTAATACATAATTTCCTCAAATAGTAATTTTGATCGATGGGTTAAACCAAGCATTTTATTAATTAAACACGAAAATTAAAGGGAGAATTTTGAACTGAGGGGAGTGACTCAGAAATTAAAAAAACCCTTTTTTTGTTTTTGTCTTTCTTACTGACAAAAAAGAAAAAAAAATTAATTTAATATTTTCTTATTGCCGTTACTTGAAAAGGCCTTGAAAATCAAAAAAAAAAAAACATAAAAAATAAGAATTTTTTTTTCATTCCAGATAGGTCTTAAAAAAATTAAACACAAGAACATAAATAATACACTCCTACAAATACAGGGCAATAAAAATATCTAAAAAAAATAAAGATTAGAAACCTTCAAATTTTTATTACTGTACATAAAAGAAAAATTAAAAAAAACATTATAACAAACCTCTAAAGTCACTTTTCTTCTCATTAAAAATGTTAAGACAAATTTAGATAAAAAAAATCATATTTGTTATAAAGAATCGACTTGAAAGTTATCTTTTCAAATAAGACTTCTTTAATATAAATCTAAATCCTTTTTAGGTTAGAAGGGGGAAAACGAATACACCCAAGCTTACCATGTTTTTTTACCTTTAGGGTTTCTTCAGAAAAAAAAGCAAAGAATCCTCTACTTATTCCACCAATATATACACCTCTTTATCCCCTTTTGAAAAAAAAAAAAAAGAAAATTTGATATTCCCAGCATCTAATTTATTAATTTTTCGTGTCCCCTTTATTCAGAACAGCCTCCCCCAAAAAAAACAACCTTTGCTTGCTCAAAACAATGAGATTTTCTATCCATCTCCCCTTTTGAGGAAACCACAATTTCTTTTGAGACAGAGACACGTTTTCTATTGTATTGTCACGCTGCTAATAAAATTTCCTACTAATTTTCTGTTTAAAAATTCGATGTACTTTCCCCTTTCAAAAATTAACTACGCGAAATATCGATACGTCGGGACAATAATGTTCTAGACTCCCAGACCCTGCAATTTCCTAAATAGAAAACAAAATTCCTCAATCTTTTTCTCAAACTTACTTTTTTATTTGTCTTCTTCATGTAAACAAACAAAGACAATTCTAGAAAACAATAGAATTTTGCAAAGACAAAAAAAACAAAAAAAAAAGAAATTCTCCCTTCTGTTTTCGGATAAGATGATATCGTTGTTATCGAGCTTGGTGTTTAAATGGCTATACAATTTTGTGTTACACACAATCTCATTTATTTATTTATTTTTTTTTTAGTATATAAGAAACAGTATATTTGAGCACACTCCAGCAGTATCGCTTGCATCTCTTCTTCCCTTTCAATACGTTAACTAATTTTGTTCCCTCTGCCTCTCTTTGCCTCCATTGTCCATTCAGACACAAAGCAAACATAAACACACGTACACAAGAATACAAAAGATAAAAAAATGCAATTCAAGACTATCGTTGCTGCTTTCGCTACCGTCGCTGCTGTTCAAGCTGCTAAAACCTCTAAGGCCTCTAACGTCACCAACGCTACTAACGCCACCAACGGTACTCACTCTTCTGTCTCTACTGGTGCCGCTGCCTCCAACACCTTAAACGCTGGTATCTTCGGTGCTGCTGTTGCTGCTGGTGTTGCTTTCTTATTCTAAGTTGAATAAATAAGTACTGAGTACTAAATATACTTATAGAATAAGAAATGATACGGCTTTACATTGTTCATTTACTTAATAATTTTCTTCTTTTTGCAAATTTTATTGATATTTTTTTCATCTAATATTCTGGAATAATTTTTAACTTTTCTTATATTATAGTGGACAATTATTAATGGGACTCTTTGATATGTTATCATTTATTTTTTCCAGTGGTCTCAAGGTTACTATAGATATATCTATATATATATATGTAAATGAATTTGTTTGGTAGTGTTGATACTTCAAGAACAATTGTTCTACATATATATATTCATTTTGTATTTATATAATTTTATTTACACATTCATATACGTCTAGTTGTAATTTTTTTTAATACTTAATATTTTTTACGTTATACCTATTTGTTGTTTCTTCATTTTTTTTTTCTTTTATTGACTCTATTTATTAATTTATCTATACACTTCAGTTTTCCGTTCTTTCAAGCAAATAATAATATTACTAAAAACCTATATATCCATATAGTCTATTTCCTCAATGTCAATAATACTTTTCCACGTATATGAATCATAAAAAAACATTATATATATATATATAATGTTCCTATCATATTGACTAGTACATATATCTTGATTAAAGAAAAAAAAAAAGAAATACCCTGTTAAGATTATTACATGTCCTTATTTAATAAAAAAATCGGTACCACAAACTTATTTATGCTTTACCAATCTTCCAGTTAGTCGCAAAATTTGAATAAAGCAATAACACTTTTTGGTTATAGTTACCCGGCACAAAGTCACGAGACTCTATGAGTTTTTCTGACTAACCTCTCTTTGCTTCTATTGGTGTCATTTTTGTCAAGTGACACAAATTATTTAATAACCAATTAATATTAATAAAAACAGAATTTGGTTCAAACTTGTCATTAATTTCAAACTTATTTATTTTACAATCCATTTTTTCTTTTTGACTGTTTTATCTTACACTAATTCAATTATCATTTCTGCTCTAGTATCAAACACTTAGACTAGAAATACAACAAAACAAAATATTTATTCCTAATGAAATTATCAAATATTATTTTACTAAATTTATTTTCATCAACCTCTTTATCATATCTTATCAAAACAGAGAACCTTAACAATATTGAATTGTCTAATTTGGATGTAACCGGTCAGGAAAGATTTAATAACAACCCGCATTATATTCATAATAATAAAAGAACAGGAAATGACACAAAAGATGATAAAGAATCCCAACAAGAAAATACAGTCCAAAACGATGAAATTTTATGTCCAATGGAAAGTCTTATCGTTGAAAGACAAAGTGATTTATCAATATTAGATCATTGCAACACAATCTTTAATGATTTGATTATCACTTCGGAGTATAAAGAAAATGTTTTAGATTTAAAAAAATTAACCACCATTCAAGGCCATTTAATAGTAGACAATTGTGACACTTTAATTAAATTTGTGGCCCCAAATTTACAAAAAATTAATGGAGATTTTGTATTAAACTCTTTAACATCAATAGTAATTTTAGAAGTACCCAATTTGATTGACGTTAATTCTATTCAATGGAAAATTCTACCAATTTTAAATCAAGTTGAAATTAATCCAAATATAATGGTCCGTGAAACAATAATCATTTCAGACACATCCATCTCCAATTTGGAAGGGTTCTATCCAATTAAAGAATTAGACACGTTTAACATCAATAACAACAGGTTTTTGGAAACTATTAAAGCAAGCTTAGTCAATGTTAGAACACAATTTACAATTCATGCAAATTCAAAGGATTTGCAAATTGAATTACCTTTTTTACAAGATGTTGAAAACATGACAATTAGGGATGCACACTCAATTTGGTTACCAAATTTAAAAACTGTCAGAACTAACTTGGAGTTTATTGAAAATGGTTGCGTTGATTTAGATTTAGGAACATTAGAGACTGTCGGTGGAACAGTTGGAATTATTGACAATAACTATTTATCCAAAATGTATTTTAATAATGTAACAGATATTCAGGGTGGGCTAGTCATTGATAATAACCCAAGATTAGAGAGTATTGACACCTTCCAAAAATTGAAAACAATTGGAGGTGCAATTCAATTTAAAGGAAGTTTCAAAGATACAAGTTTTCCTAATCTTAAATTAGTTAAAGGTAGTGCCTTTATTAAATCTTCATCAGCTGAGATGGATTGTAATAAATGGATTAGACCTCTAAATGGCAGATCAATTATTCGTGGGGGGAAAATCAAATGCACGTCACACAAGAAGCAAAATTCTATTAGTTTGGATGAAGATGGTAAGATCATTGATATGCAGCAAAATGAAGTTAGTGATGAAAAAGCCAATGTCACGGTCATTCCAAATACTGCAACAACCAGTCCACATTTAAAATGGGGGCAACTAATCTTTCTAGTAACTTGTCTGTTGATGCTACACCTCTGAATAAAATTTATACAATTTTTTTATTCTTTATTTTCTGTCCAGAAACTTTTTAATATTCATAAGTAGGCACAATACATTGATAGATAATTATATACTTGCTATTAATGCATAATCTATATTGTTTTATTGTTAATACATAAATATATTTGCAAAAATGAAAAAGAGATGCCAAATTAAACATACTAAGCAGAAAATATAGACTTACTTTCGCTTGATTGTATGATATATTCAATTATTTGATTTGGCAACTGTTTTTTCAAGTCATTCAATATTTCCTCATTTAACGATTTTGTTCCATGCAAAGGTACCATAAGCTTTCTAATTTTAGATGATGAAACGTTGATATACTTTGGATTGTTAGATAATATATTAATCTTATGGCCCCATTCTTTTGGTATCAGTGGTTCATATTTACCCTGTAATATGTCTTGCGAATAAGTTGATTGATTTGTAAAATCTTCAGACTCATTATCATTAACATTTGATCTTGTCAAACAACAGAATTCAACATTTTTCATAAAATGTTGCAGTACTACTGCTAGAGCCTGTGGGATATAATATTTTGGATCAAATATTCTTATAATGGTATCAAATCCAACAAGGTAAACAATCACTCCCTGATTGAAAAACTTTTTTCTGATAATAGAATCCTTGTCAACAAATTTACCAAAGATAGTTAATCCAACATAAGTAGACAAACTTTCAAAATTTTTATTTAATAACCTCGACATAATACACATCATGTCCATTCTTTTATCAAAACTTGCCGGTTTTGCCTCTTTATCAGCATTCTGAACCGATAATAGCAATAACACATGAATTTTCTTGTTAGGGTACGACTGAGAATAATATTCATATGATTTCTTGATCAGTGTATAATGACCCCAATGCGGTGGATTAAAAGAGGAATCAAGCACCAAAAGAATAGGGTTCTTTTCACCAGACTCTTCATCTGGTAGTATTCTGTCATTTCCTTCCACAATAGTAAATTCTTGGGTATTCTTATTAATCTCAAAATCTAAATATTTTTGTAAACATGATGTAAAACCAGAGGTTAACTCCATATTATCTTTTTAAAGTCCATGCAGATCCGTTCTGAAACTTATGTACGTTTTATTGGATTGAGTCCATCCAACACTTGAAAGGGCTTTTTTTTTGGAGGCAAGAGTTTATAAAAGCTAGAATCTTTTCTGGCAGCATACAAGAAAAAAAATACAAAGAAAGAAGATATGCACCTTTCACATGATAAATAAGAACTACCACAAAACAAAAGTACTTGATTTTCCAATACTGTTTTAGATAATCCAACAAGTAGGTGTGCATAAATAGTCAGTAGTAAAATCATTCTTTTAATCACTACTGATTACGTAATAAACAATAAGTAATATAAAATCTATTTATGTAAAATGTAAAACAACTATAAATATACAATCAATCTTGTTTATTCATGTACGAGCCATAAACCTTTAATCCTTCTTTTCGTGACATATGGACGCAAAAACAAATATAATAAGAGACATACTAATATGGAAACTACTAATTTACCTGTCTCAAAGTTTGGGTCAAGAACATCGAATGACCCTGATGGTGTAATCCTAGAACAAAATATATCATGCCCAACATCACAGACAATAGAAGTAGATTCTAAATTTGTTGCAATTGAACCAAGTTTAGATAATTTGCCAAACACCAAATCTCTTTTATGAGTAATAACAAACAGATCATTGATTGGGATAGTTGGAATGTATGAACTGGCCATAAATTCCTTTTTATCATCATCAGTCATCTCAGATTCTGTTTTTTTTCTTGCATCAATGATATATTTTGGCAAAAAGGTAATTTGCCCATTTGCTAATTCCAGTATAATAGATTTCGTTGTTATATCAAATTTAGTCTCCGAGATGCTCATCTTGTTAATAATTTCAGGATAATAATATGAGCGTGACATATGCTTTGGTTTGATTGATTGTTTTAATGGATTGAAGTTTTCATTATCAGGATCAGATATTCTTTCATTTGGTATTAAAGATTCGTATAATTCAATAACGTTAATTTTTTGTTCAGGGATAGGTTCTAAGCTAAAATATGAATAGATAACCCAATGCTCACCAATAAGTATATTAATTGGATAATCTATATCAACATACTCCCTGTCATGCATCTGTGATACCAATATTTCACCTTTCAAAGTATCAATAATGTTAATATAAATCTTATTAGTAATTTTGTTAAATACAATATAACTGGCAATATTTGGATATAAATATTTGTAAAGTACAGTTCTATTACCTAAGACCAAACCAGGATTAACTGTCTCAACATCATGTCTATAGGAAAATGCTACAATTTTTTCATTTGGATTATCTAGAGTTATTTGCCATGTTGGAATAACTTTATTTGTGTTATTAAGGACAACATGTCCTTTAATTGTAGTATTATCATGAGTAACAAAAAATCTCGTACTATGAATATTGTTATGTATATTTCTTAATGAAACGATCATATCAATTCGATTAGAATCCATGTCTTTACAATCCAATTGAACATGGTAGGTTTTATCATTATGACTTAATCTATTAATGTCCAATATATTACAATTAGCATTAGGTAATGAATCCTTGAAAGTTCCATTTTGCTTAAAAGTTGGTTCAAGCACTGGCTTTAACAAATTCCATATTTCATAATCACCTTGGTCATTAAATATTATTAGTTGATTCAAAGTTGCATCCCAATCAAAACTTGAAACAACATTAGATAATTTAGATTGAATTGACCAAATTTTTTCACCTCCTCTGTTAATGTCCAATGCAATAAGTTGTCTATTCTGAGTTAGAACAACTAACAATTTCTTAAACCCAAATATTAAATCGTTTGAATTTCTGAGAATTAAGCTTTTTTCACTAGTAACATTTTTCTTTAGATCAATATTAAAAAAATCAGTTATCATTCTGCCTGGAGAATAATGATGAGCTTTAGCATATTTCTTTAATCTATTGAAATTTGTTTTCACCCTAAAATTATAAGCCTGCCAAATATTATTAAAAGTGTTTTCATCATTCAATTCCATGCTAATGGAGTCCATAGAATGATCAATAATATCGACAAACTCGAAGTCCACAATATCTGTTACTGATTCATCCCTATACCATGAATTTGTAGAGATATCATTAGTTAAATTATGATAAAAATAGGTTAAATCATTAGTAGATAATAAAATCTCTAATTCTTCTAAATAGTCGGTCTTTAAATACTCAATACCTTTAAAGTTGCTTGGCAATGGAATAGATATGACTGTCAATTTAGATTCTGGATCAATCACCTTTAACATATTCTCCTCCAAGGTGATCACTATATTTTTATAATTAACCTTATTACAAAGGGAAGGTATAGTGTAATTTACATCCATGCTGGATATTTCTTTTAAATAAATATCTTTATTTAGTATAGAAAGCTGAGATGTAGCATGATCTTCATCATATAAAAGAAGATTTGCCTGTAATTCATCATACTTAACATCTACAATTCTTGAAGCAGTCACCCTTCTAGTTATTAAATTACCGTTGGTACGATTAACCAAAGATAGTAAACTTATATTATCAATATTAGAAACGATCAAAAATAGGTCTTCTTCAATATAATCACCAACAATGCATCTATATTCACCTATTGATTGCAAAGCCCAATCTGTTACACCAACCTCATCAATAAAAACAGCAAAAGTTAATCTTAGAAGTGAGAAAACCAGACAAAGCCAATTAGCCCACCACATTATTAAAGGAATCTGAGGACTAATTATATTCTTTGTATGTGTATATGTATGTCTTTATTATTATTTTATATCAGAGATTATGAGCAACCCGGCTAGATAGTCTATTCCATAAAATGTCCAATATTAAAACTACACTAATTTATTATATAAATTTTCGATAGTTTATGGAGGTGTACTCTAATTGAGTATTCCTACGTATGTTTACCTCTATACTTTTCTATGTACGAGTGAACGTATACAATTTTTCAACTAACCTTATATTTCTCAATTTTTTAGTTTCTTAAAGTTCGAGCAATATTCAAAAACGTAATTGAAAATAGAATCATCTAGAGCCAAATGAAAATGAAGTGAATGAAAGATAACATTAAAAAAGATTGAGCCACCATCTAGAAAACGATGAATAACAGGAAAAAAGCAAGGAGAATATTTGATATTATTTATAAATAAGGAGACGGTAGTTTTATAAACTTTCATATATATTGAATATATGATAATAAAAAGATCACTTAATAACATTATTAATAATAAAAAAGCATGAACACACACATGTACTTATTAACATTGTATTTACTCGTCATTTTTCTTTTTTATTGATGTAGGAATAAATTTAATACTCAAAGATGTGTCTAAAGCCAGATTTATCCATGGATCGTGCAAAGTCCAGATCTCATCTAAATCCAGATTTTCCTTAGATTTCATGGCTGGATCAATAATTATATTTCTAGCTAGAGCTTTTGTAGGAATGCTTGATGACTCTGAATTTTCGTCATTTGAATTAGAATACTCAACAGCATTTACCTTTGATAAACTATATGAATGCTTAAGAAGATGTTCTCTCCAGTTTTGATTTTTTTTGCATAATTCCGTGTATTCTTCTTCCCAACCAGGCCGTATTAAAATAGCATTACTTAAAATACTACTATTCTTGTTATCTATGTTATTATGTCTATTAATTTCCAGATTTTCCCTCATAGATAAATAATATTCTAATAGATCTAAATATTTTCCAAATGACATTGGTTTATAGTCAATAGGACCAAACCATTTAATAACTGGATTAGCTTGTTCCTTTTGAGCTTTAAGGATAGCCATACTTTGTCTCAGTTCAGTGGCATTTAATGTTTTTGTTTGTATATTTTCCCTTTCAGCTGACCCTAGAGAATTTCTATCATTATCATCATCCCACGACATATCTTCTGTATTTCTATTTCCATTCTTATTAATCTGGTCAGTTTTGATATCTAAGCTAGAATTTACAATCTTGACTATTTTTATTGAATCAATGCTTTTATCGTCTTTGTAATAATAGAATTTAATAATATCATTGAAGAATTTTTTATCTCTCATTAATTTTGCTTCATCGTACCAGGGATCAAATGGTAGTAACATTAACCTACAAAACTCTAAACATGATTGTGATAATAAGACAACACCTGTCAATAAAGCACCAATTTTCCTCCAAGTCAAATATCTACCAGACTGGAAACGAGTGGTCATCACTGTTGTCTGTGGATTAGCGAATCTATTCAAACTTGGTGGCAAATTATAATAAGTACTGCTATTACTGAATTTGACCGGCATACGGCTAGTAGTAGATAATTTATGGAACCTATAGAAGGCATAGACACCAATAGCTGTCTGAATAGATAACAGTGCCCAAAGTCCCTTTCTGTTATCTGCGGCAGGAACTAAAGGCCCCCATAATTTTAAACCTAAACTCGGTCTATTAATGAACACTTTTGAATCACTATTTTTGTCATCATTATTCCCATTGCCATCATCAAACAATAAATTGTTATTTGAATTATCTTTGGAATTATTTGACATCTTAGATTGTTTCCCTCCCTCTTGTACTACACAGAATTAAAAAAAAAAAAACAAACTAAAAATCAAAAACTCTTCAAAACAGTAAGATCGTGTATAGAATCTTATAGTTGAAGGCTCTATATATGTTAAGAGTACTCCTCAAGTAGCAAAGGTTACCACCTCAAATATGCTGTTTATCATATATGCTTAAAAATAAACGGCACTTTCATATTAATATTAGAATGAAATTTAGCTTTTTTGTCTATTTATTTATTTTTTTCATTTTCAGCTGATCGTGCTTCATTTAATTGTACATAGAAGACAAGCAAAATCACACACACATGGATACCCATATGTACATTTGCTTAAAAACCTGATAGATTCTTGCATCAGGGTGCAATGATATAGTAGCGAAATATGTTTGTAGAGATTTGACTTACATATATGTTTATATGTTTTAGCTAGAACCAAAAAAAAAAATCTATATCTATATATCAATATATATCTATTCAAATCAGTGTGTGATTTTATGTATATGAAAAAAACAAGGAGAGTTAGAAGTTAGGAAATGACTAAGGGAGATCCTCACAATTCATCGTGAACGTCGGTTTTTTCAGTTTCATCTTCATCATCTTCTTGTTCTTGTTCTAATTCTTTAGCTTCTTGATACTTTTCATAAATACCCTTACCATCAACATCGTTACCACCGTTTTCGTGAATAAATTCCAAGAAGGATTCTAAAGTTCTAGAGCCACTGTAAGTGACAGGTTCGGAATTCTTACCAGCTGGATATAGGATGATGGTTGGGAAACCTTCGATATCTACAGAGGCAATATCGTTGGCAGTTGCGTCGACTTCTGCAATAAGGACCTTCTTGTTAGCCGACTTATCAAAGGCGTAGACATCAGCTAATTCTTCGTAGACTGGGGCCAATCTCTTACAGTGACCACACCATGGAGCGTAGTATTTGACAAGAACATCCTTCTTTGGATCATTAACGATCTTTTCGTGGGTGGTAGCAACCAATTTGAAGACATTAGCTTCTTGTTCAGTTGGTTCAGGTTCAGACTTGATAGTTGGTTCCAAAGAACCCTTTAGGAATTGTTCTACATGTTTAATGATATCTTTAGATTTAATGGTGTAAGGTTTCTTTAGAGCCAAGAATTCCTCCTCAGCCAATTGAGGCAAAGCATATTTAAAGTTGGAGGTCAAATTGTGGATAACGAAGGCAGGGAATTGTTGTTTAATGTTGACATTTTCGGCGTGTCTTCCGAACTTAGTTGAATCCAAACCGACGAAATTGATTTGGCCTCTATATTTGGTGGCCAAGGAAACGAAGTCCTTGACATATTTCTCTCTTTCCTCTTGTGATGTGTAGAAGAAGTAAGCCAGTGGCAATTGAGATTCCATATATTGTTGGAAAGTTTCACCGTTGATATCACCGAAGAATGGGATAGATTGGGTCTTAATCCAGGAGACCAACTCGGATTGAAGGTCTTCTGCGTCCTGCTTAGCCTCAAAGACGAAAGGTTTGAAGTTTTCTTTGGCATCAGCCAAGTACAATTCCAAACGACCTGAAGTCTTTTCGGAGGAGACGTTCTTCAATGGTAAAGAGATGAAAACAAAATCGTCGAACAACTGGTCAGCGACGTCGTGGAAAGTTTGGTTCAATTGTAAGTCAGAATTGACGATGACAGGTAGTGTTGAGTCTCTGATGAACTCCTTGACACTTTCTGTGGAGTTGAATAGGTTGACGACTGGCAAGGAGTGTTTAATCATTGTGTTGACGATGGAGTCGTTTGTACGAGCGCCGAGATAGTCCTTTGAAAACCCGTTTTTATAGATCTTTAGAGTTGGGTAGCCAGGGATGTTTAAATCACGGCAGAATTCTTGGTTTGCCTCACAATCCAATTGAACCAATGGGATATTTAGATCAGATAAAGTTTCTGCGGCCTTGACGTATTCTGGACCTAGTCTTTTACAGTGACCACACCATGGAGCGAAGAACTCTGCTAAGAATAGGTCATTGTCCTTAACAAACTGGTCGAATTCATCAGCATCAGAGATTTTCACAACTTTTGAGTCATCTGGAGCAACAGCAGATATATCACCAGGTTGAGAAAGAACACTATCGACCAACAAGGTGGCCAGTGTAAATAATACAGATTTAGAAAATAACATTTCTTTTTTTTTTTTTAAATTTTAATAATATTATGTTATTTTAATTTTTTACCTTATTATATTTCCTTGATAAAAATAGGAAAGAAACAAGCAAACAGGAGGGAAAGACTACTAATGTCAACTAGAACCCTCACAAGCAATGTATAAATAGCTAAATATCATATGTATGTATATATACATATATGAACGCATGTGTGAGTGTATATATATATATATATATTGTAAAATTGATAGGTCGAAAGGCGTTTGGGATAAGATGGAGAGATAAACACAAAGAATTTGTCTGTCTGGACATATTTCACACACATAGAAACAAACGAAAAGGAAAAGAAATTTAAAGAACAAGGAAAAAAAAAACAAGAAAAAAAAAAAAAAAAAGAAGGCCACGGTGGCCAAACCCACACACCACACACACACACAACAAAAAAGGGGGGGGAGGAGGAGGAAGAAAAAGAAAGAAATATATTACGTAAGAGTTGTGTCGATCCATACGTGCAAAATAATACCCGGTAACGTGTCGCGTCACGTGACTGTTCTTGCAAATTGGCGGTACTTTGTACAGTTAAACCATATATACATATATATATATATATATACATATATATATAATCATTTGGTGTTGCTAGGCCGATCATGCCTATCCCCCTTAACATTCATGCGTCTTCCACGCCACAGGAAAAAAAAAGAAAATCCCATTTGGAGTCGTATTACAAGCCCTTCTGGAGATACTACAGTAAGAAGCAATAGGAATTCTACTGTAGAACAACACAAAAACATGTAAGTAGAATCTTCTCTTGTTTTTATGTCTTGTTCAATATAATGTAATATAATATGGTGTGATATAATATAATAAGGCCAAGCTAAGCCAGGCTAAGAGGTCACGTGGAATTCAACATCCACACACCAGACAAAGAAGGGGACGGCAGCCGCAAAAAAAAAAAAAGAAAACAAAGCGAAACAGAAAACAAACAACAAAGAAAACTGCAAATTGTCCGATTTCCTTGCTGTGTTTCTTCTTTTGTTATTTTCTTATGCTATTTTACCCCGCACAGACAGCATTGTGGTGTGTGGGTGTGGGTGTGGGTGCCTGCCCCCCCCTTCTCCTTTCCCCTTCTCTCCACCCACCCCTTATTTCGTGTATATTTCCTTTCTTTGGTTGTTTTCTTTTCTTGTCTTTTTCATTCAATGTGAGAGACAGGCACACCAACACACAGGTACACAGACAGACAGAGACAAACATACCGTACCGTGCGTATATACATACCGTACATACATACGTAAATAGATATCTATTATCTATCTATCCATCTATCTATCTATCTATCTATCTATCTATATATATATAGGTCTATATTTATATGGCTATGAATTTCGTGCCTTTAATGATCTTTTTTTTTTTTTTTTTTTTCTTATTCATTCATTAGAACTCTCTATTATAAAACTATTTAAAGGTTAACAACATCAACATCAACTAGATATTTAGAATAACCCCGTTGTAACTCTACTCCCTCCCCTCCCCTCTCCATCCTGGAAAAAAAGAAAAAAAAAATACACAATGTCATTTGACGATCTACACAAAGCTAAAACACAACAATTGAACGATGCTGTGGATTCCATCGTTAAAGAATTCGAAATTACTCCAGAGAAGTTAGAAGAACTGACCGAGTATTTCATTGAACAAATGGAAAAGGGTCTGGCTCCCGTGGAAAATAAAACAACAGATAAAGGGCTCCCCATGATCCCTTCCTTCGTCACTAGTACCCCCAACGGTACCGAACAAGGTATCTTACTAGCCGCAGATCTTGGTGGCACTAACTTTAGAGTCTGTTCCGTCACTCTTAATGGTGATCACACCTACTCCATGGAACAAATGAAATCCAAGATCCCAGATGAACTGTTAGAGTCCAAAGACGTCACTTCCGATCAACTGTTCGGGTATCTTGCTAGAAGAACTTTGATCTTCTTGAAGAAATACCATCCTGACTATCTTTCTTCTTCCTCCACTTCTCCTTCAACCTCTGAATCTCTACGTCTGGGTTTCACCTTTTCTTACCCAGTGGACCAAACCTCTTTAAACAGCGGTACCTTGATCAGATGGACCAAAGGGTTCAACATCCCAGACACCGTCGGCAAGGATGTCGTCCGTCTATACCAAGACCAGTTGAACCAGCTGGGCCTTGAATTCGTCAACGTCGTGGCCATGACCAATGACACAGTAGGCACCTTCCTTTCTCACTGTTACACCTCGAATAACACAGACTCTATGACCACAGGGGAGATCTCCGAACCCATCATCGGCTGTATCTTTGGTACAGGTACCAACGGTTGTTACATGGAAGAGGTCAACAAGATCACAAAGTTGCCTGCAAGCCTACGTGAGAGATTGTTGAAGGAGGGCAAGACCCACATGGTCATTAACACAGAATGGGGGTCCTTCGATAATGAACTGAAACACCTACCGGTCACCAAATATGACGTGGACATAGACCAGAAATTCTCGGCTAACCCGGGGTTCCATCTGTTCGAAAAGAGAGTCTCCGGTATGTTCCTTGGTGAATTGCTAAGAAACATCCTAGTCGATTTACATTCAAGAGGCCTGATCTTTAACCAATACAGAACAAAAGAACAACTGCCACATCGTTTACAAACCCCCCTTCGAACTGGATTCCGAAGTGCTTTCACACATCGAAATCGATGATTCCACCGGGTTGAGAGAAACAGAACTTTCCTTGTTGCAATCGCTAAGGTTACCAACCTCTCCATCCGAGAGATTGCAGATCCAGAAATTGGTACGTGCCATCTCAAGAAGATCTGCATACTTGTCCGCCGTCCCATTGGCAGCAATCACTATCAAGACAGGCGTCCTAAACAAGAGGTACCATGGTGAAGTAGAGATTGGTTGTGACGGTTCCGTCGTCGAATACTATCCAGGTTTTAGATCAATGTTGAGACATGCATTGGCATTATCACCATTAGGTGCAGAGGGAGAAAGAAAGATCCACATCAAACTTGCTAAAGACGGTTCTGGCGTCGGTGCAGCTTTATGTGCATTAGTAGCATAACACAACATTCACACATGTTTCTCCGTCTTCATTTTATTTTATTTTATTTTCTTTCCCTTTCCTTTTTTTCTTTAAATTCTTTTGATTTTTTTTTTTCTTTTCGTTTCTTTTATTTTCTTATCCTTCTAATAAATACACATATATATGATACGATATAATACGATCTATATAAGCAATGACAATAAAATGACTTTAATTCTTTAATGTTAGTTTTTATTTTTATTTTTCACACAAAATAACAATAAGCATCTTGTCGTAGATACACAACTGCACGTAGTTTAATGTAACGACATCGCAAGTCGTACCTTCTAACTGTTCTGTTAACAAGTTTACATTCTTATACCGTCTGAGTTTCGCCAGATGTAAGTAGTCCCGTGTGCACGTGACAGGTCCAGCCGTCTTCAAAAGACTGAGGAAAGCCAAACCCTAATGATTCTTCTTCAACCCTAACCAAAAGGTAGATACAAGCTGCACTGAACAAAAATCGCAGAGAGGAGGAAGAAAAAAAAGAAAAAAAAGGTAAAGGGGTGCTGCAAAGGAAGGTAAGAGAAAAGATTGAAGACTATATAGGTTCAATAGTAAAATATATCTATTGACACAGTTTTTTATTTTTTTACGGAGTCAGTGTAGTTGTGAAACTTGTATTAGTTAATACTTATATTGAACTGAGTGTGACTCAAATGCATAACTACAACTATAATTCTTGGACATCAAGGAAAGTGTCCTGTATATATTGAAGAGGAAAAAAAAAATTGAAAGATGTCGTTTAACAAGATTCAATTGACGAAATTATTGATCCACAGTTTAAAAGAATTGGGTTATGATGAAACAAGTATGACTTTACAGCGTGAAAGTGGAGGTATACAAATAGAATCTAATTTAGTGCAGAATCTTTTCCAAAACATTAGAAAATCATATTATTTTGATATCACTTTCAAATTATTATCTCAATTACCTTTGATCTCTAATATTAATCCAAGTGGAGTCACTTTATACCAGACTTTATCTCAAATCGGATATTTTGCAAACAAAGATGAAACTACGGATGCCAAAAATCATATTAATTTTAGCATAGATAATAATAATAACAACAATGACAATAACCATCATATTATGATTATTGACCATTTTCATAGACAGTATGAGTTATTTAAATCTGTATCAAAACAACTTAACACGATTCCCTCAGACCAATTACCCTCATTTGTCATGTCTCTGCAGATCATGCTGCTTGTCCAAAGACAATATTTTATCGAACTTATTTCCATTAGTCATAATTTTAATCAATCTATTAATTTCTTAAGAAACATTATCCAAAAGTATCACTCTCTATACCAAAGAGTATTCTCGTCTATCTCAATTTCTTTTAACAACACTATTGCAACTGACCAATTGTTGATGAAACACCCGGACCTGTTCTTAACTAGCTTGACCGAATTCATAACTAATCCCAAATTGATCAATCAGTTATATTCAACACAAAATTCCTACCAAGATGAACTTATAAAAATAATATCAAATATTATTGATCCGGATGAATTGATTCCTACTGGAAGACTGATTACTCTATTGAAACAATCTATTAAATATCAAAAATTGACTAGTGGTGTCAACATTTTTGATGACAACACCAGCAATTATAACGGTAATAGTAATAATAACAATAATAATAATACCAGTTTAGATTATTCTAAATATTCCTTATTGGAAGATAATAAAAACTTCCATGGAAAATATAAATTTGAAAACATTAAAACACTTTCAGTCAATAACAACAACAACAACAATAATAATAATAGGGATCCTAATGGTAACGAAATTTGGTATTTACTATTTTCTCCAGATGGTAAATATTTAGCTTCTTCAATAGCTGATTCTTCATCGGATAGGAAAATAAGTATTTATGATGTTGAGAATGATTTCCAAATTTATAAAATCCTAGCTGGTAATAACCAATACATACTTTATCTGTCATTTTCTCCCAACAGCCAATATCTGGCAGCTTGCCCCTTTAACGAGAATGCAAACATATATGACATTCATTCAAAGGGTGAGGCAGTCTCTGATGTCATCAATACATCAACCACTATAAGTGTCTACAATAATAGTCATATACCACTAAAAGAAAGAGTATTGCCAGAGATTATATATCCAATAGATTCTTTGAAGATTGAATATACACATAAACCTTCAACTCATAATCATGAGACTACATCCACTTCTTCGCCATCTTCGCCATCTTCGTCTCCTTCTCCAGCATTGAATTCATCGCCTTCATTATCTTCTGTATCCCCTGATCCAACAACAACTGATTCACATCCTTCCAAGATCTCCCCAAGAGTTTGGTGCTGTGACTGGTTCCATACAAAAAAACATGAGAATATTATTGTGTTTGGTTCTCCAGATAGAGATGTCATCTTCTACAATTTCAATACAAAGAAAACTATACTTCGAATGTCACAGATTTCTTCGTATTATCGATCGGATAACCAAAATCATAAAAAAGATTATTATCATGGACCATCTCGTCGTGCTAACAGTAGTAATACTCATGATGATAATGATGATAGACCTAATGACAGTGAAAGAGATGAAGAAAATGACCATAATTTCAATATAGATGATTCCTCTAACATCATTGAAAACGCCAATCTGTTCCCAAGGGTACATGATTTGAAGATATCAAACGATGATAAGTACTTAATATTAATGACACACAATGGAATTATTGACGTCTACGACATATCAAGCTTTCCGAATAACAACTTATTAAAAAGAAATAACAACTCCATATTGGAAAAATTTCTCCCACCAAGAGTAACACAATTAAATATTGGTAAAAACATGACATGTATTTCACTACCTGCACCAACTGACCTAAACATCTTTGAACGAAACAATGATATTGACAATTTTCAACATAACATGAGTTTCAAGTTGAATCATTTAGTGTTAATTAATTTGCAATTTAATGAAATTCAACTCTGGGATTATAAAGAAAATATATTGATTCAAAAATTTTTTGGCCAAAGGCAAGAACAATTTATTATTAGGTCATGTTTTGGTTACCAAAATAAAGTTGTAATTAGCGGTTCAGAAGATGGAAAGATTTATATTTGGGATAGATCAAATGGTAATATTCTTAATGTATTACAGGGTCATGCTGACAATAATATGATTCTAAATAATATAACTACAAATGGTACTTCTAACACAAGAAAGAAATTTACCAAAAATTGTAATGTTGTAGCATGGAGTCCACAAGATAAAGATCTCTTTGTTTCTGGTGGTGATGATGGGTTAATAAAAGTTTGGAAAATTACGTACTATTAATTACTTTATGGGATAAATAAACATACATAACGTTATTAATTATATATTCATTGAATAATAAATAATAAAAAGATATAAAAAGAATGAAAATAGAAATTCAAGGAATATTTGAGATTTGTCCATCAGTAGTAGAAATTGGTGGATTAAGTAAACTTAATTGTTCAGCCTCTATCTTCCCTCTATCTATATTTAGCATCTCTAAAAAAGGTAAAGAAAACATCAACAATGTAAATAAAAGATAAAACGCATATCTAATATTATGAGTTCTATCGGTTATCAAACCAATCAAAAAGGGACCTAGAATTGATGATCCCTTGTCTGTTATACTAAATAAACTAAAAAAAGTAGATTCTTTCCCTCTAGGAATAATTAAACTGAACACAGATCTAGACACGGCAGCAAGACCTCCGAGAGATAACCCATACCAAATGGCTAACATATACATTTCTAATTTATGTTTTAAACCTATATTTTGGAACAAAAAACCCAAGATTCCATAGAAGGGAATAACACAAGTCCAACAAATAATGAATATTAAAATTCTCTTAGGAGGCAGACTGAACCTCTTGGAAAGAAATTGTGGAATTATATATGCTCCAATCATGGCATTAATCATTGTTAAAATACTAATTGTTATCAAATTTAATGTAGTCATATTCAACTCGGTTTTAGAGAATAGCACAGCTGTGGAATTTATTGTTGTTGTTGAATCACTTATTATGAACCAACTTATTAAAAAGATCATAACATCTTTCAAGAGTCTTGCGTGTTTAAAAGATTCCCATAGTGATATCCAGCCATAACTAAAAATTCCCCAATTTGTGTGTTTGTTTAAAACATATTCTCTATTTGTATCTAATTGCGAAGTCCTTAATAGTGACGTATCAACGGAAGACGTTACTATATTTTCTGTACCTATATTTCTGAAATAAGTAAGAGGCATATCCTGAAATAACCAAAACATAGGTGATTGCCACATAATCCACCATATTCCAACAAATGCAATTGCCAATTGAATGTCCTGTTTTGACCTACTGCCATTTATAAGAAACATTGAAATAATTTGGACCAAAAGTGCACTTAAGTAACCTAAACTAGCACCTCGGCCACTTATTACATTTGTTAGTTTATCTTGTAATACTGATTTATTGGGTGCGTGAGCTACACTTTTATCATTCTGTATTGATTTGGTAACGAATACGGGTAACATAGAATTCCCTACTACATTAATGACGCCAAAACAAGAATTTGCTACGATATATAAAGCCGGTAATGAATATATTCGTGTGTTATTCAATCTAGATATTGTGTAAGTTGAAAAGGAACCCACAATGGAAAAAATCACTAAAATGTTACCTTTTAATTTAATAGAATTCCACTGATCGACAATCCCAGACACTGTTATGACTACAACAGTCTGTATTAAAACAGACAATGAAAATGTGTATAATGGAAAGCTCGATGTATCCACAAATATTCTGTGATTAAATAGAGGTACAACACAGTGCTCTGATGAATTCATACAAGGTTTCGAATGGTCCACCACTGTCACACCATTTATCCTGGCAAACTGCTCTAATAATAATGGGATGTATGTTGATACGACAGAAACAATAAAGGGCTCACTAGAGAAGCAATAAAAATACCAACCTTTGATATTGTTTTGTATTATCTGATTATTGTCTGAACTTTGTTGATCAGAAATTGTATTAGAGAATAACTGGTCAACAGGCTCTCGTTGGGGAAGAGACCCATAATTCATTACTAATTATGTGATAACAGTAATATCCAAAAAAGAAGAAAAAGAAGAAAAAAAAGATTGAGTGACAGATGGTAGTTAACAGGAGAATCTATAATGGAAGATTTCTATATCTGTTAAGGGGAAACTGATGATAATCCCTGTATTTTATATGATTCTTTTCCTGATGGAAACTTACACTAAACCGAGAATGTACCTTCAAAACAACTATATTTTGCCTATTTCTTGTACCAAAGTTCAACTGTGTTTCAGATGACATGAAGATATCTTCCTGCTGTTGCTGCTACTGCTCTGTAAGTGTTCAAATATCAAACCCTTTAAAAGTAACATATTTCTCTCTGTTTCGAACGTTTTTTTTCTATCTTTTTCTTCCTGGACATTATATTTTTCCCCCATTTCCAAAACTAACAGAGGTTGCTAATTGAGGAATGCTCCATTCACAAAGAAAGGTGGGTAACAGTAAATAAAACCACTGGGTTTTGCCGTATTTTACAAATTCCTATTGATAGAATAATATAGCACTAAGAGAGCAACACATATACATACACCTGGGTGAAAACAAAGTCACAACATTTTTGAAACTTTTCAATATCTAATTAGAATCTTTAAAAAAAAAACAGCTACACAAACTACGTAGCTTTTATTTGTTATACTTATAAAGATAAGTAGGTAAAGGTATAAATATATATAACGAAAAGTATGATACATGTCAAATGTGAAAAATAGTTGCGTCTTATATTATGAATTATCTCGATCTAATACAGATTTTTTTTATAAAAAAAAACATATCCGTGGCATGTTTTCTTGTCTAGTTAATTCTCAAAAAAACAATGGGATAAAATAATTAAGTTGTTACAATTTTAATAAACGTATTCAGTTATTCTCAAATTATTTGTAAAAAATTTAGCAGATGGAAATTGTTTTGTATATGAAACATCTGATTATATCTCCAAATAAATGTGGTAATTAATAGAAGATTAAATAGAAAAGCAAAGAGGTAGAATTATACTCTTTCTTTCTTTTTTTTCTTTAAAAAAAAAACTTAATAACAAAATATATTGATTATATGAACTATGAAGATTGGTTAACTTCAACTGGAACAGAACCTTCTTTGGAAGTGTCTTCAACTGGAATGGATTTTTCAACATCAGTAGTGGAAGTTGAAGTGTCATCCTGTTCAACTAAGCCCTCAGCAGATTCATCTGCTACAGTCCCTTCGTTGGTTGATTCATTAGATTCAGCAGTAGAATTTTCACCATCCTTTTCTTCACCCTTTTGTTGTTGATGGTTGCGGTTATTACGGTGGGAGTGATGATTGTGGTTACGGTAATTGTGGTGATGTGGTACAGTGACCATCTTTAACATAAATTCATCTAAATCATTACCAGATAATGTCTTATGAATTTCAACTTCAAAAGCTGGTTTCTCTGGTAACCATTTTTCCCAATTCTTGGAACGGATGAAATATTTAGTCAAAGGAGATGGTTCAGTAACACTTTTCTTTTCATTCTCTTGCCCTTCCTGTTCTTGTTCTTTTTCTTGTACTTGCTCCTTTTCTTCTTCTTCTTGAGTGCTTTCTTCAACAGGGTCAATAATTTGCTCACCTTGAGCCACTTCAACAGTAGCATTTTCATTGAAAACAATTTCTCTCAAAGCAGCCATAATAATATTCAAATCACCACCAAAGGACATGTTTAGTAGTCTGTAAAATTTAGACAAAAGCGATAAAGGAACGTACCCATCTTTAGATAATTGTTGTTTTAGGTAATCATCTGTTACAAGATTTCCATCTGATAAATAATATTCGATTTGTCTAGCCACACTATTCACAGCCATCATTGAATAATGGAATGGATATAACATAGAATATAATTGAGCCATCTGTTGAGGTCTAAAAGAGTGATGCTTTTGATTGTTATTGTTATGACGGAAATTGGTGTTATTATTATTTTGTTTGGAAGTAAAGCCATTTTGTGCTTGCCCTTGCCCTTGTTGTTGTTTGTTTTGGAATTTTCTGTTATTGTTAGTGTTAAAATGATGTGAATGATGTTTGTTGTTAAATCTTTTTTGTCTGCTATTATTGTTATGGGAATGCTGTTGTTGTGGTTCTTGCGGCTGTTCTTCAGAAGTTTTTACTGGAGCATTAGAATCATTAATTTCAGTAGATGTTTGCTTCTCATTTACTGTGGAAGCTGTGGTAGTTTCTGTAGCTATAGTAGTAGTAGTAGAGACAGAGGTGTCTTCATCGGAAGAAACAGTAGGTTGAGAGGCTTCTCCATTCTCAGTCTTTTCTTGTTGCTTATTTTGATTAGAATTCTTCTTATTCTTCTTAGAATGATTTTGTTTGTTTTTACTATTATTTGAGTTTCTTTTACCGTTATGAGTATGACGATGATTCTTATTTTTACTACCATTTTTACTGCTGTTATTAGAAACAGTAATAGATGCTTTGATTGGAACCCATTTGGTGGAGGTGTTGGATTTGATAGATGGAGTTGGACTCTTTTTCTTTAAGGACTCAAAATCTTCAACAGAGATGGATGTAACTGGAATATCTTTGTTAACAGATTTCCAAGGAGAAGAAGTTGGGATAGGAGCAGGAATTAGATTAGCTGCTGGTGGGATAGAAGATTCCTTTTTATTTTCAAATGAGTTAACATTAGACTCAGTTTGAGTCTTTTCTTGGACATTTTCTGCAGGTTGCACAGTTTCTTTAACTGCAGTCTCAGTAACGTTGGACATATTTGGTTGGATGTTTTATTATTATTGCCGATCTATCTCCCTTCTTGTACTCTATTATGATCCTCTACAAGTATACAGGTATGTCAATTATGTAGAGGTTTTAGTGTTTCTTTCTAGCAATGAAACCAAAAAATAAAAAAAAAAAATAGAAACAAAAATTGAAAGTTAATTGAGAATGACACAATAAACGTAACCTGTGGCTGTTGTTGCTGTTATTGTCGTCGGGACAAAGTAACGTGAGTACAATCTGATATACAACTTATGATCGAACCAGAAACGAGACAAAGAAGTAAGACAAGTTACTCAATGATTAAAAGACATTACTTGAGAAAAAGATCTAGTTGCTGAAAGAGAGAGGTAATAATGGTTACGAAACAAAAGAGTATCAATTAAGTAACTAATAAACTTTCATAAGTTCACTATTCACTGTTGTCGTCGACGTCGCTGAACCAATATTAAAGAAATTACATAACATGAAAAAAAAAAAAAAATCGATGAGCTGAAAATTTATTTTTTTTTTGTGCGTGGGCTCGAGGGTGTCGTTGGAAATGACTGAAAAAATTTTTTTTTCATTTTTGTTTTTTAGTGAGAAGCGTAGCGAAGGAGAAGACCTAATTTTTTATTTGAGTGCAGAACTGTGAAACATTCTATCATAAAATATGGCTGGCCGTTTGGTTAAAGAAGACATTAGTAGCATTACTTAGTACGTGAAAAATACACCAGGGAGAATTCTGAATTTTGGTGTGTTGGTCAATCTCCATCGTTATGAGATAAAATCTAATAATACGATCAGTTTTGCGATCAATTTAGTACTTTCGATGTATTTTAGTGGTAGTTACTGCTAAGTATTGCCGGCAAAAATTTCACTTGTAGAAAGAGTGCTACCATACATTTTTTATATATCATGAAGACAACCTTTCTTTTGTTCATTTTTGCTTTTTATATACTTTTGTACATGCAACTCCCATGTATATAACATAATCATTTTTCTACTTAACTTGTGAATCAGTCTTATAAGTCATTTAAGTTTTATTGTTTATCTTGTTTGAGTATTGCCTGTTTCTTTTGGGTACATGTAAAACCATGAATACAAATTTAGATCTTTCATCAAGAGACAAATGCGTATAGTTCTAACAAAGAAACAAATTAAAAGGACATGTATAATAGAAGCAAGTAACAGTTATAACAATAATAAGAAGAAGAAGACTAAATAAAATAAAAAAAGGCATAGAAGTATAAGCAATTCAAGATGACAGAAGGGAAAGACAAAGTTAAGTCTACAAAAAGAAGATCCAATAGAGCATATCAGCACAATGTAGTGATCAAATATTTAAATGATATAATCCAAAATCTTGGTATCAATGCAATTAATAACATAGATGATATACCAAAGGAAGAATGGGATTATATGTTCCGTAAAGAGAAAATAGTCAGAGATAACGTAAAAGAGGTGGCTCAAGATAAACAATCTCGTATAGAAAGGTCACGTCATGAAAGCATCCAACTGAAATTATCAAAAATGGATATAAATATACATCAGAAGGATTTGAGTTCTGATCATTCAAAGATATCAAAAATTTCCTCTGAAATGGAAAATGAACAGCAGCAACCAGCTAAAAAATTATTGAAGTTAAACCCTCCAGTAAATTTTTTGACTACTGTAGAAGGCACGCCATCGATTTTTCATGATAATATTCCATATTTTAATAATTTACATTCCATTCCACTATATAATAACCCTGAATTAAATTCGAATGTTCACAAATATTTATCCAAAGTAGCCAATGAACATAGTAAATTCATGATCGATATGAACCATCAAGATCAAGCAGATACCTTGAAATATATTCAACAACGTAGAATGACTCCAAATCTGCCAATAGACCATACAAAGGATGATATGAATCCACTGCATTCGAATCTAACGTTATTTAAGCTGATAACCCCAAAGAATGATAATATTAAATTGAAAAAAATCCCTCCACGTATCGAAGCTAAATTAGATTTTTGGAAATACATCGAAAAGACAATATTAACCATATCACGTAAAAATTCAATCTTATTTGCACTAGATATTGAGGGTTTTGAATCAAATCAAAATATTATCACAGAGATAGGTATTTCTATATTTGACCCAAGGGAAAATTTACCTGAATTTGGTTTGATGACGCCGATTTTACATAATTATCATTTGATTGTGTCAGAATATCTAACGCTTCGAAATAAGAATTTTTTATCGGATCTTAAAGATTGTTATTTGTTAGGCGAATCATTAATATTGACGTATGAACAATGCACTACTTTTATTCAGTCATTGATCAATTTTTACATGGTACCTAAGACAGAGGAGGATAAAACCTGGGGCCGTTGCTTTGTGGGGCATGGGATATCCAATGATTTGACATGGTTAACATCAATGAATGTTGAATTACCCTCAAAAATGAAAGATATATCCTTCAGATATCAACCATCTGAAACATTGGAGACTGCATATATCATTGATACAAGTAGGTTTCATCAGATCCTGTACGGAGATATGTATGGTAGTCTTGGCAAACTGCTAAAATTGTATAACATTCCACATTCATATATGCATAATGCTGGTAATGATGCATATTATACTTTACAGTTGTTGTTAACAATTGGGAACTATAAATTTAGAGAACTACATCATTTGGATGACTTAAAGTATATGTATCAAAAAATCCATATGTTACAAGAAAGAGATGATATTGCCATGCATAAAAATGATAATAGTGAAGTTGATAGTGATATGATATCGCCTGCTAGTAAATATAAATATAATATACCTATGACAAACATTGCCTCAGTTATTGAGTTTATCAAAATGAACAGCAATAGTAATAGCAATTCAAACAATAATAAGAATAAAAATGGTCATAGCAATAGGAAGGATACAGATTTAAGGAAAAAAAGAGAAAACTTATTAGGCATAACACAATTCCATGGATGTAGATGGGTTTCCAATGCAGGTGAGGGCTTTAATATAGTAGAAGATATAAATCTGGATACAATGCCGAATGAACATGAAAAAAGAATAGAATAAAAATGATTAAGATAAATATATATTTATATATTCATATATATTTAAAGAAATATTTTATATTAACTACTTCAAGCTAGAATTGGTTTTAATAAATCATCTAATTTGCCAGAATTTCTTAAAGATTGTAAACTATCGTTACCACCAATATGTTGGCCTTTAATAAAGGTGTTTGGCACAGTAGTTTGGCCAGTGATTTCTTTTAAGGCTTCTTGAATCTCTGCACCATTGTCCATTTCATCCAATTGAAGAACAAGGGCTTTAGACTCAGGAACTTTTAAATCTTGGAAAAGTGTCTTCAAGGTGGCACGACAATAAGGACAATAAGTCTTTGATGCAATGAAGATGTCCTTTTCATTAATTAATTGCTTAATATGTTCGATAGTAGCTTGAGAGACCATTTTTGAATAATTGTTTCTTAAGATATTGTTTGTAAGTGTAAAAGAGGAAGAAGTAGAAGGCTTGGTTGAAAATTTGAATAAATGCCGGTTAGAAGTTAAAAGTCCCTTTGAAGTGAGAATTGATTTGAACAACTTGAATTAAATTGAGATAAGAGGCGACTAGGAAGTAGAAAACAAGGATATATTAAATATAATCTTCCCTTTGAATCTGTCCAAAGAGAGCAAAGGAAAAGTGTTTCCACGAAAGAACAAGCAAGAGAATTTTGATCATGTTACTAATGGAATATCTTAAATGTCCTTCTTTCCTTCTTTATAAATGCCAAAATTTCTCCCCACTAGCAGAAAGGGGCAAAACTCAAGGATTAAGTACAATAATAATAATAATGATTATATAGCAAGAAAATAATACAACACTGTGTTTTCTTTAGACGGACGAAAGAACAATGCCTTAAGATGCAAAAACAGGATTGTACCCTAAACTGTAAATGGAAATAGTTTGGCATAAGATTACTCAACCCTACATTAAAAAAAAGTAAATCCACTTTCCGTAATTTTTTTAATCTCGAAACCCTATGTCATAAAGCATTGCTTCTTTTTTTTTATTTTTTATAACACCGTCTTACTAAATAGATTTTGTATTCTTTAAAATTAAAAAAAAAAAGGATTAAGTGAAGAAACTGTGGGGAGGTGTATGGGTTTTATGAAATCTAGAACGGTTATCGTTTCTTTTTTTTCTTGTTTTTCTTTCTTTCTTCCAAATCTTTTGATCTTGAAAAATTCTATGAGTTTTTGGTGAGGGGGAGGGGGAACGCTTTGATAAGAAAAGGAGAGAGCCTCGAGGAATAATACTTCTCTCTGATAAAATGTCTGAAATATCTTCATATATAGACACGTGTGTATACATGAGTGAATATGTGTCTGTTTGGTAGCCTTTCTAACACGACAATTGCGAAATTAAGCTAGGAATGTCCCTTTGTATCCATATATATTTATTCGTGCTTGCATCTATGTATATATAGATATAGATATAGATATATATCACTTGGTTATTTAAGGAAGATTAAGCAACGTTACTAGCTATATATAGATATACATATATACATATTGAAAGAACAGCAAATTTCATAAAAAATGGGGTTCTTAAGTGATCATCCACACACAGCTATTACCGATGAGATAAATAGAATAGTTTCATCTCGTAAATATTCCTTAGATGCAGAACTAGGTCCACTAGTTGATTTAATTAGAAGTCCCCTTGACCTTGGTACCCATGATGATATAAGTACTGAACACCAGTATATTTCGAACCAAGAAGAAGCTGCTCGTAGTTTCAGAAAGAAATTGAAATGGGGTAACGAATTGCAACAATTAAGAACCTTAGAGTTGCTAGGCTTGTTCATCGGTCAAGGTTTGAAATTCAGTGTTCTTTATAATGATTTCAAATTGATTGAAAGATTGACTGTTATTGCTTTGAATCAAAAACTAAATGGTAATGGCCAACACTACGCTAAAGAAGTCATCAATTATGCAAGATTATGTATCTTAAATTGGTACGAGTACATAGAGTCAAGAAATTATAAGAATAAACGTTGTTACGAATCGATCGTCAAATTATATAAATATGTCAAAAATCATAAAATGAAAGAAATTGTAGCTACTACGTCCAACGATTTGACAGCAATCCGTTTGAAGAATAATTTTATGGATGATAGTGCAGATGAAACTGTGTTCCAATATGATAACCCTCATAATATGAATAGAAATAAGGATGATGCCAAATATAGAATACCAAAGATTGATTTGAAAAAAGAGGATCCAAAGATTCAAATTATTATCAGTGATGCATTGGCTGCAGCTATAGCATTGGAAAATTCTTTAATGGTTTTACCTGTAGATGCTAATGCCATGGAGGACGAAGATTGTACCACAAAGTTTGTTCAGGCAAGAGCAATTAGAAGAAAAGTGTTAAGATATTTGCAACTGGTCACTGAGGGAAAATTTTTAGGCAGTTTACTTCATGCTAACGACGAATTGGTTAAAGCTTTGACTGCATACGATAAGAGGTGTCAACCAGAGACTGATGATGATGAGCTTGTTTATGATTCAGATGATAGCCTTGCAAACTATGAATCTGATGAGGAGGAGGAGGATGACGAAAGTGAAACAAGTGCAACTGAAGAAATTAATAGTGGTTGGGTTGTTGATACGCATCCAAGTGTTAAAGATTCATCAAAGGGGAAAAAACAAAACTCATTTTCAAGAGAATTTAATAATAACAACCCATTCAGCGACAATAACCAACTTTAACAAAAAAAACCCTTTTGTGTATTGATATATAATATTTGGAAAATATATATACTAAGACGGGGACATTGATAATAAGTAAGTAAATTAATATGTAAAAATATATTATGATAATATTATTAATTGGTTACTACAGGAAAAAAAGAAAATATAGGCGTTAAACAACAGTTCTTTTTAACGAATATACAATCTCATATTGTGTTAGAGTTATACCCAGTCTTCTCAAAGTAAAATAATGAAGAAGCAAACAGAATGTTGCATTTTACTCCTAATTACTCATCCCTTTTCTTGAACTCTAAAGAAAGACTGTTAACACAATGCCTTACATCCTTTGGAAGACCTAATTGTGCTTTCCAACCTTCACCTTCAAAAACATGGCCTAAATGTCCACCGCAATTATTACAACATATCTCAGTCCTTACTGTACCCAAAGTTTCATCTTTATTATATTGTAAAGCATCAGGATTAATCTCTGCATAGAAGGCCGGCCATCCACATCCAGATTCAAATTTAGTTTCACTTGAATATAATGGAGAATGACAGTTTGCACAGTAATATATTCCAATATCTTTATTCTTCAGATATTTCCCTGTGTTTGGCCTTTCTGTTCCCTTATCCCTTAAAACGTATAATTGTTCTGGTGTTAAGTTAGGATTCCAGTTATTTTGAGTAGACATTGTATAAGATACTTGACATAAATTAGCTATATTCTTATAGTTGCACTTTAATACTCTGGTGGTTAGTGTTAATGACATCTGCTGATTAACTAGTTGTTTCAACTTTTGTAAATAACAAAAGTTGTGTATCTGTTGACAATGTATTTATGGTAAGAAACGAGTTTATAAATATGTCCAATGTAAAAGCCTGTGTTAATTTGATACCCTTTTAGGAAATAGTTGGTTTCCCAAAAGGAGTATATAGTTGCATCAAAATTATGTATTTACCACGATATTTTTAAAGTTTTTAAGTTTTTGTTTTTAAATCATGCAAGATCAAGGGTACCAGTTGAATAAGAGGGAATAAACATAAAAAAAATGTGTATATACGTACATATATATATAGGATATCTAAATTAGAAATAGGCAATTTTGAAGTCTTAATTAAATCAAGACAACAAGATATATTTTGAATTACAAATCCTTCAAAACAATTGAGGTGAACAGAAAAAGGACACAGAAAAAATGGATGAAGTTAGAAGAGAAAGATCAAATTCAACAAATAAGGCAGAAGTGGATTTGCCAATACTTGATTTAAAAGATTATTTAAACTGGACATCAGAAATGGTAGCACAATGGTGTGTCCATACGTTACAACTTGATGAAAATGATCAACTGTGTGTGAAGATTCGTTCTAATAGAATAACTGGTGATCTGCTACCAGATTTGAATCTAGATGATTGTAAAGAATTATGTCAAGTGGCTAACAGTGAGATTAAGGAAAACTCAGACATATACCAAGAGGGACTCATAAAGGCTATACGGTTAAAGATAATGTTAAATAAATTAAAGGGGAACAGCAGTAATAATACAAACGGAAAGTCATCTCAGCAACTGAAACAGCAGTTGCAAAGAGAACAAATGATAGTGGCATCATTAGATAATATTTATTTAGCAGCAGAATCAAAGTTTCAAGACTTTCAATCTCAATTTAATCAATTGAAAGTAGAGGTCTCAGACTTAACAAAATATATGTCTTCTTTAAAAAATTATAGTGGTAATCATATTCATAACACCAATGAAAATATCGACGAAAATATAATACATTCAAAAAACAATTGGTCCACATCAAATATTAAGACATCAATACCGTCTAAGACTGTAGAAAGTCAACCAATTTCTGTTACACCAAAGACACCTATTAAACATTTGATTCATTCATCGTCACGTACTAATTTAAATAATAATCATGATTATTATGATAAGTCAACGAAATTAGAATCTGTACCTAACCAATCATCACCAGTTCAGCATGAAGCATTAAAACAGTTGCGTGCATCAAAGGATGATTCAAGTGAAAAGATTTTAAAAAGTGCAATGAGAAAACATAATCTGAATGATGAAGATTGGAGACAATATGTTCTTGTCATTGGATATGGTGATAAAGAGAGAATACTTGAATTACATGAGAATCCTGTTGTTATTTTCAAAACTTTAAAGCAACAAGGGTTTCATCCGACTATTATGTTGAGAAGACGTGGAGATTTTGAAGAGCTTCAACCTAACGATCTCTTTACTAATAATAACAATAATATTACACCTGGAGGTAGACTATAATAAAAATTTATTACAATAACAAGAAAAATAATATATAAGAAGTGTATCAATATATAATTTGAAGATTTGATAGAATTAGTTTTTACACATATTATAAAAATGTGGTTTATAGGGGAAAAAAAATACGTACAATATGAAAATAGTTATAAGGAGTTGAAGAAATACCAAAATGCAAATAACAAATCTATATGTATATATATATGTAATATATCTATGTATTACAGTATACATGTATATATATATATATATATCATAGAGTATCTCTATATGGATTAAATTTCTTTTTAGCTTTCATAACTTTAATTCTCTCTTGATCTTCTTTGAATTTGCTTAACAATTGATTAATTTCTTGTTTCTTTCTTTCTCTAACTTGAAACCTATAGAAATCATTCTTTGCCTTCTTATCTACCATAGTGGCAGGTTTGGTCTTTGTTGAATGTTTAGTTAATGGATTTTTTTGTAAAATTTTCTTTCTTATAGAATTTAAAGATTTTGTATTTTTACCAATAACTAATGTAAAACCGTCTTCATCCACAATAGTGCCTTGGACTTCATCTTGAGCAGCTTGTTCACGTTGTTCAAAGATGGATAAATGAGAATGGACGTCTTCCTTCAAATAATCTAGATCTATAGGTTTGTAGAAATTGGTGAATGTGGAGATGGATGGTGTATTGTAATCCCAAATGATAAATTTTTCTGTATTTGATAAATTTGAGTATTTCAAAAGGGCATTCCAACAATTGTCAAGACTTGATTTGTCAACGAATTTAAGTAATGCAGTGTTCCTTGGAGTAAATCTAGTTTCAGAAATATCGTTTGGTATAGTCATTAAATCAGATGTAAGACTCGATAGATTGACGTCATTAAGACCAAATTCATCGTTATATAATAGTTCTTCTACATGGGATACAGTATCATATTTTGAACATATCTGTTGTATTATAGATTTCATGGACTCTAGGTTTGTCAATAATGGTATATTAACTAGAAATATACTGTTCGATTCTTCTTCTTGTTTTGCTTGATGTTTTTTCATAAACATGTAATGGCATGCAGGCGTTTTGTTATTGTTATTATTTAATTCTGAAAGAACTGGATGATCAGGTAGTTTGAACGGTATTACTAAGAACCCATTTTTCATAGAATTAATATGTGCCATTTTTTTTTGTATTATTGAATATTTTGGATTATTCGCACTTTTTTGTATATATGATCACAGCTTGTGTTAGTAGAACACTGCAGCTTCTTTTTAGCTTTGAGGTCTTAAGTATATGTTAAGAATGAGAGAAACTTCAATAATCAAAAGTGATTCTTAGAAAGTTCATCCTTTTATCGCCAAACTTCAATATAGATATGACAAAATAAAAGATGACGATAGAGCAAACAAAAATTTTTCATTTATTTTTTTCCCGGTTTTGTTTTTTTTTTTTTTAATTTTCTTGAAGAAAAAAAAAAAAGATAAGAGGTTTTAAATTATTCCGTTGCGGAATTATTGCGGTAACAGTTTCGGAAAAGATGCTGCGCAGTGGGTTTTAATAATGGCCATTAAATAAAGCAGAAAGAAGAGGATGATGATGGTGGCGATAATGTTAATCGACAACTATATAGTTGGTATCCGTAATTATAACTCGTGAGGAGTTGTTGTTGTTGCCATTAATTTAGAACAATTTTGAATAAACAAACCGATGAATTCTTGCTGAAATGGTTCGACTAAAAATAGACAAATGAATATGAATGTCTATTAATATTTACATGAAACGATTGAAAAAAGAAATATATATATATATAATGCTTATGATACAATAGGTTAATGAGAGAAGATAAATTGTGCTAGTAATTGTTTTAGTTTTTATGGCCTTTTCTCTCTTCTTTCCAATATCTCTATTCTATTCAATTTTTACGTTCTGTTCTGGTCTCTATCTTTGTGTTGGTATCTTTGGTCGTTTCAGATCCACCTACAATACCATTTTTAATACGTTCTGATTCTTTCATCAACTCATATAATTGTACTACCTGATCAGTAGACATCTTTTCAAAAGTCTCTCGAGAAAGTGACCCAGTTTGCCAAGCTCCATTATTGATTAGACTCAAATAGTCTTGCCAACTAGCTAAAAATCCAACAATATGTAATGGATTTTCAATGTCCTTATGTAGTCTGAACTCATTTTTAACATATTCATTACCTAATGCTCTTTGTAACTCGGGTAATTCACGATGTGCTCTAAGAATATTTCTATATAATTTTAAGGGTGGTAATAACGTTTGACGCATATTGGTAAATCTACTTGTGGTGTTCGATATTGAATGCTTAAAGCCGATTTCAAGTGCTGCTTGATTCATTGTATGTGGACCACACCTTTGTTCATTTGTAGCCAAGATTATTATTGCTAGCAGCGTATAGTATTCTACTGTTGTCTTATCGCTTCACGTATTCAGTGCTAATAAATCTCTCGGAATATTGTTTTCTCTCTGTGTCTCTCCCCCTCCCTCTCTTTATTTTTTTTTTTCAGAATTAATAATATTTTCTTCTTTCTTTTTTGAAGTTCTGTGCTTGTTTTAATACACTATACATTATTAGTAGTAAGAATACATTGTTAAACTAGTATTACTTGAGAGGGAGGGAAAAGGGTATTTGTGGTTTTTTGGTGACCAGGACGGAAGTTTGATTCTACCATCAGATCGTTAACATAATACTGTTATACTTGTCTTAGCGATGATAGGCATATGTAAAAGAAAAAAAAAATAGGCATGTGTTAAAATTCGGTTTGCGTACATATCATATCATTTCGTTACATTTTTATATAAATATTTATAATTACATGTAATACTGTCATTGCATATGTTTTTCATTATCGTTTCGTTTGATTTTTTTCTTCTTCTTCTTATTTGTTTGTGTTTAAACAAAATCTTTTGGTAGTAATCCCAATTTACTCATTCTAATTTTTACTGCATTTCTATGACCATCTAAACCTTCTTTCTTTGCTACACACATAACAGCTCTACCAATATTATCTAACCCTTCAGGTGTAACATTTTGTGATGTAATGAATTTTTGGAATGTTGATGTATTAGCACCACTATATTGTCTAGCATACCCGTACGTTGGTAAGGTATGATTAGTACCACTGGAATAATCACCACAGGACTCCGGTGTGTAGGCACCAACGAAGATTGAGCCTGCATGATCGACCAAATCAACATATTTGTCAGCATTCTTCACTTGTAAGATTAAATGTTCTGGTGCATACTTATTTGACATGTCAAATGCTTCTTTATATGAGTCACAAAGGATAATAGTACTATGTGCAATGCATTTACGGACAATTTCTACCCTTGGTAATTGTAAAGCTTGTTTGTGAACTGCTTCTTGAATCTTGGCAACTTTTGAGTCACTGATATTCACACCAACAAGGATAACTTGTGAATCAACACCATGTTCAGCTTGAGATAAAAGATCAGCAGCGACGAAATCTTCATCCGCGAATTCATCTGCAATGACTAGAACTTCACTTGGACCAGCTGGCATATCAATAGAACATAATGCTTGGGTGTCATTTTGGACATACATCTTGGCAGCTGTGACAAACTGATTCCCTGGACCTAGGATCTTGTCTACTTTTGGAACAGATTCAGTACCATATGCCATGGCAGCTACAGCTTGAGCACCACCAGCTAGCACAATCTTAGACGCACCCACCCTAGATGCCACATAGACCACTTCAGGAGACACTTTCCCATCGGATTTTCTTGGTGGTGATGCAAATACGATTTCTTTACAACCAGCCACTTGTGCTGGAACACCTAACATTAATGCGGTACTTGGTAAGATGGCAGTACCACCTGGAATATATAGACCAACTTTTTCAATGGGTCTTGGGAATCTTGAACAGACAACACCGGGTTGTGTCTCTACAATTAGTGGTTCGGTTTGTAATTGGGCTGCATGGAATTTACGAACATTTTCAATGGATAAATCTAAAGCATCTTTCATTTCCTGAGTTAAACCCTCAAAATATTCTTCTGGATATGGTGCTTCAAGGACAGGTTTCTTTAATTCAACCCCATCGAATTTTGCAGTATACTCAATTAATGCTTGGTCACCTTTACTTCTAACATTTTCGATGATTGGATTAACCAAATGCATGATATCAGCTGTCTTCTGGATTGGTCTAGTGACAGCTTTAGTGACACCTTCCAAATCATTAGATTTGACAACGTGTAAATTAATTAGATCATCAGTATTATTTTGCTGTTGTTGTTTTTGTTGTTGTTCAATCTTTCTTCTTTTAACATCTTTTTCCTTCTCTTTGGTCAGATATCTTTCTTTAGCATCACCAGTTCTTCTAGTAATTTTTAAATGCTTAGAGGCCAAATTTCTTTCCACATCAGATAAAGAGACATTATTAGCTACTAATTTGGTTAAGGCAAAATAGAATAAATCAGCAGCTTCCCAAGCGATTTCATCTTTGCTCTTTGCGTCAGTTAATTCTTCAGCTTCCTCAACAATCTTAGCATTTAATAAGGTAGTATTGCTAAACAATCTATTTGTATAAGAGCCAGGAACAGCATTAGCCTTTCTATCTTGTAAAAGTGACTGTAATTCATATAGACCATACTTGAAATCACCAAAACACGAGTCGGTGGTTAAGTGACAGAAACCATCTCCTTTTTGTTCTACAACAAACTTCAAGGCATCACCATCACAATCGATATCAATGGCTAATAGACGTTGAGTATTACCTGAAGTGGCGCCTTTTTCCCAGATCCCATTTCTTGAACGAGAATAATAGATACCTACCTGTTTTTCAACAGCCAATTGGATAGACTCTTTCGAAGAATAGACCAAACCTAGGATTCTTTCATTAGAATCCACTACTAAAGTAGTATATAAACCGTCTGGTCTATCAGTTTTAATTGAATCAATGAGACAGGATACAAACTTGTTTAAAGTGAGATTTTTAGCTGGAGCTAGAGACTTTGGGACATTAGATATGATTCTAGTCTGCGGGATAGTGTTGGATGTTGGTAATTCTACTAAAGTGAAAATTTTGGAGACTCCGTTATTTAACAATTCGATTAATTGATCTTCATTGAATTGATTAGCATTTTTTATTAAGATATCAATCGAGTTAAATCTTTCTCTGGAATCGTTAATGAACTGCTTGATGGAATTAACAGAGTTTAATTGGGTAGTATCGATTACAGCTCTTTGAGTTAAGTATAAGAATGGGTTTTTATTAAGAACAGATTTGTAATCTGTGCCAAATAATGGCAAAATTGGGTACAACATGTTGGATTGCAATATCTAAACCAATAACAATATTATAATGAACAATAAGGCTGCTTGTATGAGAAATGGTCTCAGATTTTTCAGCTTGACAGAGTATAACAAGAACTGTTAAACAGATAATAAAAGTCAATAAGGATTCAATTAAAGGTTAATATGTTGGCAAAACAAGGCAATTATATACAAATATATATATAAGAATAATCAGGATTTAACAGATAAAGAGAGATACAAAAATGGGAATTATGAACCACATGTTATCGGGCAACAATAAAATTATGTGTCATAATAATCAACAAAACATATATATTTATCTATTCATTCATTCATTTATATCGTATCAGTGTATCATGTGCGTGACTCATCGGATTACGATTACTTTACTTATTCACAAATTATCTCAGTTGATCTCTCGAACTACAGCATTCAAGTAGGTAAAAATGACAGAAAGGGGCAGAGAGAAAGAGTTTTTCTCGACCATACTTTCGTGGCAAACGCTATGTTTAATCCAAAAAGAGATAATACCGACAAAGACTGACGTATCTATTGTGTTTATAAAAAAGACAAATTGTTGGAAATAATGACTCAGAAATGTAACACCCATACCTCCATTGAGAAATTCCTCGTAATTTTCTTTTTTTTCTCTGTTTTATAAGTTTTTCTTTTTGTCTGTTGAGGGACGGTAAAAAATATAGGGCTAGTATGTAATTAGATATGGTTTTCTATAGTTTTTTGGGGGGTATTTGTAATTTGTAATTAGGTTTTTGTAAATTTTTTTCTTGTTCTCTTGTTGGCCGATGTAAAGATGACAAAAAAGATCTTATTTTAGGATCTGCTTATCATGTATCTTAGTCATATTTATGTTACATTATATTTTGTAAAGTATGTTAATTGATACTCACATATACATTATGTACTTTTTTTTTTCACTTATATACACATATCGATCATTAACAACATGATACTGGGTTGTTATCTGTGAAAATAATAACCCTTTTTCGATTTATATATAGATGTTTTATGTAAAGTTTTCTCATAATAAATCCTACTGCATGCATATATATATTATATTCTATATCATGTAACTTTCTTATAAGGTTAAGTATAAAGACATCCTCAAATTATTTTCTTTTTTATAAAAAAAAAAAAAAAAAGTACTCTAGTAGTATTGTTGTTGTGTAGTAGATGTAGTGGTTATATCTCTGTCATTGTCTTTTATTACTCTATTAGTATCGATTTTGTCCATAAAATTATTGTCATTCGTAGTGGATGCAGATATAGTTGTAAAATCATTATGTGGACGATTAGCTGGCTCATATTGATATGGACAATCTATTTGATCATGGCCTGATTTTTCACATAACGAGCACCATAATTCCCTGCCTGCTGAAGCATCTATCTTAACTGGTGGGATATATGGCGGTATAGATTGGGTATCGTTTTGGTTAGTGTTCGCTTCTAGATTTATTATTTTATTTTCTAATTGTTTTATTTTGTCTCTTAGTTTTCTATTGTCCTCTATAACCTCTTCATACTTATTATTTTCACTGCTATTGTTGTTGTTATCGCTGTTGCTATTTGAAATTAAAGTCATATATTCTTTATTTAGGATTTGATATTCCTTACTTAAGGATTCATTATGCATCTTTAATTGGTCTTTTTCTTTATTCCATTTAGCTTTAGCATTTTCCATATCGTTTTTGTATTTAGATAATGTTTCTATTTGTCTTTTCATTTTTTCAATATCAACGTCAAGATTAGAATTCATTCCATTTGAAGATTGGTTTTGTTGTTGTTGTTGCATGTATTCTTCATTTACCCTTAAATCTTCGTGTAATTGATTTACAACATCAGTTAATTGTTTATTTTCGGTCTTGAAATATTTCAATTGTCTATCAAATTCAATTTCAGACTCTGTTAGTTTTTCTTTTAATTTGTTCCTCTCCAATTCAAGATCATTGACCCTTTTATCATATTCATCTATCGTAGGTTGAATTTCTTCCAACACCATCCTTTGATCATTTAATAATCTCTCATATTCAATCAATTTGCGTGTTTGTTTCTCTAATTTTAATTCATATTCTTTTAATAATTGAAAGTTATCATTTGGATTTTTAATAGATAAATTATCGTGATTGTTATGATTGTTGTGATTATCAATTTCATCTAATGTACTTCTACTTATATCCATATCGCTATTATTAGTTTCATACTTATTACAATGATTATTATTGTTGTTGTTATTATTATTATTATTATTGCTGTTCAAGAGAGGATCAGGATGAAGCATAGGAATATTTCTATTAGGCGTCGGAGTGTCATTAGTTATATTATTTGATATTGTATACATATGATTGCTGTGAATAGTAGTGGAATTATGGTTATTGCTATCGTTATGCAATGTCTCTCCATACCCACCTAAAGTTGATCTTCTAGATATATTCAATTTTCTAACTGAACTAGAACGTTGTTGTGAAGCCGTAGAAGAAGGTGATGTTTCTGTAGATTCAGCTTGATCTATCAGATATGCAATTTTAGGTAATTGAATAAAAAGACCACTTTTAGGATACTCAGTATTAAAATATCTTCTACCATTAAATGTGCCATTATTTTTACCAATAGGTGCCAATAGATCGACGCCTGCATAGTAGCCAGGTTTGTTATCCACTGTGCCTACAAATTTCAGTTGGCCACGTCCAATGTTGGGTATTTGAATTATACACCCTATTTTTCGTTTATATTTACGAACTTCACTATTTGATCTATCTGAAAACATTGTCTTTTATTTTATCGTGATTTAATGTATTTTAAATTAAATGCATATATAATAATAGTGACAAAGGTAACCAGCTATGTGGATGATTATTAACAGAAATAAAAAAGTTAAAGCACTAAATAAAAGGGATAGGGTGCTTTAGAGGAGGGGAGGGGTGCAGGATGCTTTCTAGTGATACTGTTTTCTGTACATTATGAATAATACTCTGTTTTGAATTGAAATTGTATATAATAAAAACTTAAAAAGAAAAAAAAGAAAAAGAAAAAAGTTCGGGATTATGAAATTTTTCACTTTTCCGTTTGTTGCCATTTGGAATCAAAGGCAACAGAATCTTTGGAAGTAACTCAATCAAGTTAGAAGGACATACATATATGTAAAGGCTTGGCAAAGATCAGCTTTATAATATCAATCCTAAATATATATATATTTTCTAATAAGACTCAAAAGCAAAGGAAAAAAGAAAGAGAAAAAAGGGAATGTCTGAAATCGACGGTTTTATTGAAAAGGCTCAATCTAATTTAGAAAATGGTGAGCATGAAGAAGCTATAGTTAATTTAACAAAGGCAGCCAGATCAAATCCGAATGATAATCAAATATCAGCTATTGAAATGTTGATTCGTAGAATTGCAGAATATATTATTGGAAATTCAAGTGGTTCAAAGGATCGCAGTGTCGGGAATGCTGGTGATATGGCATCGATTCTAATGAAGACTTTCATGAGCAATAATAACGGTTCATCTCAGTCCCAATTAGGTAAACTGGCTTTATTAACAACTTTAATGTCTCAAGGAAATAATAATGCTAATGGTTCTGGGTTTAATCTTAACTCGGTGATGTCTATGTTTTCTAGTCAACAACAGCAGCAGCAGAATGGTAATGCTGTGTCATCCATGGGCAGTGCTGCATTAGCCTCATTAGCTTCCCAATTTTTCTCTAATACAAATCAACAGCAGCAGCAGCAACAACAACAACATAGTGGCAATGGTAGTTCTTTTGCTAATTTAGCAGCCATGGCATCTTCATACTTAAATTCTAATAATAGCAGTTATAGCAGTTATAATAATAACAGTTATCACAGCTATAATAGCAATAATAATTATGATAGTTTTAATAATAATAATAATAATAATAATAATAATAATAATAATAATAATAATAATAATAATAATAATAGCAGTTATCACAATTATAATAATAATAGACCAAATAATCAACAATATGAGCAAGATTACTATCAATCTCATAATAATAATGACAATGGACCTTCTCTAGGGTCTACTTTATTTTCTATTGCTAGTTCATATATGAGTAGTGGTAATGGTGACAATAACAATAATAATAGCAATAACAATAGCAATAATTGGGATAGTAATAGTAATAATCATAATAATGCTAATGATGCTAATTTCCAACAACAACAACAACAACATGGTTCAACATGGACTTCTACACTTGCATCAATGGCTGCATCATATCTAAGTGGCAACACAAACAATAATAATAATAATAATTATAATAACCACAATAATCAACACCTAAGCAGATATGATGAACAAAACCAAAATCAATATCAAAACCAAGCATATGGTCAAAATCAGTCGTATTATGATAATAATAATAAGAACTCATATTACTGAAAAGTCTATATATTCTCTTAATAGTATTTTTTTTTGAAAAAACGGTTCCGCCAATTACATATCTGTTTACATCTATATCTACATATGAATATATATGTCGTTATTGTTAAAAGTTAGCTTTGTGAATCTATCTCGTTTTTATTGTATAAGTATAATGCTGTTAATTATAGTCAACCATAACATAACTACCATTATTATCATGATTGACATTGTCATTACAATATTGTGTAAATCAGTAATAATGTATTAACTTTTGTCACCAGTTCAAATAGTCATAGAATTTGTGTCACTTGGACGGCCACCCATACACCCTTATATGCATTAGAGACACAGTGACGGAGTTGTAGCTCCGGTGTGAGAAACCTAAATGTTTTTTATTTTTATTTTTATTATTTTTTTTTTTTTATTTCGGGTTTTGCCAACTTGGAGAAACGCGGAGTTGGGAAGACTTAAAAGTAGAATAGATTCATAAATATGGAGAGATTAATAGGAGTTACTTGTAGGGACATACTGATAGAGATATTTATGTAAGTAAATAGTGCGTATAAAGCAAATTGTTTAGACCCTTTAAATAGATTAGCACTGGTATTGTCAACGCATATTTGCTGAGCCAAAAAAAGAAAATAGAAGAGAATAAAATTTAAGAAAATAATAGAAAAAGGGTGATATATGCATTCATATTGAAGATAACTAAGTGAGAAAGCAATGGAACTTAAAATGATGGGCTCTTTGAGACGTAATCAAAAGCTCAATTATGTGATTCGATTGTGGAAGAGATATGTTCCTATAGATCGAATACTCGCTCAGAGAATATTTAAGTCTACTATCAATTCCACAGTTGCTTTAATATTTTGTTTGATACCGAAAGTTAGAAATCATCTAGGCACTGAACCTGTAATGTTACCATTAATATCAGTCATTGTTCATCCTGGTAGGAGGGTCAGTGGTACTATACAAGGTGCTGTGTATTGTATAACAGGTCTTATATTTGGCCTGGCTTATGCTTTATTCGGTAAATTCATCGCAATGCAATGCATTGGACCTACATGGAGGACCCTTAGTGGAGAAGAACAGTACAAAAATAATTTTAGGAGGTATGAATCGGGTCTAGCCATACTAGCAATATTCGAAATGTTTATGCTTTTCTTCCACGGTTGGATGCGTTCGGTGTCACATCACTATTTTGCTATTGTGTTTCCTTTATTCTTAGTGGTCCATTTCACTTTTTTGGCTCCTATTACATATGACTATGGTGTGATTGCAAATTCATTTAGCACTCCATTTTATATGGGTATTGCAATGTCTTTGTTTTGGAATATTGTTTTATTTCCGGAATTCGGCAGTACCTATCTAGGTAATGCTGCCATAGACGCTTTGAATGAAATTCATAAAGATATTAATGAATCTATTAAGTTTTTTATTTGTTTAGGTATAGGTGATGATGAGACTAAAAATCATAAGAATAAGAATAATAATAATAATAATAATAATAATAATAATAATAATAATAATAATAATATGAATATGAATATGAATAGTGATGTAGATACAACTGATAAAAATATGCGGAGTTCTGATTTTTTATATGAAACAGATATTGTTACATTATCAAAATTATTGAAATTTAAAACTTTAGTATCTAAAAAGATTAATAATTGTAACCTTGTTCTACAAGAATGCATGTATGAAATTTCGTATTCATACGTTCCACCTTATAGCATAAATGATGTACTCGAAAAGTATAAAAAAATGGCTATTTATATTAATGGTATCATTAATGCATGTCAATTACAATTTATTTTACTAGGTAGAAACAATGATAATAGTAATAATAATACCCAATCACCTGAAAACTATATGAAACTACATAATGAAAAAGAAATTAAATATGCTGATGCAAATAAGCTGTTATATGTCATAGATCATTTGAGAAAACCAATCTATAATTTACATGAACGTCTGAATAAATGTCTCTATTATGTTAATATTTCATTAGCATATTCATACGATGTAAAATTTGATAGGGTCTTTCGGAGCAAATGCTTTAAACAAGATGAATATAATCCAAGAATTGCTAATAAAGTGGAATTACCGTCATTAGAAGAGATTGATTCAACTATAAAAGAATTAGAATTGGAATTAACTAGATTCAATGAGGTTTTCAAGGAGGAAATATTCAAAATTGATCATGATTTGTTGAGTCCAAATGACGAAATGTTCCTGTTTTGCTCATTTTTGATGAATTTAAAAGAAACTACTATTGAGACCGTCAAATTGACAAAGGTTACAAAGCAACTATTGATAGATAGGCAAACTCAGGAGAAAAAGGGATGGATTCGTGGTAAACGTGTTTGGTTCACTTTTTTGAAAAATTTCAAATCAGTGAAAAAATGGTATATGGGTAACTCAATTAGAATCACTGAGGATGATACGTTGAAAGGTATTATTCATTATAATAGACAACCAGAGCTCGTAGCTAGAAGACCAAATGTGGAAGAAGATGATTTATTAATGCAAAGAACTAGTGCACATAGAGCTAGTATATCTACAGAAAAGACCCTTTTACCTATGACGATAAGGGATTCGACTGGAGAAAAATTTAGGATTGATTCTCGTAGTCAAATCGTGAATTTGTTAATATGGATTAATAATTTTTGTACACGTAGTAAATCGCACTTTATTTTTGGTTTTCAGGTAACGGTAGCATTGATGATTTCATCCTTCCCTATGTTTGTTCCTAAAATAAGACAGTGGTATGTTGATTATGAAGGTGCATGGGTTGGTTTTGTTTGTATTTTGTGTATGGAACCATGCGTTGGTGGTACTTTCTGGGTTTTCTTTTTACGTGCTGTTGGTGTTGTTCTAGGTGCATTTTGGGGGATGGTCTCATATTGGTCTGGTGTTAATCAGACAAATCCATATTTAGAGACAGTTATTACTATATTTGGTGCTGTTCCTGGATTTTATTACTTTTTAGGTACCCCTTACGTCAAAGCTGCTATTATCCAGATTATTAGTATATATGTTGTTATGTTAGCTGCTATTATTCCTTCAGATCCTCCTCATGGTATTGTAGATTATTTTGCTAAGAGATGTTTGGCGGTGGGTTATGGTGGTGTAATTGCCTTAATTGTTCAAGTGCTATTTTATCCAATAAAAGCAAGAGACCAGCTTACATCAGAAGTAGCATTTGTATGTGGTTGTATATCCAATATGGAATTAATCTTTGCACCAGGTCTAGAAGGTGAAATCACCGTTAATTCCCTAGAGGATTCAAAATATCAACAAATTGTTAGATTATCAAGCTCTGCCAAAGCAGCTTTAGATAGAGCTAAGTCATATAATGGATTAACTAGACAAGAGCCGCGCTTAAAAGGTGATTTTAGTGAATTAGAACATATTTTCACTCAGATTATCTTTATTCAAAGACAAATAGTGGAAAGAATTGATACAGCTGCATTATTAAGAAAACAATACGGGTCCGCAATCCTTGAAGAATTGAACAGTGTTGTCTATCCATATAGAAGACAACTAGTTGGTAATTTGACTGTATCAGTTAGAGCTGTTCAAGAAGCATTCCTTAATAAAACACCTTTACCCCAATTTATGCCAAGTACTAGAATATCGCATAGAAGATTAATAAATAAAGTACGTCAGATTTTAGAATGGAAGAATCAGGAACGGAGAAGGTTAGATTTTAAGAAGCGTCCATCAGATGGTTTACAGCCATTAGATCCATTGGTATCTCGTACGGATGAGTCTTCAGATAGCAGTAGTGGATCAAATGAAGGTTTAACGTTAATTACACATTCAAAAAAGTCCAAATTGGACACTCAAGAATTTTTAACAAAAGAAAAATATTTAAGTTGGAGTGCATCATGTGCAGCTACAGAAGAGATTATTGAATATATTGAAGAACTGGTTTATTTAACCAAGTTGGTTGTAGGTATAAACGAATTCAAATATGGGTTTTTATCTCGTCCATTATATGAGGATTGGGCTGCAGAGGCTATTAGAGGGTTTGATGATTTTATTAAAGGCGAGGATTCCAATAACCAGCCTTCTTCTTTTTCTTCTTCATTGTCTAGTGATTCACAGTCAGAAAATTTAACTACTATTCCAAGCAGTGAATGTGACAGAGATAGTAAGCCTAATGATAACGACGGGCGTTCTAGTATTAGTCCCAATAATAGTAGTCATATAGAATTAGGTATATCAGACAATGATGAGGAAATTAGTATTGACAGTAACCAAGAAATGGCGGGAGAAGCTGATCAACCGGTTCAATTTAATCCGAAATATATGGATGACACTGATAATAGTAGCATGAATGAATTTAGTCCCCCAATTATTAATAGAAGAGAATCAGTCAATTTGGCAAGGATTGCAACATTTAATATTGATAAGAAAAACCCATTACCAAAGTCCTTCAGAGATCGTATTTATTCAATTAGTTTTTGGCCTGGTCTTGAATTAAGTGCATCTAATAAGGTTGATAGGACAAGAACTTTAGGTGATGTTGATGAGGTTCTAGCTGACAGAGATGAATATGATGATGAATCAGATGACGACATTCCTTTAGCATTAAAGAGAATTGTAACTAGTATGAAGGATAAACCTAAATATGATTACAATTCACATCACCGGTAATAAAACGCCTAGCATCATCTGGAATGATGTATCTTTTGTTGTGTTATATATTAATTGTGCATGATTATAGAATGTTTAATTTTGATTTATATGAAAAAAGATTCTTTTAATATTATATTTATTTGAAAGGTTTTCACAAAATAAAAAGAAAAACCATTATGAAACCGATCAACCACACTGTAAATAGTTACCTTTCATGGTCATTACAAAAGGATTAATTATATATTAAATCCATAATAGTGAAGTAAATACAGTGAATATGTAATTTTTATATAAATAATCTGTTTACTGCATTCCTTTTATGATTTCTCTTTAATAGAGTACGTTTTAGTGAAGGTTGATGTATATATCTAATCTATTTCAATCACTTCAGGACTTCTTGGAGTTTTTGCTTTCGAAGAAGAATGATCTTTTTTAGTCTTTCTTTTATTTGCTTTTCTTAATGATTGTCCTTGACCTTGAAAAGTGTTTGATGATGGATTTTCCTTGTCATCCCCATCCTTTGTATCTAATTTAGGCAAAACTATTGGGAACCCAAAGAATAGTTGGCCTGGTGGTAAATCTAAACGTGCAGGTTCTCCATCAAGGTTAATATTTAAAGATTGAGATGTCGTTTCCTCTGTATTATTTTTTATTTTATTTGGTTTCTTACCAGACAGACTTTCTCCATGTCCAATAAAATTGTTATTTGTATTTTTTATATTGTTACTTGTTGCAATCTTAGAATAATTTATTCTTGTAGACATAGACCCTTCCTTGACGATACTTGAATCGAATTTATCTGCTGTCTTCTTCTTTACATTATTGTTATGTGAATCGTTTGGGCCTTGCCCCTTTGCAGTTGATTTATAGTCTGGCTCCACATACCCAACAGGAGGAGCGAAATCCGTTATTAAATCAGTTTCCACTACACAAACACTATTTGAACCAGTTTGTGGTTTAACTTCAAGGATTTTGATCCTATAGAGTTTATTATTATAATTTATTTCTATGATATCGTCCACAGTTAGAGTAGAAAAATTACGTAACGCATTTTCCAGGACAGCTTTAGGATCTGAGATGTCTAAGAAATCCACAGACTGTGGTTCCAATTTGACAAATGTGCCTCTTGGTAGTTCAGTGGATCTTATGGTTAGTAAAGCACCCGGTTGGACGTTTAAAGTTTTCAGCATCCAATCAGGTAAATATGCTCTTCCTTCCTCTGCAGTGAATTCAAGGACACCCGCATGGGTCGACTTACCTGTTTCATTTACAGTTAATTCGAATAACATTGGATATTGGATGTTTAGTAAAGATAGCTTATTTAGGGCACTTGGAGGCAAGAATATCTTCCCACCATAATTGGAATCATCCTTTCTTATTCTATCGTTCATCATTGTGATAGGATAGCATCTAAATAATTCCGCAAACGTTTGAGACATGAACGATTGGAACGAGTTGTTGGAATTGGCCATTACATTTGACATAAACCCGGAAAACATGGCGAATAGGTGCTTGCTATTAAAATATGGGAAACTATGGTTTGTAGATTATATAGGTTTGTACCTTAACGTTGCAACTTTTTTTCACTCAGGGTCTTTCAAATAAGCTACAAATGTTTGATTTGAAGAAATGGAAAAGAGTCAAGAAGAAGAAGATCTATAAACAAAAAACGAAAAAAAATTAGCAGCCCTGAGATAAGACCCATGTCTTAATAATTATCAGACAATCCTACGCATATAGCTTTCCTGATCTATTTCAATCAAATCAACCACTACATTCACTCACTCACTCACTCACACTTTCTCTCTGTCATTAAATGAAACTTTCACTCTATTGCCTTTTTTTTTCCTGATTTCTAAAGCAAAAGAAAAGAAAAAAAAAAAAGGGTCTTCAAGCCCTAAAAGAGAAATTCTACAAAACCCTAAAAATATTAGGGTGTCTGGATGTTCTGACAGCCGTTTTTGTTTTTTTTTGTTTTTTTCGTGAATTTTCCGTTTTGTTAGGGCCAAAAGTTCTTTGAAGTTGATAGAGTACTTCTAAAACAAAGGACTGAAGAGAAAAAGATGCTGACACTGTTCATTGCTACAGTTTCTAAGACAACAAGGTAAGGAGTGGAAGAGGATACTTTTGCTTGGTATTGTTGATCAGGTAGGACTGTTGGACATATTTATATATTAGAACATTTGCGTATAAACTAGGCTGATTTATGCATATATCTTATGGCATTTGTCAGATCGTAAAAGACAATGACTACAAGAAGAAGAACCAGAAGATCTGTACGGAAAACAAGAAATAAGATAGATTATGCATTAGATTTGGATGAATCTATCTCTTCTATGAATAACAGTGGAGCTGATTTTGTTTCCGAAGAGACAAAAGGTGTTGCTGGACGGACTGATGGTGTAAATACTATGAGTGGTGCTGAAAATAATGATCATGTGGTTGATAATAATGATGACAATAAATATGAATTTGAATACGATGAGGATGAAGAAGAGTTATATAACAATTTAGATGATTTGAGGGATCTGATCGGTCATAGTTCTGATGATGCTACTGAAAATACTAATAAGAAACAGAATAATTATGGAATAGACACAGACAAGCGAAATTCAGGTGATGATGCGTCAGACTATGCTAATGGAATCACTGGCGGAAATTCAGATTATAATAACGAAGATGACTTTGTTGACTCAGATGTTGTCGATGATGCATTATTAGCAGAGTTTTCTGACTATGATGGTAGTTCAGATGAAGATGAAGGTGATTTCATGGATGCTATTAGGGAAGCTAATAATTTTAACATTAAGAAAAAAAATAGAAGAGGTAAAAACAAATTCAGAAGACAAAGACCGGTGGATCCAGAAGTAGCTCAATTATTATCTGAAGCCAATGAAGCCTTTGTGAGAAATAATCTACCTACTGCAGAAAGATTATTTAATAAAATTATTAAGAAGGATCCCAGAAATTTCGCTGCATACGAAACGTTGGGTGATATTTACCAACTTCAAGGCCGACTAAATGATTGTTGTAATTCATGGTTCTTGGCCGCACATATTAATTCTTCTGATTGGGAATTCTGGAAGATTGTAGCTATACTATCGTATGATTTGGAACATTATAGACAAGCAATTTATTGTTTCTCTAGAGTCATAAGTCTTAATAATGAAGAATGGGAGTCTGTGTATCGTAGAGCACTGTTATATAAAAGAATGGGTCAAATAAGGAAAGCTTTAAAAGGCTTTGAAAAATTATATGAAAATAATCCATATGATTCAAATATTTTACGTGAATTAGCCATATTAAATGTTGATTGTAATAAAATACCAGAAGCTATCAAACTTTATATGGATGTGTATGAAATGAATGTCAAAAGACGGCAAGCTATCATAGAAGCAAATGAAAATGCAGTAGAACTTTCAGATGATGACAATAATTCTGAATCAGATATCGATAATGAGGAATTAGAAGAAATGTATGAGGAAGAGCAAAAACTGTATTTTGGAGTTAACTGGAAAATAATTAATAAAAAATACAGATGTATTCCATTTGATTGGTCTTCTCTTAATATTATAGCGGAGTTGTCTTTAAAACTTGGTGATAAAAATAATGAAAGTATAAGGACTATTAAGAAATGTGCCCGTTGGATACAACATCGAGAATTACAGACATTTTGGGATGATGCAATTGATGATTCAGAATTTGATAGTAGAAGATTAAAAAGCACTAGATTTGATTCATTACCTGATGAAGAAAAGTCTAAATCCTATGTTTTACCGATTGATATTAGAGTCAGATTAGGACTTTTAAGATTGCAAACTGAAAATTTTGTAGAAGCAATGAATCATTTTCAATTTTTATATGATGAAAATTTCTCAGATGTAGCTGATTTAAATTATGAAGTCGGTGTAGCATTAACTAAAGCTGAGAAGTTTCAGGAAGCCTTGGATTTTCTGGCGCCCTTGTTATCTCTCCCAGATTATGCCACTGTAGAATTCTATGAGAATATAGCCAAATGTTATAAAGAAACAGAAGAATATGATACGGCAAGACAATTTTTAGAGAGAATCATTGAAATGGATCCAGAATCTCTGGAACATAAATTAAGTTTGGCAGAAGTTCATTATCATTTAGGTAATGTTGATATCTTCAAAAGTATATTAAATGAAGTTACAGTTATCAGAAAGAGACAAAAGGCTCAACTTTATGGTGTGGTTGATGAAAAGGATAAAGAACAGTTAGAAAAAAAGGGTAGAGGGAATGACCAATTAGATGATAGAGATGTCAGTAGTAAACCATTGCTAGAAGACAGTAAGTATAAGACTTATACAATTAAAAAGAAGAAAACACTGCAAGATATTGAACGTGAAAAGGCGGAGAGAGAAAAGAAGATTACATTAAAAGTGTTGGAGAAGTATAATAGTTTAAAAAATTATGAAAGAGATATTGCGGGTAACAATAACGCACAAATCAGTCAGTGGATAAGAACAGTTTCAGATCTGGTCGATGTCTTCAGTTCTGTTAAAAACTTTTTCGTAAGAAGTAGATCTAAAAAATTCATAGGTATTATTAGGAGGACCAGGAAGTTTCATACAGTCGTCGATTACCAATTAGAAAGATTATCCCGTTTATCAGAAGGTGATCCACTTTCTGATACTTTACCAATAATGGAAGAAAGAGTGACATTAACATCTACTAAGGAACTTCGTGGTTTAAGTTATGATCAATGGTTCGATCTATTTATGGATTTAGCCTTGACAATTACTAAATATAGAAGTGTTCAAGATGGTTTGAGTGTGATTGATACAGCACAAGAAGTTAATGTTTTTGTTCAAGATAGTAAGAGAGCTAAAATTATGAAGTTTGTTAGACTTGCAATAGTTTTACACTTGGATGATGAAGAGGAATTGTTAGCAAATCTAAGGTTACTATTAAATCAATATCAATTCAATAGAAAAATATTATTGCTGTTTATGTTTTCATTGTCGCATGGCAAGTTGGCTTCAAACATATTGACATCTACCATTCAACAGAAATTTTTCCTTAGATTAATTAAAGCTTTTGATTCTGTTAGATATAATGTTCATGTAAGGGGTCAAGCATCTATTACTAACGATGTAGTGGATAATCCAGAGGCTAAACCATCTCCATATATCTACTATATATACTCTGTTTTACTTTATTCAAGTAGAGGGTTCCTCTCAGCACTTCAATATTTGAGTCAATTAGAAAATGAGATTCCAGATGACCCTACGGTTAATCTTTTATTGGGTCTATCTCATATGCAACGTTCAATGCAAAGACTTACCGCTGCTAGGCACTTCCAGATACTACATGGATTACGTTATCTTTATCGTTACTATGATATTAGAAATACTATGTATACTGATGTGGAAAAACAAGAGGCAGATTATAATCTTGGTCGTGCATTCCATTTAATAGGTTTGGTATCAATTGCTATCAAATATTATAGTAAGGTTTTAAATGATTATGAAGATGAGAAACTGAAAAAACATGCAGCATTTAATTGTATTAATATCTATCAGGAGAGTGGTAATACAGCATTGGCTAATTCACTTATGGAGAAGTATCTAAGTATATGAATAGTGAAGAACTTATAAGAAGGAGAAAAAACTGTGATATTGCAACCATAGATGGATGTATCTAAATTATACATGGAGTGTAGAGCAGAAGAGGTGATTTATGGTATATTTGTCTCTGTATTTATTTTTCATGTTTGATAGAAGGATAATGGTGATCTATCTATGTGATCCAACATGAAACAGGTCTGAAACAAATTGGGATTCATGAAATATGGAAGAAGTGAAAGAGTTTTAAACATCTATTATATATATACTTAAGATGTATTAAGATAAATATGCATATATAAAGGTACACATATATGTTGGTAATTATACCATCAAAATTTAAATAGAGTTGGCATGTGTGACATACAATAGGAGTATATTGTATGAAACATGCTGTTGTTGGTAGTGACAGCGACCTGAAAGTAACATTAATTTTTTTTACTCTAACATTGTTTGTGATTAAATGTATTTTGGGTTTTATCTAACGTTTAAACTAAATATTGGTTATGTTGAATCGGATTAATTATGGTTTAAAAACACAAATAATGATAACGGAAAGGTGTGTTTATCATGAGAGGACGGGAAACGTAGTTGAAAATGTTGCAAGTCAAACGTATAGTCTTAACCTGTCACCTACAACGGAGCAAAGTATCTCTACTTCTACTTCTCGTATAAAATTAACTGACCTTTCAACTGAATCTAAAGATGTATCGGGGAAGATTATTGGATTATCTATTGGATTACCTGTTGGGATATTTTGCTTCAGTTTATTGATATTCTTAGTATATTTTTATTTTATTAAGAATTCTATTTTATTGTCAGTACAACCAGTGTCACCGTCAGAATCAATAAAAGAACCAGCCAACACATGGTTTGATAAACTTTTTAACCTTAATTGTATTCATAGAAGAAAAGACAATAATGACATTGAAAAGAAGTATAGGATAAGTCCTTATAAATCTTCAAATTATCATGTAAGCGAATCCCAGATTCAGTATAAAATTGGAATAGACCCATATAATTGCAAACAATATGTAAGTTGTCATGTACAAACACCAAAAGATGTACACAGTAAGTATCCAAGAGAGAAACTGCAACTACTCGACAAGTTATCCTGCAATTATGTTTCTAAACCTCATTTTCCTCTTACTGGTAATGTTGAGTTTACTATAAACAAAAGAAATGAAGGAAACGATTATGATCATGATTGTAAATACCCTAATGTATCTTTCTGTGAGGAGGATAAAGATACAGAGAATTTTACTTCAAAACTAGTCGATAACTCATTTCTAGACAAAGAAACTCACAGAAGTTCAGTATACCAAAAGATTAATAATTTACTTCCAAGACTAACACCAACAATTCAATTAAAGAACCTTAAGATACTTAGTCGAATTGACAAAAATTATGTTCATGAACCTGTTGGGTTTGAAAATGAGAGATCTCCAATGTTGAATAAGCCTCGTTCCATCTATTCTCATAATGTGAATGTATTTAACTTATCTAATTCGAATGCAGAGTTATGTGGTTCTTCTTCATCGACTGGGGATACTATTTCAGAAAAGATACCAATTCAAGGAAAGTATGCACTAACTAATTATCCAATTAAAAAACAAGTTTTAGACAGTAATCGAATTGATGCAAACTCCAAAATTGTTATTGAACCAGTTCCTCTAAAAAGGACTAACTTCAAAAAGGCAAATATTAAAGCTGAAAGTTACGAAAAAGAACTACCTGAGATACCTTATCACATGCTTTTAGATAAAGAAAAGAGCAAGGGTAATAATCAATTTAATACGGTACTAAAAGTAGGTAGAGTATATCCAGTTGTGCGACCATATAATCCTCGGTTAATAGATGAAATTTCATTATCTATGGGGGAATATGTGAGGGTTCTTGTGGTTTATGAAGATAATAAATGGTGTTTAGTGGAAAAATGTACTATAGACGGCACATCTAAATCATTAATCAATTTTGGTAATCAAATGAGAAATGATAGAAAATACTTAAATGATGATAGAGGGATAATACCAACTGAATCTATTTTGAAAAAATAATGCGCATAGCAATGAATTTTTAAAACAAGTTTATGTGTATATATTGTTTTGTAGAACATACATATAAAACTTGACAATAGGAAACATTCAAACAAAAGTATATTGAAAAGTGATGATTTTTTTTTAATAAAATGACTAAGTTTCTAGTAATATTACGTTTTTATGTAATATATGTGTAGAGGAGGAATATTTTGCTAATATAAATTTAAATGAGTAATCAAAAGTCCACTAAGTACAACTTCTATCTTAAGATTTTAACTTTATGATAAATATATGTATTTTTATTATCTGATTTTGCAGGTTTACCGAAACATAATTCAGCAATAATAACTTATCCAAATGATGTTTCTTCTGACAAAACAATCTTAACAAATCCATTGTAATGTTGTAAAAAAGCATCGACTCTAAAGTTTTTTAAGTAACTCAAGATAAGGTTTGAGCAGCATCAAACATATAGTCAATAATTTGTGGGGAAATGGTAGTCCAGTTAAGGAAATTAGCTTGTAACTTTTCTGTAATTTCATCATTAGTAAAGAAAATGGTTGAATAATAAGCTTTTCATTTACAGAAGATGGTATGTTTTTGCAGGCTTAACATTACATTCAGAGTCAAGTAAACTAGTCAGTCAGAGTGTTAACTTGTAATAAATTGTTGCGTAGTTTTTGTTTTTAATTAATAGATCTGAAAATAAGATAAATCATGTGTTTATTTCTCAAGAGGAGAAAATAGAAAAGGTTGTTCATACATACTAGTAGTTGTGCTCACTTGAGTTACACAAGTAGATTCGCGAAGGGATACTACCGAAGAAAAGACGGTAGCAATAAGAACATCAATAATAGTAAGAAAATTCAAGAAATGTATATTATTTAAAATTTAATTAAAATAATATTGACCTTCTATTAAAAAATAAGAAGAATCACACATGAAATTAATTACGATTTGTTGTGCTTTGCTGTTTCTTTCAGCGAGAACATGTTGAATTATGATCTTTCTTAGTTTATCGCATACCAGATTCCTCAAACTCTTGACCTTTCAAATTCTTGGGATGCGTAATTTCTCGATGGCCGGAAATAAAATTCAATGCAACAGAAATAACTTTTTTTCTGGTTAAGGTGTTGGAAATGATAGAAAAGTTAAAGATATGGCTAAACTGAAGCAATATTTTACTAAGAGGAGATTAGTCCTGTGGGTCTCTAATGTAACGTTACTTTTTATATAGTGGAAGATTCATTTTAAATAGAAGAGAAGATAGAAAAGAGTTTCTCGAGAAACTGTTTGGTTTGTAAACATATATTATCTTAGTTCGTTCGAAGATTGTTCTTGTAGATGAAAGGATCAGTAAGTAATAATAGTTATGGGATAGAAAGACGCTTGAAATTATTCAGTTTTTCGGGGAATAGGTAGCTAGAATTATCGATTAGTGTATTCAACAAAATTAGGTTTATCATAATCAAAATACTTTACTTTAATTATCTATAAGTATAAAAGATTTACATAAAATGAAATAGAGAAGATAAAACATATTTTTTGAAAATATAGATCTAGCTTAAGTCATTAAAAACAAAAAAGGAAAGAATTCAAATGCGAAAAATTGGTAAAATATACACTGAAAAAAATTTATTTTTTTAAAGTGATTAGTTAAAAATTTCAATTGGATTATCATTGTATTCCTTAGTTGGTGGGGCTTCAATACCAGTACCAAAACATAATTGAGCCACTACAGTCCATTTAGCTGGAATAGTATCTGGTAAAGCTTCTTTAATTTGGTTATTGTAATGCTGAATGTGAACACCTAAACCTAGACTTTCTAAAGCAGCCCATGAAACAATTTGGGCACCACCAGTAGCATGTGATGCACAAACTGGAAATACCTCAGCAATTTGTGGCATTTCAGCTTGTAATTTTTCAGTGACAACGTCATCGGTAAAGAAGATTACAGATCCATACGCTTCATCTCTAACAGATTGTGGTCTTAACTTGGCATTATCATTAGGCATAGACTTAGTGACATGATCCCAAACTTTCTTGTGAGAGTCGCCAGTTAAAATTATGGCACGGTTACATTGAGAATTTAACGCGGTCGGAGATTCCTTTATTATGGTTTGTATAGTGGCTTGAACATCGTAAATCGAAATACCTGCTGGTAATTCTGGTTTAAGTTTATAGATTGTACGTCTTGATGAGAAAGTATGTAAGAAATTGGCAGTAATGGCGGACATTGCTTTTATTTGTGTTTTGGCTTTTTGAACTATTGATTTGGTTTTTTACTTTTATTATTATAATTTTTTGTCATTTTTATCAAAAAGAACTATTGGATTACAGTATTATAAGCAAATAGAAACATCTCATATATTCTTCTATAATTCGTTCTTATATATATTATTTTCTATGAAAGTGACAGATATTTATAATATAGTGTTTCAGCAGTAATTTCGATTACTTATAAGAGGTGGTTCATTCCATTACTGAATTTTCCGAATTAATAAGCAGATTTTATAGACACAAATTAAAAAATAATTATTGATCTTTTCTAGTAACCTATTTCCATCTTGTTGATAGTCTGTTTGTATATTGATCAATTTAGTATGCCATGGTTACTGATTCGTTTAACTTAGTGGTCTCAATATTAAAATGTATTTGTTAAAAAGATCATTTTTCTATTTTTTTTTTCTTTTCTTTTTTTATTTTGTAACGTAAAAAGAAGTTCTTTTTCTATTGTGGGATTCATACAAATAGAAAACAAAACAATAGAGTTTTCCCATTATTTATTCTTTTTTTTCCTTATTTCATTATGCTGAGTAATTGAAAAACGTCATAAATTGGCAGAAGTCTTTTGATTAGTAATTGTTTAATTATTGTGGCATAGAAGATACAACTATATCAGGTTCTTGGAAAAGAGACATTTATTTTTTATAATTAAGTCTATAGTTGATGAATAATATATTTTTCCATAAGATATGTTAAAATAGGGACCTGTAGATTTGGACATAAGAAAATGGAAAAAGTTACTTGTAAGTTTTAAAATATAAAATAATCAGAACTTATTATTAAGTATTACCACTTTTGCTATATCACTGTTATCATTAGAATGATTTATTGATCTGATAACTTGGAAATTGGTACTGTTTATCAAAAAAGAAAAGAGGGGGAAAAAATAAGTAAACATCAAACAAATTATGTCTTAGATTTGTTTTCTAGGATAGTCTCATTATTCTCTTTTTGAATATTGTAGATTTCCTCCTATTGATGTCACTCAGTATGATATTATTTGTGTATTAATTTTTATGACCAAATCGCTTCTTTTTTTTAATTTTCAAAATAGAGCTCAAACAGCTCCTTACTCCAGTAACTCTTATGTTAAAAGAACTTTAGAGAACTAATACATTTCATGAAACAACTCATCTACTCAAAAGTTAATTTTACAAATATAGTAGAAAAACTGTCAAATCTACCAATCTACAGATACATACAAAAGAGGAATGTGATCGAATAAATGGTTGTTATATACTTTACAACATTATATATAAATGTCTTGATGAATAAAAGAACACGTTAGGAGGTGGATGGAATGAAAAAAAAAAGTAAGACTAATATGAGCCGATTTAATTTACCAACAGTTTTTCATGGAAGCAGGAAGGGGATAAACGTTATAGAATGCAGAGGAATAATAATATAAAAAAAAAAATGAAGAAAAATATAGGTATAAATGGAAAAAAAAAATTAATTACGGGGATGAAATGTCATTAAATTAGGATAAGATTCAGATGCTACAATCAACACCAGAAAGCCCAGTATCTTTTCCACCTTGGGCCATTTTTTAGTTTTTCTCTGTATTCCTCTTGTTCTTGTCTTAACACTTCTTCATCGTAAATATGTCTTTGATAAATTAAATCAATATCAGAGGCTCTAATATATAATCTCCAGTCCCTCTTCCAGATTTTGTAACCAAAGTAAAAAACTATTAAAATTGGCATAGCTAGATAATTTTCAAAGAATGACTGAACATCTATTTTTCCTTCACCAATTGGTGCAAGGGCCACCCAGAATTGACCAATAAGAATCAAAAACATCAAGGTAAAAGAAAAGATGGACCCCCAGATACCAACTTGTGACAAATAACCAATTTCGCCAAGAGATCTACCTTGAGCTTTCATAGCCATTCTGAATCTGATATGAGATAAACATATAGACATCCATGTGAAAAGTTGAGATAGACCAGAAATGGACAATAACCAAGTGAAGACCTCATCCTCCTTTGGAGATGATGCACAAAAGGCAATGACACCGAATAAACATGCGGCTAAGATACCCATTAATGGTCTACCAGCTCTGTCAATATAAGTAAAGATTTGGGGTGCATAACCTTGTTTAGCTAAAGTTAACAACATTCTTGAACTAGAGTAAAAGGCGGAATTTGCAACAGACAAAACCGAAAGGATAATAACAGTATTAATGAAATGTGGGACGACTCTAACACCATGGTTAGCAATAGCTAAGACATATGGAGATGCTTTAATACCGTTAGATTGGGTACCTAGTAGTTGATTAGAGTTATAAGGGACAAGGAACCCAATAATGATGATGGAAGCCAAATAAATACATAAAGCTCTATAAATAATCTTCTTAGCCGCGGATGGAATAGCTTTACGTGGATTGGATTGTTCAGAAGCAGTGATGGCAATAAATTCAGATTGACCAAAAGAGAAAGCTGCAGTAACGAAAACATTAACAACACCTTTGAAACGATCAATTGCTTTATCACCTCTAAATGCACCAGGATCATGCCAATAACGACCACCAATGTAACCACTGGTACCAGCACCACCACAGATGATTATAATGCCTAAAGTGAAGAATCCAGCCATCATTAGACATTTACAAGTGTTAAAAAAGAATTCTGCTTCAGCATAACCGGCAGCACCACCAAGAAGATTAATACCCACAATTAAGACATAGAAGATGACGACAAAGATATCAGGATCAACTTTTGTAGTCCAATATTTGATTGTCATAGAAGCAGTAACCAATTCAAGAGGACAAACACAAAGCCATTGGAGACAATAAACCCAAGCGACAGAGAATCCAAGAGCAGGATCGATTAGAAAACTTGGATAAGCATTAAATCCACCAACTAAAGTCAAATAGTTGACAGCCATTTCACCACATGCCTGAATAATACAATAAACCATTAAACCCATGATAGCATAACCAATAACCAAGGCACCTGGGCCACCGTGGGACAAAGTGGCACCATTACCAACTAATAAACCAGTACCAATCCCAGTACCTAAGGAGATCATGATAACATGACGAGGTTTAATAGTCTTTTTCAACTTTTTGTCAGTTTCATCATTACTAGCTTCACCATCTGTCTTTTTGGCCATAGCATCTACAATCATATCAGCATCACCTTCATTTGAACCCATTTCAATATCCATGTCAGAACTAGTACCATGAGTATCATGAACAGGATCATCTGCTCTTTTAAAGGAATCGATAAATTTTCTAAATCTTGAGACAGGTTTATTATCAGAATAGGAATAATCATTTTGGGAACCATTACTATTTTTCAACGTTTCAAAATATTCAACTTCATTTTCTTGTTCAGTGGACTTAATTTCTGTTGTTCCATTTTTCAAGTCTTTTAATTCAAATCTTGAATCAGAACCACCAATTGGAGAGGATGGCATTTTAAATAATTTTATTTGCTTTTTGTTTTTTTTATATATCTATATTTGTATTTGAACGACTTTTCTAGCTTTGCTAACAATATAGGATAATCAAATATTTATTAGTGGCAAAGAGAACGGTGAAATATTAAATAATAAAATATAGGAAAGAAAAAGTATGAATCAAATGAAGCTGTTAAATAAAGTTTTTCAAATAATGCTAACAAAAAAATGTTGGCAAATGAGTTGGAATATAATCTCGTCTATTAGGAAAAAATGAAATTTGAAAAAAAAAAAAAGGAATGAAAAAAAAATAGTCGGGGAAAAAAAAGAAATGCTACACAATGGAAAGTAATAATTAATGAATTGATAAGTCAATCAATATATACACACGGAGAAAAGAATGTATTAAATAATCACACACAACTTGGTATGTTTTTTATTTGTTTGTTTATTTGTTTGTTGGACTATATTATATCTGTTTTCTCCAGATACTGAAAGGAAATAACAAGGAAAAGGAAGATAGTGATCCTGAAAAGAAAAAAAACGTTAGAGCCCAATCCGTGAGTAAGATGTAGCGTTATATATATAAAGAATGACTAAGAAGTAGAGACTTACAGAAGGAAACTTTGGAAGAGAGAGAAATTGCCAAGACGTACAAGAAGATCGTCATGCATAATATCCACTATTTCAGCGTCTGTAGTTCCCTTCTTCAATCTCCTTTGTGCGGGATGCACAACGGTGTCCAAAATGGAGACTTTATATATATACAATTTTTTTTTCTTTTAAATAAAATAAAGGCAAGTTGATTTATTATATAATTCAATCTAATCAATTTTCTCGTAATTACAACAAAAAAAATTTACATCACTCATTAATGACGATTGTATAATTCGAAAAAATGTGAAAGTAAGTGGGTTGAAGAAGAGAAAAGAATAGAAAAATAAAAACAAAAAAAAATAAAAAAGAAAAAGATGAAAAGTGAAAAGCAAAAAAGAGAAAATAAAAAGTATTTACCAGGGGAAATTTTACAGTACTGGGGGCACAGAAAGAATATGATAATTTTCATTGGCCAAACCTCGAATATAAGTTTTATTTCTTGGGGTTACTGGCAAATAATAGAGAGATGTGGTGAGATATAATGGCTTTTTTTTTCTAAAATTTCAAATTCCAAAAAAATACTTAGGTGTTTTGATGAGTAAATAAATAATTTCTCGATATTATTGCGGTGAGTAATTAGGCTATTTTACTCGAGAAGTTATCAATTTCATTTACCCCACACATATTCTTATCTTTCTCTTATCTATTATTTCCAGAAAGCTGCATTTTTAGATAAGGAAATTTGTCTTATCAGTAAATATCATTGATCACTCCTTACAGACTCCTGTAAATTTTGATACAACAAATATACATACAATATTTATTTTAAAAAAATTCAGAGCCGTGCCTTGGTATCTATTGTTTTTTTATTGAACGGCATCGAAAAATAAATAATACAAACAACAGATATTGTGTATATTTTCCTTCAGGTTTTTTTTTTCGAATTATATAATGAGTCTGAAATATTATAATCTTCACAATTTCTTAAAAAATTCAATCTCTTAATCATTGATCTAAAAAATGAGGAAAGGGGCGGTACCATGGAAGGATAATTACGTTGTTTGGTTTTTCCTTTTAGTGTTTAACCTAAAAAAAGTTTTCAAAAAATATCCATTGAGATAGCAATAAAAATATATTAAACTTAATCAGGGGGTATTTAGTCAAAAAAAAAAAAAAAAAAAAAAAAAAAAAAAAACAGTTTAAGAAATTTGTAAAAATGCAAAAATGATAATTGTATCTGTTGTTATCGTTGTATTTGCAAACTAATGCACTATTTTCCAAAAATAAGATACTCGGCTTAGTTAGTAAAAAATGGAGTCTTTTTCGTTTATTTCTTGTAGGAATATTACCTAAAATATCTTATAACCTAGTATTTTAAGCAGTTCATTTTACTTAAAAAAAATATTTCACTTAAAACCCTAAATTTTTTAGTATTCAAAAAAAAATTAAAAAAAAGGAGAAATCTGATTTATTTAATTGTGAGAGAAGTTTGCAATATATTTTAGAAAATTCCCGTATAAGGAAATTTGTTGGCCAGAGTCAAAATGAAAAACTTAAAATACAATATCGGGGTTTAACTCTAGCATAGCAATAACAGTTAGAATATGAAAGAAAACTTGTTAGGGTTGGAAAATATGTTATTTTTAAATAGTAAGAAATTGAGATAATGGAAAAGTTCTAGAGCACACTAACGCACCTATATATACTAATGATCTTACATTTTTTGTGATAGTTTAATTAGATGTGTACGTTCTTTCTTGCTATTTAATTTTTAATTTTTTATTCTTGTGTTCTTTCAGGTAGGAGAGATGACTCACATTGTTCTAGCTTTAGTCTATAACCTTTGTTGGAAACAGAGATCGGCACAACAATTGGGCATCTTGGTTTGTCATAAGTTTCAGAAATTTTTTTAGTTACTAATATTGTTGACTGATTGATAATTACTTACTTTTAAAAAAAGAAGAAAAAGAAGAAAAAGAAAAAAAAAAAGAATCAGATTGACTCTATTTATTTTTAATCTGACAGAATTCGATTAACATTATTAATTTTTTCTTTTTTTTCTTTTTTCTTCTTTTCAAAATTATGATAATTATTATCAAATTGTTATAAAATAAGGAAAAACTAAATCAGCTATAATCTGACCACAAATTTTTTTTTTTGCGGAGTGAGAGTCATTTGTTATTGCATAAAAATCAATTATGTCTTGCTTTTTTAACTCTAAACTATTTCTATATATGGGTAGGACTACATAGTGTAAAATCAGCATTCTTTTTATTAGTAGAATAATACTATTTTCACTTAGTAAAGTAGATGATAATGTAAAAATGAACACATTTTTTATGGTGGGAAAATATATACATTTCTATCATAAAGGTACTAGATCTTTTTTTTTTTCTTTAATTATTTTTTCTAATGATCTTATTTAGAATTTCAAATTAAATAAATAAAAGATATAATACTGACTAAAATATTTTATGACATTTCATAGTAATCAGTTTTCTTTTTTTTTGATTTTTGTCTTAGTTGTTTTCTTTCCTGAGATTTTGATAGATATTAAGTTAACATAATTTTAAGATTGTAGTTTTTTTTTTTTGCATTATTAAGAAGTTCAATTATTCGTTGGAAAGAGTTTTGGTAATATCTAAAAGTTTTCTTTGTAGTATTATTATTAGTTTACATTCTATATTTATTGTGCAATATTTTTGGCAGAGTTTTGACCTCAAAAAATGTAAAAATATTGAAATAAGATTAAAGATGTATGTATGTGATAATCTAAATTATCTATATCAAATGATTGATAATTTTATAATAGCTTACAAAAGAAGAGTTAAAATAATATGTGATATAGTGTATAATAGTTATATATGTATATTTAGTATGTAGAACAAAATAAGGTAAGCAATAAAATAATAATTTATAGTACCATTAATATCCTACTATAAATAGCTAAAACTAATAACATTACCGACATCTTGTTATAAATTATATTATCTTTTTTTATTAATTTAAAATGAATGCTAGTAATAATTTTGTAATTGTTTATTTTTTAATATTTTGTTTTGACTTTGTTGTATCTTGTGGATCCAAAAGAAAAAAACATTTTTGCATTTTTCACAAATCTTTTTCTTCCTCGCAAAATGATAAACATTGGAAATACACATGAGCACTCGCAAACATTTTCAACTACTACCTGTTAGTAATATATACAAATGAGCAATTATTATATATTTACTTGTTGAAATAGAATGTTCTATGATAAAATAGATAGAACAATAAGATTTTAGCAGACACTAAACGATAAATTGTTGAGTAATAATTGTTGAGAGGTCACCAAAAGTTGTTGAGTTTGTTTATTAAATATCTTACTGTTCGTAGAGGAAAATGGCTTAATGTTAACATATATAAAGCCAAGGATTTCATCATACATTATTTTTATCTTATTTACAATCTTTGTATATAATTATTTCTATGTTGTATATAGAGAAAGAAAGTGAAGAACTTTATTATAATTTTGTATACTAAATCTGTTTAATATAATATTGAGAATGTTTACTATATATCCAATGAATAAAGGCGCTCATTCTCAACATTACTAAAAAAAAATTTTTTTCATTTCCTTTTGCTTAATGTGTTCTCATACTAAGATTTAGGATACATTACAAATAATAGTCCATTGTCCTCAAAAAAAAAAAATTCTTCTAGTAAAAACTAAAATAAAATAAAACCAATTATAGAGAACAACATCATCAATAAAATCAACTTATAAATTCCAACATTTTAATAAAGAAAAATAAGATAACTTAACTAAATTTTTTAACTTTTAAATAATTGGTAGTGAACTTAATGAAAGGGAACAAATATACAAAAATACCACTATTGTATTCCACATATTTTTTATAACTATACAAATTGATTAATTTTTCAATAAAATAACTAACATTTTCGAAAATTACATCAAATCAATCTAAATGACACTAATAAAAATCGAACCCTGAAATATACACCCTAATCTTTCTTCCCTCCCTTATTATTCCCGAATAACAAGAAACAAAAAATAAGAACGAAAAAAAAATCCGAAAAGGCAATTAAAATTTATTATCTTTACCTAAAACAGCAAAAAAGATAAAAAAAAGGAAAAACAAAACCCAAGAGGAAATTCACAAAGGATGCGTTACGGAATTTGGAACGGAATTATAACTTTACACTATCGGAATATAGATGGCTACTTAAAACTCAGAAAATTCGTACGTTATTTTATTTTCCGCCAAATAGTTTTTTCCCTTTCCTTACCAGAAAAAATAGAGAAATTAAAGAGGGAAAAATTTACAAGAAACTTTTTCCTTGCATAACATTTCCAATAAACAAAACAAGATAAAACTAACATTCCTCGAGAAACAGACTGATAGCAACATCTTTTTGAAAAAAACTAACGCTTGAGTCAATCGCTTTGAATACTATTATTGCTGTCAACTCCTCTATTTGACGTTTATCCACCTACCTACGCATACGTAACCGTAATCTATATAAACGTTTGCATTCTCCAATATATTTTAAACTAAGAGAATCACATCAAGTGTTAACTATTCTCTCTTTTTTCATTAAAAGTTTTTATTTTTTATTTATCTTTTTAATTAAATTATTTACTACAATTCCTAAACCCTGTGATATAATCCATTTTTGCTTGTTTATAGTCTACTAATCAATTGTTTCGATTCTATCTCTATTTTTTTACTTTTTGACAAAATTTACCTTCTATTTAATTTTCAACCTAATGACAATGGATTCAATGGAATTACCTTCTATCAGTAGCACTACTAGTATTTCAGATAATCCTGCATTGAAAAATTATTATGAAAAGTTATTATTTAAAAATGGTAGTAACAAATCTTTGACGGATTTTCAACATGAATTTAATCCCAATAACGACAACAGTACATTTGATAAAAATGATATTACTAACAGAGTTGACTTCATCAAAGGCTTTAATCATAACGACAACAATCATGATCATACAACAAACTCTACTTCTACTTCCACTTCTTCTACCACAATTGCAACCACTAACCATTCTCCATTAATAGGTAATGAACACTTTAGTCCTTTAACTAAATTAGATTCACAGCAACAATTTGAAAATGTTGATCCAAAGAAAAGGGTAAGTAAAGTGACTTTCCCATCTTTACAGATCATTCCAAATGAATCAGAAAGTAATTCGATGGAACCAACAAGTAATTACGATATATCTATGTTTCAATCTGCTGGTTTGCCATATGAACGTAGTAATATCATTAGTAATAATATTGTTAAAAGCGGTTCCCAATCTAATGGTAGAAGAAAATCTATCTTCAATTTCTCGGAAATTAATAAAAAGTCTAATAACAACATCGGAATCATTGTAAATTCTTCCAACTCTAATGCTACGACAACTTCAAATGGTCAACCTGTTTTAACATTTAATAACTTTAATTTTAATGGTACTAGTAATCATGTGAATAGCAACAATACTACCACTACTAACATTGCTGCTGCCAACAATAGTAATACTATGAATTCAAATATCACAAGTGCTGGCGACTTGTTTCTACCAAATAAACAGACTCTCTTTGCTAGTGAAAGAAGATCTTCTTACATTTCTGATTCTTTGATTCATCATAATTATGGTAACAATAACAGCATTAGTAATTATCATAATATTGATCCAAATATGGTTAACAACAGTGGACTATTAAATAATTATCACTTTAACAGTCAGAATGATTATACCCAAATGATACCAAATAGAAATAATTCTAATCTTATTCAAAATAATCCTAATCTTAATTATTATGACCAACTTAATAATAATTCTAATAGCATTGCTACACTACAAAGATCAAATGATAATGGCTTATTACCGCAGAGTGTTTGTCTACGGAGTCCTGCTACCTTATTGAGCCAAATGTTCAATAATACCAACAATATTAATCCTTCTGATACTAAACTACATACTAATGGGTACCCATATAGTAAATTGTCCAATATGCCATCACAGAATGAGCGGTATGTCACCACCATACAACAAACCTATAATAATATCGGTAGTATGAATACTGATTTTACTAATCCAATAATGAATAATTATAACAATCAAAGAAGAAACACACAACCTGCTTTATTTTCAATGAATGGAAATAAGAATACCAATGGCAATTCAAAAAAGAATAATCAATATGGTTATTTGAATTATTTGAATAATACAAGATACGTTAATGCTTCTTCTACCAATAACAATAATAACATAACGACAAATAGTAATAATAATATGAATCACAACAACGATAACAACAGTAATAACCAAGATAATGGATTAATATTATTAAATACAAGACAGTTAACATCATCTTCTGAGTTGCAAAAAATATACGAGGAATGTGGTAAAAATTATTTTTCAAGTGAACAAGTCTATAATTTTGGTGATTATATTAAAGGTTTATTAAATATCGATTCCAATAACAATGATAAAAATAAAGATTCTGAATATATGACTATTAAAAAGTCAGTCTCAAAGTTTTTATCATTTTTAAAGAGCTGTAATTTAAGTTATAACTCACAATCTGATACCTTTATATCCAAAAGTAGTACAAACACTACTGCTAACAACAATAATAATAATGCTGTTTCGACCAATGGTGGCAAAAGACTATTCAATGCATCAATTCAAAATAATACTAATAGTAATAATAATTCCACATCCACTTACTTACATTATAAACCCTTAGTGTTAGTCTCTTTGAAGAATGGTAAATTAGAATTATTATCAATCCCATCGAATAGTAACTTACTTATAAAACGTGGAGATCTGATCATTATCGATGGTGACCGTGGTAAGGATTTGGCATTAGTAGTAGAACCAGTTATAAATTTAGATATGGCATTAATGATAAATTTTTTAAAGAAAAAAATCCATTTTGACTCGTTGATTACAAATCGAGATCAACATTATCCTAATAGTAAGTTTATTAACGCTTTAGTCAATGCTACACAGAGATTAACTGATGAATTAGACCCTAAACTATACGATGTCATTGAATTAATTCAATTAGTAGTTCCATCTAAACAGATAGTCAGATTTGCCACACCATGGGAAGTCAGTTCCAATTTACATAATAAATTTCAAGATGAATTGAAAGCATTACATATTGCACAACTAAAATTAAAATCATTAAATAATCATGACTCGCCATCATCATCATCTGCAACAAATTCTAATAATGCCAATAATAGTACTGCTGTAGAAGCCAACAGCAACAGTACGAAATTAAACATTAAAATACTTAATGCTGAGTTCCAATTTGATAGAAAGAAATTAACATTTTATTATATATGTGAAGAACGTAATGATTTTAGAGAATTAATCAAAGAATTATTCAAGTTTTATAAGACACGTATCTGGTTATGTGCTATACCAAACAATTTGAATATAGACAAATTATATTGTGATAATCAACAACATAAATTAAAGATGTATCAGGAAATGACGCCGCATTACATTAACGATGATTTGAGTGACACAAATTTGCAACAAAATGGATCTAGTAGATTCTTTGCAGCACCAGCATTGAATCAATTGAAGTTGGATGATTTCCAAATTGGCGTTTATAAAGAATTAGTGAAAGCTCTGTTCTCCTCTCCTTCTTCATAATTATCTTCTTCTTCTTCATAATTATCTTTCTTCTTCTTAATTACCTTCTTCTTCTTAATTAGGAGATATCAATTATTAAACCAGATCAAAACATATAAGAAAATAAACACAGACACATACCAACATTTATAGAGGAACATAATACATACATACATACATATATACGTATGGACGTGCCTATATATAGATATTTTAAAAAAAAATTTTTTTTGTTCTTATTTTTAATTACTACGTTACCATAATATTTTTAACCATAATTTGTAATACTTAATTCTGTATTTTGTAAATGAATACATATTTTATTAAATGAGGTAGAAAAAAAGATATGAAATAGATTCAAGTTTTTAACAATGTTTAATAATATATATAACTGTGTTTAGTTCTATCTTCTCTTGGTTCTCTTATTATTATTATTATCTTTTATTTTATCTTTTTTACATACGTTACATAGATAAAATTATACTGTACTGTATATATATATATACAAATCAAAAAATCGTCAACGTTACGACGAAAAAAAAGAACAAAAAACAAAAAAAGAAAACTCCATATATAACATAACACAACACTGTTTTATTCGTTCAGTCATGTTCAGCAAAGAAAAAATTTATAGCCAACAATTTTAATTTGTTAGCAAGAGCCCATTTTTCGATACCTGTGGCAGGTGTGCCATATCCCCAATTGACTCTTTCTTCAATGGAAGTAAAGATATGATTATCCTCAATCTCTTCAAACAAAAGGAAAACATAACGATGTTCACCAGTGCCAGCTGGAGGACCTGGTCCCATATATTTGACTACTTTATGACCGTTAGTTATTAAGCCGCCAGTTGGTTCGTGAAACTTGATACCAGTCTGGACGAAATGACAATATTCGGACCATTTATGGTCTACTCTGGAAGGAGCATCTGGGTCTGTCATTACTAATGTATAACACTTATCTAGATTTAGTGGAAAGTCGTTGTTAGCCAAATAAGTGACTTTTGGGGCTTCTTGGGTCAATTTAGGAGACAATTTGTTACCTTGATTGACCACGACATTTGGGTGTGGATACTCAATGGATAGAGTCCCAGATAAAGACAAGCTTGCAGGATTTGTGACTTTTGGAAAAAGATCCTTAATCACCTCATGCTTATTCAAAACCTCTAATAAACTCTTCATTTTTATTAGTTAAACCAAAACTACTAATAAAACCTGCTGGGTTAAAGATGTATGTATATTACTATATATATATATATATATATAGTATTGTTTAAATAGAGTTAAACCAATGTTGCTGCTGCAATATGTCGTAATGAAAGGATACCAATATGCTATAATTTGTACAAATGACATTAAAAGTCAGAATTTGACATAAAAATAAATCAATGAATATTACCAAAAAGAAAAAAGAAAAAAGAAAAAAAAAAGGGGAGGGGGTGGGGAAGGATTAGAAAGAGAAAAAAAAAACAAACAGTAAATTTTTTTGGGTTGCCACAGAAACCACATGACACAAAAGCACGTAATCCACAGTTTTGCAAACGAATTTGTTTTTTCTTTTTCTTTTTCTTTTTTTACTGGACATTTTCTGTGGAAGGCGATAATTATTTTTTCTTTTCTTTTCTTTTTTTTTTCAATAACAAAATTTAAACACCGTAATAAAAAAAAATTCAAAACAAAACAAAAAAAGAAAGGACTTACACAATTTGAAGAAGAAAAGCAAACCTTTTTTTTTTCATTTGTTTTTTTATTCTCCTCGTATTGTTTTCTATTGTTAGAGACTTACACAGTTTTTTTAATTTTTTTTGAGAAAACCAAGAACATTTTACAAAAACTGTGGGAAACCACATTTATTTTTTTTCGTTTTAGTCTTTTTCTTTTATTTTCTCGGCAATTTATTTCCCTTACGCTTATACCAAAAGCAAAAGCAAAAGCAAAAGCAAAAACCAAAAAACCAAAAAAAAAAAACAGATAGACACTAAAAAAATATAGGGTTTCGTGAAAAAACACTATAAGCCAGACCAAGCACACGTGACTTCCTCTCAGGTCACATTTACTATTCCTTATTCAACAATTGAAGTCAAACACAAAATCACTGTTCAGTAGAATCCAAGAAAAAGTCTCACGTTATTATTTATTTCCTTATATTTTTTTATTCCCAGAAAACCACGTGGAAGAAACAGTAAAATGAACAACACGTCGTTGTTAGTTGTTAGGGTACCCCATATTTTACCTGTATAGATGTCCATGTAGAAGATAGGGTTTATCTCTTTCACTTCAACTTTTATCGGTGTCTTCCAAACTAAAATGGACAAAACGGACCAAAAAAAAAAAAAGAAAAACAAGATTATTTACCCTGCATCGTTTAAAAAAAACCACCAACATCAAAAACCTTCACGCTTTTTGTTCTTTTTACCACAAATAGGCGAAACATTCTTAGCCCGAAAAATAAAAAAAAATTGTTTTTTTTTTATTTTTTATTTTTGTATTCACCTATTTTCCATCTCCTATTATTTTATACGATCGAATGTTTATGAGGAAAATCCGATGAGATGAAAAAAAAATTTTTTTTTCTCTTTCTTCTTTTTCTCTATTTTTGATTGTTTTTCTTTTGTTATGCCCACATTTAATTCCAATATATCCATCCTACTAGGAAATATCTCTTCCAAGATCGTCCAAATAATTTCACTAGCGATGACCATTATATATAAAGTTGAAAATACTCGAGGGCATACGAATTCTCTGTGCTTTTTTCTGACAAGTTAGTCTCCTATCTTCTCTGGTACTTCATCTTTGTCTTTCTTTTCTCTCTTTTTTTTTTTTTTTCCAATCACTCCTCTTCTCTTGCAGTAACCTTACAAACACGCACGCATACACGCATATATACATCAATTCAATAGACAAAATGGCTGGTACTTTCTTATTCACTTCTGAATCCGTCGGTGAAGGTCACCCAGATAAGATCTGTGACCAAGTCTCTGATGCTATCCTAGACGCCTGTTTGGAGCAAGATCCGCACTCCAGAGTCGCCTGTGAAACCGCTGCCAAGACTGGTATGATCTTGGTCTTCGGTGAAATCACCACCAAGGCCACCATTGACTACCAAAAAATTGTCAGAGACACCATCAAGAGAATCGGTTACGACTCCTCTGACAAAGGTTTCGATTACAAGACCTGTAACGTTCTTGTCGCCATCGAACAACAATCCCCAGATATCGCCCAAGGTGTCCATGAGGAAAAAGCCATCGAAGACATCGGTGCCGGTGACCAAGGTATTATGTTCGGTTACGCCACAGACGAAACCCCAGAAGGTTTACCATTAACCATCCTTTTAGCTCACAGATTGAACATGGCTATGGCTGATGCCAGAAGACACGGTAATTTAGACTGGTTGAGACCAGACACCAAGACCCAAGTCACCATCGAGTATAAGGAAGATCACGGCAGATGGATCCCATTAAGAATCGATACCATCGTTGTCTCCGCTCAACACGCCGAATATATCTCCACCGAAGAACTAAGAAAGTTGATAAAGTCTGAAATCATTGAAAAAGTTTGTCCAGCTGAATTATTAGATGAAAATACTAAGTATTTCATTCAACCATCCGGTAGATTCGTTATCGGTGGTCCTCAAGGTGACGCTGGTTTAACCGGTAGAAAGATCATTGTCGACGCTTACGGTGGTGCCTCTGCCGTCGGTGGTGGTGCCTTCTCCGGTAAAGATTACTCCAAAGTCGACCGTTCAGCTGCTTACGCCGCTAGATGGGTCGCCAAATCCTTGATCGCCGCTGGCTTATGTAAGAGAGTCTCTGTTCAATTTTCTTATGCTATCGGTGTTGCTGAGCCCTTATCTATACACGTTGACACCTACGGTACTGCCGAAAAGTCTGATGAAGAAATTATTGACATTATCAGAAAGAACTTCGATTTGAGACCAGGTATCTTAGTCAAGGAATTAGATTTGGCTAGACCAATCTACTTGCCAACTGCTTCCTACGGTCACTTCACTAACCAAGATTACCCATGGGAAAAACCAAAGACTTTAAAGTTTTAAATGAAAAGATGATTGTTTAATTATTTCATCTTTTTTTTTTTTCTCTTTTTTTTCCCCACCCCCTTCCTCACTCACCTTTCCTACTTATCTTTGATATTCAACATTCATTTTTTCTATTATTTGTTTTATAGATAAACACCATATTGTTGTTTCATTTTGACCTTTCACCCCTTCCTATATTCATAGATGAACATTGTCATTTACTAATATTATTAATTCAACTTAATAACAAGAAAGAATGAAAGAAAAAAAAAAGAAAAAGATATACTTAAATGTATAAATTTGTGTGTTTTTTTTCTTTCTAATCATGTACAAATGATTTATCATGTTGGTGCCAATATACCGACACCTCAAATTTTGTTTTTATATGTGCATATATTGTATACTTATATAGTTTATTATTTTTCAACAAAAAAATATTCATGTTCCTATTAATAAATAAATAAATTAGTCAACTAATGCTCTAAATGTTCACAATGCATTAGACTGATTGGATGCAAATATGCTACATTATCTACCACCTCCTCCAACTGAATTCCTCTCTGTGTTCTCTCTATAGTATTTATCTATTATTATGCTATAAAGTATTTAATAAATCCAACGCTTCCTTTAATTGATCTTTTGCAGTGACAATATCCTCATAATTTAACGCACTTATCGCATATTTAGCCAATTTTTGTATCTTTTCTATTTTCGAAGCTTGATCCATCATTTCTACCAATTCATCCTTAGAATATTGATGATGATTATTATAATGATGTGACTGAACCCCATCCAAGGAAGTATCCCCGTTGCTACATTTTGTTTCTTCCTCATATCCCAAAGTCTTGTGTTCCATTTCATATTCACTATCAACATCAGGATTTATTAATTCTAATTTCCTATCTGGCACATCAGTTGGAACAGGGGGTAGTTGAAAATTCGAATCACTATTATCGATACCATCTATGCTATTATGCTCTTCATTTATATCGTCATCATGTTCATCATTTGATATACCAGTTTCCTGTCCAATTATCTCTCCTCCTTTTCCTCCTTTTTCTTTCTTCTCTTGTTTTTTTTGTTCGTCCTCTATCGAATTTGATTGTTCTTCCTTATAGTTATCTTCTTTAAGATGAAGAGTCTCTGGTGAACTTTCAATAACCTTTCCATTTGCCTTATTATTCAATTTCCCTTTAGCAATCTTACTTAAGTACAACTTACAATATTTCAATCTTTTCTGTATAAGTTGCTGTTCCTGTTGCTGTTCCTGTTGCTGTTCCTGTTGCTGTTCTTCAATACCACCATTATTTTCTGATACAGAATCAAAATTCCACATGTGCAAAATTGTTTTAAATAGATCAATACAACACCAAAATCCACGCTTTAAATCTTGTTCAACATTATTATTACCACTGATACTAACATTTTCCTCCTTATTTTGGTTGTCCGTGACCTTTGACAGTTGTTCTAATTTTTGATTATACAGATTCATTGCAAAATTAATAAAATATACCTTTGCCTTATCCTGATCGTTAATTAACAATTTAACATTATTTTCCCCATCATTATCATCAGACGCTAACACACCAGTCTTAAATTGTTCAATACTATCTAACAAATTAGATGCTAATTCAGTCAACTCCTCAGGTCTATTAACCTCATTCAAAATTTTCTCTACAAGATATAACCTTAAATAATAACTTATAATTATTAATCCGACTGCATCAAAATCTTTTGCAGTTTTCAATAATCTAGCTATTGTTACCCTATTAATAGTCATCTTAATCAGGAAGATAAAGTAGATATTTCCACACGAATCTATATTTTTATATTCCTATCACTACCCTTGATTGTAAACTAATAGCTTGCTCTTCATAAGTTAACAATTTATCCTCCATTTTTAAATGTGCGGTTCTAAAAAGAATATAAAAAATATGGAAAATTTTTGAAGAGTTTCAAAAACAGGAACTTTTCTAGACAGGAGAAGAAGCGCATAGATAGAGATAATACAAACCTGTACATAGTTGGCTATTATTCACCCAACTGGTTAATTGACAGTAACACCATCTTTCGTGATATTATAGAGTGCCTTTTTTTTGTTATCATTACTTTAGGAAGAAAAATTATAAATAACTGAACCAATTAAAGTGTCTCTTCGTGTAGTAAAAAAAGTTAAACTAAAATACATACATACATACATATATATATATAGTGGCATTATTATAAATCAGTTTTATTAAGGACTTCACAATATAATAATACCTCTAATTAGTAATTAATATGACTTTTGTTGATATCACTGGGTATTTGAATGATGGCACCTGCATTGTTCTTAAAAGAAATACAAGAAATGGATATATCACATTGAAACCATTTTTACCCATATTGGATCAATTGAATGATTATAATAATATTAACCCTAATTTGTCAAAAACAGAATCTAATCCATTTACAATTGATGCAATAAAATTACATAAATACTATAGTAATGATGTAACAAATAAGGACATGACTTTAATAGATACAAATAAAGAAAATTTACTCCTGACCAAATTTGGTGTCTTGGTTGACACAGATGCTAATGGTGATAAATGGATTACCGGTGAAAAAGCTATTCAAATTTTAAAAAAAGCTAATCTTTATGATATATTCAAAGATAAATTAACTAGTGATACAAATAGAACTAAAACAATAACGAATATACATAAGAATAGTAGTACTGAGGACAACCATAATACCACCACAACTATGACCAGCTCCACAACTTCTAAAAGAAATACAGACTCTTTTTCGCAAAGTACTGATCCACAAAGACAATTAGGATCCCCATTGAAAAAAGTGAAATTAGATAAGAGTCTTAAATTAGACCATTCTTTAAGTGAAGGTTTTAGTTCTTTTCCTTTGTATAAACATGATTTACATCTAAACTTCGTAAATGTACCATTAACTATCCAAAAGACAATCCCAACTGCATCTGCTATAGACAAAGATGAGAGACTAAAATTGGAGACATTCTTACAAAAATTGTTATTCCCATCAACTGGTGAAAATAATAATTACTCAACAAATGAACAATCCTATAATTTGGTCGAAAAAGCTCTGCTACAAGAATTAGATGCTATGTTTCCTCATGTATTATTAAATCTAAATATCCCAGTAGATGAACATGGTAACACACCATTACATTGGCTCACTTCCATAGCCAACCTTAACTTAGTGAAATCACTAGTTAAATTAGGATCAAATAGATTATTAGGGGACAATGATGGTGAATCACCTCTTGTCAAAGCAGTGAAATCAGCAAACAATTACGATTCTGGAACTTTTGAAGAACTATTAGACTATTTATATCCATGTCTGATTCTCGAAGATAATATGAACAGAACTGTTTTACATCATATTGTTATCACATCAGGTGTCGCTGGTTGTTCTTCAGTCGCAAAATATTATCTTGATGTGTTAATGGGTTGGATTGTGAAAAAGGAAGATAGAATATCAAATCTACATGATGTAGATCCAATTTTGAAAAATTTAACTTTAAATTGGGTCTTAGTAAACATGTTAAACTTACAGGATTCAAATGGTGACACATGTTTAAATATTGCAGCAAGGTTAGGTAATGTAGGAATTGTAGACGCACTATTAGAGTACGGAGCAGACCCATATATTGCAAATAAATCCGGTTTAAGACCGGTTGATTTTGGTGTTAGGGCGTTAAAAGATTCTAATATTACAGAAAATAATAATAATAGCAATCATACTAATAGTATTCATGCCACACCGATAGCTGCTAGTGGTAATTATACCGAGGACAAGGGCTTGACACCTCCTGCAAATGATACTAGTAAAAATAGTAAAGACGATGTGGATAATAACGTGAATCATGTTAAGAATAACTCCACCACCAATTTCAAACTAGACTCAATGAAAGAACCAGATACCATGAGTCTAATTAACGACTTAAAAGTGTTACTGTCAGATGTAACAAAAGATTATGAAGATGAACTTTCTGAACATAAGAAAAAACTGTCTAAATTGCATGAGGAATTAAATTCACAAAGAAAACAACTTGCTCTAACCAGAGAACGGTTACAAAATGCGAAACAGTTAAATGACGAATACATTCTTTTAAAAGAACAATTAATAAATTTGCAAAAAGGTATCAAAAAAGAAGAAACTAATTTCATAGAAGAATCGAAAAGATTAGGTATTTCAACAGAAGAAACTGCTGGTATTGATTGGGATTCTGGAGATTTTGATGTGGATGAACCATTTAGAATTAATTTGATTCATGATTTCTTAGAGACTAAGCTAACTAATGAGTATCATGGAGACATTGAAAAGTTATTGAATGAGGAGTCTGTAGAAAATGTTATGAAACAAATACGATCCAAATATGATGTCAACAAAATAAAGGATGAATTACCTTCCTCCACATTACTGAAGACACGAATAAATGCTTATAAGAAGAATGACGAATATTTACAAACTATATTAAATGATATTCATGAAAACCAATCGGACTTAGAAGGCAAATTTAGAAGAGTATTAGCTCTATGCTTAAAAGTGGATGAATCTAAGGTTGACAGCATGCTAGATGGTCTTTTGCAAGCTATATCATCAAAAGATCCTCAAGACATGGATACTAATGAAATGCAAGAATTCTTAAACAAACATGCAATTGTCTAGATAATGAAAGCAAAATATAAGAAATATGTTAAATATTTATTTCATAAAAAGAACACCGCTGTATGATTTTCTTCTCCTTCTTTCTCTTTCCAAATACACCTATACATAAATACATACAATTACATATACATTAAATTAAATTCCAACACTGTATAAACTAAGTTACGATTTCATACATACATAGTTTTTTATCAGTCTTTACTCTATTATTAGGTTTCTATTTAGCTGGTTTTTTCCAAAAATATTGCTTATGCGTTTTCCTGCAAGATCTTAAACCTGTTCTACCACCTTTAATAGATAGAACATTAAATTTTCTAACTTGGTTTGGATCATTCTCTAAGTCATAGTAGTATTCTTCTTCTAAAGGTTTACCTGCTGCATCTTTCCCCTTACGATATATGACACCAATACAAGGTTCATTTGCTAATAATGCACGTACTTCCTCCTTCTTCAAGGCTTTTATCTGTGAATTAGCATCTCTTAACAAAGACAAAGGTGTCTGTTGTACATTTGCAAAGGCCAAGTAGTTGGCTAAGATGTGTTGTAAATCTTGACAATCTATGCCACGTTTTGTCAAAGAATCAATAATTTCTTCAGTGGATCTCTTGGGCTCTGCAAACTTTGTCAATCTTCTCACATGATTTTTACTCTTTTTATCTTGATGAGAGGATTCCAGGAATGGAGAGAAACGTTTTAATGGTTTGATTGGAGTCGGAGATATTGTATCTGAGACAATATTTGTTTGTATCAATGGTTTCAAAACTTCTGAATCTATCTGATTTTTTGAAATTTCTCTTTCATGTAAAACATGATCACGAAACGATAGTTGCTTCATAGTCAAAAGTACTTCCACATTACGAAAGTCGATAATTGTGTTATTCATAAAGGGCAATATAACAGTATCACCTTTCCTTAATGCAAAGGAGGTCAAATTTTGTTCTTTCAATAATTGTTTTTCCTTATCAACAATATCAAGATTATCATTAGAAGAGAACTCGAATTGGTTGTCACGACGCCTCATTAGATGGCATGAAATATGACGTGGCAAAGCGACAATCAACCCATTTAAGCCCAGACATGTCAACTTCAATTGATTCTTTCCAGGAAAATATGACAAAATTGCATGTTTTCTTGAGATCAATTTAAATTTAGGTAGAACGACATCGCAACTGCTTGACTGACGACCAATTTTGTAAGTAGCGGGCTCATTAGGATGTAATTGAATAGGTATCACTAATTTATTGTTAATAGGAGATTCTTCTAAGATAAATGAAGATGTAATATTAGCGCCATTGCCCCTCTTCACTGGAGAAAGGAAAGAAGAGGAAGGAGAAGAAGTCTGAATAGGTACTGTATTTTTAATTGGGGAAGAAGACAAATTACCTATACTTGAAGAGGGCAAAGGTGTTGGATAGTGGACACCACTATTATTTTGGTTTATGATTGTATTTTTAGCATTATAGTTCGTATTTTCAAATTCCAATTTCTTTGGGATGGAAGTCCCTTTAAAATGAAGCTCTTTGTCTTTATTAAAATCACCGACTATTGGTGATGATGGTGGGAATTGATATGACATTATTTTTATTGCTAAAGAGGTTTGAATATTAATTGACTTTATTGTATATAGCTGATTTGATAAAAGAAAAAATATGTAGCATGGAATAATAATTGAAACCAATCTTCTTTTTGTTTTTTTAGAAGAAGAGGAGAAGAAGAGGAAAAAGAAGAAGTGGGAGAAGACACAGGTACAGTGATGATATAGTTGAACAAGAAAAAGATCGTACAAACACAGCTATCATATCTTACAGTATATACTTCAAAAGTAAAAAAAAAAACTAAATTCTTTCCATCTCCAGTGGTCTACATAATGTTTATTATTCCAATTTAAATAATATTCCATACCAAGCTGACGCGTTCTTGGTGTTTACGCGTTTACAAAAATAGAGAAAAAGACGCGTCACAAATTTAACAAAAACACGAAAAACGAATTGGAAAAAAAAAGAAAAAGACACAGCACCATTAGCAGTAGCAATTATTTTACTGTTGGTTGGTTGGTTGGTTGGTTAATGTTATTTTAGTAGCTATTCTACCCTAAGAAGATTGACAGGTGATAAGGCTTTTCCAAGAGACAAAGATATGGGAATTCATAAGAAATGCTTGTATTCCTCTTTCGACACCTACCTACCAAGCTAAGTATAAGCTGTACATAGATTTATATTGACATGTTCATAAGTCATCAACTAATCATATATAATGCTCTTGTCCATATATCAAATTACAAAATAAAAATAAAAATAAAAGTAAAAGCTTAAAAACAACGATAGCAACAACAGTATCGTAGCTTTTTCTAACCTGCCATAAGCTAATTTATATGGAGTTGTAAATTCGTTATAAGTTTTCATATATTCAAATGGCTATATATTATGCGACTATTCACAAATTACAATTGTCTCTTTTTTTTTTTTTCCGATTCAAAGTAAGATTGTTAGGGTAGACCCACATTATACGTAAATTTATTTTTATTAGTAAGGGTTGCAAAATAAGTTTTTGAAAAACAAGAAAAAGAAACAAACAAAAGAAAAAGGAAAGGAAAACAAAATTGACGTTGCTTTAGGGTTACAATTTCTCCCCCTTTTTTTTTCTGATCTTGGAAAGAGAAAAAAGAAAAAGGCAACATTCAAAGCTTCGAAGAACATAAAAAAACAAAAAACAAAAAACAAAAAAACAAAAAAACAAAAAAACAAAAAAACAAAAAAAAAAAATGACGTCTTAGCACAATTTTCTGAAATTCTCGAGGCTTCAAGCAACGTCCCTTTAAAAAAATTTTTTTGTTTTTTTGATTATTTGTTTACTTGTAAGAGATTTCCTGTAAATGAAGAGAAAAAACAAAGTAAACTGTAAACAAAAACAAAAACTAGTAAAGAAGAAGTAAGTAAACATAAACGGAAGAAAGGCATTAAAGATTGAAAATTAAAGAAAATAAAATATAATAAAATATAATAAAATATAATAAAATATAATAAAATATAATAAAATATAATAAAATATAATAAAATATAATAAAATATAATAAAATATAATAAAATATAATAAAATATAATAAAATATAATAAAATATAATAAAATATAATAAAATATAATAAAATATAATAAAATATAATAAAATAGAAAGGAGGTCAAAATAGTGAATAGTTCATTTCCTTGGTAAATTACTCAAAACATACTATATTACTAAACATTACTATCAATTAAATCATACATTCAACCACTATTTTAATATACCTATTCACACACGTGCATATATCATTTTATAAAAATGAAACGATTCTTTTCAGGATCTAAAAGTAAATCTGATTCAACATCTTCAAGTTTATCATTATCCACTAAACATTTTTTCAATCATAACAGTAACTCAACTAATACAAACAGTGACAACAAAAGTGACAACATTGGTTCGAATAGCAACAGTCTAGATGAATCATCTACAATATCTAATACTTCCACTCCAAAAATAGGGTCTCTTGCAGCCACATTTGGAAAAAGATTATTGAATTCAGATGCATCACCGAATATTCCTAAATTTACAGATGATATATATTTCTTGGGAGATCCTTCTAATAAAGAATTGTCTCCAGAATTGGTACCAATCGTCACATTACTCACTGCTCAATCACATAGAAGATATCACAAAGGCGTCATTCTACTTCTTCACGATCTTAAGAATGACGGTACACCATCTGATAGAATCTGGAAAGAATATTATGCTGTTATTATAGGCTCACAACTAGCACTATGGAACGCAAATGATTTAACTAACAATAATAACAACAACAACAACAATAATAATAATAATTCAAATTTTAAAAATTCCGTCTCAAAACCTAAATATATTAATTTCACCGATGCAACATTAAGACCAATAGATTCCAATGATTCACTTATTCTAAATGATAAATCCAAAAGATTTTCACATTTGGAAAATGTCCTTGTCATATCTACCACTTTGAAGAATAGATATTTCCTCAAATTCAGTGATCTAGAATCTTACCATGAATGGACTGCAGCTATTCGCTTGTCCCTATACGAAAACTTATCGTTACAAGAAGCCTACACAGGTGCCTTTCTTTCGTCAAGAGGTAGTAAATTGGGGGATATTAAGAATATTATGGCAACAGATAATAAATTTACTTACTCCGAATGGGTTAGTGTCAGATTTGGAGCAGGGATGCCATGGAAACGTTGTTATGCGGTCATTTCTCAATCCACCTCAAAGAGAGAATTGAAATGGAAAAGCAAAAAATACAACAGAAATGATACACAGCATCATACAAATAATGGGAACAATTTCAAAGATAATTTAAATAATCATAATACTCAGAACGGTATAATTAGATTTTATGAACATGATAAAAAAATTACAAAGAAGAATGCTATGGCAACAGTCACAGAAGCGACCGCTTTATATGCAGTTTATCCTTCTTCACCATTATTAATTGATAACTCCACTATTATAAAGTTAGACGGCACAATTTCGTTCGACTCTTCATTAGATTCAGTCCAAAATGGTAGCATTTTTATTATGGCTGAGAAGCATTTAGGCGTCCCATCATATGACACTATTATCAGATTCCTGATACCCGCAATGAATGCATTTAATCTATATGGTAGACCCAAACAATTAATAGCAAACAGAAACGATCCAAGATCCCTGATGTTTGCAGTGCCTACTTTACCAGCTATCTATTACTTAGAGGTAAAAGATATCCTAAAGATTATTAACTCCAACGACACATCACACTGGAATAATGAAGATTGGAATGAAAAAATTGACCAATTATTGGTAACAAAGATAACTAAACATAATTATACCGGATGTAGATTAAAAAGTAAATCACCAACCATATATTCGTCTCCAACTGTAAAACCGAAAGAATTAGTCAGTGTATCTGGAGTGGGTTCAAATTCATCTTCCTGTAATCAACCAACTTTTGAAAATGACATTCCAAACAATAACAGCTCTATAGTTAAGGAACCAAATAATTCCAAAAGTAGTGAATCTGTACTTTCTCCACCAATATCTGTAAAAAGACATTCTTTACTAAATGATCAAGACATCAATGAGAGGACTCCAAATAACTCTAACAGATTTAAACCAGAGACACATAAGAATTACAGTCCATTGAGTCCGCAAAGGGAATTGAATAAAATTCATGATACCTATACCAATAATCTTGATTCCTTTGAAAATTCATTAACAAACACTCCAAATCTAAACAATAAAAAAAATGACTTTGTCATTCCCCCCAAATATAATAATCCAAAAACTCTAGATCTAAGTGGTACAGAGGGTTATGAATCGCCTTATGAAGAATACGTTGGAATCAGTCCGGATAATAAACCGTTCAATATTTCTGCAATTGAGGAACCTATCGATTACAACGATGAACTAGATTATGCTTCAGCACATTCTTCAAATTTTGATATAAAAAAGTATTCAGATGAACAATCAAGTGCAAATGAAGATGATGAAAAAGATGCTGATGATATACCAGTTAAAAGAATAGATAACATAGATAAGGATTTACCTACTTTGATAGACAAGATTAATGGTATTTCCATGAATGAGTCTAAAAATGCATTAATAGGTGGAAAAGATTCCAATTCTTTTAACCAAAGATTCAGTATGAAACCACAAATGTTTCCTGATGACGAAATTGATCCAGGTATTATATCTGGGTTACATTTAAATAATATTTCATTTATTGAAGAGAAACAATCAAAATTAGCAAACCAAAAACAACCTTATATTAACCAAAGCAATGAGGTTGATGTAACTGATCCTCAATATTTCGAGCAATGTCAAATAAATGAAACTCAAAATTTTTATAGTAAACAAAATGAAAAGACATCTAATTCAGGGGTAGAAAAACAAATGCCAAATAGTCCTAGTACACAGTTTATTCCTAAGTCAAGCACAAGTATAAATTTACATTATCTGACCCAAGACAGTACTCCCACCTCTACAACTGTAACTTCTAACGCTAATTCAAAACAAAATATTTCTCAATTTCATGGAACCCAATCAAGACTACATAACACTAATCCTTCAAATTATTACAATAAACCAAGTAATGACTTACATGTTCCACAAACTTTTAAGCAACAATCTCAGATGCAACATTTAATGAATGGATATCCAAGAATACCCCCTCCATCTCAAGTTAACTATCGAAATAACTCTTTTGGTCCACAAAATACTACTCCAATAAAGGGTGGAAGAATTCCACCGCCAGATAACTCTACTATTAATAGAAGCGGATTTTCTCAATATATGCCAAATACTCCAACAAAGAACCCATATTCTAATTGAACTATTAATTTACTAACATTCATTTTGTTATCAAACATTATTTTAAATATCACATAATTTTAGATTATATACAAACCAATAGTGTAAATTCCAAAAAATACAAACACATATACAAACACATATAATAACTATGGCGAACTTACTCAATACTTTTCCAAAGTATAAACCAGCTATAGTTGTAATAGTTAAAAAGTTAGGCATATATACATTTATCTAAACCCAAAGGGTCTAAATTATTCTTGTAATATAACATTCAAAAATAATAAAGACCAAGTTTGTATATTTTATAGCATTTATCATTGAAAGATACATAATGTAAGGTCATAAGAGGTATTTTTTACATATCGATTTTTATAATAAGATACTTTGTCTGTTTTTAATAAATAAACATTTTTCATTATTACATTCTGTATTATATCTTTTTCTAGGAGGAAATAACATATAATAATTACACCATTATGGCTAAAATAGGTACTGCTATCCGCTAGTTATTCTTGAATAATGTACCAGTTCTCATTTACTTTTCTTAGTATAAACAGTTACTATCCTACACAAAAGAATAGAAGGACTAACCAAATTCTGGATTTACTTTTCATTACAGATTTTTACCATGCTTTCTTTAATTTTCTTTGATATCCATAACTGTTATTATTATTATTATTAAACCAGGTATAAACAACTCCTTAAAAGGTCTAAGAGTTAATACTCATCATATATTAACCGTATATATATATATATATATGTATGTATATTGTAAAAAATCTATAAAAGTCTAAGATTGAAACATTCAAAAACGAAAAGAGTGATTTTGATAATAATCATTGATTATCAAGAATCTCTTGTAGACTTCTTTGTGAATCCTGAACTTCCTGTTGAACTTCAACAAGTGCTCTAATTTCATTTCTACCGAAAAGGAATGATATTAAACCATCAATAACACCTGTCACAGTGACCACTACAGCAAACAAAACCCAAAAAACAGATGACCAACTTGCTTTTGCTGATGTAAAACTAGTCACCACCATACATGCAATTGACAAGAAAATAGATGTTAAGAAATGAAGGCCTCTATAGAATTTTTGTTTCCTAGCAGTTATCATATAATTATCGATGCATTTTAGTAAAGCTTCATAATTTGAATATCTAACCAGTTGTAAGTCTCTCCCATTACTGATACCATTTATTTCCTCATCTGAACGACCATTAATGTTATTGTGATTATTATGTAAAGGTAATACTTTCAACTTACAATAATACGCAAAATGATCAGAGAAACTACCAACATTCTCAATTCTATCTGTAAATCTTACACCAGCATCCAATGTCTTTAACCTTTTTGAGTCAATCAAAGCATAATCTAATCTACATGCTTCATCTGGTCTTCTACTTGCTCTCCAAGTATTTAATAAAGAATCACATGTAGTGCAACCGTATTTCAACTGGTCTAATGGATTCATGCGCTTCAAATCGAATAAATTCGTTTCACCATTGAGTTGTTCCCAAGAATCAACTAACCCAGTCTCTTGTGTTAATAAATTATGTGGCAAAGAACCTGGTCTCGAATTCAAATCGCCAACCACAATAACTGCATATCCTGCTTTCTTATAAAGATTAATTAATTGGCTGAAATCCCATGCTTGCACAGATCTATGACATTCATAAGCCGCATCACCAGTTAAAGCGTATGGTGCATGCATATGACTATTCATAACAACGATGGGTGGATAATTTGCATCTATAGGTTTCAATTTAGTGATCGCTATGGATTTCCCTACATACCAATCACCTCTGAAAAAGGCACTTGGCCTGCCATTGATTGGAAATCTATAGAGGAAACTTGATTGAATAGGGATTTTAGATAGGATAGCTAATCCAGGGCCTGTTAATATCCCAGAATAAAATAATCTGGAATGAGGATATTTAGTACTACATCTTTCTAATAAGTAGTCCCAATCCTCTTTACACCAAATTTCTTGTAATGCAATGATATCGAAATCATAGTCAATCAAACCTTCACCTTCTGGATATGCATCCTCTTCGATGATGCCTCCCATTGCTGTATTTCTAATACAGTCATGTAAAGGTATTATTTTACTACTGCTACTACTAAAATTACTATTGTTATTATTGCCGTTATTACCATTATTGTTTGATGTATCGGCCAATTTATCTGCAATTGCTCTTAACCTTTCTTTCCTGTGTTTAGAGACATATTTCAAGCCCCATGTATTGAAAGTTAAAAATTTAATTTGTCTTTCTTCAGCAACCTGAGTCATAATAATAAAATTTGAAAAAATGTATGATTTTATATTAGACAATTACCTATTCTGCCTACCATTTAATCTTTGAATAAGCTACTCGTACTTTCATATATATATATATATATATAACTATAAATACATATACACATTGTAGGTTACATATCAACAGTGATAATGGCAGAGTATATTAATGCTCTTTGTGTTTCTCGAGAAAAGGATTCCAATTTTGTTTTAATACTTTATGAAAAAAATTTAAAGATTGTAAGCTGTAAGCCGTAAAAAGTTAAGCAAACAAAGCTGCTCTCGAGTTTTCTCTACACACACACTAAGAAAGAAAGAGAGATAAAGGGAGAGAGCAAAAACAAAGATAAAGGGAAAAGTATCAAAGAACAAGAAAATATGATAAAGTAGTAACAGCTGTTGCACAGAGCAAAGAAGAAATAAGGAAAAATTAACACACTTTAAAGCACATTAACGAAAAATCCATTAATTTTATGAAGGAAACATTATGTTTGAAGAATTCGATACTGTCAAGGAGAAGATAGATGTATTTACAAACACTGTTAATAAGAATCTATTAAATAAATTAAATTTAACAAGAAAAACATACACAGACTATAAAACAAAAATTGAATCGTTAACACGGGAGGAAAATGACTTAACCAAAGAATTATCACAATTGAAAATTTATAATGACCAATTAAATAAAGAATACGCACAACTCCAAAGAAATAATAAAGAAATCAAAAGTAAGATTGATGAATATGAATCACAATGGAAGACATTGCAGGTACAGGAACAATTGTTACAAAAAGACTTACAAAGAGCAGAAACTCTGTTAAGTAAAGAGAAACAAAGGCAGTTGAAATTAAAGGAGAAAGTAATAAAGAGGAAAGAGATGAAAATAAAGAAGGTTTCAATATATGAAAATTTACTTGGATTGAAAATTGAAAGTAATAAATGGAAAGATGCAAACAGTGATAGAAATCAGGACCGAGGCACTCCACCTCAAGTAATATTTACATTTAATAAATTTGATGAAACCGACTTAAATAGAGAATGTAAAATTATTCTAGAAACATCACTAAACGAGAATGAGGAACCATTTAAGATTGTAGATAGTATACCAAAGTTAAGAAATATAGAAGATCATACACTGCTTCTTGATACATTAAAACAACCCGACGGATTACGCAATTTTATTATTCAAAGTAGAAAGTTACTGATTGAAGCATTGAAAAATGAAAAATCTGACCAACAATCAGAAAGTGAAATATAGACATTTATATACATATCTATACATATACTTATTCTTATATTTATATTTATATAGATAGACAGGCGTAAATAAACACTATAATAATCTTCTTCTTTACATTTCGCCAACAGAGACTAGATCCATAAGAAAAAAATTTTTTTTTTTTATTTTTCTCTTAAACCTTTATTCATTCACTTCATTTCTCTTCTTTTCTCCTATAAGACAGACCCTTCTCTCCTCTATAACAGTTTCAGCTTAGTTCAACCTATCTGATAACTGACACAAAAACTTGAGATTCATAAGATTCTGACACTCTTTTTGTATATTGAACCAATTATTCTCATTCTGTAAAGGGACGGTAAGGGGAAAAGAGAAGAAAGGAAAAGAAAAAACGGAACAAGATAATACATAGAGTAGTAATCAAAAACTAAATAGAACCATAATGAATCTTTTCAGATTGTTTTTATTTTTATTGTCACCGATCTTTATTAAAGGGACTTTAAGTTCACCGGGTGATAATCTAGACGAATTCATTGATTGTGCCTATGCTTGTGAATATAAAAGAAAATGCCCAGGTTCTATGATAAATTATATTGACCCGATAACGAATGAGTTTTATAATGGAATTGACTTCCAAGATACACCATATATCTATAAAAAGTTTTTATTTTGGGATTGTATCTCAGATTGTGATTATCAATGCCAACAAATCATAACAAAGAGAAGGATTAAAGAAAACGAGGAAATCTATCAATTTCATGGTAAATGGCCATTCTTAAGAATATTTGGTACACAAGAATTCTTTTCTGTAATTTTTTCAGTTGGAAACTTTATTCCACATTATTATGGTCTACGGAGATTACAGATACAATTCAACAAATATCAGCGCACCCCATACAGAAATATCCTCATTAATTATATGTACGTTGCAATAGCAGGATTATTGGCATGGTCGGCTAGTACAATATTTCATTTAAGAGACTTATTAATCACTGAGAAATTAGATTATTTTTTCGCTGGGTTGACTGTATTAGTTGCGTTCCATGGACTATTCTCTAGAATGACAAGATTATATTTATATGAAACATTTTCTATGGTATTTAAAGGTTGTATGGTGTTTATATTTATTGTCCATCTTTTAAGGTTATATTTAGACTGGTCATACACATACAACATGAGATTTAATGTATTTTTCGGGATCTTACAATATTTGCTACTCTTACTATTATCGTATCAAAACTATGTATCATTAAAATCGTCGAAGGAAATTGTTTACAGATACAATCAAAGAATACTGAAGCTATGTATAATTCCAATTGGATTAGTAACTTTCACTGGACTGGCTATGTCCTTGGAATTATTTGATTTTTTCAGTTATGATTATCAGATCGATGCACATGCATTATGGCATGCAGCTACAGTGGTACCTACGTATTATTTATATGAATTTTTAATTGAAGATTTCAATTACATTATAGAAACAAACAAGAAAATATTAAAATGAAAAATAAACTAATATTCACAGACAAAAATATATCTGTAGACAGCAATCTCCTGTTTATTTTGAAACAAAAAAAAAAACGTAAAATATCTTATCAATGAGATGCTTATCAGTCTATTCATACACACGCGCATATATATATGTGTATATATATATCTATGTATATGTAAATATGATATATGTGTGTTGTTTTATTTTATTTAATTTCATTTTATCTCCTCATTTCTAATTTGTTTTTTTTTTTGATCTGCGTTCGAAGAAAAAAAAAACCAAAAAAATACAATATCCAAATTTCTAGAGAAATGTAAAACCTCCAAGCAGCACAACAATCACATGGATAAATATGAAGGATATTATAGGCTAGTGTGTATAGATCTACAGTATATAACCTTCCCCGAAATAATGAGATACAGAATAGTTTACTACTTCTTGGTGTACATTTGCACAACCATCTGGTTAGAAGAACAAGCCTAACGCTATCGTTATACTATAGTCTACCTGTGTGTGTTGTGTGTTTTTAGGAAAATAAAAGGGCAAAAAAACAAAAAGAAACAGGTATAAAGAGAAATTACGATAAATGATTCAATATCCTATAGACGCATCTTTAATTAGGGACCATCTGTACCATGATACAAAAGATATAGATATTGTATTGAACCCCAACAAATTCTATCATGACAGTGAATTCAAAAGTGAAAGATTATATGGGCTAGGGTATTTCAATTATCAGTTTCAAATTAATGAAGAAATTTATAAACCTGATTTTTCGGATAAACTAAGAGGCAAAATATATGACAATTTTCCCAAATATTTGATAATTTTTTCCATTTTTGTCTTTCTCTGGATCTACTATTTCATATTCAACTGGCAATTAATTATTTATTCATTGTCCAAATTACCTCTTTTGAACAGATATATTAAAAAATCATATAGAGATATTGATACCAATATTTATAGTCATAGTCATGATGATCGTCACAATTATAATTCTGAAAAGATTAACCATGTTAATATGGAATTAGAATATCATTACATTAAATCCTAATAATAATAATAATAATAAAATAAGAACTTATGTCATATATATATATATATATATATATATGCTTATATATGTTAGTTTTTCTACCACTGTTGTATAAATATTAAAAAGGACCATGTCATAATAATCGTTACAAGTAACTTTAACCAGCCTAATCTAAAGTGCTGTATCAATAACCAACACTGGGCTGATCTTCTATATCAATATCTATTCACTTGTAGAAGTTAATACATTGTCTTTTCATCCGCTATATTCTTCATAATTTCCTAAAAGGGTACACATTTACTGTTTAAGAAATGTCTTCCCAAGAGGAAAATATAAACAAAAACGGAAGAGAATGAGAAGAGAAAAAGAAAAATATTAAAAATAAAGAAAACCTAACAAAATAAGAAACAAAAGAATACAAGACAAGAAGCCAATAAACATTCCAAATGGTCTTACTCCCCACACACCATTAGTCTTACCTTATATTAATCTTCTCCCTTTTTTCTTTCTTAACTCATCTCGTATTTGAAACGTGTGTCCCATTAACTTTCCCTGTTGTGTACACTCTGATTAACTATTAACCCTAAACAAATATCCATCATAGTTGGAGACTTTTCCTAAATTATTGACCACTGGACATATGTCTCCTCCTAGCATTATTAACGGTGTTGTTACCACTACTCCCTCTACCACCAATCGTAAGAATGACCCTGCTAATAACAGTTCACTATCACAACAACTTTCTGTATTAGACACCTTATCATATAGACACTTCAAAGTGGCACACCAAAGAGTTTCTTTAGACATACAGTTACAAGATCATAGTATTAAAGGTGTTGCAGACATAGTAATTATTCCGTTAGTCAAAAATTTAGATTATATAACTTTTGATTGCAAAGATTTGAATGTTTTGGATGTTTGGATTGAAAATAGACGTTGCGAACATTATATCCATGATAATCCAATTAGAGATTATTTAAACAAATTTATAAATATCCACTCAGATAACAACAACAACAACAATAATAATAATAATAATAACAATAACAATAATAATAATACCACTAACACTACTGCAAATAACAACTATAGGAATAATAGGTTTTATGATGATATACTCTATAGAGATAATTCAATTGAGCAGTCGCACTTCTTTAGGGAAAAATTTGCGGATTTAAACGAATTCCCAAAGGAAAGAAATAAGTGTCAATTGTTAATTAAAATTCCATCTTCTATAAAGATTAAGTTACAAGATACAAGTTCATTGACAAATTACACTCCAATAACACCATCAATTAGAGGCACACCACAAACTTTTCAACAAGAAACTATTTTCACTCCGTTAACTGTTAGAATTGAATATGAAATTAAAGATCCAAATACAGGTGTTCGTTTTGACACATTAGATGAATCTAAACCACATTTATGGAATGTATATACTGCAAATAATGAGTTATGTTCCACCGCATCATATTGGATGCCCTGTATTGATTCATTTGAAGAAAAATCTACTTGGGAAATCGAAATTAGTGTACCTAAAAAAGTCAGGAATATTGGTAAAAGTAAAATAGTTGGACAAGATGATGATAATAACATTCAACAGGCGCAATCAAGATTCAAATCAGATTCAAAATCAAATAATCAAAACGTTGTAACTATAAACAAAAAATCTAATAAATCTAATGAAAACAACAATATCAGCAACGATAATGCACATAAGACTAACACACAAGATATTACAATCCAGGAAAACATCCATCATAAAGATGAGGAGGGAAATGAGGATGAGGAAGACGAAGAAGATGAGGGTGATGATGATTCTGATTATGAAGATAATATTAAGAAAACAAATGGCAAAGATTCGATCTTTAATGAGTATACAAAATTTTTAAACAGAGAAATAAAAGCTTGTTGTTCTGAATTTTCAACAATGAGAGAAATAGCTCATCCAATTGATTTAACAAAAAAAGTTTTTATATTCCAGATTTTTAATCCTGTAGCTCCACATCACATTGGTTGGGCAGTTGGCTCTTTTGATGTATGGAATTTACCATCGTTGATTTACAATGACAAATTTTTAAAAAATAGTAATGAGGAAGAAAATGAGGAAAATGATGAAAGTAAAAATAATTTAAATCATGATAATAATGATAACGCCTACAACGACAATACCAATATGGTAAATGATGACATAAATGCTGATCTGTTAGATAGTACAGAGGGTATGGAATTTATACCGATAAACGTTTATACTTTACCATCAAGTGACATTGATGAAGATACTGTAATCAACACAACTTTTGTATGCCAGCGGATCATAGATTTTTATTCAAAAGAGTTTGGTTCATACCCATTTACATCATATTCTCTAGTGTTTTTACCATCTGTAACGAATCAGACTATGGATTTCGCCAGTATGACAATATGTAATACACGGTTATTATACAATTCTAATATTTTAGATCAAATGTTTACTACTACAGATTTACTTGCATGGTCAATTGCATCTCAATGGTCTGGTATCAACATTACACCTTTGGAAATGAACGATATATGGTGTTGTCTTGGTATGGCAGGTTACATGGTTAAACAATTCTCTAAACATATATATGGTAATAATGAATTTAAATACAGATTGAAAAAGACATGCGAGGAAATTGTAGAAAAAGATTGGGAAAAACCACCAATTGGATCTACGTTTAAAGGCAAATCTTGGCCTATCTCAGTATCAAGCAAAGATTTAGATTTTATTAAGTTAAAGGCGCCCATGGTACTTTATATCTTAGATAGAAGAATGACAAAGACAGAAAGATCCTTTGGTATGTCCCGTGTTTTGCCAAAGATTTTTTTGCAAGCCATGTCAGGTGATTTGCCAAACAATTCTTTATCAGCCAGCCATTTTCAACATGTCTGTGAACGTGTAAATAAGAATAAGTTAGAAGAATTTTTTCAACAGTGGGTATATGGTGCTGGTGTACCTATATTTCGTGTTACTCAAAGATTTAATAAAAAAAGAATGATGGTAGAAATGGGTATAAGACAATGTCAACAACAGGAATTAGAAACATCTGATAAAGTGATAGGAAAGGACCGATTTTTCAGTAGTGCAATGCACCATTTAGAAAATCCCAACAGAAATGTCCCTACCTATTTTACTGGCTCAATGACCATTAGAATCCATGAAACTGATGGTACTCCTTACGAACATATCGTAGAAATAAAAGACTTGTTTACTAAAATTGATATTCAGTACAATACTAAATATAGAAAACTCAGAAATAGAAGACCACAAAGATCTAATAGAGCCCCAAATACGTTAGACCACGAAGACGGACAAAATAGCGCATTTACTACGTCGTCATTTTTTTCCACATCAATGCAAAATAATCCAAACAATTCCAAGAATTTTATAGATGATGGGGATATTAAAAGACTGGGTAATGTCTTGGTAACTCAAGAAGAATGTGAACAATGGAATTTAACAGATTTAGCGAAAGCCACTGATGGATACGAATCTCAATTCCAAAATGAAGCTTTTGAATGGATTAGAATTGATTCAGATTTTGAATGGATTTGTAAAACATACATTAATCAACCTGATTTTATGTTTACCTCACAACTTCAACAAGATGGTGATGTAGAAGCTCAGTTAGAGAGTATAAGATATTTTGAAGATGTGATTAGTTCATCTAATCACTCTTCTTTAGTGTACTCATCTATACTAACACGAACTGCAATGGATGATAGATATTTTTATGGGATACGACAAGAAGCTTGCCATGCTCTGTCAAAATATGTCTACAACCCCATGGAAAATTTCCCAGGTGGTGCATATCACTTAGTAAAAATATATCAAGCTTTATTTTGTCTGGAAGACTCCAATATTCCTCGAAACAATGATTTTGGTAATATCCAAAAATATATTTTACAAAAAAAAATTCCTCAATATTTAAGTCAAATTAAAAATGAAACCAATGAATGTCCTGGGTTTGTGAAAGATTTTCTGTTGGATATTTTGACTTATAATGAAAATTCAGAAAATTATTATGATGACAGTCATTTTGTCTCTATATTAATTGACAGTGTTGTTAACTCAACTTTAACTAATCATGATGATAAATTGTTTACAAAAAGAATTCTTGATCAATTAAAAAGACTAGAAAATTTGGATAAATGGATTCCCTCATACCAATTATTGATCACTAAAAGTATTATGGAACAGAAACTAAAGATGCATATGTCAAATTTGTATGAATTTAAAGATATTGATTATATTTTGAAATATTCCCTTGACAATGAGGAAATAAGAAACCGTCATAGCAATAATTCTATACCTAAATTTAGAGAAGGCTTCGAAGATATAGCGTTATTGTCATTTAGAATTATGCTTATTGAAGGTGGAATTAAAAATAAATTTATTTTACGTTATTTTTTCGAAGCCTTATGTTTTAGTCCCGATATTTACATAAGGGAGAAATTAATTGACGTCTTTATTGATTCATTGAATATAATTGCAGAAAATAAACTTATGGATACATTTGATGATGATTTTCAATATCTCAGTGAAAGAATTAATCCTCCTCAGATGAATTTTGAGAATGAAGATGAAATTGCAGCACTAATTATTGGTGGTGAGACAGGTCATGAAATTGTGGATCCAAAGGAATCCAAAATGAACAACAACATTGGTGGCAGAATAAGATTAATCAGAGATAAGTTTAAAAATTATTCACCACTAAAAAAAATCATCTGGGATGTATTACATACACCGACGTTAACTCTGTACCAAAGAAAAAGTTTGTTTGATATAGCGCGTGTAATATATACGTTGACAGATAGTTTCAAGGTGAAATTAGTTTCACCTAGAATGAAAAAACTAGTGGCAAGATATGAAGGTAACAATAAAGTGATAATCAAGAGGAATGGTATTTTAAAATTACACTTAACAGCACCAAAATTGAAAGTAGTCCAAAAGCCAACAGATCGATCAAAGAAAGGTAAGATGACCAGTACCATTATTGGTACTGGTGCTAAAAAAGTCAAGATTACTCTTTCAAAACCAAGAAAAGTATCAAATAAACCTGTTGTAAATAGAATTGGACTTTTGCCTATTAGATTTGTCAAATTATCAAACAAGTATAAAAAAGTCACGATCTCATCAACACCATTTAATGACAAGGTGAAAATTGTGAAGGCTAACACAAGATCGTTTACCGTTAGACTAAAATATCCTAAACCACAGGTACAGTCTGAATCTCCTATGAATACCGAATTGTAATTCAACGCTTTTGATCTGTTTTAGGCACCATTAAGATAGATTATATCATTCATATGTACATTTGAACGGTATCGTATTAAATGATCAAGAATCACTTTCTCAACATCGACAAGATATTTTTTAATCATTGAAAATTTCTTAAACCATGTCAAAAACAGAAACAGAAAATAAAAGAAGAATAGAAAAGCTATTGATAATCAACTACCCTGACAAACCAAGTGAGGAGCATGGTGTATTGAATTTTTTAAAAAAAATAAGCTGGACGAAAATTATAACAAAACCGAGCAGTACTGTCCTGGCATACCAGTTTTCCTAAAAGATTATTTATAAAAATTGATCTTTACTCAGCTTCTTTTCCTTTTGGTTTTAATATTCAATCCAATTTTCATCTTACTTCTGTAAGAATAATATAACAATAGCGAGGGTCAGTATCTATTTGATATATAAGAATATAAATATAGAACTACATTATAGATTTAAAAAAGTATTATTATAAACATTTTTCTTCCTTTTTTCTCGACTATAAACATTATTTACTGCATGGTATGTTTATTGCCTATTTGATCATTCTATGCTATTGCACAATTGCCCTAACTGATATTGTTGACCTATTAATATCTACAAATGATACCAGAAGTTTAGAAAATGAATCTTTGATTACTCCTGTAGAAAATATCGCCTCTAAGTTAGATAAAATTGCCAACAAAAGTGTTGATCTCGAATATTTTAAACAAGAAAGTTTTGCCAATAATTCTGATACGTTTCTATCATTTGATGAGTGGAAAAAGATTAAAGAACAAGAAATAATTAATAACCAAAAATTTATAGATAGATCTCTAGATATTCGTACTGGAGTTGATACATCATGTTATGGTGAAAAAGAATGTGTTGGCGAAGAAATGGAAATTGATCTAAACCTTTTTAGTTCTTCTGATTATCCAAACACGGAACCTGAGGGTAAAATATATAATGATAAATTCAATTATGCATCTCTTGATTGTGCTGCCACAATAGTTAAAACAAATTCTGAAGCATCTGGCGCCTCTTCAATTCTAATAGAAAATAAAGATAAATATTTATTAAATTTATGTTCTGCACCAAATCAATTTTTTATAATAGAATTATGTGAAGATATATTAGTAGAACAAATAGTTATGGCCAATTTTGAATACTTTTCCTCTAATTTCAAAAATTTTGTTGTTTCTGTATCAGATAGGTTCCCAGTCCCAAGAAATGGTTGGACAAAGTTAGGTGAATTTAAAGGGACCAATTCTAAAAGTTTACAAAGATTCAATATTTCAAATCCTCAAATATGGGCCAAGTACTTACGAATTGAAATTTTAAATCATTATGACGATGAATTTTACTGTCCTATATCCTTGATTAGAGTTCATGGTAAAACAATGATGGATGAATTTAAGTCACAAGTATTAGAAGATCAAAAACAAGGATCTAGTCTAGAAAAACAGATTGTTAACAATAATGCTAATGGCATCGATACCAATGAAACAAATGCTGCTAATAGGGAATATGAATTAATTGAAACTACAAAGAGGGAATCAGATACAACAAGGAGTGAACCTTCTTCAACAAAATCTATAAAGTCAAAAATGACTGAACGAAAGTATATAATGGAAAGTGATCTGTTAGATGAACCAAATAATTGGCCATATATTAACGCTGAAAATAAAACTCTTATCCCACAGTTACCAGATCCTATGGAATGGTATGAATCTATCTTAGAACCGTTACGTTTTGAGGAATTTTTAAAAGAGTTAAGTCCAGATTTATTTAATTGTGATCCTTCTGAGAGGGAAATCTCACACAACCTATCAAGCTCAAATTTGATAGCTAAGGTGATAAATAATACCAACATGACAAATACTCTCGGTAGAAATGGTACAGATGTCTTAAAAAAATTATCTCCTATAGCTTCCACATCCTCTCCTGAAGATTCGATATTTAGAAATATTATTAGAAGGATAAATTTTTTGGAAAATAATTCTACAATGATAATTCTTTATGTTGAAGAACAAAGTAAATTGCTTTCTAAGTCTTTCCATCAACTAGAGACGATATATCTCAACCGTTTTGACCATTTAGTTAGTACTTTTAATGTTACAGTTATGAACAACATTAACATATTAAAAGAGTTTGCCAAACAATTAAAAGAGGAATCTTTAATACTACTGGAAGAACAAAAAAGAAATAATGAAGATTTTAATAACAAAAATCAATATAGAATTCAAAAACTGGAAGAAGATATCCGCTTCCAGAGGAAAATGCTGATTTTATTCATATTTATTTTGCTATTTATGTGTTATCATCAAACTATAAAGTACCTCTTATATAAGAGAAAGTTAAACACTAATAAGGCAGAAATTTCAAAAATTTTGAAAATAAATGACCACGAGCATTAAGAATTATCTAATACTTTCCTATATAAATTTTAATATTCCTACCAAATATTTATTTTATTTTTTTTAAAAAAAAACTATATATTAATTTCTGACTGACTCATTGTAATTCTAAAAGAATGAATATATTGTAATTTAAGAGGTTTTAATCATTGCATGCTATTTTTTCATTTTTTTCAGTCTTCTTAAGACTGACAGTTTGATATTATACAAAAGGAATGAAGCCTGCAACAGGATAGTTAAAAAACATCATTAATTTAAATAACATCTATGTTTTTAACCATTGTTTTTATCACTGTTGCATGATTATTACTATATTTTTTTTATAAAAATCTTATTATCGCTGTTTTATACATAGGCTCTTTATGATAAAAATAAGACCTTAACTATCTTTTACCTTCTCCACTTCAATCAATTAGATTAAAAATTAACTATCATTATTTCATTAATATTTTTGTTTATCTTTTTATCATTTTAATATATATATATATTATATTTATGAATAAATAAATTTGAAATTCCTTACGTAAAACAAAAATGCATCATTCTGTCGTTTCTAGAGCTACTTGATCCAAATCTAGAATGCCATTTATTGTAGTATGGCGAGATTTACAATGTTGCTTAAATTGCGGTCTGGTAGTTCTGTATTTTGTTGGTAATGGATCTATTGAGTCCATAATAGTCTCATTTGAACCCCAATTATCTATAGCCGCAAAATCCTTACTTCTTCCCAAAGAACCTTTTTCTGCACGCAAATGGTTTTTCTTATCTGATTTAAGCACAGGAGATTGATCGATAGAAAACAAATTAGATGAACCTATGCTAGAAAACGATGCATTATATTTATGTCTACCAACTGATGGGGTAGGAGGACCACTACTATTTAGATGTTGTTTCGTGGATTCACCAGTACTCAATCTGGTATTACTGTGCTTATTCAAAGTTGAGTTCTTAAATTGTAAATAGCTAGTATAGTTTATTGTTTTACTTCTTGGTTTTGTGTATCCATGCACATTATTGCTATTAATATTGACGGAAGAAATACCAGGAATTGTGGCTGACACTGGTGTCATTGTATCTATGTAATTTGGTGACTCGATTCTATATGAAGGTTGAGAGAAAATAGAAGAGTTTCTTGATATTGATTCAGATAAAGAGTTTTCGGATAATGATGATGTCGATCTCAATGATACTGGAGTAATTGATGTTGCAAACCTATTAATCAATGGGGTAGTAACACTAAGATCAACGGGCGTTTGAACTCTAAGACTTTGTGGTATATTGGTACTAATATCCGATAATAAGCTGGTCATTCCCATTTTGAGAATGGTGTTATTGCAACTAGTATGTACAGGGTTATTAGTTAGAGGATCTTCATCTTCATAGCAAATTTCTTGAAGACCGGCAAAATTATCAATAAACATATTAATTGAGTTTGTCAACCAAGGTTGGATATATGAACTATTCTTCTTCATAATTTCCTTAGTTTCTTTCAAATTCTTTAAATGGATATATATTTCCAATCTTTTAGATATAAAGATATCTAAATAATCTTTAATAGACAATTTTTCATATTTCTTAAAAAGAACTTCTGATATCTTATATTTATCAGATTGATTTTTAATAATAGAAGAATTAACTAATGCAACTCTTTCTTTAAAGATGTCATTTAAATATAACAATAAGCATTTTCTAATATTATTTAAAGCTTCATCATTAATAATGAAATCCAATGATAATTTCGAATCAGTCCCCTCATTAGGTTTATCGCCAGCGATATATTTAAATAAAAACTCATTTAATTCCACATTGTCTATAGCTGATGACATATCATTACTTGGACTGATCCTATTAGTATCAATAATTAACTTAATGTAATCTGGGAAGATAGTTTGATCTAGTATTGTTGATGAAAGTAAAAGTGCTGAAATTGTTCTAATTGAAGAATTAAAAAAAAGATAGTCTCTTTGATACAAGGATAAATCCAAGAGAAATGAAGTCATTTGGAATAGTTTTTGATCCTCTTCAATTTTTCCTTTACAAAATAAATTACTTTGATCGAATATGATATTCAAACATTCATAAACAGTGAAAATGTTTCCGATAGACCACTCAAGTGTGGTTAAAATATGTCTCTCCATTTGAATGAACATTTGAGGTTCATATATTTGATAACAAAGTAAGTAAAGTTCTTTGAGTGTAGGGATTTTAGATTTCTTATCCTGAAACTTAGCAGCAATCCATAAAGATGTAGCAACCAACAACTGATAGTGTCTTTTATACACGATTCTTTTGGAACAATATCTATCAGCGATTGTAGAAGCAATATAGAGAGCTTCTGGGGATAAGTCAAAAAATATATGCAATTCAACCAAAAAGTCTATCAAATACGGTCTCATTGACCATTTGATTTCGGGCTGATTATCAATCATAATGGGATTTAGTGATTTACTCATATCCCTTTGCAATGAACTATAGTGCTTTAAAATGCCTTGTTTATAACAAGTCAGAGCAACATCACTGGCTAAAGCCTCTGACTGAACTAAATTTGGATGAAGTTTGACATATTTTCTTCTTGCCATAATGAACTAAACCAAAAAAAAATGGAATAATAAGTAGAATAATTAAGAATGGAAGGAGGGAAAAAGAAAGTAAATTTATAATGAAATTAAGAATATGCTTTAAAATTTATAAAAAAAAAATGAAAATTTTAAACTAAAAAATGCAATGTGATAAGGTGTTTTTTTTGTTAATTTTTTTAATTAAATGAATGATTTTAATAATGAGAATGATGCAGATTTTTTTTTATTTTTAATTTTATCTTCAATTGATAATTAGTTTTTATTGCATTAAAATATTTATAAAAAAATTAATCCTTTAAAGTTTTTTTTTATGTTTTTATAATAGCAGTCGTTAATATTGTTAATGATAGAGTGAAAAGAAGTAAAAAAAAAAAATGTAAACAACAATTGATGAAACAAGTTGAACCAAAACCGACACCTCGTTAAATATTGTTAGATTATTAATTGAGATTTTATAGAGAAAGGGTATAATAAGGTAGGAAATACCAAGACCAGTTAGCAATAAATAATTAATGTGATTTGCTCCTACTATATTATAGTGAAATACTGGACCAGTTTTCTAATCAGAAGCTGTTCTTGTATGTTTCTATGATTGCCCGAGAACAGTATCTCTCCAAGTGAGTCCAAAGGCAGAGCAGAAAGGAAATCAAAAACCCGGCAAAACAATAATAGATTACGAATCTATAACAAAAATGATTTTATATTTAAATAATTTTGAGAAGAAAGAAATTGTAAAATGAATCAAAGTTATACTACTCTTTCTCTCTCTCTCTTTTTTTTTTTTCTTCCACTCTATATTTGTCTATAGTACAGTATTATAATCATATAGTACTATTATTTTTTTTTCTATTAAATTTTCTAATCATTTTAAGAATATCTTTGATATGAAAATAATAAGCAGCAATAACATAATAGCAATAATATACTTAGCCTAAAAAACAAAAGAACAAACAACTAATTACAAGCTATATACTTTTTGTGGAAGTAAATGAAAGAATAATAGAATGACAAAGGAATTAAAGGTGAATGGACAAAAAGGATAAAAAATACAAGAAGGGAGGAGTGAGCTTGGTATCTTGAATGGATTGTTTTTTATTTTCTTCTTACCTCTCTTTTCTTTAATTAATTTTTTGAAAGGAGCCAATATATTGTAATAGAGACAAAAAATCTTTCACGAGCTCATTGACTTTTTACTAAAAATGGTAAAAAAAAACTTGAATCTTTTACTTCTTTCGTCGTCTTTTGTTTAGTCGAGAAAAAAAGAGACGAGTTGCTAAAAATCTTTCAAATAGAATCCATTGGATAAACCTTCGAATTATTGGAAGCATTTTTTTTCTATCCTAAATTTACTCTTCCAACAAAAAGCCCTCAATAGGAAAAAATACCACTTTGTTCCCCTACAATGTTTTTGTTTTTGAATCTAAACCTAATACATAAAAAGTAAAAATGTTTTATCCTACTGGAAGGACAAACTACAGCCCTATAAATTGTTACCCAGTACACTTTTTTTCACCAGCTTTTTCCCTTTTCCATCCCACCATGGAAATAAAAAAATTGTGGAAAATTTCCTAATATGAAAGTGTCCAGTTTTTATTGTTTGTGCAGATAAAAAAGAGAAATAATTCTTTTTCTATTTCTTTTTCTTTTTCTTCATTTCTCTTTTTGATTTTTTTATAATTTTTTTCAGGGTTTTTGAAGTTGTTTTCTAGTGTAAGACCCAATATTCTGTTTTTTTTTCAATACTCAGATTCACAGGTTCAAGTGGATAAGACCTATCTATTTTCAGTTAAAGCATCTAGACAAATCTACTGATAAATTTATTTATACAATAGAGCTTCTGGGAATATTCATTACAACCCTGTGTCAGCGTAAATGAAGCATTCTTTTATTAAGATGTATGCCCTATTTCAGGATATTTCGGACTGGGAATTTTACTAGTTTTGTCGTTATTAAGATACCATATCGTAACAAAAAAAAAAATCCAAATAAAATATAAAAAGAAATGAAACAAAAGAAAAAAAACAACATTGTTCAACTAACTCTTTCATCATTCTCTTGTTTCTTTTTCTTTTTTTTTTTTTTATTTTTTTGTCAGACTAAGCCATTGTAGAGATAGACAATTCACTACCAAGTAACTCAAAATGCTGTAGCATTCTTTATATTATTACGTATCCAAGGATTCCGAAAAGATATTCTGGTTTGAAAGTTTTTCATGGAAATGTAGATACACCATTACTTATAACCTAGGATGTTGATAATTTTGGCACATCTCTTATCAAGAGCAATAATGTAGGAAGTTGTCAGAATTACTTGTGTTTTTGAAAAATATTCAAAACCTTGATTTTTTAAAAATGCTACTTATCGTTTTACGAAAACTTTTGAAGTTTAATAATTCAACAATAACTTTTTTTTCTTCTAGTTATTTTTATAATCTAGAAGGAAGTATGTATTAGTGTAGTCAAAGATTCATCTGAATAATGAAAAAAAAATCATTTTAGGAGGCTTCAATTATACTTGGAAACAATACTTATTGGATGATGAAATGTCTACAATGTTTACTTCATTTTGGTTGATATAATATCTTTACTATTTTCGGTATTACACGATTTTAATCAAATGGATCCTTTTTCTATTAGTTTTCCATTTTAGGAAAAAAAATTTAAAATTTTCAATTGAAGTAAAAAAAAAAAATTAGAATATATGGAAATATTTGATATCACGTTAAAACAACTACTGTTGTGCAGGCTTATATTTACATATATTTTGTCTAATTTACTCGAACAATTTCAAAAAACTGTAAAATGGACACTAATTCAACGCCTAACTAACCAATAATAATAATACTAATAGTAATAGCACATTAAAATATTGTATCTATGCAAACAAACTCATAAAAAGAATTTAAAGGTGTCTCTTATATAAATCATGTTTAATGTACTTCATCAAAAGAGCTTGATGTTTTCTCATATGGTTTTCACAGTAAAACTCTAGAAGAATTGACAAATGCTATGTGTTGGTTTAATCACAATAAAGTTCCATATGATTATAGCAGATGTTTCGGTAAAATCTGAAACCTGGAATTGTTTTTATATATTTCTAAGCCCCAATTCCGGTTTATTAGGTATAATAGCTTTGTTGAAACTTTATGGATTCACAATAAGCTATAACAAATTAATAGTTGGTTCGACACCTGAAAATAATAGGAGTATATTCAATAGAAAACTGAGCTTAACTTTTCTGATATTCATAATAATGTTAGAAATAATTGAATTTTTGCTTAACCTATCAACCAGAACTTGGAATATTTTTTCCAAAATATTAAAGTTAGATATTAATATACTGTTCATATATAAAATATTATTAGATAATAATGGTTTATGTCATGTTAATGAATCGTAGTTAACTGAAAACTTAGTGGGACTTTATAATTTAACTATCTTACCGTTTATTATGACTATATCCTCTACAAATAAGAGTTACTTTGGATATAGTAGTACATTAACACTATGTCATATTAGTGAAAATGAATACCTTAAGGAAAAAATACCCTTTGTTTGTTATCAAAATGGAGTCCTACTTATAACTTATCTAACGTGGAAAAATATTTAAGTGTATTATATGAACCTTTATTAGCATTACAATGTTTAAACTTATATAAGGTGATAGTTAAATAATCGTTTTTACTTTGGTACAAAATTCAACTCGTAGTTATTATTGCCAATTTTCCCTTGTTTTTTTTCTCTTTTAACGTTTTAAATCATGATAATTTTTTTTTAAAAAAAAAAGCTGTAAAAATATCCTTAATAAATTATCAAATAACATTGACCTAGTATCAGAATGAATAGAAACTATATTTGAAAAAGTTTTTATTTTTTTGTAGCACATTATTGATTATTTTTCAATGTCACGGTCTATTGATATCTATATTTTATACAGTTGTTTAGTTATGTACTTGTTTTAATTTTATTTTCAGTTTTAAAATGTATACTAAAAGATATATCTGAATAATCTCTTAGCATTTGAAAGCTCACACACTATCGTGTGCTTCTGTAAATAATAGAAAAATTTATGTGAATAAAATTTATATTTAAGAAAATTGTTCCTGATAAGAATTAATAAAATATTATAATCATAATCATCAATGCTATATACATACATACACACACATACATATATATATATACTTTATCAATATAAAATCAAAGTACTTTAAACTTTTGTAGGTTTCCCTATTATCTTTCATTTATTTTTTTTATTATGTTAGTTGAATAGTTGCTTTTGTAACGAGTGCAATATTTCAACTTACTAAGCTTGCTTTTTTTGTCAGTACTGTGGTCATACACATATTTATGAGTAAGTGGCATCGAAATGTATAATTAATAATCATTAAAATAACAAAATATAATATGAAATGTTAAAGTTATTGTATTAATAAATTACCATAGGCAATCTATTTGCTAAACCTTTCACTTTTTAAAGGATTTTGTTTAAATGGCAACGTTTGTTTATTTAAATATATGGTGATTTTTTCTTGAAAGTTCCCAATTTTAAAAAAAAAAAGAATCCTATATAACTATTACAAAATAACAAAGTTTTCTCTTAACTTTAATAAAAGCCTGGTTATTTTATGTCGGTATAAAATAAAACTGAATTTTATGTCTACCATGTGTAATTATTATTGCTAGTAGTTATTTTACTATAGCCTTTATTCTGTCCTATGTAATTATTAGTAGGACATTTTTTTCTCCGGAATTTTGTTAATATTAAAACCGGTTCCATTTAATTAGTTTGGGATGCCATATTGGAAGCAAAATATACATACATACATATAAATCATTCCTTGTTACTTTGTTTTTCTAGTTATGTAAGTATAGCTTTTGGATTATTATTTTAATGTCACATATTTTCATGTTTATATCGTTTGAAAAAATAAAACTTTTTTTTGTACGTGTAATCAATCAAATTCTTATTTTGTTTAGAAATGTGAAAATAATTTGTTTATATTCTTTATTATTTAGTTTTATTTTTCTTTGTAAACTTGCAATTTTTTTATTTTCACATCATACTAAGTATCACATTTTTTTTTAAAATTAGTATTGTTCTAAAGTATATTGTATTATTTGATGATGTATGCAAATTTCTGCATGCTCTTAAAACATAAAACAAAAGATGTATTGTTATAACTTAAAAATCTCTCTCAATGATTTTTCAAAAAAAAAACAAAGGAACAAAAAATGCGGGGGACTGTAAAAAGCCCTAGTATTGTTTAGAATGTAAAGAAAGGACAAAGAAAAAAATGAAACAATAGACAATGCGTCGACTTGTCCGTATTATATTATGAGTAAAAGGTAAAAAAATAAGAGAACAAAAAAACAGATTATATATATATATATATATATATATATATATATTTAAATATACATATACATTGGTATTTTTTTGTTGACATGGTAATCAAGTATTACTCTATATAATACATATTCTAATAGTAAAACTTTTTTTTCTAATTTTTTACTAATTACTACCTATGTACTTATTAAAAAAAAAAAGATAATCAAATAAAAATAGAATAATATTAATTAAATGCTTTATGTTAAATTTTACATATATAAACTGATAGAAGTTGAAAAATAAAATAAAAAAAATCTAATTGGATAATATATAAATAAATCAACATAAAGTGTCTTCTAAAATTTATAATGAATATTTTTTTTTGCTCCCTTTACATATATTTAATTTGTTTATATGTTTAAGTAGTAAAAAAACTAAATATAACATTTTTGCATTATTTATTCGATTGTTTATTGTTTCGATATTTCTCTTCTTCAAGAAGCTAATAATACAACAAAATATATGATTGTAGAATTTTCATATATATATATACGTATATTTACTTTTGTAAAATTGAAAAAGACAGTAGTACTAACATTTGTCAAAGAATTCTATGCACTGATATGATATTTTTTGGTTTTTTTTTAAAAAATTTATATAGATATAGTAAAATTAGATTTCACAATGTTTAACGTCGTGGTTATTTAATGATTCTGAAATCGTTTGAGAACTAGATATAATCATTACCAAAAATCCAAAAATTATTACACTGTAATACGGTAATTTTTGTGAGAAAGTATGCTGGGAGTTTTTGGTTAATATAATATGAGTCAAAGGAGGTAAAATGAAAGCCATTATAGAAGCCGTTGTTGAACCAATTAATTCGAATAACGCACCCAAATTACATGTAGTCAGGGATATACCCATGGAACTCAAAACCAGAAAAAGTGTAATTACTGTGTGAAATTTTTCGTTATTTTGCTCTTGGTACGTAAGTGTAGTCCCATTGTTTCCATCATTTGTATCATTGTTAATGTTATTAGTTCTTGAGGAAAGATCACCATTTTCGTTATCGTGAATTATTGAATAATCATTTTCTAGTATGAGGTCATTTAATATATCCATTACAATGTTTCTCAATACAAATATTTCTAGTGGAAATGTAGTTAACATATTAAACCCAAAAAATAGTCTTGCCACGTTGATAAACATATCGTCACTTGAGAAATTATTAAGAATGTTCCCTTTAGTTTTATCTTTGAATACGTGAAACCCGAAATATCCCATCATCATACAGATAAACACAGATATTATGCAGCTAAGATGAGTCAGTTTGTTAAATTTAGCGATGCTTTTATTTCTTAGAGAGAAGTAAATGAAACTTGTATTATGATGACAAACCAAGGCGAATGATATAATAGATATACTTTTGAAGATAGTGGTTCTTAACCACCATTTGGGATGAAATAAAGTTATTTGACTCTTTAGACTCTGGGGCAACAAAGGGCCTCTGATGACTACGGTTAACACGATGATGAGCATACTAATCAATGCTAAGCCCGAGGCTCTTTCTAACGCTTCAATATTTTTATGTAAAGAGAGAGGTAAAGAGATGAAGATGGTTGTACATATGACGACCCAATTTCTTTCTATATAATTTGCGGGTACCAGGGTTCTTAAAACGTGAGGGATCGAGTCACCGATAATTATACAGAATGCAACACATCCACCGAAAGCAAATAACCCGTTGGCTAACATAATTAGTAATTTACCCTTTTTACCCATAGCTTTTTGCACACTGTCTTGATATGTGTTTGTGCCGGAGATGACCAAATTTTTAACTATTAATCGTAAGGTCCAATCAGTAATAAAACCAAGTAGTATATATATTATAAATGCACCAACTACACCAGCTTGTTTGATTGCAAATGGTTGTGAGACTATACCTGCTCCTAATATACTGTTTGCCATATTCATGAAAGCCATATGCAAAGGAGATTTAGAATTATTTTCCTGTATAAGAGTCCGAATGAATTCTTCATTTCTCATGTCATCGAGTTCATATTGTTCCTCATGTTCAGTATAAGGAGGAGGGTCAGATGGAAGGGGAGTTTCGTTAATATTATTATATGATTCACTACGCATTATATCATTATTTGTTTTTCCACTAGTATGTATTAAGTATTTAAAAAAGGATCGCAATACAGTTGTAGTTGTGGGTAATTCGGGAGTTTCTTGCTTTATGACTGTCTCTTAAGTATGCCAAAGATATAGATTATATTAGTGTACTAGCTCAGTAAAAGAAATTTTGTAAAGAACTAGGCTTAGAATTGTATAACTTTCGTACTGGTTTTGTTTTGTTTTGTTTAGTTTTGTTTTATTAATTGAAATAGGCACGCAACCGCTTTTCTTGTTTTGGCTTTATATACCGTTTCCAGTAATTTATTGTAAAAAATAACTTAAAAACCCTTGCCTAAACCCTAATGTGAACATAGGGTTTGTGAAGTAATTTTTTCATTTGTTTTTTTTTTTTTTTTTTCATTTTGATTTTGTAATGTTTTTTGTCACGGGCGGCTGTCCTGTAGCCTTGACCCCATCCGCCGCTTTTATCTTTTCTTCGATTTTCCGTCTGTGATTGACTCTTGCGTGTATCAAAGAAAATTTGTCTTACTAAAGAATTTTTTTTCTTTTTTTTTGTGTTGTTCATCATACTTTCGGGTAAACATTTAATATTTTTAGAAAAGACAAACAGACTTGTAGAGCGATGTTTTTCTTTTGGCTGGAAATATTAAAAGTACTGTAACATCTTTAATACAAATTATTTTTATTTTTATTTTTCTTTTTTTCACTTTTTTGTAGTACAGTTTTGACTCTCTACGCACTTTATTAGAGTACAAATCAAGTATAATAAACACACATATATGTATATTTGAGTGGGTTTTATTTTTTGTTGTACTGTTACTTATAGTTGGTGTTTTCTTCTTCTTTTTTTTTTTTTAAAGTATTCAAAAAGAAAGTAGGCATAATTAAAGAAATTATTCAAGTTGTCGTTTTTTTTGAAGCTTTTGGTTCGTGTGAATCATAATATTAGCATATTTATTAATTTGTTCACTATATTTTTTTTATTTTTTTCTTTAAAGCTAATAATAAAGTAATTGTAATTTTAAACTGTTTTAATATTCAATATAACATAAAGAAAAAGAAATACTCAAAAAATCATGATTATTGAAAAAGAAATCACTCCGATGTCTCCCTCCTCTAATGATATTAGATTAAGAAAAAAATCAATAGATTATAAGGACGAAAAATTGAAAACGGCTATATCATATACATCGCAACATGAAGAACATGAATTAGGTGTAAACAGAACTTACGATGATATTAATGATTTAGAATCAATAGAAGAAGAATTAGGTGTCATCAAAGATGTAGAGGTTAAAAGAGAATTAAAACAAAGACATATTGGTATGATTGCCCTAGGTGGCACTATCGGAACAGGTCTTTTCATCGGGCTGTCTACTCCACTGTCACAAGCAGGTCCAGTTGGTGCCCTCATAGCGTATCTGTTCATGGGTACACTTGTATACAGCGTAACCCAATCTTTAGGTGAAATGGCTACTTTCATTCCAGTTACATCCTCTTTTACTGTCTTCTCCCAAAGATTTTTAAGTCCCTCAATTGGGGCAGCTAACGGCTACATGTATTGGTTTTCTTGGTCTGTCACTTTTGCCTTAGAATTGAGTGTTGTCGGTCAAGTGATCCAATTTTGGACAACGGCTGTACCTTTAGCAGCATGGATTAGTATATTTTGGGTTATTTTAACGGTAGGTAATATGTTTCCCGTCAAATATTATGGTGAATTCGAATTTTGGATTGCTTGCATTAAAGTTATAGCGATCACCGGGTTTTTGATTTACTGTCTTTGTATGGTGTGTGGCGCAGGTGTAACGGGCCCTGTTGGTTTCCGTTACTGGCGTCACCCAGGTGCAATGGGACCAGGTATCATTTCGAAGGATGTCAATGAAGGCAGGTTTTTAGGTTGGCTGTCATCTCTTATCAATGCTGCATTTACCTATCAGGGTACGGAGTTAGTAGGAATCACTGCTGGTGAAGCAGCAAATCCAAGAAAATCTGTGCCTCGTGCAATAAGAAAAGTTGTTTTCCGTATTCTCTTCTTCTATATTGGCTCGTTGTTCTTCGTTGGTCTTTTAGTTCCTTACAATGATCCCAAATTAAGTAGCAAGGATTCATATATCGCATCCTCACCTTTTATTATTGCTATTGAAAATTCAGGTACTAAAATCTTACCTGATATTTTTAATGCAGTCATCGTCTCCACTATTATATCGGCAGGCAATTCTAATATATACGTTGGTTCACGTATCTTATATGGGCTAGCCAAGAATAAATTAGCGCCAAGAATTTTATCCAAGACTACAAAACAAGGTGTACCATATTTAGCAGTTATAACAACGTCCGTGTTTGGTGCATTAGCATATATGGAAACCACTACGGGTGGTGCAAATGCATTTAACTGGTTATTGAATATTACCGCAGTTGCTGGATTTTTCACTTGGTTATTTATATCTATTTCGCACATACGGTTTATGCAAGCTTTAAAGTTCAGAGGTATCTCTAGAGATGATTTACCGTTCAAAGCAGTTTTAATGCCATACTTGGCATATTATGCGGTTTTTTTTATGAGTATTATTATCATAATTCAAGGTTTTACTGCGTTTGCACCTTCGTTTAGCGGTCAAGATTTTGCTGCTGCATACGTTTCTGTGTTTTTATTTATATTCCTTTGGATCGTATTCCAACTTTGGTTCCGTTGTAGACTTATCCATAAAATTGAAAATGTGGATATTGATACAGATAGAAGAGATATTGAAGCTGTCGTGTGGGAAGATTCCGAACCTAAAACATTCTGGGATAAGTTTTGGGCAGTTGTTGCATAAAGAAAGAAAATACTTTCTTTTTATTGTAATATAATTAATAATATAAAGGTTTGGTATCTACACATATATTTAAAACACTAAAATTTTTTTTAAATTTAATAGTCATATGTAGATGTTTTGAATTTAGTAATGATAATATTAATATTATATGTATATATTTTCGAAAATTGTAAGTGCTACTATATATGTGTGATGAAGCAAGCAAGAAACGTTTCATTTATGTTTGAAGTTTGTGTTGTTTTGTAAAGAAAATTATATATGTGTAGATTACAAGGTGTATTGTGGTATTGTAGGAAATATAATAATTAATAAGAGTGTATAGTAAGTTATTTATAAAAGTAAAAAATGCGTAAAGCTAAACGCGTTAAAAAAGAAAACCTCAAAGAATGTTACAAATAATAAAGTTTGATAAAAATTAATCCAAAGGTGAAATGAAGTTGGAACGAAAGATGGATTAAGTAACAGATAATAATATTGTAAAAGCAAAGGAAAAAAGAAAAAAAGTAAAAGTAAGACCTAAATTTGTTAAAAGGAGTGTAAAAGTAAATTATATAGAAATAGTAAAATATTTTATATAGTAAATGTTTCATTTACAGAAAAGAGTAAATACAAGAACATGTTTAATTAACAGGGATAAAGGATACCTATTATGAGGGAGAGAGAGAGAGATGAGAGGGGACGATATCAAAAAGCAGGAGAAAGGACGAGATTAGTAATGCTAAAATGGATTATACGAAAACAAACACATAGAAAGGAAGGGAGGATAGAGGAGAAAGAAAACATGACAGAACAAAACACAGCACAACACGACAAACAAACAAACAGATAAAGAGAAAAACCAAAAAATAAGAGAAGATATCAAGAATAAAGAAGAAACACCACAAATAAACCAACAGCTAAACACACTAAAGTAACCTGATAACACAAATACCTACATATCTTTAATTTGTTTATACTGCTGCAAAAATAAAGAATCAAAAGGAAATAAATATAAATTCATAACTATTATTATTGCTGTTAATAACTGAAAAAAAAATTTTTTTAAACTAAATTATTTGGTTCTATATCTTTTATTTATAAACTACTTAGGGTTAGTACTTAAGAGGTAGTTACCTAGCAAAAACAATTTTCAAAATTAACATACCCATATTCTTACTTGCAAGGGACTAAGTCCACATTTCCTGGCAATTAACTGTCGTTCCTCCTTGGTCAACCACTGTTTCTGGGCAAACACTTTCTCCAAGAATAACCGCGTATCCTTGGTTAGGTGTGTTCGACCATAACTATTATCATACATGTGTCGTAAAAGGGTCTTTCTCTCACATAAACAAAGGTCCGATTCAAGAATTAACTAACAACAAAACAGAAGAAAAGAAAGAAAGAAACTATATATATATTTGTAGTTGTGTATGTTTCAAGTTAGTAACTATCTATAAATATATACACACTCATTCCTTCAAACATTCATTTATATCAACCTAGATATCTTGATTAAAGTAAGAACATACTTTAGAACTAATATTAAATAATAATTGTAGTGACATGCTGTTTATCCTCCTAGTTCAACTTCTTCACACACATACATATATGCGTGTGTGTGTGTGAATATGTATAGATTGGATGGCCTCTCTTTCTCTATCAGTCTTCTTCCTTCCTCCCACTCCTCTTGTTCTCAATGTTATTCATCTTGCAATACAACATAAGAATTCAAGAAATACATCCTTTTTTTTCAATCCCTACTCATATATGGAACATACATCTTCACGGTGTATTTTGATTTCCATAAATCAGCTCTTCGCTCGGAGCAGGACGGAAAGCAACAAGAAAATATTTTTTTATCAGCGTCCAAATTTTTCACATCTTTCGTGCCCCGAGATTTTACTTCCAACAAATCCAAAAAAAAAATATAAGAACGCTGTTTCATATTTTTACAAGAATTACCTGTTTAGGTAATTCTTTCAAATTTTCGAAACTGCAAAATCTCCCATTAAAGAAACAATATACATGTCTCTGAAAAAAAATCAAAAAAAAACGCGTAAGAATAATCTCTTGACAAAACCTTTTCAAAATTTTACGCTAGCACCTACAATTGGCAACTAACTGAATTACAATAACGCTATAATCATTCTAATGCATTCAACCTTCAACACTACATCATTAATATTTCACAACACAAGAACTAGCGCTTCGATTTTATAATAACCATTGCTTTCAAAAAACAAATGGATGGAAAAAATACTTCAGAAAGATCAACATTTACACTTCATTTTGTGCCATGCAAAACCGATAACAATACTAAAACAACCGAATTTAACGATCTACTTACAGATAAGGACCTTAACGACAAATATTTATCAATATACATCCAGGGACGAAACCTTTTGGGAAAAGAGATACTTAACGACACTTTACAACCTTATTTGATTTCTACAAATTCCATAATAGAAGATGATCAAAATCAAAAACAAATTATTGAAACCAATAAATTAAAAAAATTAAATAAAGTGATAAACTATGAAAGAGAAGGTAACGAAGAACGTCTCAAACAGGAACATGACAAGCTATCAGAGTATATCATTTTAACAAACATAATTCATGGTAAATAGTTTGTAACATAAATATACATTGTACCAACCCTATTAAAAAAACTAAAACCATTAACGTTTAATGTATGTTTCTGAAAAAAATAAACAAAACTTTGTTTACAATTATAATTTTTCATACAAAAATATCTAAAAAACTATGAAAAAAAATTCACTTTTCTATCAAATCCAAAAATAACCACTAGAACAGAGTGACAATTAAAAAAAACTGTTATTACTATAAAGACAAACCTAATAGTATTTCAATATATACAATTCAATCCTGCCTCAAAATGGACAAAACATCAATCGTACAAATATTCGTTGTTAGAAGAAATCCAATTTATTATGGAAATAGAATGATGCATTGCTACCACAATGGGATATAATAAAAATACTATAAATAGTTCTTAGAACATGAGAGTTTATTACTGTCATTTCCATAAGAATTATTTTTAATTAGTTTTTCTGTATATTATGTGGTGCACGGATGTACCATAATATCAGGAAGACATTTTATTTGTCACCAAATATGTCTTTTAGAGATTTGAAGAGAAATCAAACACTTAAAAGAAAAGTCAAAGTAAATAAAAGAATTTATACTGTGTACACTATATAATAAGTATATGCATGTATTTAGTACAAAACAAAATAAGCATCTATGACTTAATGATGTCTACCATTACCATGGACGCTAAGGGTACCAAATTCAAACAAAAACGAACAACCAACGAACAACCGATGAACATCGAACGCAGAATACAATAAGCAAATAGTATAATTATATAAGCTCGATATAGCCGTTAATATATAAGACCGTATTAATAATTGCATTACTGATTGTATCAATTATTGTCTCGATTATTAATAAATTATCCGTTTGATATTTCTAGCGCTTCCCCGAATAATATTAACAGTTATTCAAATAATCGAGACAATAATCAACTATAGTTGATAATATAATTACTAAAACAGTCTTATATATTGAGCAACTTATATCGAGCTAATATATTTATTCAGAGTTACTTAACTTGTTACTTGCTTGTTAATCTCTTTTGTTATACATGATATATAAATTATTTACAAGAAACGGTTATGGAAGATGATCTTTTATCTCCAGAAAACGTTGTCCTTTTATATGTTTTCTGGAGCTCGATCGATTATTCAGATTAGTACATTAATGATCTGACTGATTCAAACCCTAAAATTTATTACAGTAATTCGGGTACACTAGTGAATTAGTAACTGCACCCCAATTCTCTAATTGTGGTTATTAGTAATACACGTGTGACTTATTAAAACAATAGGTAAGTTCTAGATTTACCAAAAGCTTATGTAATATTAGTGGAACTAATCTTTTTGTTATGCAGCATCTAATGTTGTAGCACGTGTATGACTTATTAAAACAATAAACAGTTTCAAATTCATTCAGGATCTTATGTAATCTTGATGTTAATAACTTCTTTATTCTACGAAGGGGCTGTGTTGTAGTATGGTGTGGTGAAGTTCTTTGTGTATTCCAGGGAAGCGCAAATAATATTAATAGTAATTCAAATAATCGAGACAGTAATCAACTATAGTCGATAGTATAATTACTAAAACGGTCTTATATATTAAGCGGCTTATATCGAGCTAATGTACTTATTCGAAGTTACTTGACTTGTTACTTGCTTGTTGTTCTCTTTTTTTCATATATAATATATAAATTATTTACAAGAAACGGTTATGGAAGATGATCTTTTATCTCCAGAAAACGTTGTCCTTTTATATGTTTTCTGGAGCTCGATCGATTATTCAGGTTACTACATTAATGACTTGACTGATTCAACCCTAAAATTTATTATATTAATTTAGGTGCACTACTGGATTAGAACTGCATCCCAATTCTCTAATCATGGTGATTAGTAATACACGTGGGACTTACTAAAACAATAGGTAAATTCTAGATTTGCCAAGGTCTTATGTAATCCAATCTTTTTATTATGCAGCATCTAATGTTGTAGCACATGTATGGCTTACTAATACACTAATTGGTTCTAGATTCATTCAGGATCTTATGTAATCTTGATGGTTATAACTATTCTATTCCACAACAGGGGCTGTGAGAACTCATCCTTGTTAGCTCAGTTGGTAGAGCGTTCGGCTTTTAAACTTATGTTTAGGCAAGGACAACCGAAATGTCAGGGGTTCGAGCCCCCTATGAGGAGTCCTCTTTTTTTATTTTTTTATCTGTAATAACGCTGAGGTTATGTATTTCTGATAACAGTTAATTTTGTTGAAATCTCAATAATATTTCACTTGGATAGATATAAGATATAGATTCTTTCTATATCTCTAGATGTAATATTCCCATATATCTATATATCTATATCTCTAATCTAAGATAACCTAATAGTATACACTTATATACTATATCTAAACCTATGTAATCCTTAGTTTCCTGTTCGTTGTTTGATCTTCTTGGTTGCTCTCTTGTACTTATGTTGGTTACTCCTGTTTTTATCTATGTTTGTAAAATTTTGCAAAAGGAAAGTTTAGAAAAATATCGTCGACCCTCATTTTTCTAAACAAACCCTAAACAGTTATATTAGGGATATTACAACGATGTAATGGATGAAAACCCTATTTCGAGAGATATACTCTTCTAGAAACTAAAATAGATAAATATAGCTTGCTTGGTTGATTATATATAACACATAAACCATATTCTACACAAACAGTAACTAGCATACACACGCACACAAATATTTGTATATTTATAAACAAAAAAAACAACACCATCGTTATCGACTAAACATTTTGCAAAGCATAATATTCTGGTATCAAAATAATATATCTCACACAACCAAATATGTTACAATTATAAGTATCTTCTAAATTCTAAGCTACAACAACCAATCTTTCATTATGTTCATAGAGAAAACATCAAAAAAGGATATTTTATGTAGACTATTGTCTTCATAGAGTTATCTACACCTGTAAAATTAGTAAATATGTGAAACAAAAACATTATAACTAAGAAGTTTAAAAGACCAACCACTATTGTACATTTTCAGATAAATTCAACATTGCAGGCTTACTAAAGATATATCTTTTTACTTGCCTAAAAATGTAAACCAATATTGACAAAGTTAAATATAACATATAAACTAGATAGAACTTCTAATTAGTTTCTTCTCTATCACAATGTTTGGAATGTTTACTGGTCATAAAAACTGAATTAACATATTTGTTTGTATTGCCCACGCACATTTACTTGTAAGAATTACTTAAATTTATATGATATTTCTATAAAAAGTTATGTTAAAGTGATTTAAATTCCGCAAAATTTCCAAAACTTCGAAGATAATTTCATTAGAAAAATAAAAAATACACCAAAATTATCAAAAAAAAAAAATAAAAAATAAAAACAATTTCTTCTGAAAAACCAATGATCTAGCATATTTTCTATTTATGAATGCAATAATTGTTGATCTAAAATTAATGAAAAAGTAGAAACTATCGAGTTACGACATATCTTCGACCACAAATTCCATAACTTATCCTTTTCTAAAAAAATTTTGATCCATTACACTTTCAAATGAATGATGACTTTTTTTCTACGAATTCGCTCTCATCTAAAGAAGAAGATAATTTTAATTTCAATATAGAAAATATTACAATCTCACCAACTAAATCATTAGTATACTATGACTCTCCAACACATCATAATAAATTATATCCCATAACTTCCCCACAAACTAATTTACATTCGAAGAAAACATCCAAACAAAAACAGATTCCCTATGAAAACTACATGTCTAATTCAACGTCAAACTCCACTGTTGAATCATTCGTTACAGCTACTTCTGAATTCCATATAGAGGGGTCTTCCATTGATGAGAAACCAAAAAAAAACGTTTTTGCATCATTAACTGAAAATAATAATAGCACTACAACATTACAACAAACACACAACCAAAATGATTTACATTACGATACTAATTTTACTACACCTAAATTTGATTCACCACATACACTCACTTTCCAGCAAGAAAGTGTACACGATAATACAGAATTAAGTAAAAATTTGCTAATGAAAAGTACAACAAATGTTAATCAAACGTCGTCCACAGAATCAAAAAATATATTACATATTAAATATTCATCACCTAGAAAAGCCATTAGAGCGTCAAGACTTATCAACTCAGAAGATTTTGTATATGATAAAACTAACAAAAACAATAAACAAAAAAAGTATATTAAGACAAAAACCATTCAAAGTTCTCACAAGCAAAATGATGATTCTTTACTTTCTGAAAATACGATTAACACAATTACATTTGATACATTAGATTTATCAAATAGAATACAAGAAAGTACAGTTTTTGCAGACAATGAGATATCTAAAGACCAGTATATTTTTAACTTCAATAATTACGCATATCTTTTTATAATTGCACTGCATGGATTCAATGCAGAAACTTTAGAAGCTGAAGAAGACATACAAATATGTCTTTCTTTTGAAAAAAATGATGTTGCGTTTATCCATGTAGCAGATGAATCTGGATGGGGTGAAGTAACTTTGATTAATCAGCAAAAAAGAGGTTGGGTTCCTTTGAATTACTTTACTGATGTTTTGCAACCAGAGTTAAACATAGATAAAAATACCGATGCGATTAAACAAACTTACAACTACATATCCTCAAGAATACCATTAGAATCATTACTGACTGCTTCTGCTAAATTTTTGGTGGATTTTGAAAGACAAGCAGAAACTAATAAGATTCTGAAAATTGATCTCATCAATGATATTAGAGATGGTGTGAAAAAACTACTGCAACTTACTGAGTGTGTCTCACGATCAGATGACTTAGTAAAAAACTATTTGGATATCAAAAAAACTAGAAAAAAACTTTTAGCAGAATGGTATAATTTAATGATAAAAGCAGATCACTATAAAAACAGTCATTCACCAAAAAATGTAAGCACAATAGTAATATTACTATACACTGTGATAGAAAAGGCATTTGCATTTTATGCTTCATGGGGAAATGAAAAATTACATATAATTAACCAACATAATGTTCATATATATAATCAAGTTAACAATATCTTTCATAATGACACACAGAACGATATAATTTCTGAAAATAAGCATTTAAAAACACCACCTCATGCCATGGAACGACTAGGTGAAATTTACAACATTTTATTTACATATATTGGTATTATACTAGGTAGATTAGATATTATACAACATAGTTCTGCTGGTTATGAATCTTTAGAACTTATTGTACATCAGATTATTATACTTCTAAGGGAGTTACTATACATTAGCAAATCATGTTCCTATATTATTCAACAAAAATATAAATATGCTTATGAAAGTACATTAGATTCAAATTTAGATCCCCTGTTATCTTTGGTTTCTGAATTAGTTTCTTGTGTCAAGATATTAGTGACAAAAGTACTAACTGAAGATGAACATTTCTATTCTTCTAAAGAATCCCTAAAACCTCAACATTTCTTTTCATATGTGTACACCTCTGAAGAAAAAAATCTAATTAGGATTATTTCACAAATGGCTCCTTTAATCAAAAATGTAGTTTTTGGTTGTAACAGCTACATAAGATTAATTGGTAATTTTAAACTTGGTGATGATAGAGAGTATCTAGATTTTTCATATTTAACAGTTACACCTGAGGATTTTGTTAAAAAATGCGGTTATTCAAACAATTATAATCAACTAATATTAAATGCAAAGGGGAAACTTGGTCGGTTAGCCAGATTTTCTTCAATACATCCTATCAAAAAAAGTAAAATAGTTAATAACATATTTTTGGATAATCCATTAGACGAAAATGAAAAAGAATTCAGTAGAAACTCTGTATTTGATAAATTTAAACTGGATATTGATTGTCAAACAGAAGAAGATAATACTTCTTTGTTACCTATAAACTACACTGAAATAATACAAAAGGAAATCTTATTTGACAATAATGGTGCTTTGGTTGGTGCTTCCTTCAGAGCTTTTGTTCTCAAGCTCACTGATGAATTAGACAAGCCTGATGATTTATTAATTGCTTCATTTCTACTACATTTTAGAAAATTTGGTAATATAGTCGATTTGGTGGATGAACTGATTACACGATTTGATATTATTAATAAGTCGTCACAATATGATACAGAACGAGGGAATGGTATCTACTCTTCAAAAGCTTCTCGATTGAAAACAAGAAGAAGATTAGTATGTTCTATATTTCAAAAATGGATGGAAAGCTATTGGGAATTTCAGGACTACGATATTTTGCCATCTATGGTAAATTTTTTTAATGAAATAGTATCTAGTTATTTACCGATCGAATCTAAAGCTCTTATTGAGGTTGCTTGCAGATTGTTTAACATTCTGACAAATACTGCTACGAAAACCAATGATTTACTTGTTTTCCATCAATTAAAGACTACATCAACAATATGTCCAAAAGTATTATCTGTTATATCGGAAACTTCTTCTATTAATAGCCTCAGATCATCGGTTTTTTCCCTTGATGATAGAATAATCAATCAATATGGTTTAACAAGAACAAAATCTAATAGTAGCAAAAATAGCAAATCCTTGTTATTACCACAACTTGAAGTGGGGGAATCATCCTTGCTCTCTGACGAAGAGATAGAGAAGACTAAAAAATCAATTATGTTTTATGAAACAGTGACTAAAATTACAGTTGATAGCAATAGTGAAGCCTATGAAGTGGGTGATTCTTTGGAACTTTGGAGAAAGCTAAAGACCGTTGATGTTTCAACAAACTTTTTAGTAGAACAATTTAATAAGCCATCGTTTGGGCTAACAGATATACATCCTTTAGAATTAGCTAAACAACTAACTGCTTTAGAATCTGCTTTATTTCTAAGAATTCAACCCATGGAATTAGTTCATTATAAAGAACCGAACTTTTCACCAAATATTGTAGCAATTTTGAACTTTAGTAATCAATTATCTAACTATGTTACAGAAACCATATGTGCTCCATATCTTTCTTTAATCCAAAGAGTTTATAGGTTACAAACCTGGTTAAGAATCGCATTATCATGTGCCTACTTTAGAAACTTTAACTCTGTTGCAACTATTATGGCTTCATTACAAAATCATTCTATTGAAAGGCTACATTCAATATGGAATGCCTTAGATAAAAAGGATTCCACATTGTTTGATTATTTGGTACGAATTGTTCATCCAAATCATAATTTTAAAGTTTATAGAACTAAATTAAATTCAATAACTAAAGACCATCTGTATTCTAAGTCTCCATTGCCAGTTGTGCCCTTTGTTAATCTCTACTTACAAGATCTTACATTTTTGGACGATGGAAATCCAAGTTTTAAGGATCCACATTCATTTAGACCAAATAAATTGGTCAATGTGGATAAATATATAAGAATGACAAAAATCATCAGTAACCTTCAATTCTTTCAAGTGGGTTATAGTCAGTCATCTTTAGACAGTTTGGATAAAAGGAATTCCTTTTTTCAAGTTGCTGAAAATCTTTCAATCGACACAGATGTCATAACCGATATTGCTAATTTACAAGAGTTTATTATTTTTGAATTTTGGAAGGTAAATAAATACTATGAACACGATTCAGAAAGAGGTTACAAACAAAGTCTGCATATCACTCCAAGAAACCAAGGACATTAAATATATTTTCAATTATTATATAATAAAAAACAAAACATATAATATAAATACTAACATATAAATAATCTGCAAAAAAAGATAAATGTAACAATATAATATTTATTCTTATCTTTTTGCAGTTTTTAAAAACGTGACAACTTGTGAATATTCAACATTATTCAGTGTATATTAATAAAAAGATTTTTTCCATTTATATTCTTTCTTTAAAAAACACAATATCTTTTTAAAAAGATATTTTATAATCTTCTACATAATATTGAATATACTTCTAATGCAAGTAAAACAGTAATGCAGGGCTCAGTGTTAAACATTTGCTTCATTACGAATGTGAATATTTTAAGTGAGGCTGAATAAAAATATCGGCTCATATTAAATATTTCAAAAGGTAAACATTGAAATTTAGAAAAACACGCAAATATTACAGAGATCCTATTGACAGAAAAATGACTGCAAGAGATTTCTGGTGAAAAAGGAATCATTGTATATTGCATCTTCATTATTTGACTTGGGTCCTTCTAGTAATTAAAGTTACAACATTGAATCATTATTCTTTTGTAACAACTATAGTTTTAATAACAGCAAAATTAGAATAACTGATAATTATAAAAATTATCCCTTAATTTTTTACCATTATTTTTTTAAACATAACTTTTCATTTTACAAAGAATAACTCTTAGAGTAACCTTACTACCTAATATTAGAAACGCTACTTCATTGTTGTATTTTTGCAATAAAATATCAAATATAAATAAAGCATGAGATTCTCTCATTTTTTAAAATATAATGCAGTTCCGGAATGGCAAAATCACTACATTGACTATGTGGCATTAAAAAATCTTATCTATACTTTACAATCAGATGAATTAAATCATTCTGTTGATAATACATCAACCCTCAATGAACTAAATGGGCTTGAGGAGACTCCTAAAGGAACAGAAATAACCAAAGCAGCTTCAGTGAAGGACTTAACTTCTAAGATCAAGAGTACATTTTTCAAATCTAAAAATAAAGCATACTCTTCAGAAAAAATTGATAAAACTACAGAGGTGGAAGAAACTATTGAGCTGGATGATATCTCTTTCAATATAAACAAATTAGATAATCCAGTGAAAAATATCTTTTCCGCTAAGTTAAAGTCAAAGATAAATGATAGTTCTGTATCTTCTCAGTCAAATGAACTAAATACGAGTAATAACTCTTATGATGTATTCTTAATAAACTTAATAGATGAGAGAATGAAAATTGATGATTTCTATAAAAGAATGGAAGCTAAATTCTATGAAAAGTTTGACTCCCTGTTGAGTGATTTAGAAGCAGAAAATATAATTTCTTTTGAACAGATTGCCTCTCAGCTTGACTCTAATACATCAGATATAGAAACTATTAAACTAAAATTATTGAATAATAATAATAAGCGAAGATCAACCAACTCTTTTAACATTAAATTATCTCATGAGGATAATGAACTTCGAAATCGATTTGATTTGTCAGAAGAAGACTTTGATGAGGATGAAGAAGTGGAATATGAAATTGATGGTATCCAGGAGAATAGTGCTTTGTTAACCTATTCTCAAGTAAATATAAAATCACAGAAAAAATCCATTTTAAAACAATCTATTATTTATCTTTATATTGATCTTTGTCAATTGAAATCATTTATTGAATTGAACAGTATTGGTTTCAGTAAGATCACAAAAAAGTTTGATAAGGTATTACATATGTCTACAAGATCTGAACTGATAGATACTGGGATATTTTTCAAAGATATATATACATTTAAGATATCTACTCTTAACGCTTTGAATCAACGAATCCAGCTTTTAGTGGAATTCTACGCACTGATAACTGACCAATCTGATAATTTAGATAATTGCAAAAAAGAATTAAAATCATTTTTACATGATCATATTGTATGGGAAAGGAGTAAAACTTGGAAAGATATGTTGGGTTTAGTTTCAGCAAATGAACAGATTAGACCTGATCTGGATATAATTGAAAAAGAGAATAATGAGAAACGGGAGAAATTAAATCTTGATTTTTATTTATGGGAACTTTCAAAGCCAATAGAATGGAAATTTATTCATATTTCGCGTGTTGGTGTACCTAAATTTCTTTTCACTAAGAAAGCTGCTAAGCTTGCATTTATTATTACATTTACTGGTATATTATTAGGAGTGAAAACATTTAATGATAGAATCGAGGGTCGTTGTATGGCCTTAGTTGAATGTGTTGCTTTCTTATGGGCATCAGAGGCTATACCATTGCATATTACAGCCTTTTTAGTTCCATTATTAACTGTCTTATTTAAGGTGTTAAAAGATAAAGATGGAAAGACGATGGGTGCAGCAGCTGCTTCATCTGAAATATTCGCATCAATGTGGTCTTCTACAATTATGATCTTATTGGCAGGTTTTACTTTAGGGGAAGCTTTATCTCAGTATGATATTGCAAGAATCATAGCCTCTTGGCTATTGTCAGCTGCAGGTACAAAACCAAGAAATGTTATCCTAATGGCAATGGCTGTTGTGTTTTTCTTATCTATGTGGATATCTAATGTCGCTTCCCCTGTGTTAACATACTCGTTATTAACACCATTGCTCGATCCATTGGATAGCGATACCCCATTCGCAAAGGCATTGGTCATGGGTGTCGCATTGGCTGCAGATATTGGGGGAATGGCATCGCCAATATCCTCTCCACAAAATATTATTTCTATGAATTATTTGAAGCCATATGGCATTGGTTGGGGTCAGTTTTTTGCTGTTGCACTACCCTGTGGTATTTTGGCTACATTGTGTTCATGGGGGCTAATGTGCACAACGTTTAAAATTAACACTACCAAGTTAGAAAAGTTTACTCCAATCAGAACAAAATTAACTATAAAACAATGGTATGTTATTGTTGTTTCTATAGGTACTATTTTGTTATGGTGTGTAGAGTCTAAAATAGAAGCAGCATTTGGCTCGTCAGGTCAGATTGCAATTTTACCAATTGTCTTATTTTTTGGAACAGGAATATTGACAACAAAGGACATTAATAATTTCCCATGGCAGATTGTCATTTTGGCTATGGGAGGTATAGCATTGGGTGATGCGGTTTCATCTTCAGGATTATTAACAACTATTGCAAGAGCACTACAAAGAAGAATTGAGCATGATGAATTGCTAGCAATTTTATGTATTTTTGGAATTTTGATGTTAGTTGTAGGAACATTTGTTTCGCACACTGTTTCCGCCATTATTATAGTCCCATTAGTCCAAGAAGTGGGAGAAAATCTTGATAGTCCAAAAGCTGCACCTGTACTTGTTTTTGGCTGTGCATTATTAGCATCATGTGGTATGGGTCTAGCATCATCAGGTTTTCCTAATGTCACTGCAATTTCTTTAACTGATAAAAAAGGAAATAGATACTTGGATGTGCTAACATTTTTAACTAGAGGTGTTCCTGCGTCATTATTTGCGTTCGTTTGTATTATAACTATGGGATATGGTATAATGATTTCTATTGTTAAAGATACGCCATCAACTGTCTCAAGTGGTCCTTAAATTTTTGTAATAATTCTTTTATGTATAAGTATATATTTTCACTACGTATATACTATTATTAAATAGTTGTATATTAAACAAATAAATATTGTGATAGATGTATGTCTTTTCATTGAACCAACCGTGTTTATTCTATATAACGTAAGTATTTTTTTACAAATATGAAATATATTTTAATATATACATAAATATTATATAGTACGAACAAACTAACACATTCTGTAAATTATTAAGAGATCTGAATAACTTCATTATACGTTACAATACTTTCGGAAGCGCCTGGGTTTTGGATAGTCAAAGAACTAGCTTTAGTACTGAATTCAATTGCTTTTGTAATATCGATACTTTGATAATACTGGGTGATAAAAGCACCTAAAAATGTGTCACCTGCACCGGTTGTGTCAATAACCTTAATATTCTTAACAGGTTCTCTAAATTTAACTTCTCGTTGTTCTTTAGACAAAAATAAAACACCTTTAGCACCCAATGTAATAATAACAATACCAGGGCCTTTAGGGTTGACACATTTCTTTTGAAGTACTTTACATATCTCCTCATAACCCTTCATAAAATTTGCTCTTATTTCTTTTTTAATTTCCGCAACTATATTGTTTTCTAACACTGATTCAATAATTTGTAAAGATTCAACTTCATTTACTATTAAAATGTCTATTAGATTCCAATTATCTATTTCTATACTTTTGAAAGGAGATGGGTTGAACACAATATCATAATTTTTTCTTTCCCTTTTTAACCATTTCATAATAGAACATGGATCTGGTATCTCTTGTTGAAATACAGCCATATGTCTATCCTCATTATTATTTTTCAAAGTTTTTGGAAAGATAGCTTCTAACTGATCGTCATTATATACACTTTCCCCATTGGCACCTGCAGTAATTAATATTCTATTTTGACCTGTCTTTTTTTCTACTAGAATGATGGCAACACCTGTTTTCTCAGTAGGATGTATGACCACTTGTGAGACATCTACATGATGTTCTTGTAAAATATGTATTAATTCAAACCCAAAACTATCCTTTCCAACAGTACCTATCATACGAACGTCATAGAATGAATCAGGTCTTTTCAATTTTGCAATTGCTATAGCTTGATTTAACCCTTTACCCCCTGTATGGGTTTGAAAACTATTTGCACGAATTGTTTCTCCTGGCGCTGGAATCGAGTCTGCATAGGTAACTAAATCATAATTTAATGACCCAACTATAGATATACTCATTTTTAATAAAATATGATTTTGTTTTCTGTTCTTGTCTTTGCTTTTTTGAGATTTTAGGATCAGTCTAAGACAATTACGTGAATGATTCAGTGTTACGAAAAATAAAACATTATTACCTTAATAAATATTCTTATATATAAGTTTTACAACTTATTTTTCAATTATTAATGGGGCCCAACTACTCGATTTATAGATGGTTTGATATCTATTCGCTATTATTCATTCAAATTCTCGAGGTTTTTGTTGCGAAGATCATATAGACTTCCACTAATTTGAAGATTTTACTGTTCTGATTATAAATTTCCCAATTAGGAATGGCAGCCTTTTTGGAGAATATTGAGACTATTTTGGAAAATTCAGAAATATGGAAAATTTTTGGATAAAGAATAATGAGAAAGAGTATATTAGAGACAATCCATTAGAGCTATTCAAGAAGGGTCTATCTTGACAATATGTGTTTTTTATTTAATTATATGCAAGGATATATACAAGTATGTGAACTCATAAATATATCCTGTACTAAACTGGTTTATTTTCCAAAAGACAGGACAACATTAAAAAAAAATTTAGAGATGTCTAATGACCTTGAAAAAACAATTGATATTCATCCAGTGAGTTTCACTCCGGAAGTTTTAGCTCGTATTTCCCCAGAACTATCTTTACAAAAACATCTATCATTAGGTTTCCGTCCATCTGTGAAAGGGTTTGAAGAGTTTAGAGAAATTCAATTGAATGAGGATTTTCTATCTAGATATGGTAAGGAACATAAAGATAACAATATAATTGGTTCTAATGTGTTGAAATGTGGTGATACATTTGTTGTAACTACTATCACTGGTGGTATTATTGAGGATTCCGTAGTATATAAAAATATGGAAAATGAACTTATTGGTGTGGATGATATTAAAAGCACGGATCTGTCTAATTACACATCTATATATCCTGTAGTAGAGGTAGAAAGAGGTAGGGCAGGAGCATGTACTGATGAGGAGATGGCTTTATCACAAAGATTATATGATTACGTGTTATATTCCAAGATATTACCAAAGGAAGCTTTGAAAGTCCAACCAGGCATTAGAATAACAGATAATAATAATGGAAATGCTAAGGTTATATATCCTGACTCATCAGATAATTCAACTCTGCCAGATAATGTATTCCAAATTAGTAAAAAATGGTCATATTTATTGTATGCTAAAATCAAAGTTTTCAGTCGTACTGGACCTGTGTTTGATCTATGCTGGAATTCACTTATGTATGCATTGCAATCTGTTCAATTACCAAGAGCATTTGTAGACGAACGTGCCACTGATCTGAAGATGACTATAAGGACAAAGGGTAGAAATGCTACTATTAGAGAGACATATGAAATTTTATCAGACCCATGCCAACAGTATTCATTGAGACTGCATTCTGAAAATATTGCATATGCTTCAAATTATGGTATCATTAATTTGGATCCAGAAGCTAAAATAACTGAAGAAAACAGTGATGAAGATATTGATATGGATGCTATTGAAAGTGTACTACTTGCTGATCTTGACACTGAAGCTGAAGAAAATAGTGTGAATTCGACTATATCTGTAATATCTAATTCTGAGGGAGGTCTGAAACATGTTAGTATATTTGGCGGTGATGCAAAGATCACACCTGAGATGTTGAAAAAACTTTTAAAATTATCTCAAAAACGGGCCTGTTACTTGGAGGATGAAATAAAATAGTGATATGTATGTGTATAACAATATTTCAATATCATATTATCATTGACATACTATCTTCGATAAAATAGAATAGTACAGATATTTTATGCAACTCTGTAATAGTACACAAGTAATGTAGTGAAATCAAAAGTAAAATTGAACTTAAAAGAAAGAAAGAAAGAAAATTAAGATAAGACGGGACCCATTTGAAGATATTAAATGTCTCTAAAGCAGTTCATATTTCAAGATTTTCTAATGTACAATAGAAACACTGATTTATATACATATATATACGGGTAGAGGTATATAAATTATTTGATATATCTATACAAAATGTTTTTTAGTGATACAGTTGTGTTTCGATAACTTTTGTTGTCAATTACTTTCTTCTTCTAGCTGGAGATGGAGATGGAGTTGGAACTTCGCTTAAATCAACGTTAACATACTCATTAACTTTAGCAGCAACACCGCCATGAGCACGTTTAATAACCCTACTAGTCTTGGTACCTTTACGCTTGTAAACGTTGATGTAAAAACTGATGAATAGTACTAAATAGGATGAAACAATGAAGAACCCAGATGAAGTAGCTGAAGCAGAGCCAACACAGTCACCACAATGTGGTAAGAATGGTGCAAAATTGTGGACTACTTTTTGGTAACAAGCAAAATAGATAAATCCAATATCAAGAATAAATTGAATGATTTGAAATCTTGTAACCCATTCTTTCCACCAAACTCTAATACCTCTTGCAGCTAAGAAATAGTACCAATACATAATGACATGAACGCCTAAATTCAACGATATTACTACCCATGAGATAGAGGTAGTACCAATTAATTGTGTGTAACATAATAAGGCAGTAGCACCATGGTGATATGTATGTAAAAAGGTCAATTTTTTATGCTTTAGAACCAAAAAGAATGTGTCAATGAATTCGATATACTTTACAATATAGTTCATATAGTATAAAGTAACCATTGGTTGTGTCCATGCACCAATATTACAAATACTGTAATAAAGACCATATTTGGCAATCATCGGAACTAATTGTTCAATCATTAAAATTAGAATAATAAAAGAAATAAAAGTTAAATATAAATTATGAATTTGGAAAAGACAATTAAGTTTAAATGGTTGAAAAGGCTTTAATAGTGCTCTACCACCAAAGATAATGATATAATATAAAGCAATGGCGATTGTGACACTACGCAAATCACTTAAAGGCAGTTGCCCTTGAATAAATTCAAATTGACTTGGAATAAATTTACCTCTGGTCAAACAAGTAGAAATTTTATCAAAATTATCCCATAGATTAATATTGAAAAAAGGATGTTCTATAGTAGGAACATAGTCATGTAATTGTGGGTATGCTTCAAACACAGGAGCAACAAATTTTTGAATAATAACCTCCATTATAAGATTTCTTTTTCAATTTATCCACTATATCTAAATAGCTGAATATATGTATCTGTTTACTTGTGTATATATCTAGTTTTATTCTGCTTCAAATCGAAGATTTGACTTTTTTTTTTGGTAACACTTAAAAGAGGGAAGAGGAAAATAACTGGCAGTAGTATTTAGTAGTTTAGAAATTGTGGAAAGGAATTCAAAGTTAGTTTGTAAAGGGGTTGCAGCTGATATACCAAATAATGAAGGAGTAGATTAATAATTTATTTTTTTATTTCAATTTTCAACGTCATCTTTATCGATTTGTTTTCTTTGAGCCTCGAGAAATTTATCAAAAAAAAAAAAGAAAAGAAAAGAAACGAGAAGGAAAAGAAACGAAAAAAAAATAAACAAAAAAACAAAACAAAAAAAATCTCCAAGTAAATCTTTCAAAGGCCGAAAGGCTCGAGAAACACAAGAATACAAAAAACTGTAAACAAAAGAAAAAAAGAGAACAACGTGTGACACGAAATACATAAAACTAAGGCTTTACTATTTTCTTTCCTTGTAAATATAGGGCTTCTTGGTTGGTTGTTTGGTTATTTTGTTTATTTTTGTTTAAGTTGTATACAAATCTGGTTCATCAAGCATGGAGAATGTGCTAACACATACATTACTTGTGTTCTCCAAAAATAGTGAAACAATTCATCTTTATGATACGTCTCAAAGTGTTACTTGCTCTATATGAAATGATCATTACTGTATCATATTGTATTGAATATATAATCTTATATCTATTTTTTTATTTATATAAGTTACAAAAATAATAAGAAATATATATATATAAACACACACTAAAATATATTGTAGTGATAAATGAAGTGTGTGATGAGTTCGTTTCAAAATTAAATTCTGTATTTCATTTTTCCTTATATTCAGGTAAAATTGAAGCAAGAGTCTCTGGGGCAGATGCCACAGCAGCTAGAGCTGCAAGTGGATCATTAGCAAAGTCAGGGATTTGATTTTGCAGTGATGGAACAGTAGTAGTAGGTTGTGTAGAATATATATTGGAACCTACTAGATTGCTAATTGGCTGTAGTGTGATTGTTGGTGATTGGTTATGATGGCTTGCAGTGGTGTTTTGAATTGATGGAAGTTGTGTTTTTGTATTATTTAGGGTAGTTCGTGACATACTTTCATTAGCAGAAGAAGAAGATAGGATCCCTGTACCATAACGCCTTGTGTGTTGAGATATAGGGTTCAATAAAGCAGTAATAGAATTGCGTCTTGACTCAGTAGTTAAAATTGTATCGTTTTCTCTTGATGCAATGTCATGTCTTTGACCATGTAATATGCTATTATTGAGAGTAGAGATATTCTTACCTAGACTAGGTTCTAATGTAGTGGCTATTTGACTATTTGGCATAGTATATCTCTTTGGAAGAACGACATCGTCTCGCTTCTCTGTGTTACCACCCATAAAATCAAAAACTGAAGAGGATAATCGAGGTAATTGGGTTGTCGTGGTTGTATTTGTGCTCGTTGTTTCTTGAGGTGAACTATGGGTATTTTGTTGTGAATTAAGTGAGTAAAAAGAGCCTATGCCCTCATTCCTAGCCATTGAACCAGATTCATTTGTAAGGCAAGGCTTGGTGTTAGGAAAGAGTATTGAAGGTAATCTTGGCTTTGGTAACTCGTCTAGTGGAGAGTTGGAGAATATATCCTTGTTATACTCGGAAAATACAGAAGATCTTCTAGGTGGAATAATTGATGGTGCAGAATTACTCTGTTTATCAAAAAATAGCATAGCAGGTTTCTGTTGAGTTGGTACACCATTGGATATGATCGGAAGATGACTGTTATTAACGTTGTTTGAATTATTACTGTTATTGGTAGTATTTTGTTGCAACATGAATTGAGTTTGTTGTAATGACTTATTATTTTCTCTATCTTTTCTAAAATCTGCTTCTTCTACAATAGTTTTCCATCCATTTTGCGCAGCATTTCTCTGATAATAATTCTTAACCATTGTGGTAGATTTTGTGGTCAAATTCTCAGATATTAATGACCATTGAGAACCATATCTTCTTAGTAAGTCTGGAAATATTTGAGCTTCTCTCACACTCCAATAACTAGTCTTATGATCTGACATATACTTATGTTTCTTTTTGCTAAAATTTTCATTTGATTTAATTGAAATGTCTGAGTTTCTTGCTGTATTCAGACTAACGGTGTCTTCTGTTTTTTTTGACACACCTGGGTTTGAAATACTTCTGTGTTCCATGATCTGAGTAGTGTTTCCTTCAATCTGTTCAACTCTTGAGTCAATAGATTTTTCGTTAAGGATGGAATTTGAATAAGTACGCTTTTTATTTCTATTTTGAAATTCATTATTTTCTAAACTAACTGAAGTAATTTCAGTAGTTGTGTCTTCTGGTTCTTCCAAAGTATCAAATTTCTCTAATGCAGGAACTTCTTTAATAGTTTTCACAGCAGCTGATGCAATTGCAATTACATCCTTATCACCAATATCTTCTGGTTTATTTTTTACAGCATTATTTTGAGATTTTTTACGTTCAGAAACATCATTATCTATTGGTATTGGATTTAGTAATACTTTATCCTGTTGTGCAGAATGTTCATTCACATTATTGGTAACTTCAGAAATCTGAGAACTATCAATAACAGATGTTTTGTCATCCTTAGATTCTTCTGTCTTCATTTTCGTTTCTTCTTTTGAAGATGGACTTTCTAGAGGTTGTTCAGAATTACTTGTAGTCTCCTCTGATACAACATCACTACCATGTATAATACAATTTTGCTCCTTATTAAAAGTTGATGATGAAGTAATTTTAGGTGACCTAGTTTCGAGCTCTTTCTCTTTCTTCTTACGACGTTTGGCGATATTTTCCTTTCTTTTTTTACTTTTTTGTAGCAATAGTTCTTTATAGTTCACATTCTTTTTTGTTCTATAATAATGTAGCACACATTCCTCTGGAGTTCTTAGTCCTCCCATATAATGAGATATTTTACCAAATTTTTTAGGATACATTAAATAACCTTCAGTAAACAGTATATGTTCATGTTCAGTAAAATTATCATCCTTATCTGAAAGTATTCTGGAAGCCCATTTATCTTTATCAGTCACTAAATTATTTACGTTTTGAAATTGCACAACATTTCTTTTAATATGATTTAAATGTAGAGGAGGAATAATTGCAGCTGCCTGAAAATGTTTATACTCTGGATCTATTTGAAGTAATACATTTTCCATTTCTGTATCATCAACAAAATCTGCTCTGTTTCTTCTACGATTAGAAGACATATCGGATAAATCAGGCAATTCAGTCGATTGGTTTGCATATTTGTCATTTTGTTCATGTTCTTTATTCCTTTCTTCTTGAGCTTTCTTATATTCTATCTCTTTTTTTCTTAATTCAGCACTAATTTCATAAAGTTCCTTGTTTTCTTCATCCCATTTTATTTTTAATTCATTTGCCTTCTTCTTTATTATTAGTGATTTAACTACCTCTTTCTTTTTCACAGTCAATAATATTTGTACTAAAATGGGTTTAACTGAGGATAAGTATCGTGTATAGTTAGATGTTATAAAGGGATATTCTTTAAGACTTGAAATTGGCATCTTTAGTAAATATTTTTGGTCTTGGATAATTTTGGATCTAGTTTGGTTTTTCAACGTCCATAATTTCAATTCAGTCTCTTTCATAGGGAAAATACACTCTTGAAGAGGTTTTAATGGTTTAGGTAGAGGTGCTTTCGTTTCTATATAATCTTGTAAAGTTTTAAGAGAAGGCTTTAATAATTGGGAATTGCAAACGTATTCATAATCAGTCTCAGATGGTGGTTGGACAGTTTTTTCTTCTGAAATGTCTTGATCACTTTCTTGATTTATAGATGCATCCTGATCTTCTTTTGTGTGTCCACTCAAAAGAGCAGGTAAGTTTAAGTCTGATGATGTCCACATTGTTTTCAATTGGGGCCTTTCATTTGTTTCTTCATTTTTTATAGTCAAATCGGTCACACTGTTAGATATATTCTTTGTTTGTATTTCATTCTCTGTCGTGTTAGATGAATGTTGATGTGAGATATTTAAATCACTATTTCTTCTAGATAAATCGATTCTTTTATGATCTATGGACAGTTGTTTCTCGACTTCTTTTGTAGTTTGAGCTACTGAATGGATTAAACTAGGAGGGTCGATCTTATTAATAGAATTACGTCTTTCCTGTTTGAGCTTTGAATCATTTGTAATAGTTCTGTTTGTATCAAAGGTTTCAGACTTAGACTTTTCTTGCTTTAATGACTCTGTTTTTTGATTTTCTTTACTTTTAGATACTTCCGACAAATCCACATTTGGATTATATCTACTTAAAGGTGGAGTAGCAGAGTTTGTGTCCCTTTCTAAACCTAATTTTTCACTTCCTCTTTGACTTATATTGCTCTTTGCAGTAAATATATCTTCATGAAAATATTTTGAATGATACATTGTTCCATTTATAGTTCTAGTACCGTGCCATTGAGTACTGGGTTCATTGAGACAATTTGGGGTATTTTTATTATCATGAATTGAGGAAGAATCTTTATTATATTTTGGAATATTACGAGGAAACTCGTCTTTAGTATAATTATTAGTAGGGGTTGTTGTGGTTGTAGGACCACTGCTACTAGTAGTATTATTAGTAGTAGAATAAAAGTCTCTTGAAGCTAATGGTATACTATTTACTGAAGATCCAGCTGATCTTGGACGATACCTACTACCTATGTAATTATTAGCTGAAGTAGATGGATATGCATGATACGATGAAGTATTAGGCGTTGAATAGACTGAGTTGTTATATCGACTAGATACTGCTATAGGACTCATTATAGAAGAATTTTTTATAGAAACATTATTACTAGTAGTATTGCCACTATTAGCATTACTACTACTGTTATTATTATTATTATAAGTGAACAAAGAAGTAGCTGATGAATATTTATTTCTTTCAAAACGAGATTTACCAGGTGTAGAAAATTTCAAATCTGTTTCATTATATGAGGAATAATGGTGTTGTTTGCTATTAGTGACACTATTAGTATTATTATTGTTGTTATTATTGTTGTTACTATTGTTGTTTCTATAATGTAATGAAAACTCTCTTCCATGTGTAGATGGTTCTGAATCAGCATTATAACGTGAAATAGGTGTTCTTGTGTTTACATTAGAGGAATTTTGAACGAGTGGGGTTGTTGTTGTTGTTTTTATTGCTCCACTATATCTAGATTGCCTAGGACGTTCAGTTTTGAATGAAGTAGGTTGAGGAGAATCCAATTTTTGAGAAGACAACTTTCGTGTTAGATTTGGCGCAGGTATATTGCTTCCAGAATATCCTATCGATGTACTTGAATTCGGTAGATGTTCCTCTTTAGAATAAAGGGAATTATTATTGATTGTGTTTGAGTTATTGAATGGTTTAGAATATTTGTTATTTACATATGGATGAGCATATCTTCTATTAGGATTACTATTATAATAATACCTTTTTTTGTCACTCATGTGACGGGGTGGAGGCGGGTATCCCATTTTTTGGTTGAAATGGTTATTTTATTTAATTATTTGTTTATTTATTTGAACGTGCCCGTACTCCTTGTTCAGCTTAAGTTTAATATCTTTATTAAATTATAGAAAAGAAAAAAGAAAAGGAAATTAATTCTATAATATTACAGTATTTGTTTTGTTCTATTCTAGAGTGTGGGTCTATATAGATTTAAGAAAACTTAAATTGAATGGCTTGTCGAAATATGATTGAAATAAAACAGAAAATATGTTGATTGGGTAATGTATACACAGAATGATATAAATAAATAATTTCTTGATAAAATGAAAAATAGGTATAGTACACTTTTAGTTTATTAGCATTGGAGGTAAATAGTTATGCAGAAAGAGAAGTACAAAAGGAGAAAGAATGTCCGTGAGAATAATTTGTTCTCCTTTCAACAAAAAAGGTTTGAGCAAACAGATAAATAAGAATGGAAGAAAGAAAAAGAGAAAAACAAGTTGTAATTTCTCTACTTCAATCATTTCTTGTATTTTTATTTTTCTTTAATTTTTTTTTTTTTAGTTTTTTTTTCTTTTTGTAGTATTTCAATAATTTTACTTTCTAATTTTTAATTTTTTCAATTTTTTTGGGTTTTTGTACATATGTGAGATCGTGGAAAACGATATAGTAATCCAAATTAGGGGAGTTGCTTTTTTTTCAGAAATTTTTAGTTTAATTTTTATTTTTTTTTGTTTCTTTTTTTTTCCGTTTTTGGTAACAGAAAAATGACTCGGAGAAACCCGAAGATGAGCCCTAAACAGAAACTTCAGTGAGATCAAACATGTGAAAAATATAACCTACATATAGAGAAATACATAAATAGATATATAGATGAACTGGGATGGATATCTAGTGTATTGACCTTCTAAATTTGTTGTTTGGTCACTGTATTATTTCATCTTGGGCATATACGTTTCTAATTGTCCATTTTCATAACCCATGACGATTTGTAGTTTCTCTTGTTTTTCTGATAAAAAAAAAAACAGCTCTGAGACATGATAATTTAGAAATACAAGATGCATTAGTATTATTATTGTTGCTACTAATATCATTATGTGTAGCAATATTGGTAGTAGAAATAGTAGTATTACCATCTAGAGTTGGTATTATATTTTTAACCTCCCATGATTTCTCATTCAAATATAACTGATGGATTGACATACAACCACTGGAATAACCGATAATGTAGTAATCCATATCTTTCACGTATTGATGTTTCATGGTTGTAAAAAATTCTAGTGACTTTAATGTAACAATATCATTGATATATTCATGCAATTGGATCTCCAAATAGAATAACCCATTGAAGGTGAATATTTTCAAGAAGTTATCCGATGTAATAACTGCAACATTTCCTGATTGTGGAGACACAGTTATAAATTTCCCCTTATTTGTAAAACACCTGATAAGTTTATACGTTTTCATATCCCAACTATAAACATAGCCAGACTTATCTAATGTGATCAAGACATTAGTGTCCAAATATGATTCAATATCTATAATCGTATCTAGATGTCCAAAGAGCATACTTATTTCATCAAGTATAATTGCATTGTTTTCCTTCTTATATTCCCACAACTTAATTAATCCATTAGAATCCCCAGTGAGAAATTTGGTATCTTTCCATCTCTTTAAAACTGTAATCTTGCAATTATGTAAATTTTGGAAAATATGACCATTAATATTAAGAGTATCATTTGAAGTTAGTTTCATCTTAACCAGTCCAATAGTAGGCTCGACACATTCCATATTGAAGAATGGATACCCATACCAATTGTAATCACCATTGTCATCTAACATACATTTAATATAACAGATCTTATCAGGTGTGGCCTGTCGAGTTTCTGTTAGAACAAAATTTTCATTAAAGAATTTTGATAATGATATTGAACAATTTTGATTCTCTTCACATATTCTTTTCGGATGTTTCTTCTTAAATAATTGTAATGGGATTTGACCAAAATTATATATAATCATAGTTGCTATTTGTTTTTCATTTTCATCCGTAATATGATCTAAATTGACTGCTCCTTGATAACTTAATTGATTAAAAACATTGAAGGAATTTATTGCATCCTGGCCTCTCTGTTTGTACCCAAATATTAAATCTATCCATTCATTCAAATGTTCAGATACATATTTACTCTCTAATGCATCTCTATTCTTTTGTATAAAGATCTTTGGATCATTATTTGCCCAGTAAGGTAATGCAACATTGTTTATAATGTTTCCATTTTGATCTTTACCAAGTTTATAATCATTGATATTTATAAGAAATTCGGGCAAATAGAAAAATTCAGGTATTAATTCTCTCACGTCTGTGATATTCTCAATAGCAGCAGAGGACCAAGTTCTTTCAATTGAATTGAATAATCTATCGGCATGGCCAAATTTCCCATCTTGTAATAAAAGAAAAGAATCAGTGAATGGGTTGACCCTCATTAAATATGAGGAGACAATCATTGCTGAGGAATAATGTGTGCCGTAATGGAATGGTTTCATTTCATTATTATTATTATTATTTAATTGTTTCATGGTTTCATATCTTTCTACAATCTTCCTTAATCTTTCTTGATCCTGTGCACCCATAGGTTTAGATAGATCACGAAACGATTTAGGGTCATTTAAATTTAATACCTCACTTGTATAATCTGCTATTACCCAGGGAAAGATAGGATACTGTGTGATATCGTTGAATGATCTTCCAGCTAAACTATTTAAAGTCATCAAATAATAAAAATTTGAAATTTTACCGTTCTTCCATAGTTGTGTAATTGTAAGATGATCACCTGCAGTTATGTGAATACTTGATAAGAGGTTAGAAAGTCTATTTTTATTATTATTATTATTATCTTGGTGATTGTATTTGTTGTTACTGTTTAAAATGTGATAAATTGAATTTCTGAGGGATTTATTATTGAAATTGAAAAAATAACTACATTTATTGGTGAACGTAACCTCTAACGCAACATCTCGTAATAGAAAAGGTTTTTTAAAAAGCTCAGCAATGTTATTTACATACCAACTATAAATAGAATCTGAAAAATTTGTAGTTTTGTGTGATTCATAATCAGATAACTTTCCGGATAAGTCAAGATTAACAGGGTCTCTTAATTTTTTAGATACTAGATCTATACTCAAAATAATCTTTTTAGATGAATCATAGTAAAAATTAGGTATGAAATATAATTTAATCTTACCAATAACTAAAATTCCTTCAATGATATTTAAATTTACAATCATTGAACAATTACATATATGTTTGATTGTATCATTTCCATCTATCAGATATCGAACCCTTGAATTTTCATTTAGTAAATCTAATTTCAACGATTCGGTTTCAGACATAGTATAGTCGTCAGCTTTACTATATGGTATATCACTATCAACTCTATTTGAATCTTTATCATTAGTAGGAGTTGGAATAGAGGTTGTATTTGGGGACATAATGCTATGAAATCATTAAGGCATGCAAATACAAGGGACAGGAGATATTTGGAATAATAATTAATTTCAAATGCATTGTTTATCACTGTCTACAGTTTTAATACTATACTAAGTGTAAAAAGGCACATAACATGGAGGTAAAAGCATCATATATTTAATAGAGTAGAATTCGTGTTTAGGCAGCAGGGAAGGGAATACCTTGCTAGAAGGATCGACATATGGAAATAATCTGTTCATTCAGTCATTCCTTCTATCAACAAAGAGTATTATTTTAGTTATTTGCAGTTGGAAAGGTTTTCTATTTTTCAATTAATGTAGAATATCATTGACAACGAAATGCATTATCACATTAATCAAGAGAAAAGTATTTATAGATGTATCAAATTGGTGTTATTTAATAGTTCAACAGTGTTGTTTTAGCAATCAAGATGTGTGAGTTATGAACAAATGAAGGGCAGATTAAGAAATATTTTATTTGCAAATAGACTGATTTATTTTTTTTTTCTTGCTCTTTTTTTTGTTTATTTCGTCAGATCATCTAAGGGCATCAATTAGGGGAAGATCTGTTGAGAAGATTTATACAGAGACTCTGGAAAATATATAATTGATAAGATAAAGATAAGTTACACATATTTTGAGAGATAATTTTATATAATAAGATCAATGTTTGACATCGTTTGTAGTTGTATAAAATTGTTACAGTGCTAAACTTTGTTTGGGAAGAAGTTATGTCTATTCTTGCAGTTCTTTAGAATTTTGATTGTTTTTTTATAACTTCATATTAAGTTCTTTTATTTATTATATGTATAGAGAAAGTGTGTTACTTATAAATATTTATCGTTTATCATTCCACAATATCTGTTCCTAGGTGTAATTATTAAAATGATACAAAAATATTAAAAATAAATAAATAAATAAATAAATAAATAATTTTAAGTGTATTACAAACTAATGGATGTATTAATAACAATTATGCCGTTCATTGAGATATAATAATCTACAAAAATCCATCTCCAAGGATTTCCTCATTATTTATCTTTTTTTTTTTTTTTTTTTTAATTGCCAACATTATATATTTCTTTGAAATACTTTCCTCTGGTGATGCTTAACAACAATATAGAATTGTACAACACATATAACGAGTTAGAATTCCATTTTAACGTTACATCACTAGATGTATATATAAATACTAAACTAACGACAACAAAGCATTAGAACACAGAAAATACAATTGTGCGTTGATTATAAATCGAACCACAGAACCTTTCAATCTTTTTTGCTTTCCGAGAGAGACAAAAAAAAAACGCGAAAGTAGTATTTATCATTTTGCATCTCTTGATTTTATCGTTTGCAACACAGACATAATAAACATAACAAATTGCAACAATTTAATGATAAAAGCTTATTAATATATGATAAACACATTACTATATCTTCCTCAATTCAAATATCTTAGATACTATATAACTCAATCTGCTATTACACACTACCCAAATCCACACAGTTATCCATACAATAATAACACCTAAATATATATATGTTAATATATTGATATATTTATCATTATCCGTCTATTTATTTGATTTTTGCTATACAGATGCCGACATTTTTATTGAGAAATTTCTTAAGGTTATTCCAAAGGAAATCTAAATTTCTTATTATTCCAATAATTTTTATAACAATCTTATTATATCTATTTTTTTCACTCCCTAATATTTCATCATCATCATCATCACCATCGTCATCATATAATTACAATAATATAATCAATCCACAACATTGGATAGAATCATTTGACTCGACTATATCAAGTGATTTACCTGTATTAAATGATTTGCCTAAATCAAGTGAGCTGCCTGAACCAAATGATTTATCTGATCTAAATTTAAAACAATTCTACAGTTCTTTAATGGAGACTTTAATAGAACTGTCACCAGAGGGAGAATGTGGCAAAAACTATAACAGTAATTGTAAGTTGGAAGGCGCTTTAGGTGGTGATCCAAGTGGTGATGATTACAAGAACTGGTTCAAAGCTACCTATGACAATTTGTCTGAATGCCTGATGTTAACTGATTACCAAATTACTATGTTACGTAACAAACACTCTATGGTCACTGACTTTATCAATCAAATAACTCTACCTAATAATGCTATAGGCGGTAAGGGGATCGTTATTGTTGGTGGTGGGAAATATTCTTTATTAGCTGCAATGAATATCGAAGTTTTAAGATATTTTAACACAACTTTGCCCGTTGAAATCTTTATCCCACCTGGTGAAAATGATCCTAGTTTCTGCCAAAATTATTTACCTAAATTAAATGCAAAATGTACGCAAGTCGAAGATATCTTCAATGAAGCTACTATCCAGAATGTTCATTTTAAAGGGTATCAGTATAAATCATTGGCTTTATTATCCTCAAAATTTAAAGATATTTTATTCTTAGATGCTGATAATTTCCCAATTAAAAATTTAGATTCTATCTTCGATGATATCGCATATAAAGCTAATGGTATGATTCTTTGGCCCGATTTCTGGAGAAGAACAGACTCACCAAGATATTATGATATAGCCAAGATCAAATATAATAGAGATAAAAGAGTTAGAAATTTGATTGACGATCTTACCCCAGTAGAAGTTTACACTGAAAATTTGAATGATATGAAAAACGTTCCATTCCATGATCTGGAAGGTACAATTCCCGATCTTTCCACAGAATCCGGTCAATTTTTAATAAATAAATCAATTCATTGGAAAACCATAGCTCTATCGCTTTATTATAATTTAAATGGTCCAAATTGGTACTATCCAATTTTTACACAGGGTGGCCCTGGTGAAGGTGATAAAGAAACTTTTATTTCTGCTGCTACTGTGTTTGAATTACCATATTATCAAACTAGAAGGAAACCTGCAATCGGTGGTTACCATCATGATGGATTCCATGGTGTTTGTATGTTACAAGAAGATTTCAGAATAGATTTCCAAAACTATCTAATGGCTAGAAAAGAATTGAATGATAAATATAAGAATTTCGAAACGCACACTTTTACTAATCAAAGCCATAATGTTTTAAAACATTTCTATGAAACTTATTTCACCTACGATGAACCGGATGTTATGTTTGTCCATTTCAATTTCCCTAAACTAGACCCTGTAGAATTATCAAAGGATCACAGATTCATACTAAAAAATGGTGAACAACTTAGAAGTATTTCTGATTTGAAACCTCTTAGATATTTCGATTTGGAATTGAATGTCAATCAGAAATTGAAAGAGGTTGTATGTGATATGGATAACAGATTTGTTTACATACTTAAAAGTTTTGAGAATCCAGAGACTACTAAGGAAACAGTCTGTAATTATATTGAGAAAAGAATTAAATTCTTATCTGAAACACATTTTGAAGCCACCACCTCTAAATAAGATTTCTCTACCTTTCCTTTTTTTTTTTACTTATTAACATCTTATTTATTTTGGTTGTGTTTTTATTTATTTACATATCACTATAACACAAATTACATATTTATATTATGTTATAAAGAGTTACTGTCATTAAATATTTTGTATAATCGTTTATTATCCTCACAGTTTTTTCCTTCTGGAATTGAAGATATATAGATAAATTATTAATCTACCAAGGAACAATCTTGTTTCTCATTCTTTCTGAATTTTCTTCATTACTGATTGTCAAATTATTTGATATTTTTTTATTCTTTACATCATGAAGATGTCTTATTTCAGAATTTATCTGGATTTTTTTATATTCTTGATTTTTCTCATGCTCTTGTATTTTTATTAAATAACTGTTAATTTTTTTCACTATGATATCATTAATAATCTTTGTCTTTCTTCTAACACATTCAGACAAAGATATATTTAATTTTTCACCCTCTAACCTATTGAAGTTTGCATAACGATATTTTCTTTCAAATATAATTTCATTTAAATTATCTTTAATAATCGGTTTTGCATATAGCCATCTATTTGCACATTTATTAACTTTCTTTTGATAGAAGGATATTGTACAACCATTTAAAATTGAATCAGTTATAGTGTTTACGCTACCTAAAATCACTTCATCATTTGATGATAAAAATTGTTTCATATAAATCCTCAAAGACTCACAATTTTGATAAGGTTCAACGATGAGGTCCTCAAGGTTTTCATAATTAAACATCACCAGGGCTCTGATTGCTGGTATCAACATTCTTGAAGTTTTTCCCAAACAAAGGCGATACATTAATGTAAATAACAGGTATTGTGTTACATCATGAATATTCTTGTGTGAGTTGAGACTGTATATTGATGACTGATATTTTACCAAAGCTGAATCAAATTCTTCACAATCAGAACTAATCCAATTATTGATATCATTATTAAGTACCATCCTACAATAATCTTTTGAAAAATTAGATAATAACATATAATATTTGGAAAAGAGGCGTGAAAATGTTGGAGTCATTGATAAGACAACTTCCCCACAAATGAATAAAAGTTCGTAGACCTGTCTTAAAGTAGAGGTATTATACGTCATTAAAGCAAAGTAATCTTTTAATTCATTTAACAAATCAAATATATTTTTAATCATCAGTGTGTTCTGTTTTAGTTCAGATATCAAAGTTGACTCATTGTCCAGTAGCTTGATCAAAATATCAGGTAAAATAGTTTCAACAAATATTAAATCAACATAATTACAATTTTCTATGTGATAAGTTTTTAAATAATTATCATCAAAATATGACTCATAACCATATAGATTACTCAATTGTATACCTGCATTTTGTTTAACTTTTATAACCTCTATAATTATATTTGAAAGAAAGTTAGCTAAAATTTTGGATATACCTTGATAAGTTTCAGAATTATCCATATTATGTAGTGTAAATAACAAATTTGACAGATGTGATAATAAGTTTAAATTATTAATAATTATATTTTTAAAATCATTACTGGTGTTAACTATTTCCTGAACAAATATACTAAGAAGTTTTTGAAGATTTTTCTCAGATGTTATTTGTGAAAAATTGTTGACCATCCATTCTACAATATCTATACTTAAACACACAAAAGGCAAACGACTTTCAAAATTACAAAATTGAAAATCATGAATATTTTCAATGTCTAATGAGTTACAGATATCCCTGTTAGTACTAAAATTAATTATTATTGGCAATATATCAAACAGGCAATCAATTTGGCATTGAGTTAGAATACTGAATAATAATTTGATTCCATCTTGTATCAAAAATTTTTTATAGAGCTGTTCATTGATAGAAAAATGCTGAAATAGTAATTTTATAAGTACAGTAATTCCCAAAAGTTTCTGACTCATAAGACTTGTTAAATATAGCAACAAATTAGCAGAATGTAAATTGAAAAACTTGTAATCCTTAATGGTCTCCATATAGTTTAGAACCTGATTTAAGACATCAATAAACAGTTGAATATTGTATAACTTGTCATTTTCTAAAGATACTATAATTATCTGCCAGATAAGATTATAATTCACTCGACTAGAATCATTAATAATCAAAATATACAGAGTGGATATTATTGAATCAGTAAGCTTCTTAAATATTTCATTTTCATTACCATATAAATAACAGCAAATTGTGGTGAAGGCATCTATTTTCTTTAGTTCAATACCATTGTATTCGCGATATTTGTTAATTTCTTGAAGCATTGATAAATGGAAAAATATATACCTAACTAATTCAATCTTTTTATTATTCTGAACCGTGTGTGGATAGATCCACAGATCAAAATTAATAATCAAATGTTTATAAGCATTTGAATTCTTTAACATAGATATCTTCATATTCTCAGTATTCCATCCGCAAAATTGCAAAAATAAGTTAAGGAATTCAAAGGACAATCCTCTTTGATAATTCTTAACATATACTTGATAAAGTATATGAGCCAAAAGATCAAATCCCACCGACTTTTGGAAAAATAATAAAAGTGTTGGATCATTGCAAAGATCAAAGATTAGCGAAGTGTATTGGAATATAATGTCTGGAGATGTGGCCGACTGCATTTGATAGATAATAATATTAAAAATGTTTATAGTAATTAGCTTTGACTGAATATTTTCTGTATACAAAAAATAACATTTATTTGAACTTGATTCATGCCCGTAATTGAAATTCAGTTGAAATTGACAACTATCTTTTCTAAACTTTTGAATAGTATCTTCTAAATCATAATGAAGAGCAAGGTTTTGCAAAGTTAAGTTTTTAAGATGTTGTTGAAACTCTTTAAATACAAGACACGTAGATTCTGTCATATAATATAGTGCTTCCAAATAACCTTCTGGGAAATTTCTCAGGAGACCCCAGTAATAATCATTAGAACTAATTTGAGGTTTATAAGTGGGACCCAATGTATACATTACCTTTACCATATCTATAGACATTTCAAGGGACCATATATTCAATGAATATAACTTCAACGAACAAATAAAAGAACCTATTTCAACATAAGTTATTTTGGGTCTTTCACTGCAATATATGGTAAAACACTGTTTTAGTTCATCGTTAACATATAGTATCCACTCGCCCGTACTGCAGATATAGGATAAAGATATTTGGTATAAAAGATGTGATTCAAACTCAAAATTATCAAAGAGACCAAGAATAAACTCTTGGTTGCAAAGACAAAGATTACCATGGTGAATTTCAATAATTAGATCTGTACCTAATGTTAATATTCTCTGATGTGTTGTATCATTCAATTCGACCCATAACTGAATTGTCATATCTTTCTTTTGAAGCTCCGCCTCTATCTCAAATTTCATATGATGATAATAATTTTCAAAAATTATCTGATTTACAAGTGATAAATTATTGAAATGATCACATATATTATCAAAAATCATAAATGCCAAATTAGAAGGTAATAAATAAACAATATCCATAATATCTCTGGTGGAACAAGTAACAGAGAGGAGCATGCTATATAGTTTTATCAAATTCTTGATCGGTATAGGTACAGAGTCCACACTATCACCAACAAATCCAGAATCAAAAATACATTTTTGTAAGGTAGTTCTAAGTTCAGTAGAAGCAGCTAATTTTTGAAGGTTAATAACACTTATTTCACAAAATGACAAAATGAATTGACTTATAAGAATATCTTCAATGTTATTTTTTATATGAACACCGTCAATTAATTTTAAAGAATCAAACAGAACTCGCCAATTATTAAAATCTGACATTATAAAATTGTCTGTCTCATAAAATATATCAAAATATTTTGCTATCCATACTTCCACATACTCTTTAATAGAACCAGAATTACATATTTTATCATATTTTGTTAACAATTCAATAAATAAAACATCTATAGCTGATCTATTTTTATTATCAGAAATAGTTTCTAGATTAAGTATATTTTTCAATACATTTACACGTCCATTTATTAACGATGACATAACTTACATCCTCTGCTATAATGCTAGAATTAAATTATAGAATGTTACCGAAAAGTTCTGACGTTTCACTTTTAGTAATGTCTATACAGTTTCTTTCTTTCTCTTTCCCTTTTTTTATTTTTTTTTTCTCACTGAGGCTTTAAAGTTCTTCGATATATTTTCTATCTTCATAGACACATTTCTTCTCATTTGTTTCAAAGTAATTGATGGTACAGGCATATATATGTATGTGTGTATATGTGTGTTTCAATGGAAGCAGGGCTCTTCTTCTAAGTCAACCGCTTTTATTATAAACCTTGAAACGTCATATAGCACAGCCTTTTCAATATTCAATTATTTCCATAACAATCAATAAATTATCCAGGACTATCTCTATGTCCATTTATTATGGAAGCAAAGGATGTCACTTTAAAATGTGTAATGCGCGGAGATTGTGTTTTTTAGAAAAAGGTTATAAATTTAAAGATTTCCAATTTAGGAAATACTTTTTGGAATTGTTGTGTTTCTCTTTTTGAAAAACGCATTCATTTTTTTTTAGAAAAAATAAAAACGGTTTGTGTCTGAATAGCGAGGTTCTTGTAAGCAGTGAGGCTTCAACTTAGAGGGACCGAGGGGTCATAGGACGAAATGCCACATATGGCACTATTTTTTTTTTTTCCTGTTCAACTGCTGTGATGGTGGTAGTGGTAAAATACCTGTTCTACCAGCAAACGCATTATCAATCTTTCCTTGAGTTTATTACACGGGACTTGTAATTTCGTAACCTTTTCTACTTTCCAGTGCAAAGTGAAGGAAGGAGAATCTGCACTAATAGGGTTAGTGGCTTCAGCAAGGAAGGGAGAGACAGGGGAACCCGTAGGAGGGAGCGATTCACTTTAATCTATGTGTAACTAACTACCTAGATAGTCTTAATCTCTTGAATTGAGGGAATACAGTATACACCCTCCTTCTAGCAATACGTTGGTAACTTGTAATAGGCTTGAAAACTCCTTCGCTATAATGGGAATTCATATGTGAAAGTAGTTTTAAAAAATTCAACGTACTATATTTCACCGCTTGTAAGCTCAAAGGCGGAAGAGAACCATACACAAAAGATACAACGATGGCTGTATGTACATGATAGGACATTATCCAGTTATTTTCTTTATTTTCGTATATCTGTATGCTTTGCTTTACAAACTAGGGAAAGATGAACGAAATGAAGGGTAGGAATATCATATAGACTCATAGCTGTTTTATAATATTTGCCTAATAATGTCAAGAACTGAACGAGATATCTTTTTTCGTTATTATTTATTTATATCTGTAAATCATAGAGAGTATAGAGTTAAATGCATATGAGATAAAATACTTAGTTGAAACGTTTTTTGCAAGATGGAAGAAAAAACAGTTATTCTGTATGTAGTAGAAATTAGGAAGTGGTTCTTTATTTAGATACCGTCACCAAGACTCTGAGGAAAAGCGACATAACAGTTCTTCTTACTAATGCCAAGAGAAAATAACTATACGAATCAAAAGATATTACTCAAGGACCTAATACTAACATACATCTCTTTTATTTTGGTATTCTTAATGTCGATTGAAATTGTATCTACAAATTGTTATCATTAATATGATGATATATTGACACTTTTGATATCCCTTTTATCTATTATTTTTGTTGTTGTTGTTTTTTTTTTTACAGGCTCAAAAATCTTTCATTATCAAGAAGAAGTTAGCTAAGGCTAAGAAGCAAAACAGACCATTGCCACAATGGATCAGATTAAGAACTAACAACACTGTTCGTTACAACGCCAAGAGAAGAAACTGGAGAAGAACCAAGTTGAACATCTAATCGAACCAATTCTTTACTATTAATATAGTGATGTTTTATTAATCTCTTATATTGTATAATCGTATTTGACTGGTTTGTATAAAATGTGTATCTCTTATTATTAAATATATAAAATTCTCCATTGAGGAAGAAAAGCATTATTTTATTTAGTTTATTTTTTTATGTATAAGACACAAGTGTTTGTGTGTCTGTGTACCAAATTAATTTATTTTATTGTTTATAAGACAAGAGATAGGAGGAAACACTTATATCAAATGATAAGGTAGATGACGGACCAGTTAACACTATATATTATTATAATACTACCATACTGTATAACATTGATTTGATCTTATCTTCTATATTTATGTCTTTCCACATACACGTATCTCATCATATCTATTCTTAGTGTTTTCATTTTATTCTTTTTCGTATTCAAACTATTCAAGTCTATACCACTTGATTGTTTCTTTCTTATACACACAATAACATTTAGCCATTGCTGATCTTTTTGATTTCTATTGTTTTATATTTTTTATTTTAATTTTTTTTTTTATATTGTTTAGAAGTAAACATTTTGAAATTTATAACATCTCCTATATTGTTTATAACGAAAAACTTTAAATTTTTTTTATGATCTTTGTTTTGCAAGATATTTGAAGTGAGTCTGAACCAAAATTTATCATGTATAAAGAATATAGTTGATACTGGCTGTATTAAGTCATTTTTTGGGACACCAACTTTCTTGATCCACGTCTTTTATCGGTTCATATTCTAACTTTTCTATAAAACCGATTTTTTTAGTAGAAAGGTAATGATAAACCCACTCCACATCAAAGGATGGTGGTCAATTTGAATATTGCCCTCTGGAGATTAAAAAGATTAATTAATAAACGTTTTTTACAAATTGTATTAATATCTATTTTTCTTATCACTCTTCTATACCAATTCAATAAGTCTAATTTAACACAAAATACAATATTTATTGACTACACGAAAACGTCTAAGGAATGGATCGCCCATCAAATAGACAATAACTCAAACAATGTTTCAAATTTATCTGAATTCAATCGAAAATTGTTTTCTATCTTATCAGAATTTAAACCTGTTGAACTACCACAAGATGAATCACTTTTTATCAATCAAGAGAAGTGCAAAAAGGGTGAACATACAGTAAATGATGAAGAAGGTTTGGAGACATTGTCTTATAATTCATTAAGCGCATGTTTTAATCTAACACCGGAGTATAAGCAGAATTTAAAAGTAATGCATCAAAATTTTGTTAAAACAATCAAAGAGATTCCAAAGCACATGCCTGAGACTCTTTTTAATAAAGATAAAGGTATAGTCACGGTCGGTGGTGGTAAATACTCCATTATCTTAGTGACTATGTTACCAATTCTAAGAATGAGTGGGAATACATTACCTGTTGAAATTTTTATTCCAATGTCTGATGAAAAGTATGATAAAGATTTTTGTGAAAATTTTGTTCCACAATATAATGCAACATGTGTTTATATGTCGAAGTTTTTATCGGATGAAATTGTACAAGAATTAAATATCTCAGGGTATCAATACAAATTATTAGCTTTATTATTATCGGATTTTAAAAATATTCTATTCTTAGATTCAGATAATTATGCTTTGACTAACATTGATGATATTTTTGATAAGTATATATATAAAGAGACTGGTTTAATCCTTTGGCCGGATCTTTGGAGAAGACAAACATCACCGGATTGGTATGATATTGCAGGCCTTGAGTATAACCTGACTCAAAGAGTCAGATTTTCCTTAGATGATTTAACTCCACCATCCCAGTATATCAACCCGGAAGAAAATTCCCTTGAGTATATCAAAGAACATATTCCATTTCATGATTTAGAAGGGACTTTACCAGATTTGTCATCTGAATCTGGACAACTTCTTATTAATAAAGTCGATCATTTTGATACTTTATTACTAGCTCTATACTATAACATCTATGGACCTTCATGGTATTATACATTATTTAGTGAACATGGAAGCGGTGAAGGTGATAAAGAGACATTTATTGGTGCAGCTTTTTCGCTTCACAAACCTTATTATCAAGTCAAGACTCCTATCACATTCAGTAGCTACATCTCTGATGGATTTAAAGGTGTGGGTTTACTGCAGCATGATTATGCACAAGACTACGAATTATATCAGTTAGCTAAGGAACAGATACAAATGAGTCATTTATCAGACTTTAAATATGATCCTGATTATCATGTTGAAAAATCTTTTGTAGATAAATTTTTTAAGACAAACAAATATGGTAATGATCGTTGTGATGTATTATTTGTTCATGCAAGTTTTTTCAAGTTTAACCCCTTTACTTTATACTACAACAAAGCCTTTTTGGATACTGAAGGTAAGCATGTAAGAGGCTTTAGTAATACACATTTATTTCGTAATTTTCCAGAATTTGAATTAATTAATTTCAAACAAATTAAGGAAATCTTTTGTGATACAGAAACGTTCAAGTTCCCATTCTTAGATATGGAGTATGAAGCAGCAGGTAAAAATAATGGACATTCTGCTGAAACAGAGAAACGAAATATTTGTAAATATATCGATGATCATATTACTTTTTTGGAAACAAATCCTATAAAAACGGAACAATGATCATGAATCAAAAAGAAAAAAAAATAAATAATTAAAAAAATAAAAAACTATAGATAGAATAATTGATCAGATGTAGATTAAATACATTTTAGACATTATATAATTTGTAATCATTAATAAAACTTATGTTTAGAGTATTTTACAAAAAAAAAATAAATCGGGAACGAATTCACTTTAGAAAGACTGAAATATTTACTTGGATAAAATTAAAACAAAGTGATTATCTTAATGCTTGAAACAGTTATATCCTTATTTCCAAGTTTCTTTCCTTATTTTATTCAGCGCGTTTCATAGTAAACTCTAATATCACACAGTTTAATATATTTTAATGTTTCATTATTTATGAAAAATCACACTGTATGAAAAATAAAAAAAAACGCAGAAAAATGAAAAAAGTACAAAAAACCGAGAAAGAAAATCGAATAAGAGAAAGTAAACAGTATAGCCAAAGGGCATCGTGATACTTAATACAGAAACTTAATATAAGCACAGTAGTCAGTATTGTATATATTTGCAAACTACTATTATCTAATAATTTTATAATTGTCAACATTAATCTTTTGTGAATACAAATATAACAATATTAGTAATAAATTAACGGCAATAATAAAAATAAAATGATGAAACAAATATTTTTACGTTCGCAATTACGTTCATTTAGTTCTTCTGCTAGAAATTTAGATTTCTCCAAAATGACTATCATTGGCCGTATAGGGACTGAATTTACAGAATACACCTCTTCCAATGACAAAAGATATGTTAGATACAGTATTGCTTCTCAGCCAAGAAGAGATGGGCCTACCAATTGGTATAATATTACTGTTTTTAATGAAAACCATATTAATTTTTTAACTCAATATGTTAAAAAAGGGTATGTTAAAGTATAATAAAGAAGAAAGAAGAGATTACAATTTTATATATATTTAATTTTTTTTATCTACTGGTGAACTATTTTACTAACGTTTTTTTTTCTTTATTTAACATTAATTTATCACTCCCGCGTATCGTCCTTGTTTTGTTTTTTATTTCTCATTTAATACCTATGGTATAAATGTGTCTGGGTGTGTGAATGTGTGTTTTTATTGTGTTTTTATTTTTGATATAGTGCCTTAGTATATGTGGAAGCAGATGCTGCTAATTATATTACTGAAAGAGAAGATGGTTCCAAGAGAACCTCTTTAAGTTTGATTCAAAAGGAATTCAATTTATTGAAGAATCCAAGATCTGAGGAAGCTCATAATACAGAAAACCATGAATAAAAAAATATGAAATTCAAAGACACTCACTCAATTAAATATTGATATTAGATTTTGTTAATTTTTTTTAATCTCCATCGTTATTCCTCTACCAATTTTACCTTAGCTAATTTGTTACTTTTTAATTACTTTTTAATTACTTTTTAATTCCCTCTTCTTTATATATATATATATTGTGCTATGAAAAAATTATATTATTATTATCATAAATCTTTAAAATTGACCCTGTATTATTAGCTGTTATGTTTGATTTTCTTTTTTTTTCCTTTAATTTTACCTCAAGTTAAATTCTAAGAACTGATAAAGAAGAAGAATTTAAATAATACTAATTATTGATGTATATATATTAACTTATTACTCTTAGTCGTATTCTTGGCATTCTATCATTCAGTATATGTTAGAAAGGTTGGATTATAATATTATATGTGAGATTATTTTTATTTTGTATTTAATAGTCTCCAATCGTTATACAGGATCGTAAAACACTATTCTTCTTCTTGTTGTTTCTAATGTTTTTAGCCAATTCCTTCAAATATTATTATTGCAATTTGCGATATCCTATCGGATTGACAACAATTCCAATATATACAGAGCGGGAAAAAAAATAATAATACTGGACTATAACGAATGTTTAAATGCGGCGCAGCTTATTTTAAATACGGAATAGTACAATCGTATTATAGATTCCGGTAGCAGTAGGTAAAAATAGTATACATATATATACATATATTCATTGATATACTCATACACATATTCCTAAACACATTGGTTATGAATACAGTGTGACCCAGACAAGTATCTCTTTGTAACCTTCCATTATGAAGAACACGGAATTCATCATAAATAATAAAGAGATCATCTCTTCTAAAAATCCTATTAATAAAAGGCGGTTATTATTCAAAATCGATTTATTTGTATTATCATTTGTTTGTTTACAATATTGGATCAATTATGTTGATCGTGTTGGATTTAATAATGCTTATGTTTCTGGTATGAAACAGGATTTAAATATGACTGGTGATGACCTAAACATCACAGCAACGTGCTTTACAATAGGTTACATCATAGGTATGATCCCTCATAATCTTATATTGTTGGTGATTCCTCCCAGAGTTTGGTTAAGTTTTTGCACTTTGTCATGGGGATTGTTAACCTTAGCTATGCATAAAGTTACTTCTGTCAATCAATGTTGTGTAATCAGATTCTTTCAAGCAATTTTTGAAAGTTGTACATTTTCTGGCACCCATTTAATTTTGGGGATGTGGTATAAAGAAAATGAATTACCTATTAGAAGTGCAATCTTCACTAGTAGTGGGCTCATTGGGTCTATGTTTAGTGGATTCATGCAAGTTGGTATACATAGCCGTCTTAATGGCAGAAATGGTTTAGCAGGGTGGAGATGGTTGTTTATTATTGATTGTTGTATCACTGTGCCAATTGCAATATATGGATTTTTATTTTTCCCTGGTGTTCCAGAAGCTACAGAAAATAAGAATAAGTTTTCTATGTGCCATTATATTTTCAATGAGGAAGAGTTACATTATGCAAGAAGAAGATTGCCAGTTCGAGATGAATCTACTAAGTTAGATTGGTCGGTTATTGCAAGAGTGGTAAAACGTTGGCATTGGTGGTTATTTTCGTTGGTATGGATCCTTGGTGGTGAAAATATCAGTTTTGCATCCAATGCTACTTTTGCTCTATGGCTACAGCACCAAGGCTATTCTCTATCTCACCGAAATAATGATCCTTCAGGTATCTATGCCGTAGGTGTAGTATCCACAATATTATCTGCTATATACTTAAGCAAAATTAAAAGAGCAAGACATTGGCATATAGGTGTCATTATCGCAATTATTATGTGTGTGGTAGCTATTATGATTAGAATTGCTCCACTGTCACCTGGAGTTATGTTTACAGCACAATATCTTGGTGGTGTTTCATATGCAGGCCAAGCAGTCTTCTTTCCCTGGGCTAACATCGTTTGTCATGATGATATTCAAGAACGTGCTGTTGTATTAGCTTCTATGAACATGTTTTCAGGTGCTGTCAATGCCTGGTGGTCATTACTTTTTTACGCTGCGTCTATGGTTCCCCAGTTTGAAAGGGGTTGTTACGCTTTAATTGCAACTGCAACATGTAGTGGAATTGTATCTGTAATTATCAGAAACTTGCAAATAAAAGAAAATAATAAGACGAAACAACTTGCATATATAGATGCTAATGATATATTACAAGAAGACGAGGAGGAAGATGACAGTGATATTGCAGAGGGAAACGATTTTGAAAATACAGTCTTTGGAGAAGAAAATATTTTTGCTGGTCAGTCTCGCGACATCACAAATATGGAATTTTCAATTAATGAAGTATCCAGTATGAAATCAAGGCATTATCACCAAAGTAATATTAGAGAATAATCGATTGTATATCTGTAGGCCTTGTTAATATAGTTTTGATAATTATTGGTTTTTGTATTTTTATTTTTTTTTTTTCTTTTCTACATATTTTGTTTATAACTCCTAATCAAAGAATGAAAGAAAACGGATTATTAAAGCGTAGATCTATAATATTATTTTCTATCATGACCCTTTTTCCATCTTGAATTGATAGCTACTATTTAAATGTAGCTGCAATTAGCTTTAACAATATATTACGTAAAAGTAATCGATACCAGTGATTATTTCCGTTTGTCATTTAATTTCTTTCTACTGTATTGAACATTATTTCAAGAATAATATTTTTAGAAGACTCTAATACAAACAATATTGCAACATATTATCATAAAAGTGTTATCAGATTAATCCTTGCCATAAGATGAGAGAAGACAGTTTCTTGTAAAGGTTGAAAATAGTCGTTCAGTCAACAATTTCTTCCCGTTGGAAAAACCTGTTGTTGGTCTTTGTTATAGATACTTGCACGAAGAAAAAGTAAGGCCAGTCATTATCACTATTATTATCCTCTACAATTGACTTCTTGAGGATCGAATTACTATGAAGGATTTCCTCGAGAAAATAAAACCGTGCTAAAGAACCACGAATAATTTGCATTTTTTGAGATCTCGAATCTTTTTTTTTTTACGCGTAACGTGCAGTTAACGGAAAACGAAGAGAAAGGATAGTTTTCAGGAATAGGGTAAAAAGAGGCTATCTTTCGAAATAAAAGAAATACTAAATAATAATCAATTATTAGTATATATGATACTATTCTATTTTTAGTAGCTATAGTATTTTTTAAAATATATCAACAACTATATTTAGAAGTTTCAACAAAATAGTTACTCACTTTTGCCTAATATATATGACATCATGGAAGATATTCTTCTTAATGAAAGAAATAATATAGGGACAATAAGTAAATTACATTCTTTATGCAAGTCTTTTCCATTGGACCCTAAGTCTAGTTTTGATCCTATCTACAAGATCAGTATCAAATTAAAATCGCTTATACAGACGTTGCAAACTTTATATGATAAACATTGCACCCTTTATTCTACATTAGCAAATAATGTTTTGGATAATAGTAATATAGCTATATATAATGACGCTGATTTTTTAGTTCCTTATGAAACTTTTTTTCAAAATGGTATAAGATTAATTTTTAATTCCACAAATTCAACATTTAGGTCACTAGAAGAATCTGATTTTATTAAACTATTTATTTCAATATATTCACATTTAAAAATTTCACTTCAAAACGTTACCGAAGTACAAAAATTGAATCAAGCAGTAAAAAATTTTGAGAATGAGTTTCATCAAGAATTTAGAAAAGCTTACTCTAATTCATATAAAGGTGGTAAAGTAATTGACATTCTATCTTACTCGTCAAATAAAATCCAATATCCTGATATTGAATCAAAAAATATTGTCCAAACTCACTTAGTTAAATTAAACTCTCAGAAATTAGGACTCAAAAAGATGTTAGTGGAAATTGTAGAACTTAATACCAATGAATTAGCGTTTTTTAAAATCGAGTCACATCTTTCAATTACACCTATGAAATGCACTGCACATAATTTATTAAAAGAATTACGTACGGGTAGATTTCAACTATTAAACTTCAATAAATGGTTATTATTTGTGCCGTTAAAGCCAAATGATATAAAGATTTTAGAATATACTAATACTGGATTGAAAATGGAAACGCTGATCGGTAACAATGTTCAGTTATCTATAAATTCAGAAAATTTATTGGAATGGAAGACCATATGGAAGAAAAAGTTCGAACAATATTTTGAAGATAGAAGAGAAAAACCATCACAAAGAAAGAAATCATTGAGGTCAGAGCTATTCTCAAACATCCTTGATGTTAATTCATTTGAGCAAAACAATCAAAATTATATAGAATATAATAAAAACTTGGATCTTAACTCACAAACGTATCACGTTAATAGTTTGATTGATTTAAATCAACCTTGCATTAAAGAGAAATCTATGACAGAAATAGAACATTTAAGCTATGAAAAATTAATGGAATTAAACAATAGTATCCCTATTGAATTATCTCCAGCACCTCAACAGGCCCCGTTATCAAAACAAATAATAAGATCTGTGTCAGATATATGTACTATTGAACAAGTAGACCCTAGAATATCGACTGAGAGTGATACACATGAAATATACAGTATTATTTCCGAGATAGAGGATGCTCATCTTGACGACAACGATAATGATGAAGACAATACTGATATGTTTGATAGTTCTAGTATATTTTATTCAAATATATTAGACTATGAACCAAGACTATTAAAACGAAGATCAAGTTCATTATTAAGTATCTTTAGTTCTAAGAAAAAATCGGATAAAGAACAACCTCAACATACTGGACCTTATTTTTCAAAGTCATTTTCACAATCTTCATTTATGTTTGGCGAGATCAAAAACAGTACACAAGAATTGGTTAAAAAAACATATGTATCTGGCTTGGAGCAAGATGATCTAGTTAATAGTTTAAATTTATTTCATGACCAGCTGATAAACTTATCATATTGGACTAAAGATAATTGTTGGAAAAATATTGGTGATAAAAGTGTTACACTTCAGATTTTACGTTTGCGCAATGGTTCAACAATTATGTGCGCATATAAAGGAGAAGATCATAATAAATGTTATCTTGTTTCTAAAGTTTCTAGTAAAGTAAAAGTGATGCAGACAACTGCACGAGATGTTCAACTAAAATTTAGTAGTAAAGAAGTTATTAGACATTCATTCCCTCATGATATAGATACATTGTTGTTAACAGCCAGATATCATAATACTGAAACACTATTAAATATTTTATCAAAAAGTATTAGGAATAATTTTAAGAACCAACTGCCAAGTTCGGTTACAGAAGAAACGCTATCTACAAAGGCTTCTTCTAATTTAACATCTTCTATATTTTCCTATAAATCTTCTTCATCTTTTTCATCTATTTCTTTGGACAAATTTGGGACAAATGATAGTTCGTATTCCAATTCTCTGAATACGAAGGTTACAAGCACTAAGATCCAGTTACATCTACTACTATCTAACGTTAGAACAAAATATCACAGTCTAGAAAATGGCAAGTTTTGGAAACTACTTGACATAGGAAACACTACAATATATTCTCAAAATATACAGTATATTAACGCTAACTTTCGAGTTGGTGCTACATTTGAATTTGTTGCTTCAAGTGGTACAGTTAAAAGGTTTACTTGTCACATTTCAAATATTCATAGGCTAAAAAAGACTGGAATAGTGATACAAGACGAGAATAATGAATATCATTTATTGGCATTTTCAAATTTAACTATTGCTGACCATGTGTTTAAGTTAATTCATGCAGTACTTTAAACATATGTTGTTAGGATAAATAAACTTAAGAACGAAGAAAAAAGCGTAAGAAATTATAAAGTTTTGAAAAGATGACAACAAAAAAAAAATTTCTTTAGTATATGCTTCTAAACAATCTCAGTAAATATGCCGTTTAAAAAAATATAATAAGATAGATGGTATTATTGACATCTTTTCTGTTTTTTTTTTGATATACAATTTTATTAATAAATAATTGCATGATATTGAACATGTATCTATATTTTGCATATATATTCGATCATTTAAATGCTTCCCTTACCAACATTTATAGCTGCATTGTGTGTATTTACAGAGGTTGTTGCAGAATGAACAATACCAACTTCTGGAGTCAAATAGCCACTAATATTAATAACATACATACTCATCATAAAGACTAATCCATGTAACCCAATACAGTAAAACATAAATATCATTCTAGTAGTTTTATTTTGTAATATAATATTAGCAAAGCTAATGAATAACTTCTCTAGCATAGAAAGTCTTTCTCTTCTATAATAATCAAGCTCCTTCTTTCTGAAAGAGGCTAAAGGATGCAAAGATTCTTCATATGTGTTAGAATATTGTGCCTCGGTGTCTATATTTTGAGATTTCTTCAACACTGGATCTGATGAACCCCTATTGTTATGTGTTGCTGCATAACTCGACAAATAACGGACTCTTTCATATAACTTAGCATTATCTGATTTTAGTTTCATTATTTCATTCTTTAGGTTGGTTTTTTCATGATTGTATTGTCTTAATTGTTTTTCTAATTCAGTATTTTTTGTACGGAATCGATCTCTTTGTTTGGTAATGATTGGTAAAATATTATTAATATTACCACTTGGAACCACTTCACTTTTGCTTTCTTCTGGAATTCCAATAATAGAACTTGTGGGCGACCATTTTCCATTAAAAGTAGCACGATTATTGATCTGTCTTGAAATACCAGACATTATTGAGGCTGTATCATTAAATTTTGGTTCGACAATATCGATTTTTTCTAAATCAGCTTCTAATTTAATGTTTTGTTCTTCCATTTCCTTCAGTTTTCTGGTTAATTCTCTTACTTTATTATCTAATTTGATATTCTGTTCTTTAGTATCATTATATGACACTCTTAATTCACTAAGAGACGATTGTAATTTTTTATTAGCTGCTAATAAAGTATTTCCGACATTATTTGTTTTAGCTTTATCATGGTTGATGCTATCAATATCATTATTGTTATCATTAACATTACTATCTTCTATATCACTACTGGTTCCAAACTCGATTCTTTTCAAGGCATATAATTCATTCTTTATTTCATCATAATCAGCATAAGTTTGTAATTTTCTAGAAGTAGTGTCTAATTCAGATTTGTATGTGGAAACTACTGTTTCCAATTTTTGTAATTTATCCTTTATTTTAGCTATTTTTTTGGAGTGTAACGTTCTCTCCTTTTCTAATGAAGCAGTCAATAAAGCATTTTCTGTTTCTAAATGGTTGATTTTAACATTCTTGGAGTGTAATACCGATCCATTGGCAGTTTCGCTTTCAACACGTTTCAAAGTCCCACTCAGCTCTTCATTTCTTTTCTCTAGCTGGAGTACCCTTGCTTGTGTAGTCTCTAATTCTTGAGCTAATAGATTGAATTCTGAAGAATCTATCTTTGTTTGATTTTTTTCTTCAGTTGTGGATTCAGATCTATCATTTTTATTTTCATCTCTGATTTCATTAGATCCAGACATATCGGTTTGTTTTGATATTTTAGCTTCTAAACTTTTATTACTTTCTTGTAACCTTTCAATCTGGTTTTGTAAGTCTTTTTCTCTATCTTCCCAATGCCTTTGTTTTTCCTTCCAGACAGAATTTAGTTCATCTTCTTTAACAATTAATCTTTTAGATAATGTCACTTCAGAATTTTGTTCAAAATCAAGAAGTTGTTTTTTCAAAGCATCATAATCAGAATATTGATTAAGCTTTTCTTCCAAATCATCAATATGTTCTCTAAGTTTATTTGAATCATTCATTTTACTCAATTCTGCTATAGAATTTTGTAGCAATGGTATAGGATCAGGTGCTTCAGAGAGTTTAGCATATATATTAAATAAAAATTTCTCTGCAGCTCTTGATCTTTGAGTCAAACTATCGATTTCTTGTTGATAATGTTTGATAATTTTATTTATTTGTGCTAATTTCTCACCTGAATCAAGTTTCTTAAACTGTTTTGTTTCAGTAGCTAGATTTTTTCTTGATGCAAGGGATGAAGTTTCCCTATCTTTGATTTCAAGAATATTGTTATCTAAATTCTTTTGCAACGTATTGAAGTCTGCATTAGACCATACGCTTAAAGCATGCTCATATATACTGGTGTTCATTTCTCTTTGTTTATTTTCTTGCTGATATGAACTTAGCAAACACAAATTGCACTGTAGCCAATATCTTACGGTTTGATGAAATTTAGAGAAACTATGTCTTAAACTTCTCGAAGGTTAACAATCATCTTCTTCAATATAATTCAGCATTATCTTGTTTTCTCACATTCCATACGTTGCTTATATTCGTAGCAGAGAGTGAAGGGGGGAACAGGAAAAATATAAAAAAATAAAAAAATTTAGGAAAACTTTAGTGACAGAAGAAGGACACAATTACCTAAAGAGTCCAAAATGACACAAATTATGTTTACCATGTGTAAATAATACACATACACACACATGTACTTAAAATTAGAAATGCAAAGGCTACATAAAAGAGTTAATTTGTATCTACTTTGTTAAAGTATGATTAGGAATCAAAATTCCCCTGTAGTTTGGTACTAAGATGTATTATAAAGAATATGTTATAATTACTTTATTGTTATTTTATTTGTTTTCGCTGAATTTAAAATAATAACATCATTAGCAAGAATACATGTCTTATTATAATATTTTTATATAAATTAATTTTCGTTTGTTTCTGAGGAAAATTTTTGAATTATTGGTGTAGTAAATGGGTTTTCAAGTAAATCTTTCCCTATTTCTTCACTATCTAAGTCTTCCAACTCTTGCATTATATTTCCTTCTAAATTGGGAAATCTCATGTTGTCTCTATTGTTATAATCCTTTGAAATTTCTGTTTCATTTTCCATACGTAAGCTAGGAAATAATATTTGTTCTTCTTTACTAATTTCATCATCTAAATATGGGATATATTCACCATCATCTATGTTAATTTCTTGTTCTAGATATTTTGATTCAAGATCATAACGTTTTTTTTCAAACTTACTATAAAAACGTTCCTCTCTTGTTTCAGGCATATCATAATTTACATAAATTTGTGTATTGGGAATTTTACAACCTAGTGAATTTTCATTCAAGTAGTTTCTATATTCATTGTCACTTCCTTGAAAGGAACTAGTATGAGCCAAGGTATTTGGATTAACCATATAGTTCAACAATTTTCCAATTCTAGTTTCTTTTTTATTTTTATAAAAGTTATTTATGTTGTCTACTATGAATCCCAATCCAATAGTTCGCAGAAAATTAACATACATAGATAAGGCATCAGACCCTAATCCAAACACTAAAAATACTAAATATGATGCTAGGATATAGATCCAAACTGTGTAGAGTGGTTTTCCCAGATCTATCTTAATAATAACATTCCATAACGCACTTGAGTGTATACCCTTAAAACTATAATGGCCTTCCAAATTGTGTGCATTTTGTACAAGTCCATACAGAGATAATGGCAACATGATCAAGATTATAACAAAACAAAGAATCAATAAACGAGCAAATCTAGTTATATTTAATCCTGAATTAGTACAATATAATATATCTTTCACATCTTTCCTTTTTTTATAGAATACAAATAATACTAAAAAGGAATAAAATGCTGCAAAAATTGCCCACAAAACAATCCACAGTTGATATAATAATAAAGTTGGCCATGTGTTGGAAAATGCATTTTGACAACCGTTATATCTTAAGATACTGTATCGAAATACTTGTAGAATATATGATGTTGCCATGACAATGGCTGGGGATAATAAGCATATTAGTAAATCTCTGATTATTTTGCGATAGGAATTCCAATTTTCTAGAACTGTTGTTGCCCTTAAAATAGTATGTAAATTATAAACTATGTCTGTAATGGCACATGGAATACCAACACTTGCACCTGTATCTATCTTTATGGCAATGTCACACCATACTTTTCCATCCCAGGTTGACATAAAATCATTCCCACTCCAAATAGCAGCATTAATAATGTTAATTATGTTAATGATTAATAACCATAATATAAGAATCACTGCCGGAAGATTTCTAGTATGAGCATGCCAAAATAATGGAGGTTGTAACACAATTATTGCAAGTGTGCACAAACTAATAATTGTTGCTTCATAAGACATTTAGCATTAATAACAATTTAAGGTTTTGGCTAGTAGTTTAGTTTACCTGTTTTTTTTATATGTAAATGTTTTCGCAAAGTTAATAATATTTTATAGATCAAGTCTAAAATTTTTTTAAAGTTAAAGTTTCTTTCTTTTCTTGTATTTATATTTTGCAGGAATCTCAACTTTTGATATGTTATTTACACTATTTGTTTTAATATTTGATATTTAAAATAAAGTTTTGAAAGTTCTATAGATTTCATAATGGGATCATACTAATTATTCAAAAGACTTTCCTAATTAGTGTCACAATGAAAATTTTAATGAGGAAAAAAATAAAGTGACACACTTTATAACATAGAACCTCAATCAAGCCAAATTTCAACAGAGAATCGCAGGTAATAAACAATTTGTTAAGCTGCTTAATTGAAGGCACATCAGTCACTATATGGTAACCTAGATTATAATTATGTTTAATTTTGATATAACTTAAAAATCAATAAATAAACAAATGCAAATAGGAAAAAATGTAAATAAAGATATATAAATACATGTATTATAGCGTGCAGTATTAACGAACAAAATAGAACTCGTATTATTTCATTTATTACAATTTAAAATAGATAAAAAGATGCTTACTAGCTGGTTGTCTCTTGTCTGAACATCTATTTCGCGATCTTCATACAATGTTCTAGCTTTCTTCACAGAGTTATTTACGAATTCAATACAATTCATAAACTCAGTAGTAACGTGTCCATACTTCCCATTATTAAAAATCATTCTAATTCTTTGTTTCAGATTTACTTCTGCTTCAGATTTAATGTCTTTTTTCATTATAATTTTTTTAATTTCTCTGGACCGTAGCGAGACATAAAAGGTATTAGAATATAAATCTTTTTGTAAATCTTTCTTCATTGCCGAAATGATGTGTCTTTCAGAATCTGGTGTAATTGGAATTGCTTGAATTTGAAACCAATAATTAAAATGAGTAATATATGATGTATATCTTGGTAATGTTTCTAAAAAGCCATCTCTTTTGGAAGGTGGTTCATAATTTAGTTCTAATACAGCAGCATGTGTGTCTGTGCCCTTGGAAATACTCCCTCCAAAAAGCATATTATTATCATTATCATTATCATAGTAAATTGCGCTGGAGGATATACATATCCTTTCAAATGCATCATCTATAACATTTGATTGACTGATCTTCTGGCAGTCCCTAGTTATGTTAATATTGTTTAGTGGTTTATTCTGCCATAATGGTTTATTATTGATGGTTAAAGATCCACTTTCCATCCTAGGTGATTCTGGAGTTGTTCCAAACCAAGGATATTCATCATACTCACTAATAGAAGGTGACGGTTGTGGTGTTTGATTAGAAGTACTCCCAGTATTGTATAAACGATTAAAATTTTGAAATAATGAAGTCCCGCTTGAACTCCTTTGTACAGTACAATTAATGTTACTATTACTGTTTGAGTTGCTACTATATGGACTACAATAATTATTAATACATCCATTTATATTGGTGTTGTTGTTACAAGTCTGTAAACTGTATGGATTAGATATTATGGAAACTCTCTCCCAAGAGTCATTATTTTTTATAGATGGACTCTGAGATAAGAATCGATGCAATGAAGGCTTCTTGCCAAACCAAGATCCATAAGACCCCGGTTGGCTCGATATTGAGGTAGACAGGTATCGAAGTGAACTGCTTCCACTGTTGAATGATGATGGTTGAATAACTTCAGCTATAGAATCATCTGATGACAAAGATGTAGACCGAAAACTACTGGATTTTTTTTGGGGGATTTCCCAACCCTTTTTTGAATCATAAAAAATTTGTGAAGAGGGCGAGTTAATTAGAATATTTGAGATTGAATCTGTTTCCTTGGTAGGAGTGAGACTACTTTTATCTATATTGTGTTCTTTATTTTTACGAGATTTATTATTGTAAGTCAAAATTTTATCTATAGTTACTGTATCTTCAATATTTTCTTCCTTTATCGGGTTAGTTGGTTTGCTAATATTATTATTATTAATATTTTTATCAGGATGTGGTTTATTGAAAAGGTCTAAAGATCCTCTAAATCTTGGTTCCAACAGGTTTGCAAGTATGAATACTAATTTATTAGCCACTAAGGGATTACCAGATAAAAGCACCAATCTTGTAGACTTGTTTTCTATCAGAAAATCTTTAACATCTAACAATATTGTAGCTATTAATGTGGACAAAAAATTTAACTTAGGACCGTCTTTAATTTCTATCCAATTAAAAACCTCCTTAAACCAAGTATTCACAAACTCCGGGCAAATTTCTGGGTATATAAATAATCTGGGTATTTCAGAAAATGCTTTAAAACAAGGTATCATTCTTCTTTGCAAATCGTGAACAATTGTGTCTACAACTTTTGGGAAATGGGAATTATAATCTGGTGGTAAAAGTCCAACGTTATAGTTAGTTATTGTATTATCAATTACAATTTTTTCTAATTGTAAAATGGTTAAACTTTGGGTTAAATCTAACCATTGTTTGATATCACTCCAACATTCAGTGATTACTGATAATAAAATTTTTGGGATACATAACGATATCGAAAATCTATTCGGTATTGTCTTAAAATGAAAGATTTTAGTTATTAAAATAAATTCCGAATTAGGGATCACTCTAAACTTTTCATTATCTTTTAGAGAATCATTAGTTCTTACCATGGAGCCAAAAGTGTATTGTTTTAATTCATTTGGTCTAATTTTTTCAATATCAGAACCACGAGGAAAACTATAATCTAAAGAGACCTTGTAGTTGTTTCTACATGCAATTTGTCCGGTTTCTTCAGCTATAAGAATCCTAAAAGCGTAATTTTTATCTTTTATAGTAGCCATCTGGGTAGTGTCTGTAGTATTGGAATAAAGTACATTTTTCGTGCCGAATAAACAATATTTTAAATCATCAGAGATATGATCTAATATAGGTGGATTAGTGATATGGTGTGAGTGATGAAAATATTTCTTTTGTTGAGAGTGAGATATGTCGTCAAGATTGGAGCCTAGAAATGCACCAGTAGCGCTTTTCGCTACTACCGTAGTAGGTTTTAGATGGTGGTTGTTTGATGAATAATTATTAAAATTTTGGAAAACTTTTGAGCTCGTTGATGCAAAATCATTATCTGATATAAAATTATCTTTAACTGATGTCACAGAAATAGAATAGTTATTATTTGCTTCATTAAAATCATTCTTACTCTTATTATTATTATTTTGGTTCCTTCTATTATTTTTATTGAATAAATTTCCTAACATATTTTAAGTAAAAAAAGAGAGTTGGCAAAAAATAATATTATTACTATTGCTGTTTAATTGAGTGTCAACATACAAAAAAAAAAGGGACACAAATGTATAACGATAGGTTGCAATTACTATTATAATGAATTATTCTTTCTACCAACCACTAGAATATTTAATAGATATCTAAGACTGCATATGTGACTAAATCTAATATTCTGAGTGTGTCTCTTCTTCTTTTTCTTCTGTTTTTTTGGTTCAGTTTATAATATAGAGGATATTATTGGGTATACTTAAGAATAAAAATAAATAAAAAGGAAGTAAACTATAAAATTAATAGTAATATTGAAGAAATGGAATGTAAATGTATATGTGTAACAATATCGTAATAGGGTGCAATATCGAATAGAATTTAATCAAATATCATTAATTAGATATTATGTCCACTGATTATCACTTTTAATACCGCACTATATATATATATATATATATGTACGTATGTATGTATATCTTTATAGTAAATCACTTCTCGCACGAGGTATATTATTATTGTTTACCACTATACTCTTATAGTAAATATTCTATTAAATGGATCTATTTATACGAATATGAAGCATGGCATTGGTCCTTGAATGAGACATCAACATACATGAATCAAATAACTTACTAGGATTTATATATTTTTAATTGGTGTTTATTCCTTATCGGTTTCTATTTTTAGAGATAAAGTATATCAAAAATGCAGATGATTGAAGGGGAGAAAGACAAACGAAAAGCATTGGGATTTTTCCTCTATTTCCGTTAAAACCCTAATACAATTTAGGTTTATTTCTTGACATATTTGACTTTGGACAGTAAACCCTATATTTTTTTACGATTGGAATAAGGGTTTTCCTAAAATTTTTTTTTTTGTATTTAGGAAGAAGAAAAAATTAAAAAATAAAAAAAAAAAAAAGAAGAAAAGGAGACCTGCAAAAGATTCACAGATACATAACCTTCACAGTTAAATGCAGCAAAGAGAGGATAAAGGCAAAGAATAAAAGATACTTTGGCAGTGCAGTTCTCCTTTGAAACAAGGAAAAGATCTGGATCGAATGTCAAAAATAATATAAAGTACGAATACTATAAAGAGCAATAACCGTTTGTATTGCAGTCTATATGAGCATTTAGATTTGCATATTAAAGTAATTAATAAGCTGATAATTATAAATTTGGTTGAGATAAGTATATATCTATACTTTAAACATAAACTGCATCTGTGGTGAAATTCTGTTTTGGCTTTTATTTTCTTTTCGTGTTTGTTATACTAACGGTGGGTCGGTAAAATATTAAACTAATGATCATGTTTATGCAAGAAATTCCTCGTTGGTTAATATTTTCTTTGATCTCATCGATACTATGTATCTCTGGTGCACTTTGTGTTCCTTTAATGTCTACCATTTTCAATAGCAACATCCATGGACGGTCATCAAATAATACTAAATTAGTTAATTATGGGTTATCGTTGAGCGCTGGGTCAATGTTAACCACTTCATTATACATGATGTTACCAAAGATGAATAAAAATAATAGAACTGGGGTATTCTGGGGTGTGCTTACTGGTGTCTGTATTAGTCTTTTATTAAACTATATTGTTCATGTATATGCTAGTGAGTCTTTGGTTCATTGTGCACATGGTGATGGACAAGAAGAAGAGCATGGTCATGGAGGAACCCACAGTGGGATACATGATCATGATCATACTCATTATCATGGACATAATTACAAACATGAACATGAAGATGAACATCCTTCAACTAACAGGAATAATAATAACGGTGATAATCTAGCACATCAAGTTAATGTTAATTATGAAATTCAGTACAGAGAAGATTATCCAAATGGGGAAGGAAATTCCAATGATACAAATTCACACACTGAATCAGATCCTTTACTTCCAAATACAAATGATGGCGTTAAAGAGAATAATGATAATCAGAATATTAATTTTAATAATAAGAACGGTACAGTAACTCTTTCAAAGAAAAAATTTATTACTATTGGTAAATCATTAATTGATTTATTTACTAAAAATAACAAAAAATCTATTGGTGATTGCTGTCCTTTAGGTGAATGCACACCAACTTTGGAGACTAGTGATTTACCTTGTTCCAAAATTGCTATGATGTCTTCAAATAATATAATTCCTACAATATCAAATAAAAGTAATAATAATAATTGTCATTCACATAATTTAGATCATGTGAGCTCTAATAATTTAGATTCATTGACAAAAACACAACAAGGTCTTGCATGTGTTGAAAACGTTATTGGTTATGATTTAGAAAATTTATCATTATATCGTAAAAATTTTTATTCTGCAAATTCTGATAAAGATGAATCTAACATAAGCTATCATAACCATGATACTAATAGTAGTAGTAGTAGTAATGGTGAGAATCATTATGGATCTACCTCAGAATCCATTTCGTCTACTCATGATTCAAATAGCATCGATAGTCATGAAGAATTAAATAATCATCTTTTGCCAAATTCACATCATCATCAACACAATCACACTCCTATGACTAATAGTTCTAATAATTTTAATGCATTTGATTTGGAAAATCATATTTCTCAAATCGAGTCATATCCTCATTCAGGTTATGTTATTCGTCATCATTCTTTGCAAACATCACATATACATCACCATCACATCGAAACACCTTTCTCCAAATTGTTATCGATTGGTATGCAAACATGTATTGTATTAACATTACATAAATTTCCAGAAGGATTTATTATATTTTATACGAATAAAGATGATACACCAGATTCTTTGGGATTCTCAATCTTTTTAAGTCTAACAATACATAATTTTGTGGAAGGTTTCGCTATGACTCTACCATTATATGCAATCTTTGAAACTAAATGGTTGGCAGTGCTTATTACTGCCATACTTGGTGGTGGTTCTCAACCAATGGGTGCTTTACTTGGATACTTGATATTTGGCCATAAGACAGAGGCTAATGAAAATGAATTGCAAATGGATTTCTTTTTAAGTGTTACTGCAGGATTTTTACTATTTATAGGTTTGCAAATGTTTCAAACTGGTGTTGGGTTTAGTGATGCGCATCATCACCATCAAGGAGAAGGGAATGAAGAAATAAAAAACAATCATAGTTCCGGTACTACTTGTTTGAAATGGTGTTGTGCTGGTGTTTTATTAATTATAGCTAGTCAAGTTTTCGAATAATTGAAGATATATATGCAATCTGTTTTCTAACTAGACAAACGAATATAAAATCTGAATATAAGGAAGAGAATAAAATAAGAAATGTTAATGAGTATATAGCTTATAATAATGAATATATGTAGGCTAATAAAATATTGAAATGGAGAGAACCAGAAAAAGATTAAATTAATATTAATCCTGAATTGGCGATTGTATAGTAGCTCTTCACTACTGCATAGCTTTGTTTATCTTATGCTATGATAACAATATAGAAGATATGTGTTGATTTAATATTATCTTGTTTTATTTTGCTTTTATTTTTGTTGTTTTCATAAAGCAAGATTTCTATGAGGCTGCTGTGTTCTTATTATTCTCTATAAAACTTTTTTTATAATTGTGATTGTCACTATTGATACTTTCTTGGACAGCAAAATCCCAATCATTAACTTCTTCATAGGTTGGTGATATTTCATTAACGTTATTTTCAAATGGATTGGATACTAACTCGAACGAGTTTCTGTCATCATTAAATGTTATGGGTGGACCTTCTTGTTTTGTAATTTTTGTGTCATATTCCGATATTGAAGTTATATTTGCACTATCATTTTGCCTATTAACCTTATTTGTACTAATTTCCTCTATTTTATCATTGTTATCGGCAAATTGCATATTATTATTGGTTGTATTTTGAGATTGTAACACATATGATTCTTCATCAAATGTTTCGGATATATCTTGATTTAGATTAGCATATCCATTATGATTTGTTATTTGAATATTATTGCGTTTTATGATATCTTCACCTTCATGCAATGGTAATTTGAAATTATATTTTCCCCATTTAAAATATAATATGGTTATTATAATGAGACAAAGAACATAGACTATGAGTGCATAATTCATTGTCTTTGCAGTGACAGGAATTCTAGTTGGTAGACACACCGAAAACATAGATAATAATAACCATATGATGGATAATATATTAATCCCCCACCCAAATTTATATCTTATTTTAATTGGCGCATTTTTTAACACTCTCCTTCTTCTAAATAATACTAACACTAATGGTATACATGTTGCAGAACATAGACATAATACTGCAGCACCAATAAATGCATTAAACGCAGCAGTGGAAAATAACGCTAAAATACCCAATAAATAGGAGATTGCCATACTTAATAAAATGGAATTTTTAGGAACTTTTGATTCTGATTCTGGTTTAACAAAAGTCCATAAATTATAATACGGGATAGCATGATCGCGGCTAAAACTGTAAACAGATCTTGACGATGCAGTAATGGAACCAATCCCTGAAAAGAATAAGTTTCCCAAGATTGATAGGATAAGGAAAACTGATACAATCATAGAATGGGTAGATTGGGTGAAAATATTGACAATAGGTAACACTTTATGATTTGTAAATAAAGTTTCTATGTCAGGTAGGATGATCATGACTGGTAATAAAAATATAATACCTGAAAAGGCAGACAAAAGGACTGCATTTGACATACCTTGAGGAATATCTCTTTCAGGTTTTTTAACTTCATCTGCCAAGGCTGGTAACATACTAAATCCTTGTAAAGTAAAGTTAGATTGTTGGAACCCAATAACAAATGATAAAAAAACATTTTTCCAGCCAGACAAACTATTATCAAAATGAAATAAAGCATATTTCAAAGAACGGTATTTTCCTTTATGGAAAATTAACAGTAGAATATCAATGAATATAATAGCATAGATGATCCAGTATACACAAACTTTATTGATAATCTCAATGAATCTTGCAAATTTCAAATTGATAAATCCAACAATAGTTACTACAAGATAGAAGACGATAACAGTATAAAATATTAAATGAGTCTCATCTATCAAATCTGAGTTAGTCATAAGTATTAAAGAGATAGTTAACTGGGCACCTGCAAATGTAATACTTGTACTCATAGTCCAGTTTCCAATAAGCATTAACCAGCCAGTATACCATGAGCAAATCAATTTAAAGGAGTCTGGTGCTAACATGGCACTCCCAATATGAATTTCCATAGGAAATTTAGATACAATTTCACCTAATGATAAAGAACAAAACCATATACAAAAACCGCTGATAAGGAATCCAAACATTATGGTAAGGGGCCCACCGTTAAGTAAACCAATTGACATACTGGTGCACATTCCTAAAACTGGACTCATTAAACTGAACCCTAATCCAATTATTGAGCCTCTTGATAACAATGATTTATCTAATTCTTGTTGATAGTTGAAATGTTCTACAACCTGTGGTTCATTGTTATTCGAGTCTTCATGGATCATAGTATGAAGATTATCAAACAAATTATTAGGATCCAAATTTACTGTCTGTATACCATCTCGAACAGATTCTGGCAAAATATTATATGATGGCATTTTTTCTACTTTAATATTTGGTTCTTTCTTTCTCGTTCACTTTGTAGTTAGATATTTCACTTGTAATGCATAAATATTGGTTCTCAATAAAAATTTTATGGTTTATGATGAAGTAAAATAAATCATAAAAACACAAATAGTAGCCACTAAAGATCTACAGATCTTAAAATCAATGTGTTAATAGTAGAAGATCTTACAAATTAGTTTTTTTATTTTACCAACAATGGAATGGAAACAGAGAAAATAGAAAACTAATCACTATCTTATTGACTAAATTTTGTTAAAGATTCAAATACTTAGCTTGTGAAAAAGTATTATGTTTATTTCGAGGCTTAAGCCTTTTTTGTAGAAAGCTATATTTTTAAGTAGTCCTTGTATTGTTGTGTCCATCAGATTACATACATTTATTGCTCTCATACCTCGCAAATATTTCAATTTTTAATTTAAAGATTGCGAGGAATGTGAAAATAATTAAAGCCACATTTGGAAGACAAGAAGAGAAGACTAAAAAGAATCGGAAATCATATAAAAGAAAACGAAGAATTTAAGAAAAAGCTTGTTCTTCTAATGTGTATAATATTAGAAGATTAATAGCTAACGTTTACTATACAAGAGATTGATACTTTGTGAGATAACACAATGGATGAAGAGATATTTGATGAGTTTGGAAATGTCATTGGGTCCAAGGCAGGTTTAGAATATACTTTGAAGCTCACAGATACAGTAGATACAGAAGGTTCTTTGGCTATTCAGAAAAAAGATGATGAAGAAAATGATCTGAATCATAATCATATGCAATTGATTAATCATAATATAGATGTGGCAAATGAAAATACAAAGACCAATATGGAAGAAGTTAATATTCTTGTAGAAACCGAAAATACACAAACTTTGAATCAACCATTAATAGCACCCAAGAGATCTAAATTTCATCCTAAACAGTATAAAAATTCAATAAGAAGTACGGTAAAGGCTTTACCCCCGGTAACATATGATGTGAAATATTTGGTGAATATGTCTGCTATGCCAGAAAGAATAAGAAATGTTGCAATCATAGGTCCAAAAAATTCTGGGAAAACATCATTAGTAGATCTTATTGTGATGGACACTCACAGAACGAATTCATTAGCGGGTGTTACTGATTCAGTTATACAAGGTTGGAAACAACTAAAATTTATGGATTCATTAAAACAAGAGCATGAAAGAAGGATGAGTATAAAATTGAATGGGATAACTTTTTTGGCTAATGACCTTGATGATAAATCTACAGTCATTAATTTACTTGATACACCAGGTCATGTAAATTTTATGGATGAGGTATCCATTGCAATAAACGCATGTGAAAATGTAATTATCTGTATTGATGTTGTGGAAGGTGTCACTGCTTCTGTTGAACAATTGATTAAGCAATCGATAAAATATAGGAAGAAAATGTTGTTTGTTTTGAACAAATTTGATAGATTGATACTTGAATTAAAACTAACACCTGAAGATACTTATTTGAAATTATTGCACACAGTGGCGTCGTTAAATCAATATATTGAATATTTGAATCGTAAATTTGAAACTTCATTAGGTCCGTTTTCTCCTGAGTTAAATAATATTATATTTGCTTCTGGTAAATTAGGTTTCACATTTACATTAGAAGAGTTTGTTGAAAGGCATTATAAAGATCAGGTCTCTTTAAAGAATACTAGAGGAAAGTTTGTTAACTTATTATGGAATAAAAACCAATTTATGGAGTTTGTTCTTTACCCTATTTATAAAGTGATAACAAGTACATTAACTTATGAAGATCCAATAAAATTGATTCAACAGTTGATCAAATCACGTGTATTGGCTAAAGGAACAAAAATACCAAGCTACTTACAAGATCCTCAACCAATATTAAGATTTGTCTTAAGAAGATTTTTTGGCGAGAATCAACTTGGTTTGTATTCAAGTATTGAAAAATTGTTGGATTCACCGTATGTAACTCCTTTGAAATTACAAGAGATGATTGGCCATATCTTAAAATTTATGGACTATTATGATGACGAGTATTGTTTGGTTAAGATATACGCAGGAAATATTACGGTGGGATCTAAATTTAATGTTTTAAATGACGATGAGGAGGAAATAGATGAACCAAGTAAAACACAAGAAAAGGGAAAGTTTCAAAGTAAATTAGGTTACTCAGTTGAAAAGATTATATTGATGGATGGACAATATAGTATGCCTGTAGATATTGCATATCAAGGTCAATTAGTATTAATCAAAAGTCAATTAAAGGACGAAATAATTAAGTGTGGTACCATTTATACATGTTCTGTGAATGATATACCGGAGTCAATAAGATTAAGAGAATTGGATTATATTAACAAGAGTTATTTTAAAGTAAGTATTGCACCTTTACAGCCAAGAGAATTACCCAAGTTGATTAATGCACTGGATAAAGTTAATAAGTACTATCCTGGTGTGATTATCAGAGTTGAGGACTCCGGAGAACATGTGATATTGGGTACAGGAGAATTATATATGGATTGCCTATTGTATGACTTAAGGGAAGTCTACGGTCAAATGGAGATCAAAGTGTCTACTCCAATGACTGTGTTTCATGAAAGTTGCGATGGGGAATCCTTTGCAGCGATTCCTGTGGAGACAATGGATTCAAAATTTAAATTAAGCGTTGGTGCCACAAAGATGGATTTACGATTGGTGAAGGATTTATTAAATGGTAATTTACCATTAAACCAGGATTTGAAACAACTTGCACGGATATTGAGAGACAAATATGGCTGGGATTCATTGACATCGAGAAACGTTTGGTTGTTTAGTGGTACTAATGTATTGATTGACGATACATTATCAGATGAAACGGACAAGGATCTATTAAATGATTGTAAAGACATCTTGAAACAAGGGTTCTTCTGGGCATTGAACGAGGGGCCATTATGTGGTGAACCTATTCATGGGGTACAGTTCAAAATATTAGAATTTGGGAAACTAGATGGTTCTGATGACAGTACAGCGATAAACATTAATCAACTGATCCCAGCGATTAGAAAAGCATGTTATATAGCAATTATGACAGCTACACCAAATTTGTTAGAGCCAATATATGAAGTGAACATAATGACTAAGACAGTGTATATGGAGGTTGTGAATCAATTGTTTCAAAAGAGAAGAGGCGGACAAATAATTAATTCAAGACCAATTGTGGGAAGTCCATTTATAGAGATACGTGGGCATTTACCAATAATTGAATCAGTTGGGTTTGAAGTGGACTTGCGGTTGGTCACGCAGGGACAGTCCACATGTCAACTACAGTATATCAATCAGATATGGAAACGTGTGCCTGGAGACGTGATGAATGAAGATGCAGTTATACCAAAATTGAAGCCTGCTACAAGAGATGCAATTGCCAGAGATTTTGTTATGAAGAGCCGTCGTCGCCGTGGAGAACAACATGGACCATCTTTGGCTAATTATGTTGATTCTGGGCTCTATGAAGAGTTGAAAGAAGCAGAATTGGTGTAATATTTGATCTATTCAATATTTTACTGTCTTGTTACGGATGCATTATATTATATATGTAATTGTATATATATATATATATATGTATTTAAAATAGTAAAGATCATTTGGAACGAGGTGATTATAAATTTTAAGGTTTTATTACCAAAAAAAACATAAAAAAAAAAAGAAAAAAATTTTTTTCTTTTTTTTTTAATTCTTAGGAAAAAAAATTTTTTTTTGTTTGTTTCTGACAAGTTTGGAAAGCTCATCGCAAAAAATTAAAGTAAATTAATATAGTGATACAATATAACAAGAATAATAATAAGATGAGAATAAAATAGAAGTGATAACAAGTGCCAAGTTTAACACGGATAAGAGCTTACTCATAACCATTTCTGTTAACGAGAAACATTGTTATACTCGGTTTACAATATATATTCAGCTATACCTTTGTTGGTGGAGTAAAACAAAAAAAACAAAAAAGAGAGAAAAAGAATTACTGTTATTAAGAAGTCAGAATCCATCATGGCTAAAGGATATAAATTAAAGGAACTATTAAGAAACGAAAAGGAGAAACAAAAATTAGAGAAATTAAAAGAGGCAAAACAGGCTAAGAATAAAGAAGAATTAAAGAAAGATGAAGTTACTGTGGTAGATCATTCTACATTAATTGAAAAGGAACAAGAAAAGCTACAAGGGGAAATTGATGATGAAGCAGTTGTAAAAGACAACTGTAAGGAAAAAGAATATAAGAGTGAAGCATTATCGAATAAGGAAAGAAGAAAATTAAAGAAGCAACAAAAGAAGGAAGAAATATTGAAGGCAAAGGAACAAGAAGAAAAAGCTGAAAAAGAAGAAGAAGAGCAAGATGATGATGAAGAAGAAGCTAGGACTTTAGATTTAAATAAATTACAAGAGAGTGAGAGTGAAAGTGAAAAAGATAATGAGGAAGAAAAGATAGACAAAGAGGAGGAGGAGGAGGAAGAAGAAGAAGAAGAAGAAGAAGAAGAAGAAGAAGAAGATGTGCCATTATCAGAAGTTGAGTTTGATAGTGATGCAGATGTTGTACCACACAGTAAATTAACTATTAATAATGTCAAAGCAATTAAACATTGTTTAGAAAGAGTATCATTACCATGGTCTAAACATTCTTTTGAAGAACATCAAAGTATTGTTTCCAAAGAAAATACTGATTTGACTATAAAGGATATATATGATGACACTGAAAGAGAATTAGCTTTTTATAAACAGTCCTTGGATGCAGTCAACGAAAGTTACGAAATTTTACACAAGAAACTTAAAATACCATTTATTAGACCATTAGATTATTTTGCAGAGATGGTTAAGAGTGATGAACACATGGATAAGATTAAGAGTAAGTTGATTGCCGAAGCAAGCGAAAGAAAGGCCCGTGAAGAGGCACGTAGACAGAGGCAATTGAAGAAGTTTGGTAAACAAGTTCAGATTGCTACGTTACAAAAGAGACAGTTAGAGAAGAAAGAGGCATTGGACAAGATTAAGAGCTTGAAGAAGAAGAGAAAACAAAATGAAATCAGTGGTGAAGACTTTGATGTGGAGATTGAAGATGAATTTGGCAGTAGTGATAGACACGACAATAAGGATAGATGGACCTTACATAAGCCTAGTGCCAAGAGAGCTGCTAAGAATAATAAATACGGTAAAGGTGGTTTAAAGAGATTTAAAAGGAAGAACGATGCTGAATCGTCTGCAGATATTACCGGATTTTCCCATAAGAAAATGAAAGGTAGTAGTGGTAATAGACCAGGTAAGTCTAGACGTCAACGTCGTTACTAAAAGAAAAGAAAAAGAAACAGGGAATAATAATAGTAATAGTAATAATAAAGGGGAGAAAAGAGAGGGGGACTGAAAAAACAAAACAAAATAAAAGAAGACAAAAAAAAAAAAAAGAAGAAAACAGTGGAAAGAAGTGAGTAGAATTGAGGTTCCAAGAGAAGAACTGTTTTTAGTCATTTCATTTTTATATTTACAGAATGCATACTGTTTGTTATTCAATGTCTGCTATCAAATGCAACATATTAAAATAGCCATAGATAAGTGTCAACTGTACATTATATACATGCATGTATTTATATATATATATATAAATATATATATATATATATTTATATATGTTACATGGAAGCAATACGTAAAATTTCGGAAGAAAATGCTTTTTTTATTTTTTATTGACAGATATATCGGATGTAAATTTACGGATTTAACCGTCAAGGATGTATGGGTGCTGCATTGTTCTGCGGTCTTTTTTTTCCCTTTTCCTTTGTTTTTTTTGCAAATCGCTCGAAGGCTTCGTAATAAAAATCAAACTGAGATCTCCAAACTTTTGAATCCTTTATATAGAAGTAAAATAGAGGTGGGTCACTATGTGAATGATCACGGTTGTTCTTTCCTTCTCTTGCTCTGTTGTCGTTGTTTCTTGTTCATAAATAGTATACGTCAATAATAGTGGTTGATCAATTGAACAAACAAACAAATAAATAAACAAATAAATAAATAGATAAATAAATAAATAAACAATGTCTGATAAGAGAGCTAGGTTCTTAAAGGTGTTTCCAACAATTGTCGAGGATTTAACTAATGCCTTAAAGGCATACAAAATGCCACAAGAAGCCATTGATTGGTTTACCCGTTCTTTAAATCATAACACACCAGGCGGTAAATTGAATCGTGGTTTGTCTGTAGTTGACACATATCAAATTTTGACAGGTAAACAAGATTTAGATGATGAAGAATATAAAAAAGTTGCCTTACTTGGATGGTGTATCGAGTTACTACAAGCCTACTTCTTAGTTGCTGATGATATGATGGACCATTCTATCACCAGACGTGGTCAACCATGTTGGTACAGAGTCGAAGGCGTCTCCGATATCGCCATTAACGACGCCTTCATGTTAGAAGCCGCGATCTATTATCTATTGAAGAAATATTATCGTCAAGAGAAATACTATGTTGATTTGATGGAATTGTTCCATGAAGTTACTTTTCAAACTGAATTGGGTCAATTGTTAGATTTGATTACTGCTCCTGAAGACCACGTTGATTTATCTAAGTTCTCTCTATCCAAACATTCCTTTATCGTCATCTTTAAGACTGCCTACTATTCTTTCTATTTACCTGTCGCCTTGGCCATGTACGTGGCAGGTATTACAGACCCACGCGACTTAAAGCAAGCACAAGATGTTTTGATCCCATTAGGTGAATATTTCCAAATTCAGGATGACTATTTAGACTGTTTTGGCACACCAGAACAGATCGGTAAAATCGGTACAGATATTCAAGACAATAAATGTTCATGGTTGATCAACAAGGCTTTGGAATTGGCTTCTCCAGAACAACGTGCCGTTTTAGATAAGAACTATGGTCAAAAGGACAATGCAGAAGCCGAGTCGAAGGTTAAGCAAGTGTTCAATGAATTGAATTTGGAACAATTATACAAGGACTACGAACAAGACATTGCTACTAAATTGAAAGATATGATTGCCAAGACTGATGAATCCCGTGGTTTCAAGGGTCAAGTATTGACTGAATTTTTAAACAAGGTTTATAAGAGAGATAAATAAACTATTATATGAAGTGGTTCATATTTGTTTATATATATATATATATATATATATATATATATTCATTTATTCATTTATTTATTTAAACTATACGTGCCTTTTTCATAAAATGTGTCACTTATACACTCATGACATTTTCTGGCACGTGCCATGTCTCTTGACTTAAGGGCAGATCACGTGCAATTTGTTCAACATCCACACCTCCAGAGGGTGTCTGTTGTTTTTTTTTTTTTGTAATTTCGTTTTTTTTTTGTTTTTTTTCTTTCAATTTTTGGATCGGAGTTTGAGAAACAGGATAATAATAAACAGGAACACACACCAATATATGGAAATAAAGAAAATAAAATGGATGACAGTCCTTTTGAATCACCTTCTTTGCCCTGCAGCACAAGTATAATGAGGAATTCATACAGATGTACTGTCTCTCAATACTTTAGCTTAAATCAGGCGAAAACATATATGCTACCATAGTCATAGGTGTTCATAAAATATAGAAAGAAAGAACAGAAATAAAGGGAATAAAATTATTCAAATTCTTTCTTGAAGAGCATATCAAAGGCAACCCTGCTTTATAATTTAGTGTAACTAATAGGGTATTTGTGGAGCACTTTTTTATTTTTCTTCTGTGAGATATCTTAAAATAATATGTTATCAAGAACATTAAAAAATGGGCTAATCAATAAAAATAATCTTCACAATACTAAAGTTGAGCAAAATAGAGAGGAACAGCATAATGATAAGAATAGTGAGACCACAATGTTTCATAGTAATATCAGTAAATCTTATAAAAGGTTACCCTGGACAGCAAGGTCTATACCATCGTCTTCTTCCTCTAATGAATCTTCCTTCATTATAGGTGAGAAGGTTGAAGAAGGTGTTGCAGATATGGATGATGATGATAATAATAATTTGCTAGTCTTTAAACCAAGAAATATTTATAAAAGAGACAATGAGCAGATCCAAAAAGAGATTAACAGTGAAAAGAATGAGTATGTGCCAGATTTGAACTTTAATAAAATTGTTAAAAGATGGGAATTGGAAAATTATATAGATCAACAGGCAAAAAATAATAATAACAATGATCATCAAAAGGATGATTCTTTCGGCTTTTCCCCGCAAAGAATAACTAATAAAAATAATTTTACTCCAGGAAGTAATAGTAATAGTGTATTGGCTTTAAATGATAAATCTGCACATTCCCAAGTGGAACCGATCCCACTACCTAGTTTCAAAAATTCATGGACTACACCATCTACTTTAGAGGTCGAAAGAAGGTCTTCTTATTTAAATCTTCTGAATTCTAATGTTAATAATGGTTTCCCCAATAAAAATGATACGGCAAAATCAAATAGTGCCAAGAATACACTAAGACAGGCTCCTAATTCATTGGCCCAAAATCAAATATCGTTTTTTATCCCAAGATCAAGACGACCTTCCTCCTTACGTGGATTTTCTTCCCCAAAACAAGGCATTTCAAATATTTTAGAGCTATACAATGATCATGATCACTATTATGACAATAATAATGAAATTCCAAGTAATTCTGACAGTATAATTAAAACATCAAGAACGGCCCCTTTAACTAGAATATCGACAGATACCACTATGGCAAGTATTGATGGAAATATGAGTTCTAGGTCTCCTTATTTATTAAATAGTTCATCTTCTCCCTCAGAATCATCTTTAAATCAAATGAATTATAATAACACAGTGTTACATATGTCAACTATGCCAATTGACATCACAAAGAATAAAAGTGATAAGTTGAAGTATGATAATGAGATGTGTAGACAATATTTTAATAATAATAACAGTAATAATAATAATAATAATAGTAAGTTTAATGGTTATATTTCAATGGATAAAGATGAATTGATTGCTTTGATTAAATTACTTCCAATTGATTTTTTAAATTTACCTTATTCTCAAAGAAAGGCAAAGATTCTAGCTGTTTTACCCAATGAAAAATCAAATAATTACAAAGAAATTATGTCTTTAATTAAGAAAGTTTCCTTAACATCATCAAAGAGTAACTCTTCATTAGGATCCTTTAATTTTGATATTCCGAATAGCTTGGACAACGGCAATGAAATATTTAACAATAATAATCAAACTAATAATAGTAGTAAAACTTATTCGAATTTGGATAATATTTCGAATTTATCAATAAATAGGCATAATTCTGTGGCATCACAATATTTAAGCACATTTTCACCTGTTAGTACATCAATACTGAATTTAAATAATAATAACAATAATAATAACACTGGATTATCTTCAAGTCTGAAATCAAATTTTGTAAGACCAAGTGAGAAAGGTATGCAATTGTTTAATCATACATTAGAAAGTATTATAGGATATGGGGCATGGGGCATGATTAGAAAATGTGTTGATAATAATGATGGATCCTTAAGAGCTATCAAGATTATTAAATTTAAGAATAATGAAAAGATTAAAAATAGTGTAATGAGAGAAATTGATATATGGAGTAAATTAAAAAATGAAAATATATTGCCATTGATTAATTATCAGATTGACGATGATTATGCAATGTATTGTTTAACAGAATTGGTTGAAGATGGGACGTTATATGATTTGGTATTATCATGGGATAATTTTGCCAATTCAAAAATATCACATATTGCACGTTGTAAAATTGTAATAATTTTATCAAGACAGATTATTAGAGCATTAAAATATCTTCATGAAGATATGGGGATTGTTCATGGAGATGTCAAATTAGAAAATTGTTTAATTAATAAAAATCATAAGAAATCTACACCCAAGAATTGGAAAGCTATTATTTGTGATTTTGGTATGAGTTTCAAAGTTGAAGATTGTTGTGCTAAAGATAAGGATTCTCATATTGGTTCATTGCCATATGCATCACCAGAATTGCTAACGGATAATAATTTAAATAAAAAGGCAGATATTTGGGCATTTGGTGTCATGTTATACACGATGTTAGTTGGAAGATTTCCCTTTAAACATCTTACTGAATCACATTTAAGAGATTTGATCAAGTCTGGAGAATATGATAAAACACCACTTCACGAAGTTTGTTCAAATAGGTACAAAGAATTGGCAGATATTGTTACTGGATGTTTAACCATAAGGATTGACCGACGATGGGATTTGAAAACTATTGAAGATAAGTTGGATTATTTATATAAGAAAAAGTAGTTCTAATAGTTTGTTCAAGAAGAATTGAGATTTTTGTATTTTCTTTTTTTACTATTCTACTAAAGAAAAAAACTGTTTTTGTTATGTCTCATGCTATCTTCGTATTCAAAATTTTAACCATATAATTATTAGTATAGAATGAATTTTAATTTTACATATTCTTAAATAGCGTCATTAATCATCAGAAGTAGATATCTTTATTGTTTTAAGTTATTCTTGTTGTTTGTTTTTTGTTCCTTTCCATAATTTTGTTTCACGTTCCGATTTCGGGATGGTTAGAAAAACAAGCCAGAAGTATTTTGAGGGTGAAACTTGTGAAATAAAGTTGAAAATTTAAAAGGATAACAGAGGAAATGAAATTTTATTAAAGAGGATTGGTTGGCAGGAATTGATGGACGGGAATCGGGTGGACTAGTATCCACAATTTGTCCAAGTTAATGCAGATAACATCCTTATCAAGATCTAAAGCATATAAAAGTATATAATTTTTGTAAATTATCAAATAGTAAAGATTGCAAGATGATATATTTAAAATCTATGTTAAAAGTTATAGATAATTCAGGAGCTCAGTTAGCTGAGTGTATTAAAATCTTAAGGAAAGGATCTCCTAAATCAAGTGGGACTACTGGTGATAGAATAGTTTGTGTTATTCAAAAAGCTAGACCTTTAAATCAAAATATTACCGGTACTGCGAATTCTAATAGGGTTAAAAGAGGTGATATATGTCATGCAGTTATAGTGAGAACAAAACAAAAGAATGGATATAGAAAAGATGGTTCTAATATTTCTTTTGGAGATAATGCTTGTGTTTTAATTAATAAAATCACTGGTGATCCATTAGGGACAAGGATTATGGCCAATGATGGTGTTGTTGGAAGAGAGCTGTTAGATAAGGGCTACAAAAAGATATGTTCTCTAGCTAGTAGAATAGTATAAAAATAAGATATTCTCGAAATAAATTTAGTATGACACACTGCGATTGTAGTGGTGCTATTAGTGGTAAAATATTTGAAAAGTGGATTATTATGGAACCTTTTCTTTAAAGGCTGAACTTGTATATTTCTATAATATCAGCCATATATTCTTCATTAACCATCCATGTAACGTTCCGTTATGTATATCTGTATATATTTTGTAATAGAAAAATAGAAACTTATTTATAAAAAGAGGATAGGATCTTTGTTTCATTCGAGATTATAGATCAAGTAATGACTTTTAGGATTTAATCTTGGCAACAATTAATTCCTTTTACCCACGAAGTATTTATTAATTGAAGAACAGTAATTCGACTTGTTGGATTTTGATCAAATATTCTATAAAGAGCTTCCTTACGAGTTAACTCTTTAATTGGATATATATGAGTTAACTCTTCAAAAATATGGAACATTCCAGTTCTTTCCATTTCATTATGAAATTTTTTAAAAGATAAATCTTCAGAAAGTGATGCTTTTCTCCATATATAATGACCTAAAATCATCGTTATATATACCATCCCACAACTCCAACAGTCAGAAATTCTTGGATCATAAGGTTTTTTCTTGAATTCTTCTGGAGCCAAATATGGTTGTGTTCCAAGAATAGTTTTTTCTTCATGAACATTAGATTCCCATGCCGTTTGAAATACTGTACTATTCCCAAAATCACACAATTTCAATAAACCGTTTGGGTAAAAAAGAATATTCTCCAATTTAATGTCACAATGTGCAATTCCATGTGTATGCATATAGGAAACGCCATTTAAAAGTTGTTTCATAAAACAATCTGCTTCAATGACGTGGATCTTTTTATTTATTTTAGTATAAGTTTTAACGTATTCATAAAGATCACCTGAAGGACATAATTCCATAACCTGTACATATCTGGAATCATTTACCTCCATTATATCAAAAATATTAACAATGTTGGCACATTTTCCAAAAAAGCAATTTCCAATAATAAATTCAGATATAATACCTCTACGATAGCTTTCAAAAGATTTCTCTGGATTTTTATTCTTGAATTCTTTTATTGCATAAAAGATGTTGCCATCATTACAATATGTAAAATGTGAGTTTTCAAAATCTATTTCATTTATTTTTTTTTTGGAAAAGAGCATTATATGCCTAGAAGATCCTCTTTGTTCTATATCACTTAGCAAATTTCCATATCTAAATTTAAATATACATTTATTATTATTTGAAGGTCTGTTTTTCCATTGATCAAATAATACTAAATCCTTGTAATTATGAGGGTCACATTTCATTCTTTCAGATAATAAGGCAATTAATTGTAATTGTTTTACATTTATAAACGCATTTGGATCGAGTACTTTTGGTATAGAATCTAAAAATTCTGGTGAACTAAAATTAGAATAAGGTAAAAGTGAAACTGAATTTTCAATATTATTTGTTTGAAATTTTTTACAATATGATCTCAATAACCTAAAAATTCTCATATTTTTATTTAAAAATTTACTAATATTTATTTTGTTACAATCAGGATTATTAATTTTAGATATAGAATTGATACGGTGGTTGTGTTTACCATTTGAAAAATATTGGAAACCTTTGAATTCATAAAGAATTTCCGTATTTTTACTAGGTTGTAAAGTAGTATCAGATTTACCGCAAGCTCTATGCATATCTAATATAATTATAAGAGAAAAAATATTTTTAAGGTGTACCTTTATGATTTAACTTTCTTTTATTTTTGTGAATTAATTTAATTTGAAGAATAATTAGTTACAGTGTGAACTAGGATACTATATTAGGTATATAATATTGTTTTCTTTATATTTCTAAACTGTTTGATGATATTAAACATTCATTATATACGAAATAGAAAAAAGTTACAAAAATTAGCATTTAATTTTCTGGTATTGTTCAAAATTTTAAGGGGTTATTTCAAATAATACGTCAAGATATAGATAATAATTATATGTGGATATTTACTAAATAATAAGTTGTTTATTTCAACTAATAAAAAAAATATAGAATTTTTGATGTTGATATTATTGTTAGCCATGTTATCTATTAGATATAACACAAATATTAATGCTGATGATTACCTCGGGTACATTTCCAATAATTAGAGGGTTTTTAAGTAAGTTTTTCAATAATTGGTCATTTATATTATTTTAATGATTCTGTTGACACAAGGCCTCGGTATCAAGAACTCTATTAATATTTATTTTTGTTGGGAATGAGCGCCTTTATTCATTGGATATATAGTAAACATTCTCAATATTATATTAAACAGATTTAGTATACAAAATTATAATAAAGTTCTTCACTTTCTTTCTCTATATACAACATAGAAATAATAATATAGAAAGATTGTAAATAAGATAAAAATAATGTATGATGAAATCCTTGGCTTTATATATGTTAACATTCAGCCATTTTCCTCTACGAACAGTAAGATATTTAATAAATAAACTCAACAACTTTTGGTGACCTCTCAACAATTATTACTCAACAATTTATCGTTTAGTGTCTGCTAAAATCTTATTGTTCTATCTATTTTATCATAGAACATTCTATTTCAACAATTTTCAAGTATTATGATAAAGTAATTTAAACTTACAATATAAATTCGTAATACTACCAATATCCTATTGTAATTTATATTATCATATTATAATAATCTAAAATAAATGTTAATAGAGTTCTTGATACTGAGGCCTTGCGTTAACAAAACCTATATTTTTGTTAATAATTGATATATAAATAATTAAAAATACTAACTATTAATAATCCAAAGTTGTTCTTTTTTATATTTGTTTATTTTTCAACTTCTCCCAGCTTTCAATGGCACAGAAAGAAACTAAATATAAAAATATTTTTTCCAATAATAATAAAAAATTGTGTAACAGAGAACAAATTTAACTAAAAACATAAACAAAGTCAAACTTATTCAAAATTTCCAAATTACTTTCTAATACTTGTAAGGTATAACAAAGAAAATATATATAATGGCAAAATAAAAATAACAATTTATATAAAAATCAATGATCATATTTTGTTATAGTTAATTGGTATTTAGAAATACTATATGCTAAGCATACAGAATAAAGCTCAACAAACTACCTAATACCTATAAATTAGAGATACATAATAAAAGGTATTTTGTGGGATAACAAACAACCCATTATAAAATTTGTAATAAATTAATTCTGTGCTCCCCATCTAATACAACTTACTATTTGAACAAAAATATACTAAATAAGTTTATCAACAGAAACTTGGTATAGAAAAAATAATAATTTAGCAACATTAAATATTTTACTTATTTTATCTTTTATGATATTTTATTACTTTATTAGATATATATTTTATACTTCAGTACCTGAAGAACACCATAATAAAAAAAAGTTTTTATATTTCATTAAAATATACACTTCTAACAATAATATATTAAAAATATGTGTTTTCCATAACAATATAGGCATTTGTTTCTGTCAGTTTTAAATTTTTTTACTTTTGTCAATATATTGTGCAATATACTAGTTATTTATCTGGAAATTTTTTTTAGATAACTGAGATCCATGCATCCACAGTTAAACGAATGAGTAATCAGGATCTATACCATCAAATATTAGAAATTACATAATACAATACTACAAACACCTCTTTCACCTTACTTTATTCCATCAGGAAGAAGTGGCACATTTCCAGGCAAACAAACCATATTAAAAAAAAGAGTACCCTGTTTTTATACTAAAATATTTCTCCGTAATATAAAAAGGGTGAACCTGTATATAAAGTTTAATCGACCTCTGTTAGTAAAGACTTACCGAATTTTTACAAGAAACAATACACAAAAACTTACCAATGTTTTGTAAAAATGCTTCTTAAGCAACAACTAACCTAACAGCTATCTAAATCTTTTTGATACAGATCGTCTAAAAAACAAAAATTATTCTGCCTTAAGCATACGAATATTCTATAAACTCAATTATTAAATATAAATATATATATATATATCTTTTTTTATTGGGGTAATGTGGTTATGTAAACCAAGCACAATTCTTCATAACAGATAAACAAAGCAATCTTCTTTAAGAGCAATTAATTACAGCATAGCTTAATCAATATTGAAGGCTAAAATATGCTGTTTAGATTTCCTAAATCAAAATCATCACAAACCACAAATTAAAAATCAAAATCTTTTCTAAAAAAATAAGAATATATTTTAGTTTCCTTTTTAGGATATACTTCGTAGCGTCTTTTTTTTTTTTATTTTTAACCCTGAATTTTTCTTGGGGCAAAAAAACGTGGCGTTTTCTAAGAATGCTGGCACTAATGATCAGGTCTACCCCTGTCTTTGCACATACATCATGAAGTCTAGCATCTATACAAGTAGTTGCCTGTAAAACCTGGGCGCGGAATAAAAAACAAACAGATTAAACTCCCCTTGGGAAAGAGAGGGGAAGTACACAATCTGCCCATGGTAATGTTTTCACAATATAACCAGAGGAAAACTCTGGTTGGAGGCTTTTAGTAGTTCAGTCATTGAATTTGGATATAGAGCTACAAAATCTACCAAACTATCTAGTTATTGTTTTCTATTGAAGTTTCCTTCAGGATAATAGAAGCTCGTATCAATTTTATGAGAGAAAGCCAAGAATTAGTTGTTCTTAGGATAAAATGTCCTTAACAAATTCTCAAAATTTAAAAGACTAAACACAATTATTTTTTAGAAAAATTGCAATTTCCGCGGTACATAGTAACAACCTCTCTTCTATTACATAAATAAGTTGTAAGAGGGAAAACGTATTTTATCCAATCTTGGCAATTGTTAACTGCAGATGTTTGGGTATTGTTTCTTAAAAACAATAAACATGGAGTTCACAATATATTCGGTACATCAAATAAGAAAACTTATTTATGCGCAAGTTTCCAGATTAACAAATAAAGTAAGTCTTTTGTATTTTAGTATTTTGTTTTCAAGATTTCTCCGCTCCATAGAAAAAACGGAGATTACCCCTGGAATAAATTTATGAGGGATATTAAATCCGATTGTTTTGAAAATGGACATTTCAAATAAATAGCTATAAAAAGTTAAATAATAAACCTTTTCAAAATATTTTTTAAATATTTACAAAATTAGCACATGTGGACAAATATAACATCCTCATATTTTATAATTTCCACTTTTGTATATTGTAAAACTATGAGAGAAATAATGTCACTCTCATAACAATAGGTCTATGTATTAAAGCAAAAAAAAAACCAAATTAATTATTTTCCAAAAATTCTATCATTATTCACTTGAGTTAAATAACACAAATAAACCATTAGGATAATGGATTTCACCAATTCCGCCTTACATCCTTTTTTCTTTTAAGACATTTAATTAGTTATTTTATCGGCGTTAATAAATTATTAAATCTAAAGTTCTTGTCCTTTGAGCGACTTTTTTAACTCTATTTTCTTGAAGAAAAATAGACAGCGGCCGTTATGTATTGACTATCAACTAGTTCTAATTAGACATAAGCGTTTGGGTCTTTAGCTAATGCATGTATCCTGGTCGGAAAATAAGATCTATGTTGAATTATCCTTTTTAAAACTTTCCACGCAGTTTTCTTCATATCTGCCACAAAACAACTTTAACACTTAAAAAATAACAGATTAAGATGAACAACACAGAGTGATCAAACTAAAGGTTCTGACAATTGAATTGTTCATGTTAGTTGCTTAAGACTTTAATAATCTAAAAAAACAATTAACTATAGCCAACTAAAGATAAGTAGACCTAAAACAGAATATTATCTAGTTTTATAACAGAACCAAACTAATTAGAGTAAATGAACATATATAAATACACATATACAATATTTGATTTTTTTTTTTCTACATAATAAAATATATGAGATAGGTACATCTTGATTTGTTTACCTTATTGAGTTTGATTATGGGGGGGGGAAATCATTAGAATACAAAGGTATTCAACCAAATATCCCTTAATATAAGTTTTTTCCTTTCCTTCCTTTCTTTCTTTAATCGAATACAGTATAACTTGTTAACATATAAATCATTGAATATACCCTCTTAAGTAAAGTAGTAGTCTATATTAGTATATTTTCTTCTTTCATATTCTTTCTCTTATAACTCTAATTTATAATTGATATTTTTAAAGATTTCTTTGGTATTTCAACCAAAAGATAGATACGTCCCTGCCAAAAATTCATAAAAAGATAAGGCTGAGACGTTACTAAGGTTATCAGTGATAATCGAATAATAATATTATTAAAAAAAACTAAAATTCTTCAAACTCTTCTGTATATAACTTTAAATGTATAATATAGAAACGCCCATAATAAGTTTATTTGAAAAATAAAACAACTTAACAAGAAATATTAATATCTGAAAAAAGATCTAGTGGAATCTCAAAAAAACAAAAAAAAACGAAAATAAAATATTTACTTGCACTATGTAACAACCGACACTTTTTCACATTTTAACCACATTGTATCCTAAATTATAGTGACCTTCTTAACATTTTTGAAATAAGACAAAGAATATTTGAAAAAGTAAATATAAATCATATTTTTAGATTTCATTATAAAGTTTTTCACAAACTAGGCAAGGGCAAAACTTTATGTTTTTCCTTTTAGAGTAAGGCTTTTAAAATAAAAACCCCAACGCTATTTGATGTGTCGTTACAAAAATGTGTCCATAAGGAAAAGTTTTTAAAAATTTACTGCAACCCCTACTGTAAAGTAGCACATAAGTAACTTTTTTTAAACTGAACCCTACTAATACCAGTTTTGAATAAAACAGTGTAGTCTAGAAATATCCACATAAACAACACTAAATATACAAAGACAGACAATCATAAAACAACTGTTAACTGGACTTCAACAAGTATACATAAATCTTTATTATTGGTTTATTAAAGATGAATATATATATATATATATATATATACCGATCACACTTACGTATTGTCTGAATGCTTCTCTCTTTTCATTCACTCGCCAAATGCCCACTTTCAACTAGACTTTAAGAAAAAAACCTAAATTTAAAAGTGATAAGATAATTTTCCAAAATGAATTTCTCATAAACTCATAAAAAAAAAAATTAGAATTTAAAGTAGAGTTGTTATTTGAGTTATCTTATTATATTTATTCTGTCTGAGTTATTTCTGAAATCCATGTAAATTGACCAATTCCAAAGTGTCTTATAAAAACTCCAACTCCAAGTAACTATGACCATAGGGAACATACAGAATATTGCCCTAAACCCGATCTCTTTTGTATCGGTGCCATATGTGTGACCCTTTTCAATCTGTAAAATTCTTACCCCTAGGTTTTTTTCAGATAGCCGTCACTTTTCGAAACTTCTTTCCGTAGAATTGGAATATCGGACAACCCTAGAATAGAATAATTCCGCTCCGGTATTTGAAAATCGAAAAATTAATGCAATCTGAATCGAATTCGTTTAATGGAATAAGAAAAAAAAAAAAAAAAGAAAAAGAAAAAATTTTAGACTTTTAGAAATCCTAAAATTTTGCAAGTAATGTTTTTTTTTTGGACAAAAAGAAATTCCTATTTTTTCAAGAGGAAAACATACATTCTATCATTATTTTTATAACGTATGACACCATCAATCTTGCATACTCCCTAGTAATACAGACGAATCTATTATATTCTACATTGTTTTTTTGCATTAAAACTTTTACTTGGCTAGGTTGTTAAAATCTTTAACATTTCTATTACTAAGTGAAATGTCCTCAAATTGGAGAAAATTTTAACAGCCTATATCCTATTATGAAACTACAACTTTATGTGTGATTTCTCAAAGGGAGAAAAAAATTCCAACAGCCTATATCATATTATGGACTAAACTTCATGTGTGGTTTCTCAAATATAAAAAGATGTTGGATCCAATCTGTTGATTTTTGGGTATAATCCTATCTTCCGCCCTAAGATTTTCAGTAGAACTAACTTTTCTCCAAAATATAAAGAACAAATATTAGATGAAAAAAAATAATTCACTAGATAAATTATAACATAGCTATATATTAGTTCCAACATTAAGATTTTTTTTGTTTAACGGTCACAACGTCTTCACACATTTTACTAAGCATAATCATATATTTTCATTCTTAATAATACATTATGTTATTGTATTATAAGAACCTTATTACCTTACTATTAGGGTTACACACATATTTACAACTTGCTACTGCGGCCTATGCACCAGCAGCATGCTCAGTTCCAAACAATGGTACTGTTGGAGCTACTGTTAGATATTTTCAATACCCTATACATGATACTTGGAGTTATAGAGAATCATGGTTTTTGGAAGGTGGTTATTTAAGAAATAAGTATGTTGGCACAGTTACTGGTGTTTTAAATCTAACATGGGATTCAGGTTGGCCACTAACTAATCCTCCCTATGGATACACAGGTGTTAATATGAACAATTTCATGATGGAAATCACCGGTTATTATAAAGCTCCACTAACAGGTATTTACACCCTAAACACTAAAGTCGATGATTCTGCTACTATTTATCTAGGTTCTGGTGAAGCATTTAAGTGTGGTGGTCAACATGAAGATTATAAATCCCCAAAATATCTTGTCACAGTTGTTGGTAGTGCAAGGTATGGTATGGATAATGACGCACAGACAATATATATGGAAGAAGGTTACTATTATCCCTTTAAGATTTTATACATTAACCAGAATCAAAAAGGTGTATTAGAAATCTCAATAAATTTGCCAGATGGTACTGTGGATAATGGTATAGGTAGTAATTTATACAGTTTCCCCGATGAAAGTTTCAGTAGCCTTTCGGATATATCTTTCACATATACTGGATCCATTGCATATATGACAACAACCTCAACAATCACAACTACATTATCGGATTTAAGTGCTGATACAACTACTAAAACAACAACACTTACATCAATGTTTAATTCTTATAATGAAGAGCTTATAGTTGTCTACTATGAGGCAGTTCCAGCCCCAATAGTCACTACCACATACATTCCAGCATTGATAGATTCCTCTTCTACTCTATTCACTTACACCTCATACACTGCCAATTCAAACAGTAGTAGCAGTCCAATAGATATTATAGTTGTAGCTACTCCAGTGTATAGTACAACTACTGCATACAGTGAAGGGTCAGTGAGTACAGCCTCTGCTCTTTCCACATATATTTCCTATACTACCGACTCCAATGGCAGCAGTAGTGCAGTTGGGGTTGTTGTTGTTGAAACTCCAAAACCAAGTGCTATTACTTCATTCATTCCAGGTCTAGTAGCTTCTGCTTCTGCTCAATCCACCTCCACATCATACACCACTGACTCCAATGGTAGCAGCAGTCCAGTTGACATTGTTGTTGTAGCTACTCCAGTACACAGCACTATCACAGCATACAGTGCTGGAATGGTTGGATCAGCCTCTGCTCTTTCCACATATATTTCCTATACTACCGACTCCAATGGCAGCAGTAGTGCAGTTGGGGTTGTTGTTGTTGAAACTCCAAAACCAAGTGCTATTACTTCATTCATTCCAGGTCTAGTAGCTTCTGCTTCTGCTCAATCCACCTCCACATCATACACCACTGACTCCAATGGTAGCAGCAGTCCAGTTGACATTGTTGTTGTAGCTACTCCAGTACACAGCACTATCACAGCATACAGTGCTGGAATGGTTGGATCAGCCTCTGCTCTTTCTTCATACATCTCATATATTACCGACTCCAATGGCAGCAGTAGTGCAGTTGGGGTTGTTGTTGTTGAAACTCCAAAACCAAGTGCTATTACTTCATTCATTCCAGGTCTAGTAGCTTCTGCTTCTGCTCAATCCACCTCCACATCATACACCACTGACTCCAATGGTAGCAGCAGTCCAGTTGACATTGTTGTTGTAGCTACTCCAGTACACAGCACTATCACAGCATACAGTGCTGGAATGGTTGGATCAGCCTCTGCTCTTTCTTCATACATCTCATATATTACCGACTCCAATGGCAGCAGTAGTGCAGTTGGGGTTGTTGTTGTTGAAACTCCAAAACCAAGTGCTATTACTTCATTCATTCCAGGTCTAGTAGCTTCTGCTTCTGCTCAATCCACCTCCACATCATACACTACTAATTCAGATGGTAGCAGCAGTCCAGTTGACATTGTTGTTGTAGCTACTCCAGTACACAGCACTATCACAGCATACAGTGCTGGAATGGTTGGATCAGCTTCTGCTCTTTCCACATATATTTCCTATACTACCGACTCCAATGGCAGCAGTAGTGCAGTTGGGGTTGTTGTTGTTGAAACTCCAAAACCAAGTGCTATTACTTCATTCATTCCAGGTCTAGTAGCTTCTGCTTCTGCTCAATCCACCTCCACATCATACACCACTGACTCCAATGGTAGCAGCAGTCCAGTTGACATTGTTGTTGTAGCTACTCCAGTACACAGCACTATCACAGCATACAGTGCTGGAATGGTTGGATCAGCCTCTGCTCTTTCTTCATACATCTCATATATTACCGACTCCAATGGCAGCAGTAGTGCAGTTGGGGTTGTTGTTGTTGAAACTCCAAAACCAAGTGCTATTACTTCATTCATTCCAGGTCTAGTAGCTTCTGCTTCTGCTCAATCCACCTCCACATCATACACCACTGACTCCAATGGTAGCAGCAGTCCAGTTGACATTGTTGTTGTAGCTACTCCAGTACACAGCACTATCACAGCATACAGTGCTGGAATGGTTGGATCAGCCTCTGCTCTTTCTTCATACATCTCATATATTACCGACTCCAATGGCAGCAGTAGTGCAGTTGGGGTTGTTGTTGTTGAAACTCCAAAACCAAGTGCTATTACTTCATTCATTCCAGGTCTAGTAGCTTCTGCTTCTGCTCAATCCACCTCCACATCATACACCACTGACTCCAATGGTAGCAGCAGTCCAGTTGACATTGTTGTTGTAGCTACTCCAGTACACAGCACTATCACAGCATACAGTGCTGGAATGGTTGGATCAGCCTCTGCTCTTTCTTCATACATCTCATATATTACCGACTCCAATGGCAGCAGTAGTGCAGTTGGGGTTGTTGTTGTTGAAACTCCAAAACCAAGTGCTATTACTTCATTCATTCCAGGTCTAGTAGCTTCTGCTTCTGCTCAATCCACCTCCACATCATACACCACTGACTCCAATGGTAGCAGCAGTCCAGTTGACATTGTTGTTGTAGCTACTCCAGTACACAGCACTATCACAGCATACAGTGCTGGAATGGTTGGATCAGCCTCTGCTCTTTCCACATATATTTCCTATACTACCGACTCCAATGGCAGCAGTAGTGCAGTTGGGGTTGTTGTTGTTGAAACTCCAAAACCAAGTGCTATTACTTCATTCATTCCAGGTCTAGTAGCTTCTGCTTCTGCTCAATCCACCTCCACATCATACACCACTGACTCCAATGGTAGCAGCAGTCCAGTTGACATTGTTGTTGTAGCTACTCCAGTACACAGCACTATCACAGCATACAGTGCTGGAATGGTTGGATCAGCTTCTGCTCTTTCCACATATATTTCCTATACTACCGACTCCAATGGCAGCAGTAGTGCAGTTGGGGTTGTTGTTGTTGAAACTCCAAAACCAAGTGCTATTACTTCATTCATTCCAGGTCTAGTAGCTTCTGCTTCTGCTCAATCCACCTCCACATCATACACCACTGACTCCAATGGTAGCAGCAGTCCAGTTGACATTGTTGTTGTAGCTACTCCAGTACACAGCACTATCACAGCATACAGTGCTGGAATGGTTGGATCAGCCTCTGCTCTTTCTTCATACATCTCATATATTACCGACTCCAATGGCAGCAGTAGTGCAGTTGGGGTTGTTGTTGTTGAAACTCCAAAACCAAGTGCTATTACTTCATTCATTCCAGGTCTAGTAGCTTCTGCTTCTGCTCAATCCACCTCCACATCATACACCACTGACTCCAATGGTAGCAGCAGTCCAGTTGACATTGTTGTTGTAGCTACTCCAGTACACAGCACTATCACAGCATACAGTGCTGGAATGGTTGGATCAGCCTCTGCTCTTTCCACATATATTTCCTATACTACCGACTCCAATGGCAGCAGTAGTGCAGTTGGGGTTGTTGTTGTTGAAACTCCAAAACCAAGTGCTATTACTTCATTCATTCCAGGTCTAGTAGCTTCTGCTTCTGCTCAATCCACCTCCACATCATACACCACTGACTCCAATGGTAGCAGCAGTCCAGTTGACATTGTTGTTGTAGCTACTCCAGTACACAGCACTATCACAGCATACAGTGCTGGAATGGTTGGATCAGCCTCTGCTCTTTCTTCATACATCTCATATATTACCGACTCCAATGGCAGCAGTAGTGCAGTTGGGGTTGTTGTTGTTGAAACTCCAAAACCAAGTGCTATTACTTCATTTATTCCAGGTCTAGTAGCTTCTGCTTCTGCTCAATCCACCTCCACATCATACACCACTGACTCCAATGGTAGCAGCAGTCCAGTTGACATTGTTGTTGTAGCTACTCCAACAATCGCACGTACAAGCCTAGGATATTACTATTGGAATTTATCAGTAGTTTCTACGAAATTCTCTGGAGCATATACTGGGATTTCAAAATTTTCGAAGGAGAACATTGCAAGGACAAGAAATGTAGAAGCATCTAATGCTAATATTTGGAACACTATGAAAATTGAATCATCTTTCTCTTCTGCACTTTCTGACAGGTCAAGGTCTTTTAACGAGAACACTGCAACTACAAGAAATATAGAAACTTCTGATGTTAACAGTTGGGGTACTATGAAGAGTGAATCATCGTCCAAAAGAAACGGTTTTGAAGGTCAAACAAGTTCTTCAACTGAGGCAATCATAAATACTCCAAAGATTACTGTAACTCAAGAGCCATTACAGGTATATTCCCAGACTGCAAAACCAAGCGATAGATCCAGTACAATAACATTATCACATTATGAAACTTCAGGTTCATCTACTTCAATTATTATGAATAGTCAACAAATTACTGTTGCACAAGAGCCACTACACGCATCTTCCCAAACCACAGAGTCGAGTGGCAAATCGAGCACAGTAACATTATTGCAATACGAAGCTTCTGCTCCTAATATCGTGGTTAAATGGTCAAGCTTTGCTTTGGCACTTTTCTCTGTGCTTCCATTCATATTTTGATAATTTTTTCAAATAAAACAATATATATAGGTAAATACATATATATCAGTCTCGTATATCATAATATTTACTTATACCCTATTTTCCACTCGTATAATATATATTTTTATATATATATTAATTTGGTGGTAATTTTTTTTTTTAGAAAACAACGACCAGGTTTATTGTATGGGTACTAAAGTTTGATCTGTTGTTACATAACAATCTTTATTGCTCTTAAATAATGATCTGCCTAAAAAAAAAGGATTATAATATAAGAATATAAAGTTTGAGAGTCAACAAATGATAAAAATTGCTGTAGAAGAAAACCAAAAGTACAAAGGATCAATCTACATATATTTTTAATCAACTAAAAATATGTTTACCTTTACTTTTGTCAAGCGATGAGTAAAAAATGTTTTCTATCTGCAGACTCCATAAAAACTCATAGTAAAGTTTTTTTTAAAACCAACCTCATTTCCTTATTTCTTTACGTTTCTCAACTACTAACTCCATCATTTACTTATAAGAAAATAAAAATAATTGATATAAAGTTGAAAAAATTAATTCTAAGACATGGCTGAAGATAAAAGATGTCATCGTAATTTTCATCCAAAATCATCCATTTTCTTCTTTATTCTTTTTATATACCAAAAAAACTGAAAAAAAAACTCAACAAGTCAGAGTTTTCTCGTAAGTTAAACACCCATATATTTACTTTAAATCAGTAATAATTTTGACTAACATGACTACACCACAAAAATATAATGTCAGATTATTGATTCCACAATGCAGGGATTATGTAGTTACGACGACCATAGTCTGGACATTTTGATTAAGTAAGAAAAAGTATCTATTTAGGTTAAAATTATTCTTCAATTATGTTGGAATGCGATTGGAGACACCATTGATAATCTAAATTCTTCGCACTAAATGGTTGGAAAATTATAAAAGCTTATGTAAAAAAGAACTCCGAAATAAAATAAGTACCACTGTATCTTACTATATCTTATTTACTAGTTATGGAGAACAAAAAAACCAAGGAATATAAAGTAGATCTCTAACATCATTAATATTATGCTATAAATAGCTGAGAACTTACATTACCACCAACATCCGATTATAGGTTTATCTTATTTTAGCATATTATTAACATGATGAATATTAATAGAGTTTTTGATATTGAAATCCTGTATCAAAATTAAAATTCAGTATATATCTGATTACATCTTCTACTATCAAACATTTTCACTAGTGTGAATGATATTCTATGTGAATCCCTCTATACTAATCTTGTTGTTATAATGATTTCTGAAACATTCTAGTTCACTTTTTTTGTCTTTAAATCAGTTAGACTGAAGACTTCTACGGTAAGCTACATTGTCATGTTTACTATAATCAGTTTAAACTAACATTTAATTGATAATGCCTATGGTAGCGTATGGTTCAATAAGAACATTCAGAATTTGTCTATGAAATAAACATAGATATTTGTTTTAACACTCATTGACAACATCGTTAACCAAACCTGTGGTATAGCCTGTGCTAATTGTAATCAAACAATTTTCAGTTATCTTAACGTAATTTCTACACAGCTGCAACTTAATAATCAGTACCCATAGTTATGGTTTAACACTGTAACAACTAAGAATAATATTGAACTATTATTCTAAGCTATACTGTTAACTGCTCATGTGTGGTAAGAATTATACTAATTTATTTCCAAACAAAATTCTTATATCTAAATAAGTCTTCATCTTAAACAAAGAAAAAAATTACGTTATACGTCGAAATTACTAACATATAACATACTGACAATGGTTTTGCAAGATGCATTTACTCTCGAAAAATATTAAAAATTTGTATTAAGGAGTTATACAGATTAAAACCATATGTTTAGCTTACTTTTTCTACATATAAGACATATAAAAGAATGTAATACGAAGTTCCCATAAAACTGAAAGGGTCACAAGAGTTGGATAGTTTCTCTTTAAGAAAGCTCCGTATCGGGACGTTTTTACACGATTACAAATAATATTGAACATTGATTCTGTTGTACAAGATTATCTCCCAAGATGTGTATAACTTATTGTTTTCATACTAATTATATTTGTCTAAGGTCTTTGTATAGATCTTCCCAATAGATTTTTTTTCTATCCATACACATTCGAATTATCTCATTATCTTACTATACTTTAATCCATTTCAATATAGTCATGATATGCTTTAACTACTATTGTGTTGCTACTGTTGGAAAGCACTACTAATATAGTTTCATTCCTGAATAATACTATCAATCTATATCTTTAGGATTATTTGACATCACATATAATAACTATTTGCTAACGTTATGCCAATTTTCTTTACAACTTAACCTCCACCTAACCTACCCTTTCTCAGTAACAATGTCATTATAATAATTTTGAGTTTTCACATATTAATCTTAATTTTGTTTTTATTTTGCCAATTCATCAATAATTACCTCGCAAACTTTGTCACCAATTACACTATATTAAGCTCATAGATTGAAGTATGCTATTGTAATCATTAGTTACTACATTGTGTAATAATTAACATATATTTTATTAGATACATTCTACTAGTAGAGGCAAATCAGTAGTTCTAATGGCAATGTTTTTACTCTCAAGTAGTCTTTTAGAACAATACCAACGTTTAAGGTAAGCACTATTATATTAAAAGTCTTTTCCTATTGAGATATGATTGATTTTACCACAAATAATACATCAAATATCTGCCTTATAACATATATATAAAATAAACAAAACCAATAATTAAAATGCTAATCCTTGAGGTGATGAAGTATAAGAACATTGTTGATTAAAGAAGATAATATTGAACAACAAAACCAAAATAAAAAAAATAGAAAAAGGAAAAAAATTAATGTGGTTATTTACAGAAAAATGTGGGTGTTATATATATAAAACTTGTACATATGCTATTTGTTTTGGCAATAAAAATAAAGGCCAAAACAAAAATTAATTCTGAAGGAAGTATTTTACTTAGACTATTTACTGAATTTTATTAACTTATCCTCACTTATTACTTCATAGTCAATCTTACTTAAAAACTCATCCATGATATCTTCAGATCTTTTGTTTTTCATATTAATTGTTTCCAAAGATTTCCCCTGTTCATCCAAGATCTCTAATACGCAGGGTACTTGTACTAACTTATCATCATTTTTGATTCTAGTGACATTCATATCAAAGTTTGGGTTGTAAAATTTTAATGTAGGTAAATATTCACGCCAAAATTTACGTGCACCCATGTGTCCATTGTGATTCTGTACTTGGAAGGTTAATTTTAAAGATTGGTACTTAGTGGGATTTATTATTATTTGTGGTTTCTTTGTAGTAAAAGTTAATTTGTCTAATATTGATAGTTGCTTAACGACTCTTGACTTTCCGGCCATATTTTATAAGTGTCTTTTTCTATTGTTTATTTTTTTTTCTCTTGATGGAATTACCTCAATTACCTAGACAAAATTTTGACTAGATTTAATGAAAACTAAGAATAATAGCTAGCAAAAATGTGAAATCAAAGCTGTGTTTGTTATCATTCTCCCTTGATATATACGTTTTACATTTGTACATTTCAGTTGAATTTTCCTTGTTTAATCGGGAATTGAATCAACCTTTGATAAAAAGTTCACAAAATTAAAAAAAAAAAAGAAAAAAGAACAAAAAATATATATTTTCAGATTCTAATGGAATAAAAGAGGAAGAAAAGAATGGTTTAGCAAGACAAGTTGCATTATATTATTTAATTCGTTAATATAGTCTATGAATATGCTGTATAAATTATGTTAAGTTATATAAATTAGAAACAAAATAGATTTATCTTAGGAGAAAAGTCAAAATTGACAAAAAAAATTTAAATAGTTGATGTAAATCTAGTATTAAAATAATAATACTAGTAAAGTGAGAGAAATATCGCACGTGCAGATGAAGGAAAGGATAAATAATAGATATAGAGATACTTCTTTTTAGAAGTAAAAACAAAGAAAATAGGCTATGTATGGCCAAATGCATTTTAACAAAAATAAAATAAAATAAAATAAAAGTAGATCAAAAAATATTCAATGCAAACCTCAACAAAACTAAAACGCTTTAAATAAATCATGATACGGATCTTCACCTTGAAAACCATAGTGAAGTTCCTCTTCAGGGTATCTATCAAACTGAGATGAATCACCTTGTCCATGTCTTATTGGTGGTTCGTATGGTGTTTCAATACATCTTGCTAATATTTTATCCCAAACAACCTCTTCAAACCATGGATGGTTTTTAACATCTTCAGTACCACCTTGCAAATTGCCTAATCTTTGACTTAAATTTCTGTTGATTAACCCTCTCAATAAATCCTGCACTAAGGAATCAAAGTATTCTGGAAATTTCAATGGGGCATTCAATATTTTCTCATATATTTTAATAGTGTTAGAATCATAAAAAGGGGTATAACCAGCTAACATTTCATATATTATTATACCAAATGACCACCAATCTACAGATTTATTATAAGGCTTCGTACTGACAACTTCTGGAGCAATGTAATCTGGTGTTCCACATAAGGTATATGTCACATCAGGAACGTATTTTGCAAAACCAAAATCTGTTATTTTAATATGGCCATTCCTATCAAGTAAAATATTTTCTGGCTTTAAATCTCTATAAATAATTTCCAAATCATGTAAGTATTCTAAAGCAAGACATATTTCTGCAGCATAAAATTTGGCAACTGGGTTTGGAAATCTTTTTGATTTTCTTAATAGAGAAAATAATTCTCCACCTTCAATAAAATCCATTACCATGTAAATTTGCTGCGAATCTTGGAATGTCCCCCACATTCGTATTAAAAAGGGGTGTGATATTATTGATAAAATTTTTCTTTCATCATTTGTGTGTTCAACCTGTTTAAATTTTACAATTGTTTTCTTTTTTAAAACTTTTAATGCATAAAATCTACCATTATGATTTGATCGAATTAAATGGACCCTACCAAAAGATCCAGTACCTAAAGTCCTTAATATTTGAAAATCTTGGAAAGTATATTTCCCAGAGGTCTTTTTACCATGTAATAACATATCATGTTCTATTCCCTTAACTGTTAAAGGTTCCTGTACAGAATTGAATAAAGATTTATCATCACCAGCGGTATTCTGTGTTATATTATTATTATTATTATGATGATGATTATGATTATGGTTATGATTATTATTATTATTAGAAACTACTGCTGCAGCGGTAGTAGTAACAGCAGTGCTTCCGGTTTCCAATTCCTTTATGATGGATAAATTTTGGCTATCCACTTGTAAACTCTTTTCATGTTGCCTTTCTACTACTACCTCTTCTTCTTCTTTTTCTTTCGCTTGACGCTCCTTTAAAATCTGTATTTCATCTTTAGGAATTGAGTATACTGGAGAAGTAGAGTTGGCAATATCCAATTGTGGAGATTGTTCTCTATTAGACATTATAGCATTTTCATTCGCAGGTCTTGGTCTATGATAAGATAATTCTTCCTTGGGTGTAATATTTAAAGTCAACCGCCGTACCTGGTTATTCCTCTGTGGGTCCACATACATTTTACACAAAAGTAGTTGAAAATAAGGGGGAGGGAAAAAAAATTTTTTTGGGAAAGTTCACTAACTTATTTAGCAATCTTAAGTTTATCTTATCTTATCGATAATGTTTTAACGGTCCTTACTAATATATAATGTATGGTGACTATGATTCGTCTAGTCTATAAGCGTTTATTGCAACAGTATGAGATACTAGCCTTAAAAGCCTTGGACTTTTCTTACTTCTGAATTTTTTAATATAAAGAAAAAGAAACGAAAGCAAATTGAAGGAAAAAAAATTAAAAAAAAGAAATGAAAAGAAAAGGCAACAAATTTAAACAAAGTTTAGTTTCTTTTTTTTATTTGATTATTATTATTCTGTGATGTGAATTTTCTTGTCTATTTTCATTTTATCAACATCATCTATTACTTGTTTATGCTAATTGGAAATACAGAAAATAGAAGAAGGCTAGGTTTGTTTTTTTTTTGTTTTATCTTTTTTTTTCCTTTTTTCTTTTCAACTTGCCTGATAACGTCGATTCTATTGGGGATAATGTTGAATTACTGTATTGGATGCATTAAATAAATAAATAAATAAAAAGTAAAAAAATAAAGGAGAAGAGGAACACATGGACAAAAGATAGAAACAAAAGCGATGCTAATAGTGAATGAATTAATGAGTGAATGAATTAATTAATTAACCTTCCGTTCCATAAAGTGGAGTTGAGGATCTCATAAGATTTGAGCTCTCAATTGGAGCATTGACACTTAAAAAATAGCAATTTATAAGTGCAATTAGGCAACAGGTTAAAGGGAAATACAAAAACAATTCTGGTCCTATACTAATAGTAAATCCGTATATTCTTAGTAGTATTGGTGGCACAATTAACATGGATAAAGAATTCAGCAATGCAATGGCACCAAACACTTGACCTGTACTCTTTCCTGTTTTCTTATAATGTTTCATAATTGCTGCTTCAGCAATTGGACTGCATATCTTTGATAGACTTCTTAAAATGACAAAGATTATGATGATTTTTGAATAGTTGGAGAATCTTATCATAAAAAAGTTGCTAACAGTTAAAAATATCAAAGACATGCCAATAGAAACTTTATCTAGTTTATCCACATTATTTGGATTTGTTTTAATTACATTTTTCATTAAGTTCATACCATAATGTGACGATAAAAATAATGTTATGCCATTTGCTATGCCACAGAAGGATATGAAGTAGCCTAATTCCACACTTTTCCAATGATATTTGTATGTACAAAATAATAAAAAACTAGGCATTATTCCCATCATAACTGATCCAAAAAGAATATCAATAGTAACTAACAATAAAACATTCCATTTCACTGAGGAAGGTTTATCCTTTAACCAAAATTGTTTGAAGGGTTCCAAGAAATCTACTAATTTTATTAGATGATATTTACCATATCTTTGAGCTTTGAACCATAAAGTAGAAGAAGAGTTGGTAATGTCATTGTTAAATTCTTGATATAACTCCATTTGTTTGATAGTAAATTGTTCTCTGGTGTATTCTAACCATAGATTATGACGTGGTTCTATTATTATAGTAAAACATAAAACTATGAATAGAATACCGGCTGCAATAGCAACATAGATGGGTACCGAATCATTTCCATTATACCATTTAACTAAAAGAGATCCTGTTAATGGTCCAATCCCTGTAGTTATCTGCATAAGACTGGTGACAAAACTGATTGAAAATATTCTATCCTCAGGTTCCACAATATCATTTATATAACTATTTGCATTACCAAAAAATGCAAACATACCCCCGCTAATTGAATTTACAGTGGCAGAAAGAATAATTAACCATTTATTGAATGGTACATATGAAGATAAAGCCAGCAAATGTAATAGATTACCTATTACTCTTATTAACCCCATATAGCCGAATATTTTAACTCTACCATAGTGATCGGACCACCGACCCCATTTTCCACTCATTAAGGTACTGATTATACCTGAATATATTAAAGTAGTTGATCCAATTTGAGACATGTACATTTGAACTTCTTTTGAATCACATAAATTTGCATGAATACCACGGCAAATCTTGTTTATTGTTAATGTGATAAACGGTGTTAAATATAACATTTCACTAAATCCAAATAAAAATACTAATATGGATAATATAAATAAGCTCGGTCTTCTAAAAATACATTTATCTTTATGATGATGCTTTATTTCTTCAGTTAATCGCTGTAATGTAACGACTTCTTCGTCTTCTTCTTCTAGTGTTTCTTCTACTCTAATATTTTCAATATTTTTTGAAACGAGTTATTAATTAAGTTTTGACTTAGTGAAGTATTATCCTTCGTTATATAGGTCATGTCAAAAATATATATCTGTAAATTTACTTACTTAAATGATTATACAAGATATTTGATTTTTTTTATATTGAAACTTAACTAACAGAATATAAAGATAGATGGATAGATAGATAAATTAGGATAATATCAAATTACTATGATGTTTTTTGTATCTATATCTGAAATTGCCTGCACTACAATTATAGAAAATCTAAATTGTTGGATACAACACTATTATAAACCTTTTTTTATTTATTTGTTATTTTGAAACCTTTTATTTCTATATAATATCGTATAAATGTCGTAAGAAAATGAATATATATATGCATGAATGTATGTGTGTTCATATTTGAATACATAGTTTTAAGATGGTTTATGCTAACCCCAATCTAGTCTAAATCTTACATCATCCTTCTAGATGTCCCTATTTCCTTGTTTTGTTTGTTTTATTATTTCTTATTTTTCCCCTGTCTAAAAGCAGGCTGCCTTTATAACAAGAAAGCCTCTTTCTCAATCTATAACGGCTATAATAAAGAGACGATTGACAGAACTGGAGGGAAAGGAAAAAATTAAAAAAAAAAAAAAAAAAAAAAAAAAACAGAAACAACCCAAAATATCGTATTGAATGATAAAAGCAGTTAATTGAGTTTCTTTTTTTTGTTTTCGGTTGTTTTCCCTTCAATTTCCATTGTGTTTGTCTGCAAGATTCTTTGTTTTATTGTTATTTATAAGGAACATTTGCAGAATAAATGTGTCAACATTGGTTCAAATTGAAAGACAAACCTGTTGAGAATGAGCGCCTTTATTCATTGGATATATAGTAAACATTCTCAATATTATATTAAACAGATTTAGTATACAAAATTATAATAAAGTTCTTCACTTTCTTTCTCTATATACAACATAGAAATAATAATATAGAAAGATTGTAAATAAGATAAAAATAATGTATGATGAAATCTTTGGCTTTATATATGTTAACATTAAGCCATTTTCCTCTACGAACAGTAAGATATTTAATAAAAAAACTCAACAACTTTTGGTGACCTCTCAACAATTATTACTCAACAATTTATCGTTTAGTGTCTGCTAAAATCTTATTGTTCTATCTATTTTATTATAGAACATTCTATTTCAACAAAACCATATAATTACAAAGAGAGGAGAAGAATCAATCAGCAACCTTCAGTGACATATGTGCTTCTGGGAGTTCTAAGAAATTTGAATTGTAAAAGTGGAAGATTTTAAGTCTTTAGCACTTTTTTTTATAATCAACATATGAATATAAAATGGAATTTATCTTAGCAAATAGCTTTCCTATTGCGTATATGCACAAAAATATTTTGAGCCATAAAGCTATTCAGCTACACCACCATAATTATATACCAAAACTGAAATAATATCACCATTTTTGTCATCTATTATGACTAATATTTATGACATCCACGAAATATTAGTTGACAAAGATAAAGAAACTATATTAAGTTTTTTTATTTTTTTTATTTTTTTTTTTTTTCAAATATTATAAATACTTGCAAAATTTTATAAAACAGATCTAAAAAAATAATCGCCAGATAAATATTTTTCTATTTGTTTCAGCAGTTATGTACACTGAACAATATTTCTTAGGAAAAAAAAAAGGATTAAATATAATAAATTACTGCAATTTTCTGGAACCTAAAAGAAAGTCTCTTTTTTTTATGTGATCTTGGTTTTTCTAGGATTTAACATATTGTTTATATATATGTATACATATTATTTTTTGATTCTTACTTATGTTTTTTTTTTTATAAAAAAATAAAGACTCACCAAACTTTAATTCTCGCTCTACAAACTTGACTCACATCTAATAAATGTTTACATATTCTGATCAAATAGAATCTTACCATTAGGTAAGATATATAATAATTTAGTTATAATTGTGATTAGTTTATGATTTAATAAAAATATATATACTATCTATTATATTTATTTTTATCGTTATTTTTCCTTCTTTTCGATATCCTCCAGTGGAGTCGCTTCTATTGTCACATTTCTTAGTAAAATATGACTAACCATTTCTAATACTAACATGAACAAAGATGACAATATAGCTAAACAATAGTTAGATATGGTGATACCAATGTCTAACCATGATCCCTCCGTCTTCAATAAATAGAAGAAATTTAATGACAATATATCACTTGTTGATATAATTAATGTAGATATTGTGTAATCCTTTATAGTTAATTTCATATTAAGTATACCTAATCCACATGATAATATAATATATGGAATAATTAATTTTAACATTAATAATGCACCCATGGGGAATGGGTCAAATATTGGTAATAACCTGTAAACTGAATCTAAGGAAAAAGATGATATTGATGCAACATTACCACAACCAAAGAATGCTACTTGTAATAAGAAAAATCCAATTACTGAAACTCTTAGCAATTGCAACCAGTTGTCTTTTACACTTTGTTGTTTTAAGCTTGATTCAATTTCAATCCATTGAACAACAAAGGCTGTGAAAAACACATAAAACAATAATTCAAATGATATTGTCAATATAATAAATGTAGGTGCAAATGTTAGATAAATGATTAATAATCTGACTCTATAGTTATTACTAGGTGTTAAATAATGGAAAAATGGTGTTATAAATAAAGAAATTATTAATAAAGACCAACCTGAGATTTGGGCACTGTATGGTAAACCTTCTCTTTTTTGTAAAGATACAACTGATTTATTAGTCACAATTAACATTAAGATTGCTAATAGCATTTGAACTAAAAGTATTGTTCTTGTATTAGATGAAATGCTTTTGTTAACTTTTTTCAATCCATAAAATGAACTAATAATAATTAAATAGCCAGCATAATTAATTTGGGTCAGATCTTCTATTTTAACTGCATCATATAATGTGAAAGTAGACATAAAAATACATGTAAAACACCAGGCTAAGGTTTTTAGCAAATTAGTTTGCAATCCACATACTGTTGGATATATTGCAAATAAAATAAATATTATACTAAAAATCCATCGATGGAAAAATCCATATACAATCCCTTCATAGATCATTACTATTAAGAAAGCAATTGTAATTCTTTCTAATACAGAAATTCCACGGAATAATTCTTTGATACCTATTTGTAACACATATCGATTAGCAACAATTTGACACCATAGATATAGTGGGAATAGTAAGTACATGTAGAAATTGAATGGAGAACGTTGGTAGTATAAGACCCAGTTTAAGCATAAACTAACCAAAATGAAAAAGGTTAAATTTAATAGTGTGATTCTTCCTTTAATGTTTTGATGACTAGGAATAATAAATAACTTTAAGAATATACTGAATGAGAAAACAACCCATCCAATAAATCCTAATGTGACAATTGTTCTAATTAATCTCCAGTTGTATGTGGTTAAGTAATGTAGTGCCTCCAGTGTGGTTGTCATAAGATTTTCAATCATAGAAATAGCTTGTTCTTCTAAATCAATTTCTCCTTTAGCAATTCGATCGATAATAGAATGAATTTCATCTAAATGATCTTCAAAAGGTTTTTCAACAAATTTATGATAATCTTTAAATACAAACTGAGAATTCTTAACTTCTTCTCTTTTCACAACGTATTGTTCTAGAATAGCTTTAGTATTGTTGTATAATGCTTTTAATTTGTTATCTTCATCTCCATCAATGTAAGATAGTGGCAGTTCCCCAACAGAGTTGGCAGGATAGTTCACACCAATTAGATAAGCCATCAATGATGCAATATCAGCTTGTTTAACATCATTTCTTACAATATGACCTAACTCCCATGATTTAGTATAATTATCGAAAACCGGAACATTATTCCTCTTGGGTTTATTTAAACCAGCACCCCATGCTACAAGTGGAGTTCTAGTATTATTAGGATGGCCATCGCCATGAGAACCAAAGGCACTCATACCATGATCAGCCGTAAAAATATACGCAGTATCTTCATCACCAAAAAAATCTTTAACTTTTTCAACTAATTTTGAAATTTCAGTGTCAATATACTTCACGTTGTCATAATATTCCGCAGAATATGGTCTATAAGAATGGCCAGCAGTATCGCAACCTAATAGGTGTAAGAAAAAGACATTCCCTTGTTGTCTTATTTCAGTATTAAGTGTACTATTTATAGTAGCATTATTGAATAAAGAATACAAATGTTTAAAAACATAGGCATCTAATTCTATTGAAGATTGAGTAAAATCTTCAAATTCATGACCATACATCCAGGTATCTATACGATTTGGATCAGAAGCTCCATCTTTAAACATTGGTAAAATATCAGGGGATCCAAAAGAGTATGTATGGGTAGACTGATTAAAAAAACTATCAAAATCGACAGGGTTTTCCTTCCAACCTTTCGTAACCGCACTAACATCTTCATAAAACCCTGCAATCATAGCAACGTGGCCTGGACGTGACTCTGTGGGCATTCTTGTATGTGATATTCCATAAGTTCCATTATTTTCGACAATAGATCTAATAAAAGGTGCCAGAAAGTTCGTTTCACCTGATACTGGATGTGTGATTTTATCAAAAGTGGTGTCTGCCCTCAATCCATCACCTACAATTAAAAACAATCTTTTAGCAGGTGGATTGTTTGTACTACGGTATTGGGACATTCCGTGAACCAAGGGTGATACAAAGTATATATCAAATATTGACCATAGATAAAAGAGATGAAAAAGGACCCCAATTATTAAAAGGGAAGTTCTATTTCTGTTCCATACCATACTGATTTGGTTAATTCTATCGTATTTGCACTTTTTTGGTGATTTCTAGGAAAGGAATGTATCATGTTTACCAATAACAAGTTTTCTTATTACACATATAAATTATATATTTATGTTTTTATAACCTTGACAGTTCAAAATTTTTCTGGAGTAATTTTTTCGTCATATAAAACGCAAAATTCTAATGTAAGAAAAATGAACATGTAAGCTAAAGGTGTAAACACTAATGATCTAGAGATGCAAGTAGCTTCCACTCTCCAGTTGAAATAATAGGTCAGGTTTCCAGACTGAAATATATTTTATGATTTTAGAACATTATTTATTGGATGTATCATGACTAAGTGTACAAATAATATATAAGAATTAAATAAAAAACATAAAACATGAAAGCATCTGAATTTAAAACATTCAAAACTTTAAGAACTAAAAACAATGTTTGCAACATTGGGAAATTTCGAAGAAAAAATAATAAAATAGCAACATGAACGAACTAGTAATATATAATGCAAAATGAAAATTATAATAAGTTTAGATTAATGCTTATTTTCTTTTTGGAAAGAATGCAATTAACAGGATACCAAGTCAATAGCTTGTAAGTAAACTGGATGACATTGAGCACCAATTGATTCGTCGTATAAGTTGTAGAAGTCTCCAGATAGACATTGGTAGAAGACATCATTGTTACCTAAAGCTAAGTTACCTTCTGGTGTGATAGACCAACCAGCAGCGTAGATGGCACCAGCTTGTGGTGGTGGACCATCGAATTGGAATTGTCTGTTGGCAACAATAGAACCGATTCTACCTCTGCTATCGGTTAGTATACCATCCTTTAAGGTCATAGATAATGTACCATCGACCTTACAGGAAACGGCTGTGACAGGATCGGTAGATTTGCCACTAGTGACTTGACCGTCACCGACTTGAGCAGCAGCAGACTTAGTAGCAGCTTGAACTTGACCGTCACCAATTTGGGAAGCAGCAGCCTTGGTGGTTTTGGCAGCTTGGATTTGACCATCACCAATTTGGGAAACAGCAGCCTTAGTAGTCTTAGCAGCTTGAATTTGACCGTCACCTATTTGAGAGACAGCAGCCTTGGTGGTTTTGGCAGCTTGGATTTGACCATCACCAATTTGGGAAACAGCAGCCTTAGTAGTCTTAGCAGCTTGAATTTGACCGTCACCTATTTGAGAGACAGCAGCCTTAGTAGTCTTAGCAGCTTGGATTTGACCGTCACCAATTTGGGAAACAGCAGCCTTGGTGGCAGTAGCAGCTTGGATTTGACCGTCACCAATTTGGGAAACTACATCTCTCTTAGCAACTGAAGATGTGGCCTTAGCTGCAGGAGTGGAGATTCCAACGACGGCAATACCGAAGGTGGAAGCGTAGTCAGTCAAACCGCCACTGTAAGTGCCAGATGGGGTTAAAGTGGACCATGGTTCAGTTGGAACGTAAGCAGCCATGGCAGAAGTAGCCAAGGCAGCGGTAGCTAAAGTTTTTTTGTATTGCATTTCTGTTTCTGTATGCTTGTGTTGATATAGTTTAAAAGAAAATCTCTGTTTAGTTTTCTCTGGTTTTTGTTGGAAGAGTTGTAGTATAGGGAAGAAAAAGCAAAAAGATTGCTGTGTCTTCTGCTAGAACATACTATCTTTATATATGTTTGTGAATGACATATACCATTGAATCATCACACACAATAGAGGATACATGAGATAATTGTAGTCTAATTCATTACTAAAAAAAATAGATGACAACATTTTTAATTTTCTTCTTTTAGATAGTAAATGTATTAAAATGGAAAACCATAATAGAGTAGTTGCTGGTGGTGTGGTCAATTACATTGTAATATCAAATATATGCACCTTTCATTATACATGTTTTTTATTAAATTGAAGGAGATACAATATTAAACAAAAGAAAAAAGTTTTCACTTTGATCTTGCACTTTTCTTTTTTTCTTTTTTTCTTTTTTTCTTTTTTTTGTTTTTTCCTGTTTAGGTAAAGATATTAGGCAATTCAGCCTACCTTAGATTTTAACCTGATTTGGCAAAATCTCATCGTTGGTTTTCTGCAAATATTACCGCATTTGGAAAAATATGGAGAGTTTTTTTGTTTTCTTTCTCGGAAATAATAAGGGAGTAAGAGAGCGAATGTTGCGAGGCAATTTTCCACCAAAGCAACACTAATTACATCAAATCATAGACATTAGTAACACATAAAGTGTTGTTCTTGGATTAAAATTTTTACAGAATCGTATTTTTGTTGCTATTTTAGAGCTACATATATCCTTTTAGAAGTGTCACCTGTAATATGGAAGACAAGCCAGGTGTCAAGATAACAGGAAAGAGGAATGTCAGGGCCCAATCACTAAGAAGTTCTTACTTTTAATATCAGTTTTTTTTTTTTTGAGGAATATATTCCACTGCTAACTATTACAGACACAGTGTCGATTATAAGGAAGTGTTACAAAAGAAAAATCTCTATGTAGTGTAAATAGCAAAGCCAAATGTCATGGTTACTTGCCTATAATATTTAGACAGCTTTTCTTGACTTTAACTGTTCATTGTTGTAGGATTGCGGTATAATGGAGTTTGAGAACCAAAGACATATAACTTCTCTTAATTTGATCGTTTTGGCTGTCTTTTATTTTAGATCAGTCTGATCTTTTTTTAACACTTTTTATTTTTTTACCTTTTGCCTTTTATGGTAAAGTGATCATGCTTGGTTTATTCCCCTTATAATTGTTAATAGAAATAAATATTTTCTCCTTTTCCTTCTTTTCAATGTTTTTTTTTTCATTTTTTTTTTCGTTTTTTTTTTGTGTCTTGCTTATGAAAAAAAAAAACGACTTCTAAATTTAGCTCTTGAAATATTTTTTTCCCCTTTTCGGGATCTTTAAGACAGCCAAAAATTACCGAATAAGGAAATAATATGGGCCTGTGGGTTGGACAAATATTTCCAGATGAGGAGATATATCACTTTGTGCTATTGTGTTTTTCTTCCCCCTCGAGGGGAGAATACAGATGTCGTCATACCGCTGAACAGAGTCTTTCCAGGAGTTCGTTTTGCCTAGGCTGGAAATGTTCTACAGATTGCACTTTCATACCTGTTATAGACGTTAATTATGAGAGATGTTACCTTAAATAGTAAACTGTTATAATTAGAAGTAGATGATTCGTAAGTTCATATTACATATAGTATGTATGTATAAGCAAAAAGCTTTCTTTTTCCTTTCTTCAACTTTTTTTGTTAATATATAAACTGGCAAAATTGGTTAGAAAGTGTTCTTTCGTCTAGTTTGTCGTTCCGTTAACCTTTTACTTGTCGTATTGGATGCAATTTACCCAGTAAAAAGTAATATAGGAAAAATCGATACTATTCGAAAAAAAAAAAAGAAAATCAATTATTCAAATTCATACCTTTTTTTAAGGAAACAACACTGTTTAGATTAATACATATTAATTTCATTTAAAATATTAATAATGCAATACAAAAAAACTTTAGCTACTGCTGCCTTGGCTACTTCTGCCATGGCTGCTTACGTCCCAACTGAACCATGGTCCACTTTAACCCCATCTGGCACTTACAGTGGCGGTTTGACTGACTACACCTCTACCTTCGGTATTGCCGTCGTTAGGATCTCCACTTCTGCAGCCAAGGCCACATCTTCAGTTGCTAAGAGAGATGTAGTTTCCCAAATTGGTGATGGCCAAATCCAAGCTGCTAAGACTACTAAGGCTGCTGTCTCCCAAATTGGTGACGGTCAAATCCAAGCTGCTAAGACTACTAAGGCTGTTGTTTCTCAAATAGGCGATGGTCAAATCCAAGCTGCTAAGACTACTATGGCTGCCGTTTCTCAAATAGGCGATGGTCAAATCCAAGCTGCTAAGACTACTATGGCTGCTGTTTCTCAAATAGGCGATGGTCAAATCCAAGCTGCTAAGACTACTATGGCTGCTGTTTCTCAAATAGGCGATGGTCAAATCCAAGCTGCTAAGACTACTATGGCTGCCGTTTCTCAAATAGGTGACGGTCAAATTCAAGCTGCTAAGACTACTAAGGCTGCTGTTTCCCAAATTGGTGATGGTCAAATCCAAGCTGCCAAAACCACCAAGGCTGCTGCTTCCCAAATTGGTGACGGTCAAGTTCAAGCTGCTACTAAGTCTGCTGCTGCTCAAATCGGTGACGGTCAAGTCACTAGTGGCAAATCTACTGATCCTGTCACAGCCGTTTCCTGTAAGGTCGATGGTACATTATCTATGACCTTAAAGGATGGTATACTAACCGATAGCAGAGGTAGAATCGGTTCTATTGTTGCCAACAGACAATTCCAATTCGATGGTCCACCACCACAAGCTGGTGCCATCTACGCTGCTGGTTGGTCTATCACACCAGAAGGTAACTTAGCTTTAGGTAACAATGATGTCTTCTACCAATGTCTATCTGGAGACTTCTACAACTTATACGACGAACATATTGCCGAACAATGTTCTCCAGTTTACTTACAAGCTGTTGATTTAGTATCCTGTTAAGGAAGCATCTTTGGGTGACTTTAACTTTTTTTCATAATTGATTAGATATTCCAAAACCACTCTCTATGATATATTCTGCATGGGTCTTTTTTTGTTTCGCTTTTAGCCCCTTTATTGCATCCGTTCCTTTTGCATTATGTTGTTTATAGTTCCAGTTTTTTCTTACATGGAAGAGTGATTATTTCGCGATAAAAGTGATCGTGATAATCATTTTAATTTCAGTTCTTGCATGCTATTTTTGTTCGAAAAATTGAAAATGGCTTTTCTTTTATTTATTCTTTTTTTATTTATTCCAATTATTTTTTTAAAGACTTTGTATAGTGATGTATGTTATGTTTATATATACATACATATATATATATCAATCACTATAAATAAGATAGAAGTTTGTTTTGAAGGGTATCACTAAGTTACATACATGTATACGTGTATATATGCGATGAGGGAAGAGTCTATCTATTTACGAACGCATACAAGGGAATAGTACAAACTAACAACAGTAAAGAGGTAGTGTTTATCTGGTTTTGCATAATTAAAAGAAAAGAATAGTTAGTTAGGTTATTAAATAAGAAAAATGAAATTAAAAATAAAGAAAATAATATCTTTTAACAGAAAATATTCTTAATTTTGCGATTGACTTTAACAGTCAACTAATTCAACAACTTCTAAGTGGATTGGGGAGCATTGTTCGGCAATATGTTCATCGTATAAGTTGTAGAAATCACCGGATAAACATTGGTAGAAAACATCTTTGTCACCTAAAGCTAAGTTACCTTCTGGTGTGATAGACCAACCAGCAGCGTAGATGGCACCAGCTTGTGGTGGTGGACCATCGAATTGGAATTGTCTATTGGCAACAATAGAACCGATTCTGCCCTTGCTGTCAGTCAATATACCATCCTTCAAAGTTAATTGTAGAGTACCTTTATTCTTGCAGGCAGTTTGCTTTGGAGCAATGGTGGCAGAGGCATTACAGACTGAAGATGTCTTAGAGGAAGAAGTGGAAGAGGATTTAGAAGAAGATGGTTTTAATGTAGTGGTAATGGCCTTAGTGATGGTAGTGGTAACGTCAGAAGAAGAAGAAGAAGAAGCAGCGGTTGTAGATAAAACAGGAGCTTGAATTTGACCATCACCAATTTGGGAGACAATATCTCTCTTGTTGGTAGAGGCAATAGTTTGAACAGCAATACCGAAAGTGGTAGTAGCGTGAACGATACCACATTCATAAGTACCTGATGGAGTCAAAGTGGACCAGACGTTACCTGGGGTGTAACCTTCAGCAGAAACAGCAGTAGCGATGGCAAGGGTAGCTAAAGAAAGATTTTTGAATTGCATTTTTCACTAATATATATGTGTATATACGAGTTTGTTTGGATCTATAGGAGAAAGAATAATTTAGCGAAAGTATGTAGTTGGAATATTTGGGAACTCTGTACAGTTGGGTTGTTAGTGATCACGTAGCAAAGAAAGGATTAAACATTGATTTGAAGTAACAAAGGAAAAAAAGAGTGAAGAAGAAGGTGAGGGAAAAAACTTGTTTAAGATTTGACTCCTATATATATGTTCTAGTAAACCAAATTTCAAAGATTGATTCTCAGTATTATATAAACAGTTCTGTAAATGAAAAAAACTGAATGACAAACAAAGTTTCAATAAGTTGCGTAAATATTTTCAAAAAAAAAAAAGTATAGAGGAAGAGGGGGTACGTATTATTATGATATAAACAAACATTCGAAAACGTAATGTGGATATCAATAATAAACTTATTAATAGTTTTGTTAGTATTTGTGGATCCTGGACACCATTAACCATATAATATTATTATTTTTCTCGAGGTAACGTCAATAAAGCTTACTTATTTGTTTACATCAAAAATGTATCTGAATTGTTTTTTTTCGTATCCGATGTTTGTTTATTTTTCCAAATTAGATACGCGTCATTTCCCTTCTCTCGTTTCCGTTTTATTTTTGCTTTTGTAGTTTTCCTTTTTTTTTTGTTTATTTT